GTGGGGTCTGTTATTTCAGCTACAGTATAATACGTGATATGGATAAGTGGCTGAAAGCCGCCCTCTGGACTCGGAATCAAGCCGAGAATCCAAGTTATGGTCAAAAGGCTGATAGTTTTTGCTTGCCCATCTCTTGCAATCCATTGTTATTAGGAACTTCGTACCTTCGTACGGACCAGACTTATTATTCGGGCAATCTTTATCTGCGTCTCAGACTGACGGAGGAACTGATTACTACACTTTCACACGCCTTACCCCTCTGAGAAATCACTAATAAAAATAAATACTCCGCGGCAAAGGAGGACGACGATAATACTCCGCATCTTCAGCAGCTTCAGCTGCCGAACTTCCGGTGGGGCTGGCATCCAGTCCGGTTGTCGACTAGCAATCAATACACGCCGTGCGAATAGCAGAGTCGAGTGCCAGTGGGTCGGGTCTTGGGCGTCGTTAGGGCGGATTTAGTGCTGACTTGTAGGAGATTGCTGCTAAACCTACATACATACCTACTCGAGTGCTTACTCTACGTCCTATGTACAGTGCATTGCCGTATTGCAAAGCTGGCAGCGTCCCGGCCGCCCCTATGTCTTCTTTATTGTACGGTGCGGTATGTAAAGTGATTTGGAACACTCGATACTAAGCAGTGAAGCCCCTCGAGGTCTGGCAGGTCTCTAACAGCGAGTGCTCTGGACACAACAGCCAGGTCTCAAGGGTCTCGCAACCACTAGCTTGTACAGCCACGAGGGGTGGGATTTGCTTCCACTCCAGTAATAACAGCTTTATAACTGCCATGCTGCTGATAGCGCTATTGCCGGCATCTGTGGCGGGGTCCACAGGTGCAGATACTCCACAATCACTGTGGTGGTCAATCATGACCCCGGCATTTGCTGAAGGTGCGATAGTTGGGGGATCAGTGGGACAGTTGCTTGGCAGAATGGATTGCGTTGCGATTCTGGACCCAACATGGTACTTGTATCGGAATTTACTACTTTTTGTTTGCCCCGCGTTTTTACATTGTTTTCTGTTGATCGTCGTGGATTTTTAAATACTTGTCGCGGTATCTATACGGACTCGAGGTTTCATATATGAAGATCGACGCGGGGTTTCCATTCCAAAGAAGGCAATAATTGTGCTGAATCAGTTAATCGCAAGCATGGACAACATGGAATCGGAGGCGGTTGACGAATCGAACCCCATATTCGACAATGCCTCCCCGCCGTTCCTTACCTCTCCCATCACGTCTCCTACGCCGGAGAAGGAGGCGTCACCAGCTCCTTCAAAGCCTCTATCAAAGCGCAGAGGGAAGAAGAGGTCTTCTAGGGCATGTGCTAGTTGTAGGACGAGGAAGGTTAGGTGCAATATCGTGGCTGTTGGAACGCCTTGTAGCAATTGTAGGCATGATGAGATTGAGTGTATTCTCCCATTAAGCAGACGGCAGAGGTATGCTTTCTTTCTGTTATCACGTTATTTATGGATTGGCAAGTTTCTGACTTTGAACAGATCCGCCCGTGAGCGGGCAGAGAAACGTATGCGACAAGCAATGTACGCCGCTCAAGTTAGAGAAGGCCGAGATCCCAGTTTGAATATTGGCAGTGATGTTCCTGGACACGACATCGAAGGACCTAAACCGATCCTTAGCAGCCTCCCGCCACACTGGACCAACATCTCAGGACACCTCATTCCAGATGCCGTTCCTCCCCAAACTATTACGCCCACCGAAACAGAAAGACTTCCAAGCCCTCATCCATCATCAATGGCCAAATTCGAGACCCAGATCCAGCCGCCACTTGCAACAGTGGCCGTCCGTATACCAAGCACGCCCAAGTCGCCCGATCAACGCCTCCCCATTCTTCCCCAAGCTTTTATTCCCTTTCCACGTAATCTCAGTACCCCGGATCTTCTGTATCTACACAATCGCGATGCCCTCACCCTCCCCGGCGAAACTCTACAAACCAAGCTTCTAAATGCTTACGTCAATTTCGTGCATGGAACCATGCCCATCCTTGACTTGGAGCAGTTTATTTCTGCTGTAAAGTATGGAAATGAAGCGCAATCCAGTCAGAGCCTCGAAATTAGGGAACGAGAGAATACCCGTCCCACCCAGATTAGTCTGTTGCTGTTTCAGGCTGTTATGTTTGCTGGTGTGATAAACGTGCCAGTTAAGGCGCTCCAGGAGGCAGGGTACCGTAATCGCGAAGCCGCAAAAGAGATCTTTTTTGCGAGGGCAAAGGTACGTCGAATTTCAAATAATTAAGCATTCTGAGATGAAATTCAAAAGTCACTTTATAGCTGACCTTTAATTAGCTTCTCTATGACTTTGATACTGCAACTGATCGGCTTTCGATCATTCAGTCCCTTCTCCTTCTGACCCTCTATCCCACCCCAACCTCACTACGTACGCCAGATTCACATTGCGTCAAAGACCAAAACCACTACTTGAACCTCGCCATCTCCGTCATCTATGCCCTGGCGCTGAATCGTATCCCTCCACTTCCTAGTTCTACCCCCTCAAAACCTGGCATCAACCACCACCAACAGCTGCGGAGGCGCAAACTTGAACGGCGTATCTTCTGGGCGGCCTTTTGTCGAGATAGGCTCCTCGCGCTTTCTCCGCACGGGTTTTGGATGAGACCCATGCAAATTAAGAAAGAAGATTGTGATATTGCTATGCTTTCTCTGGCAGATTTTGATCTCAGGCCTGAAGAAGAAGAGGTAGATGATGATATGAGGGCGCGGAGAGATGCAAACACGTGCGTGGAAAAGGCGCTAATGTGCTGGTCCTCTACTGATGGTGTTGGATATGACATGTCTAGCAGTGAGATGATGGGGCAGTTCCCAGTTACGTTCTCGGAGGTAGTACACGGAACGCCAGCGGGGCAGGTCTCACAGTGGCAGAATCAGCCTGCGCATGAAACTGACCTTGCGGTGGCCAATTGTCACCAAAATACGAATACACCCAACCATCGGTTCCCCATATATTCCCAATGCCCAACCGAATACCCCGAACATGCTCATCTGTACGACGGGGGCCCTCCTTCCAGCGGTACACCCAGTCTTCACGACCACTCGCACTCCGATGAAGAGGACTCTCTCCATACGCCTGATAGTGGGTGTTGCGATGGGGATTACGGAGTCTGCGAGGATTGCGATGGGTTCTTGAGATTCCTACGGCCCATGGATGCTGAACCGGCGGATAAAGTCGGCGCGGATGGAACTGTAACGGAAGCTGGTGGTGAAGCTGAGGTTCCTCATGATGAAGCTGAAGAGAGAGACGGTGACGATAGGAGTACTTGGGCGTTCCAACTAGACGTTGATAACGATGTTGTTGTGCAGGTATAATTTCTTTGGAGTATAGGTACGGTAGTTACTAAGGTATGGTTGGGTTTGGGCGTCGGCGTGAGCTTGGGCTTGGGGTCTTTTGGGCTTGTTTAAGTAATAGCACCACAGGGATAGATATAGGTTTATAATAATGTTAAAAGACGACTCGCAAATAAATATCAAATAATGCTACAACCATATTTAATGCTATTTTATGTGTACGAGGAAGGGATGAAGGGGTAGATATCAGGATTCAGCTGTGATGGCGATTAGTTTGGCCAAAAGGGGGTCTTTCGCGCTCTCGCTTGGCCGCTGCCTTTCACCCTACAAAAGCGCCAAAACAAAAGAACAACGCGAAAAAAAGGTCTTAAAGAATAGGTATAATTCCTTGAGATTAAGGATTAAAATAGCAAAAGAGTTCGGCCCCTTCGTTGGTAGGGCCTACATCTCTTGTCGAAGTCCGATTTTCATGCCCCAAAAACCCGGGCGACCTCGGAGTACAATTCGTCCTGAACCACTCAGCCAAGTGGTCGCCCTTGTACTCCTCAGAAACCAAAATGCCTTGTTTTAATTTATATAGAAGGTGTCGGGAGTCACAGCCAGGCAATTTTGTTGTCACCGCCTGTCGCCGACGAGCGAAGCCAGAATCACGTGACATTCACGTTATCTACCCATATACTCTAGAGGCCCGTGCGTCTCACAATTCAAAACGACCAGAACTAGACTTGGTCTCTTCATTATTTATTGCCTGCTTGTATCCTATGCGATCCCTATGCCCCCTATGCTCCGTATATATGCTTAAGCAAATCAATAATAATTCTCCAAAACCCGGCGGTAACGCTATTCAATTGATTACATCGCTGTCATAGCTGGATGAAAAGGTAACATGTATGATGAATGACTCAGGCCGAGCGACAAATAAAGCCACCTGTATCCCTCGTAACAGTGGGGAACTTAAGACCGTGGCAAACCCCCTTTCCAACTCGCCTCGGTATTTCAAAAACAATCAGCGCACAGCCGTACTACTCCAAACGTCGATATCGAAGAATATACTGCCTAGCTTTTGTATGGTCATTCATTATCATGACGAGTAGCTCCGAGCAGACAACGATACTCTGTTCCAGCAAGCAGACGCGGTTCGATATCAAGAACCCCGTGTATCAGGAGGTGACAGACCAGAACACGTGCTATCCCTCCAATTATTGATAATTCAACAGCTCGATATTGATGGTCTTAATATTACCGTAACCTCTGGAACTGGAAAATCTGCCGCAAAGCCAAAGGGGAAAGCGAGAGCGGATGGCCTTGAGATATTATCGAATGCAAGTCTGAAATTGAAGGCGGGCGTGCATTATGCGCTGATTGGCCGGAATGGAACTGGGAAATCGAGTGAGTATAGATGGGTGGGAATTTTTGCCATGGACTGGCAAGGGATTGGCGTTCATTTATACACTTTCTATAATTATTTGTTGAAATGATGCTAATATAGCTTGCAGCCATCCTGAAAGCAATAGCTCAGAAATTGATCCCCGGAATTCCCATCCAGACTAGAATAGCTATCCTCCAGCAGACATCTGCAGAAGATTCTACCTCAGACGGCGAAGCGAACCTTGCCGGCAAACAAGGCACAGCTTCCACAAGTCACCTATCGGTTTTGGAAGAGGTTATTGACAAGGCCACTTCACGGAATGAAATCCAACGTGAAATCGATGGTTTGTCTCACGTGATGCGTCGCCCTGGAACCTGGTATTGATTGCTATACAGTTCTCTCCAAGTCTATCGACAGCAATGGATCTCCATATGCTCCAGTACGCGCGTTACGTCAAGTCCAGCATGACCGTTTAACCAAGGAGCTCTTTGAGCTAGATAAAGATGCTCGTCTCCGAAGTGGTACTCGAGGAATGGCGGCTCGAAAAGCATTAACGGCTTTCGAGAATAAGGTTGCGGAATCTGTGGAGAGGTAAGATGGTCGTGATCCTATGAAAATGGCTTTAATGATGTTTATAGACTTGCGGAGAAAGATGAAGAAATCGGCGAAGATGCGATTCGAGAAGAGACACATACAGCGAGTGATCTGCTAGCCGAGCTACAGTCACAGCTCGAACCCGCCAGAATTGCGGATATAGAGAGCAAGGCACGAAATATCCTTTCGGGTCTCGGGTTTCCCAAAAGCCATCTCGAGAAACCGGTATCGACTTTGTCCGGAGGATGGCGAATGCGAACAAATCTAGCAAGTGTGCTTCTACAGCCCACTGATCTTCTTATTTTGGACGAACCAACGAATTTCCTGGATCTCCTCGGTATCATTTGGCTCCAGCGATTTCTCATGCAACTTAGTGATTCCGGGCCAAATCCACCAACTGCCGTCCTCGTCTCCCACGACCGCGACTTTATCAATGCAGTCTGCCAGGAACTCATCATACTCCGGGATCACGAATTGACATATTTTCGCGGTGACCTCAATACTTATGACGCTTCAACTAGGGATAAGAAACTATACCTCAGTCGAATGCGTGATGCACAGACAAAACAAAAAGCGCATATTCAACAAACGATCCAACAAAATATCAAGCAAGGTAAATCTACTGGCGACGACAACAAACTCCGACAGGCCAAGTCACGGCAGAAGAAACTCGATAACCGTTGGGGCATGGAGAAGAGTGCTTCTGGTGGCCGTTTCAAGCTGAACCGCGACTTGCCGGGTTACCATCTGACCTCGAGGGACGAGATAGAGGTCCCTCCTGACGAGAAAGGCGTCTCAATCACATTACCTCCTGCCCCTGACTTGCGTTTTCCAGGGCCATTAATCTCGCTAGAGAAAGTGATCTTTAAATATCCAGCTGCAAAGAAATTAGCAACCCCAGCACCAACAATACTAGAGGATATTGACCTCACAATCCACACAGGTGACCGCATCGCCATCATAGGCCTGAACGGCTGTGGTAAATCAACCCTTATCAAACTCATCACCGACACAGCAAAACCCACAAAAGGAATAGCCACGCGCCATCCCCGCCTTAGGATGGGGTATTACTCCCAACACGCAGTCGAAGATCTTCAACTCCTGGGGAACTCCACGCCCGAACTCACGGCACTCTCCCTCCTAACGACAGATATCTCATCTGAAGGCGGAGACCTAGATGAAGGCGAGGTGCGCGGCTTACTTGGATCCCTCGGTCTCCCAGGTCGCACAGCCTCAGATGTCCCACTACGCAAACTAAGCGGTGGACAGCTGGTCCGACTTGCGCTAGCAAGACTGCTGTGGAAATGTCCGCAGTTACTCGTGCTAGACGAAATCACGACACATTTGGATTTCCATACTGTGACAGCGTTGGCGGAAGCCCTCAGTGGGTGGAATGGGGCTGTGTTGATTGTTAGTCACGACCGGTTTTTGGTGAAGAGGGTGGTGCAGGGGGAAAAGGATAGAGATGAAGATGGGGAGGAGGAAAGTAGTGACGAGGACGAGGAGGAAGATGTTGCCAGGCGGAGGGCGGTGTTTTTGTTGAAGGGCGGGAAGTTGAAAGTCCTTGAAAGAGGTGTGGGGGAGTTTGAGGAGCGCTTGGAAAAGAGGGTGGAGAAGTTACTTGCTTCTTAAATTTGTAGATGTAACTCTTGAGTAGTAGGGACATCCAGGTTAATGGTCCAAGAGATATGCCAACAAGCACGCTGGTGAGGAAGTTCTTCCAACCAAGCCACCCATAGAAGGAGCTTTGAACTCTCATCCTCAAGTAATTGGCATAACACATTGCAGGTTAGTAGGCGTAATTTTTACATTTTTCAATCTGCAGCATCGAACGAGTGCCTCTTCCTCCTGTTACTTAATATTAAACCGCTTCGATACGATAATCGCGGCTGGCCAATATTCAAAGGCAGTCAACCCCATCGGCTAACCCTCGGTTGATCCTCTACCGCCTCCAGACACCTACCTAAGGTATATATAACAAAATAAGCAAAAACCGGATAACAACTGGAGACAGGCGACTAGGCCTGTTGGTACAGTGGGGATATTAACGCCTTTCCAAGGTTGAACCACCGATCAACAGACAACCTAGGATGACCCTGGATGCTCCGCCAGAGATAACAAACGAGTTTCTCGGTATCCCATTTGGAACTGATAATTGGGTATTTCTTTTGCTACAGTAAAGTTCGAAATCGACTTCAGTTCCGAACACTTTTATTTTGGACCCACATTTTAAGATATCCTAGTACTAGAAAGCTAACTTAGTTTTTGACCCCTAAATTTGCTTACTCTATAAAACAGAGACTATTGAATATAGACTTTCAGGCTTAAGCTATATACCGATAGTAGGGTAAATAAAAGGGAGCAGCTAGAGCTTGCTATCTAAATATATATAAAATACTATATAGAGAAGGTAAAGCTATATAAATGCTGTTTTATATTAAACGGAACTTTTTGAGTAGCTTGTGGCGTTTCGTTTTTGAAGGGGCTTGTTTAGTACTTAGACAAGATGATTCTTCTCAAGAATTTTTCACCACGATTAGCTCTTCTACATTGTTTAAGGTTTCGTTTTCCGTCACGGTATCCAAAGCTTGGAGGTTGTCCCGTAAACTCCGAGATGCTAAGTGGTCAGGCCCAACGACCCTCTCATATCCTACTAGGGCTTTTGAATACATTATCCTAGCATTTGCTAAATCGCCTTGACGTTCAAAGAGTGAGCCAAGGCCCCACATTATGTTTAGTGCCGGGATATAAGTCGTAATATTGTCGACACCGAGGGCCTTCTTATAGCCTTGTAGCGCTCGCTGGAGCATGGTTTTGGCCCCAGCCGGCCTGTTCTGGTCGGCGTAGAGGAGACCTAGCCGATGAATTGCATCTAGTAATACGCTTCGGTGCTCGGCCGCATTGATCAGATTGCTGGCCCGGTGGAAACTTCTAGAACTTCGCCTTTCACCTGTTAGGGTCCACTGAGAACATGCCTGCGCATGGGGTAGGAGCCGGGGCTGCATAATAGAGTATTCCCGTGATGAAATGTCAGGTGAAGCCCATCCAACAACAATTGTAGCTAGTTGAGCTAGCTGTGCTCTAGAATCCTCCCCCTGGAAGTAGTATGCCCATGTGTGAACGACTGAGTGAATTGCATAGCTCGCTGAATCTTTAACGTCTTCGATTAGTGAGTAGTTGCCTAGTAGTTGAATCGCCTTAGCGAATTCCACCTTATTGTTTGCAAGGTCCCCAATCCATTCTGACAAGCTTGTCGCAACAGCTGTAGATGCGCTGCATGCTGCTTCAAATAGACCGTGCCAAAGGTCTTTGCTGTTAAGGAATGCCCAGAGAAGGAGTAGGTTGGCTGTAGCTTCGTGCTTTTCTCGAATCGCGTTGTATGAGATAACCCATGTCGTCCAGATACTGCGATCAGGGTAGTCCTGAAGTGGGGCATCCGCCCCGTTATGTGAATCGATAAGCTCTTTCCACTACTGCTTATAGAATTTTATATAGGTTTGAATATCAATCCCACTATCTTACAGAAACGCAGCTACTTGTGCAATTGCTAGCGGGAGACCGTCCAACAAGTCTAAAAGGCGTTCGATCTCGGCCAGGTCTGTCATAGTATTATTAGCTCCAGTGTATATACATTGCGATAGTAGAATGTGTTCTTACTATGCTTTCTTTTATATCGGGTCTGAAAAATAGCAGTTGCTTGAGGCTGGTCAACCTTGCCTAACAGGTGCGAGCCACCTAGCTGCTCCAGCTTAGCTAGTCGACTAGTTATCAATATAGTCCCATGGTCTGCGCTAGGGAAGTAACGCCTTATATAATATGCACCGGGGTCGGAATTGTTATAGCTGGAATCTCTATCAACATTGTCGAAAATAAGTAGCCAATCTGTATTGTCTTGCCGAGCAAACCAGCTTATTACCTCTCGGACAACTATGTTAATATCGACGGTACTGTTCGCAGAATAGGTCCTACTTGACTCGGAAATCCGGCCTTCCGGGATCCTGCTTGCTAAGCTCGAAAGGCTCCGTTTGAGTGAATTCTCGCTCTTTCCATCCAGCCAGAATACGGCACTGAACTTGTCACAATGCTCCCGGGCAAACTCAACGGCTAACTGCGTTTTACCTATTCCGCCAAGTCCATGAAGCACAAATATGTTCTGTCGGCAACTCCGCGATTCTGGCAAGAGTCCTCTTTCAAGCTTTGACATTTCGACAGGCCGTCCCACGAATTTGTTTGCCCTCGGAACACCTTCGAGCCTACAGGCAATTCGATATTCTCCAAAACCTATATTAATTATTAGCTATATGAGTAAAGAAAACTTTGACTTAATACTTAAAACTAACCTTCTCTTCTTGCCACATTGCCCGCACATGCTTGCATTTGGTTTAACACACGTTGGGATCCAATGTAGCGTCGCGTAGCCGCAGCAATCTCTTTCTTTTTCTTCGATTCTTGGAGCCCGATTTGCTCTAGTCCGCGATCGACGTTAAACCGGTAGTACTGACCACTCTTATCGAGCTGTGACTTGTCTCGAAGAAACCTCTCCGCTGTCTGTTCTGTCTCTGTAGCAATAGCAACACGCGTCTTGCCGAAGTGCAAAACGTCATCCCGAAATGGTTTCAATGAAGGGACACCGGTACCAATCGAGACTATATATCTGATCCTATTCTCAAGTGGCTGCGGTCCCCATATTAGTTGAGCCTGATTCCATACTTCCCATATCGGGTTGTTGGCTCCCGTTGCTCCGTCCACAAACTCTTGTTCATGCCGCCCGATAGCGATAGGATCGAAGAAGGTGGACGCCGCTGAAGTTGCACGGCAGGCTTCCCATATCTTTACGCTATCTAGGAGGTCACTTCCACCGCCGGGCGAATTGTAGCTTGTGAGACACACAGATTCGCTTGTCTGTTTGCTTGTCGCGCACATGAATCTGGATTGATTAGTGACTTGTAGTCTAGGGAAGTGTAAGGCAAACCCACACCTTGCATGCATCCTCCGATACATCTTTTAGCAACGTATCCTCGTCTAGTTGTTGTGCTATAACCACCTCTTTTACAGCTTGTGACAGCTCCTCAGAGTCAAATCTGCCTTGAATATTGCCCTTTACTGTAAAGCGATGCCTTTTCTTGTGGAAAATTCGGTCTGAAAGTAATAGATAGGCGTTGATGCAGTCGTCGATACTCATTTTCAGCCGGCCCAGCATGATAGCGATAAGCCTAGTCAGTCAATATATACGTCTGTAATCTGCGAATATGGCAAGTACCTACCCCCCAGTGCTTGTTCCCCCAATCATGTCAAAATAGTCACACGGCTTCGGAGGATTCTCCGGGTCAATAGTCTCCATGAGCTGCTGGAGGATCATAAGCGCTGACAAGCCCCTGACCCCCCCCCCCCCACCATCGAGCGCGAGTAGGCGCAGGTTATTGTTTGCCATTACTGTAAAATGGAGAGACTCTCAATTAACAGTGAACAGTGAGTCGCTGAGTCGGCATGGGAAGCCGGTTGTTGAGTTTAGGAAGTAGAAATTGAATGAAGGCAGGCTGGAGCTTATATCGACTCAGTGAAACAACAGCCTCGTGGCAGGGCAGCATCGTTATGCATCATGGCGAGCGCGTAAACCTACGAGTAGCCAATCGCTGGCCAGTCACTATAGGAGGGCATGGCAGGGTGTGTATTTGTATGGAGTCCCTATGTAGGCATTCGACGCTGAGGTGCAACTGAGGCATGTTCTGTTTTTGTCGCTGATGGCGCATCTCGATTGCTTCGTTCGAGTACTCGTAATGTGAGAACTTAGCAGCTGTCCCTAGCTATCTAGACGACGCGGTTACTCCCAATATAAAGGACGTATAGTAGGTAGTATAAACGGAAGCGCAAAATGAAATGACACAATTTAGGAAGCCTGAATAACCAAAAGGAATCCAAGTATCTAGGGAGACCAAAAGTGGATGGCAGCTGAATAAGTGGTATCAGCGTGCATAGCTAGCATCAATTTTTAATACAATCACGATGAGTTCTATAAAAATTGGCCCTTACTGTAGCGAGACGCTAATCGTGGCTAAAATCTGACATTCTGTTATCTTTCAATTGTATTTCCTTTTTATTTCCTCACTGCAAGTCTGTAAACAAGATGTCGGCACCAAAAATCACGATTGAAGAGCATGATAACAGTAGCGATGCAATAACAACATATCATCTCGACCTCGATTCGCAAGAATGCAATCCGATAGGCGAGTACTCTGCGTCATGCAACGTATGCCGCGATCTAGTCAGGAAGTTCTTCAAAAACCGCTATAACCCTGTATTAAGGCGAGGTACGACTTTGCCCCAGATAATCGAAGCGGCGCAGACGGGATGTTCGAACTGCGCAGTTCTACACTTGGCCATTGTCGCATTGGCCTCTTCCTCGCAGTATAAAGATCTCAGAGAAAGGCCGTTGCTATTTTTTGAACCAGAAACCACAGCCGGCCATGCTTCAAACCTCCGTGACGGTGATAATGGGCCGTCATTATTTTCCGACGATCGTTGGTGTGATGTGACCTTGATGTTACGAGAGGATGACACATGCTGTTTTGAGGTTCGAGTTCGAGGATGTCTTATCAAGGGGGACATATACACTACCTCTTGTAAGTGAACATGTCCATACATAAAAAAATTATAGTTAGACTGAGTAAAACATTTATAGATCCTTCAATCTGGCCAATAGTTCGGGCTTCACAACATATTCAGCCTTTACCTAGCCACTCCACAGTTGCAGCTAGTATCGAGCTGTGGATCAAGAACTGTACTTCCCACGTCCATTGTCGAAGCTACATAGACGATTCGAAGCTGCCAACACGGGTGCTAGACATTAGTCCAGACAAAAAGATTTGTCTAGTGGAGACAAGCAATGCGAATGGCAAATATGTTACACTAAGCCACTGTTGGGGGCCAAGAGCAAACATGATACGGACGCTAACGGCTAATTATCAATCACATCAAGAGAGTATCGAATGGACTTGGCTCCCACTTACATTTCGCGATGCAATTACCATCGCTAGAAGTCTCGGGATCCGATATATCTGGATAGACTCTCTGTGTATCATTCAAGATAACGCAATGGACTGGGAGGTTGAGTCTTCAAAGATGGCTCAAGTTTATGCAGGTTCTTACCTTAATATTGCTGCAACATCTTCAATAAGTTCTGCTGGGGGACTCTTTGGGGAGAGATACCAGTGGGAAGCTTCAATTGACAACGTCTCTTACGGTTCCGACAAGGACGATATCCCACTAAGACCAGCAGGTTCAGGGACAGTAGCGATACGTATCAAGCACAAACAACAGTACTCAGATGTGTTTGTTAGAAATGTCTTGGAGAGGAGTCGTGGCGAAATATCAGGTTGGCATGGTGCCCAAGTGTCATCTCAGAGCACCCTCGTCTCACCGCTCCTTACAAGAGCCTGGGTGTTTCAGGAACGCCTTCTCGCACCTAGGACCGTTCATTTCCATGCCGAGGAGATGGTTTTCGAGTGCAATTCTGGGCTCTCGTGTGAATGTAGTATGCACGAGACGGGTGGGTCAGAGCTCAGCGGTGTCAAGGCAGAATTCAGCAAAATGCTTGGTACAATTTCCAGCAAAACAAAAAAGAAAAAGTTGGGCGAAGCTATGGACAAATGGATGGCATTAGTCAGCTCGTATTCAAACCTACACCTCTCCTTTGAAAATGATCGACTGCCTGCGCTATCGGGGTTGGCGAGGTTAGTTCATGACAAGTATGGATACACTTACCTTGCGGGGCTTTGGTCGAACGACCTGCATAGGCAACTGCTGTGGACCATTCGGAGTTGGAGGACAAATGTAAGGGCACCTGCTGGAACTGCCCCAACCTGGTCTTGGGCCTCGTTACAACCACCAGATGATTCCAGTCACAAGCTCGATTGTTTAGTATATTTTGATTCCCAGGATTTGACTCCGATAAAATCTTTGAAAGTTGGTATTCATGCTGAATGTACCCCTTCTGGATCAAATCCTTTCGGGACTGTTCAGGAAGGGAAACTCTACTTGACAGGATTGGTTTGGGATTACTCTTACGAAATAAAAATGAAGGTCAAATGGGACAAATCTGAAGAGATTGCCTATTTCATTAATGGTAGGGAGTTTTCCCCGGATATTAAAGAGGTTGTTCTTGGAGAAAGACCTGTAAAATGTGTACATTTTGGAACAAGCTTTGACAAGGAGTACTATCTTGCTGTTGAGACTGTTAACCAAGTATTAGAAACCGAGCCAGTTTACAAACGAGTAGGGGTATTGGATATTGAACAAAAACAGGGGCCGCGAGGAGTATCAACTGCAGGAGGCAACTGGACAAAGTTAACGATTATATAATCATCTTTAGCATTAGTATGATGTAGTCTAATAGGAGTTAGTAAAAACATATAATTCGCTAAAGATAAACTCATACAGAGCATGCCCTTCAAAACTCTCTGTGCCCTCAACACTACCCTTCGCAAAGCCCTATGCATGAGCATAAATGCTTCGATCATGAATATGTGCCTTTGATGCTTCTGATTTGCCACGGCGAAGCCGGTGGAAACGTAAAGCGCATCCCAGTGGTGCATGGAAATATGATCCAGATTATGACGATAAGGAGCGATTGAGGTCTGGTGATGTCCCAAGGCTGAAGTAAGTGGTATACATCATCAGGTAGTTGTAATGCTATATGTAAAGCTGTTGTTGCTAGTAGGCCTTGCAGTAGAAAATGGTGTGTGAAAGCCTTGCCAAGTGCGGGCTGTATAAATAGACTACGTGATGTCTTTCGTCTAGTGTTGTATAACAGGTATTATTAAACGGTAGCGGTGGGCTATTAAAATATCGCTACTTAGAACTGTTATATCGGCTCGCGTGTATAAGTAGCCAAACGCTATATAATCTAAAGCATACACTTTAATTACTAATATAAAACCGATAGTATGGTTGTTAGTATCTATAGCCTATAGTGGGACTCCCTTAGCACTTGGGCTAAAGCAAACGGTATATAAGAAATTTCGTGGTTCTCCGATCTTATCGCCAGTGGTAGTCTCTAGGATAAACTGAATGCATTTCAAGCACATATTTGATATTCAACTGTAATACAAACCTCGTCCCCAACTGAACGCTACAGCAAAGCAAAATATTTCCTACCTTTTCTACTCGATACATGCAATGATTTAGGCGGCAAATATAATAAATGGCCAGTCTCACCAAAAGAGCATCGATGTTTTCGGCCCTAACCATTTAAGTAGATCATCCCCACTATCTCCTAAAACCCATCAAGGGAACCGAGATGTTAAAGCAAGTCAGTGCTCTACCAACGAACTAATCACCAACCGATTTTTCGGCGACTATCCGTTTCCTCAATCCAGTTTGGTAGTTGACATCCTCGCCGCGAGTGGCGGAGTATACGACCCCGTGAGCATTCGCTGCGATTAGATTTCCTCTCTGCCAGTACCGGGCGACGATAAATACCATTCCAGACGCACTCACGGCCCTGCCCATACCAACGCGTGTTGTTGAGGGCCAGATAATCTATTTCTCTAGTCAGTTACTATATCAACATTATCCAGAGACGCTGTTTTTTAACTAAAGGGGGAAGGGAAAGTGAAATGGAAATGTAGTTGAAACTGGGAGTCAGACCTGGGTATAGTGTTCATATCGGCGATGAGCACTGTTCTTGATGTCCCGACCGTTATACCGCTGATACTTGCGTTTCTTGAATTCCTGGCCTCTGTAAAATTTCTATAGTGTAGAGAAAAGAAATTAGCACCATCTCAAAATCCTCACTCTTGTCTATCCCATCACCCATAAATACAGACATATACCTTCTCATTAACCCGGAATTCAACCGCATTTCGAAGATCTACTACTTTCCCCATGCTAATCTGACGCATATACAAATTTTCACCGTGCATGTCCTTATCTTTGAGGTTTGAAGGCGGGAGTTTACGTGTGCGGACTCGTTCATCCTCTTGGAATGGGAGCTGGTCGGCCCATTTCTATGCCTCGGATGCGAGAATGTATGACCAGGTTAGAGGAGGGCGAGGTAATCCCTCGGAAGGTGGTGCAGAAGCACGGGCTGCAGAAAAGCGTGTTAGATATTGGGATTGGGGAAGTTAGGATTAGGAGAGGAGAGGATGGCAAGGGCGCCTACTTGCATTGTGGAGTGCGAGGGCTTCGAGTATTTCTGGTGAGTGCGGTGGAACAGACTGGTTAGTTTGTGGCATTCCTGATACTGAGGCTGGTTTAGGTGCTCAACCTAGGGCAGGTCCAAGTGCTTGAGTCGCTCCATGCTCATACGCTCCAGTGTCAAGTTCTGCATGCTCAGGCTCGACATGCTCCTTTGATATTTGTTGAGGGCATATGGTGCTAGGAGTATACGCGTGGGGCGCGGAATGTAAATCCACAGATTCCATGATTAAAATGGTAGCCGTTGGTGAAACATCTAAATACTGTTCCTGGAAATAGCTGTAGATGTAAGAAGCAATTGTAGAGCTGGTATCTTGGAAGAAAGAAGTATTGAGAGTAGGATATTGTGCAAGATTATCAAGATGATGGCGAAAGGGATGGAATGAGAAAATATAGACATACCCTACTGTGTAAATGCGTTCATATGTTGCGAATCAATGGGTTTGGCTCAACCCAAATCGGGCGTGTGAATGCATCACGGTTCTTCCTTTAATGAGTAAAAATGATTCACGCAATTTAGAATAATTAGAGGATTTAGAGAAACTCAACAACATCTTGTAGTAATAAGCAAAACTTCGAAGCTTTTATTCAGAACAAAAGACAATTATTTGACAATTGCCGCTGGATTAAATTTTCAATGCGTAGAGCAGGACGATCCTTAACCTGGATCGGGTAGACAATTTGACAGAAGATAGTTGCACGGTAACAAAAGAAACTCGAATGTAAGCCCATCGATTAAAGTGCATCTCAACCCATAGGCAATTGGCCAAACTAAAGGCCCCTCAGATCACTTCGATCATATTTATTCACTTGATGTACAAATCAAGCGGCCAGCCCAGCGCCGCACACTGCTCAAGATCCCGAAAGCCAACCTGCTTACTAGGCCATTGCAATTGCCTCACCATACCCCCATTCCTCTCTCCATTACTCAAAGGAGCCCACGTCCCCGACTTTTCAATCTCCGCAATCGTATTAGAATAGTTCCGCGCTTTCAGGAGCCCCACGTCAGGGTTGGGATCATAAGTTCTTGCGAAACTTGTCCAGGAATCGAGGGTAAATTGCTCGAAGGGGAGGTCATTCTCATCTCGGAGCGTATATCCCATTCTCAAGATAGTCCCGAAAACATAGTAAAGCTCCCCGGAATGGCATTTGAAATACTCCTGGTCTGGGTTACCGTGCGGGTGAGTGGATGTAATAGGAGCGTCGCAGACAGGCGCGTTTGGATCCCAGCCCGGTGTCTGGTAGGAACGGTTGAATTCGTAGAAATATTGGTTGGGTGCGAATACATTGTTCAACACTCCAGCGTAGGCGGCTGCTTGGTCGACGCAGCGGAATATGGTGTCGGTGGCAACACGCGCCGTGACATTGAAGATATTCAAGGTCGCGTTGGATCCTTCTGGGATTGGGAAGAGATTTGGTGATCCAACTACGACGGAAGTGTTGAAGCCGTCAGTCGTTATAGATTCAGAGAGATTTGTGGTTTGGATGTAACTGGTGATAGCACCCCCATCGTCACGCATCAGGCCCTGGAGAAGGTGAACTTTCGAGAGCGAACCTTCCGCATCACTACCGAGAGGTAATTCGGAAGTAGTAAGATAAGTTCCGTCTACGACGAGATATCTTGCTGTAGCCGGTAAAGTGGGAAATTTGGAAGCTGGAACGGCACGAAGGCAATCAATTTTCGATGACGCCGTGGAGCAATTGGTCGCTGTTAGAATCGGATTTGCGGTCGTCGATACTTCGGAATCGATCGTCATCCATGAGGAGTAGGTCGTTCCATACCCACCGCCTCCAAGGTTACTCATTGGAATAGCAGCTGCAAATTTACCCTTTGCTTTAGGTGATGCCAGAAGTGCCCTTACGCTTGCTGCACCGGCTGATTGGCCAAAGATGGTGATACGATCTGGGTCGCCGCCGAAATCACGAATGTTATTTCGAACCCAGTCCAGGGCATTAACTATATCAGCAAGCCCATAGTTTCCCTTCGTCACTCCATCGTCAAGGGCCAGGAATCCTAGTGAACCAAGGCGATAGTTAATTGCAACCATGACAACATCTCCTCGTGATGCTATATTGCCCCCATCGAAGGTCGGGTCATTTCCAGTGCCACCAGTAAATGCCCCACCATGGATCCAGAACATGACGGGTTTTCGAGTGTCACCGCCGTGAGCTGGAAGATATGGAGTCCATACATTCAAAAACAGACAGTCTTCGGACCCATCAGTCCCAGACTGTATACATTGTGATCCATAAGAGGTCGCAGAGACATTATTTTTGGCTCCTATATACGGCGTCGAATACGTGAACCTTTTAGGCTGAGGTGCATATCGAATTCCGAGGAAGCGGAAGCTCAACCGATCTCGAAAGCTTTCTCAAAGTCAATACATATTAAGCGTAGGAATTACTAGTACATACCCGGTAATGTCATCGTTGTTGGAATGAACCGCCACCTGCCATTTGGACGATGTATCCTGAGCTGATATATTCGAAAACGGAGCAGATTGCGTGCAGAGAGCTGGAAGATAGGCCCACGGCAATGTTTCAGAATCGGATATCCGACCGCGTCCATCAATTGCTCGCAAAGCTGATGGGGAGGATGCAATCCAATACTGTTGATCTTGGGGGTATTTACCCTGGAAAGTAAGATAGTCTAGGGTAGGCTGAATACTCGATGTGTTTAATTCTGGTGCCCACAAAGATTCGCCTAGTTTTTCACACGCGGAGGCTGCTGATCTTTGAGACCTGGTCGTGAGTAGTATGACCCCGGAGTTGGCAGAAGGGCTCTGGGGACCTAATAGTATATCCTGGTTAGGCTGAGCACGTGAACAAGCCGAGGTTGAAGTTACCAAGGAGATCATTGTTGATCAGAAGAGTTAAATCTGAGCCAATTCCATTCGGAGAAGGTATACTTTGACTCAATTGAACGACCGTCAAGATAACGATTAAGAATTTGAACGCCATTGTCTCCAGCTCACTAGGACTGGAATGAGATAAAATCTGAACGGGCGAGGTCTTGAAGATAAACCATCGTCAAGTTAGGCACGACATCTTCCAGGAACGGGATGGGAAAATACCTACATCTTCGATAAGTACCGCAGGGGCGGGTTCGTCTCCCCACAGGGTGGAGAGCCATAGAGGGCTCTCCATCCGTATCGATCCTGGCGACGGATAATTTGAGCTTCGCAGACACGACGAAAAGTTTCGGCTGAACTACAGATGATGACAATTCAGGGCCATGGCTGAATTCAGATTGAGATCGCAATTGATCGTCAATCCTATGTCACTGTCGCACGAAGCTTCCTCGTCCTAGTCGAGGCCTGTGATGTGATGTTGTTTGTTGTGGTGTTTGGGCAGCACCGGCGGGTGACAACCACAAACCACGACGTGGACATCGCTGGGCGCACTCGTGCCCAAGGCCAAGCGGACGAGAGCCATGTGGACTTGCCTTCGCCACTAGGCGGATGTGGGGATGTGGAGGTGAATGAGAGATTGCGGAAGAAGAAAACTGATTGATAATGAAGCTATCTTGAACAAGCTATTCCATGTCGGTAGCAACCGATCAACAGACTTAGGCTGAATCCAGCAGCGAGATTGGCGATGTTGCAGCGCGATATTAGCTTCATCATTCCCTGACGCCGCCGCCACCATGGCGGAGGAATATGTAGAGTGGATTGGGCCACGATGGGAATTGTTAAGCAGCTGGACGTTTTTGCTTTTGCGTCGGTTATATTTCCACCGTTCGGATCAGCGAATAAGGGGGTGTTAGCGTTGTGGCGTTGTACCGAGTAGTGAGCTACCACAAGCCCACACCCCCTATATTCTTGACTGTTAACGTTTATAAGTTATTAATCTTTTGACGTTTCGCATGTTAGCCCAAATACGGTGACTGGCGTATGCTGGTAGTTGTCGTAATTGAGATTGTTTGGTGCTTTTCTGATTTAAGTGGGACGACTTCGAAACCAAACGGGTTATATGAAGGAATCAAAGGGATAATTCGGTGGCAGATACTTCGTCCAGTACGGAGTACGCAGACGTACTTCGTATCACCCCAACCTTATCTTGAAGAGCGGCTTATCGATTGCGGGCTAATAAGGTATTCGTACCGTTTGGTCACCTCGATCAACTCTAATTATGCCTCTAGAGATATCGCAATTTTCGACAGCAATAGAATGGGTTGGGTCTACCAGAGTCGATTAGCAATTGAACAACGATTATTAAAAGAGATGAGTACGTAGTAATACATTAGAAATATAATACTCGAGTATCAGCTCGCGCAGGGGCGACGGCCCTGGAAGCAGGCCCTTACGTTGACTGGCATGAGACAAGATTGAAGGGGGCTTATTGCGAGTTGTGTTGGCTAGAGAGGGAGTTCGCAATAATAAGGTAGAGTAGTGAGGTACGAAGTGGACACCAATCGAGGGAATGTAATACTTATACCACGTCCCTATAACTCAACTGTGTATAGATGGAAGTTATTGGGGGCGCATCACGTGTTTCAATTAAAGGTAAGGTTCATCGGGCAGCTTATGCGCGAAGTGCTCGAAAGTGCTGGAGTGAGTCTTTTGTTATTGTCGAGTATATTTATTTGCTTCCATCCTCGTCACCACAAGATACAGATACAACCACGTCGCTGGCGATCCGAGCCTCGACGGTGGTCCATACTACTACGCTACCGTCAGCCGTCAGTACAATGTTACCAAGTACCGGTCACATCGGAGTGCATACTGTAGTGTACATGTCCAGTTCGTTGCTACCTACTCACTCACTCACTCAGCGGTCCGGTGCTGGACGAAGTACGAGTACATAGTATTGCCGTGGGGTCATTATCGTCATGCACGTCGTGTGTTTGGAATTGGAATTTCCCCACGAAACCAGCCCCGCGAACTCCACGCGCCTCCACGTTTCAACGCCAGCTTCTCGTCGCTCGATACGGAGTAATTGGTAGTTGGCACGATGCCCAGAATCCCTAGATCGCGCTGAGTGATCAATCTGATCCACCGTCGAACTCTGGGGCCGCCAGTATCGCGGCCTGCAAATACAACTGCCACTCGGACGCTTGTCCTCCGTTACCAAGTTCTAACTGCTCGCGCCGCTCTATAAGCTACAAAGTTACACGTCACGAGAAGCTCCGTTCCCTTTGGGACTTGCGAGTATCGAGTTATGAGTTGACGCCACATGCCCTATGGTGTGCATACTCGAGTAGCATACGAGAGTGTCGAGGTCAGCAGGGACGACCAGCAGCGTGTTAGCCACGACTCTGGCGTTCTGGGGCACCGGTACTTGTGCTTCTGTGCTTCCTGTGATTCTGTACTTCTGTGCTTCTGTACTACGAGTACTCCATGGCAAAGACCAGCTCCAAGCTCCAAGCCCAGCCACATGTCCCGCGACCGCGGGGCAGATTAGCAGATTAGCAGAACCAAGAGCAAGCTCGCGACCGTGTTAGGCCTACGCACCGTTAGGGCGTGAACTATGGATCAGAGTCCTGGGTTAGACCCTGAGCTTCCGCCATTCAGCGCCCCGCGAGGCGCGCAAACCGAGGGACAATGCTCCCCAGACTTGGGTACAGTTCGTAGTGGTTTGGATGGACATGGAGATGGGAATGGTGTGCCGAATATACTATCCAGCCCAGCCTCCCATGGGCGGTTATCGTCAGACGGTGTGGGAAACAAGTTCTCGAGCGGAGGCGTCTTACGTGCTTTCATATCACCACCATCACCATCACCATCATCATTAACCATAATCATCTGCTCCACCATGTCCGTTCTCCTTCGCCTCTCTCCAGAAGGGGTTTTCCCTTCGGCCGCCACCTACGGAGCACAGCGTCCAGAGTACAGATCCCCAGATTCTCGCCGAGCAGCTCCTGCATGACCGTCACAGGGTTCGCCACGGTGGAATTAATGTTGCCCTGGCTGCTACTCTGCCAGAGGCTGCTACTCTCCAGCACATCGTCTGATATACCAATCCCCAGCGCTGTATCGCGGGGGCCCCCTTGCCCCCCCTTCGATCCACCCGCAATGTCGGCTTGTGCAAAGTGCCAAAGACCTGCGTCAGCTAAGTTCGCGCCCAGCTAGCCCTGCGCTACTCGATTCCTCAAAAATAGATATGGGACCACGATCCCTTATGACCTGGGCAAATTTCTTCGTCTTCGCTGATACTTAACGTTGCATGCATTTGCCATTTGAGCTGTTTTGTTCGGTTTCCTCCTGAATGCCCCGCGCCAGGACTTTGTATTTACCCTGCATCGGGAATCGATGAGCGACGCAGGCGTTGGGTTCCCCCCTCATCAGGCGTCATGTCAAATTCCTCCGCAGAAGAAGGATCTCCAACCTCTACTTCGGGCGGCGGGCGACATTTCTCCATTTCGGCCGACAAATTCAGCATAGACATACCCTCACCCAGCTTGCAACTCAATACCAACGGCAGCCTGACGTCGCCGAACCCGCTCAAGTCGCCAACCACTCGTCGCGTTCAAAACTTTTCCCGTGAGGGCATCCTGGGTTCAGCACAGAAAGCACGAAATCTGTCACAGTCGTCGGGCGACAGGGAATCTATGACGAACGGCATCCAAAACAGACAAAATAATACCGACGATGGGATTAATCCTCTAAAACGAAGGAATACGGATGTCGGCATTGATTATCCCAGGAGGAGGGCTACCATAGCTGTAAGTAGAGCAGCCTCCGGATGTATCAATCGGTGGTTTATATAATATATTAGTGCGAGATCTGCCGCTCTCGGAAGTCGCGATGTGATGGAACGAAACCAAAATGCAAGCTCTGCACCGAGCTGGGCGCAGAGTGTATTTATCGAGAACCGGGTATCAAGCTTGATGCGGGAGACAAGCTCATATTGGAACACCTCGCCAGGATCGAGAACATGCTTCAATCGGGCTTCGTGGGCCAGACATCCAACCTGGCCATATCTACCGGCTCGCCATCCGTCAATGGGGGGACAAACATCAGCAGCGATGAGGTGATAATGCAGAATGGAGCCAACTTTGTCTCTATGATCCCCGCAACAGGTCTTGGTACTTGGACGACGCCGACGAACATCTCCACCATGCCAAAAATTCATACGAATGCCGCACTGCACCTACTTCAATGGCCATTGATCCGTGATCTGGTCTCGAGACCTTACGATCCCCAAATTTTACTACAGCTTGAGATGTCGCGAGAGCCTATAACACTATCAAAAACTCCTTGCCTTGATCTTTCAAATACATCGACATATATCGAATCCTTTTTCGCCAAGGTCAATGTGTGGTATGCTTGTGTGAACCCATTCAATTGGAACGGCTACTACCGCACAGCGCTATCAAACGGCTTCCGTGAGGGACCCGAAAGCTGCATTGTTTTGCTAGTGTTGGCTTTAGGTCAAGCTAGTTGTACAGGAAGCATTTCGAGAATCCAAAACCTCGCCGACCCTCCAGGATTACCCTATTTTGCGGCAGCGTGGGCTCTCCTGCCTAGTTTGATGACGAGAAACACTGTCCAGTCCGCCCAATGCACGGTTCTTGCTTCTGCATATCTCTTCTACTTGGTGCGACCTCTGGAGGCATGGACCTTGTTGAGCAGTACAAGCACAAAGCTTCAGCTTCTCCTTAGTGCTCCTGGTAGAGTTCCGGACAAGGAGAGGGAATTGATGGAGAGGGTTTATTGGAATGCGCTGCTCTTCGAGAGCGATCTCCTTGCGGAGCTGGATCTACCCCACTCGGGGATTGTACAATACGAAGAAAACGTGGGACTTCCTGGAGGTTTTGAGCAAGGGGAGGAGGAAGCTGCTGGACGAGATGAACTGTGGTACTTTTTGGCCGAGATTGCCCTCCGGCGGTTGCTCAATCGCGTCAGCCAGCTCATTTACTCCAAGGACTCGATGGCATCTACGCAAAGTTTGGAGCCAGTAGTGGCAGAGCTGGACTTCCAACTAACACAATGGTACGATAGCCTGCCACAGCCACTGCAATTTCCTTACAATCGATCATTGCTGCAAGATCCGGTGCAAACCGTGCTACGATTGAGGTATTTTGCATGTCGAACTATCATTTACAGGCCGTACATCCTCGCGGTCTTAGACAATGAGCAAGCGGCACTAGATCCATCTGTTCGAGATAACTGCCGCAAATGCCTCGAGGCATCAATTCGGCAATTGGAGCATATTACTGCACAGTAAGTACCCACCCCAGTTGCTTAGGCATCAATGCTAACAGTACGAAGTCATGCCGGCCATATACCCTACCTTTGGCAAGGCGCACTATCAATCGTCTCTCAAACGCTCCTCGTCATGGGCGCTACTATGTCGCCCTCTCTGTCAAGTATTCTCTCGACGCTGGTACCTCATCTCGACGCTGTGGATGCCATCATCAATGACGTCGTGGTGGAGGTCGAGCGATACGTACATCTAGCGCCAAGTCTCCGACTGTCTGCTGAAATCATTCGCGAAGCCGAAATGCGACGACGCGCCTTCCTTGGGGGGTGATGTGTGTGAGCGATTTGTTATCTTCCCAATTTGATTCCGGCCTTGGACCTTATGGAGTATGCAGGCGTGCCAAAATAAGTAGGCCCGACTGTGGCTGTAGCCGTTACTCCAGAAGAGGCACTGCGCCAGGCCTTTATATTGATGTTTCGACATACACCAGTTGCGGATTGCAAGTCATCCGTGGTGATCGTGGTGGGTGCAGTGGACGAGTTATCCGCGGCGGGCGACCGGCACGGGTCTCCGGAACTATATATCCCACCCAATAAGGAAGAGCGCGATTTCGCACATCTTCTTGGTATATCAGATTCAAAACGCGGCACGACTATTATTGTGAGCTGGATAAGCGGTGGTGAAATTCATGATATGCGACAGTTGGGATATCAGCATCAGGCGCAAAGAGGAAGCTCGAAGTTCGAAGTCGGTAAGAGGAGGGATGGTTGTAGGGTCACTTATATATATATGGTCCAGGTACTGGCAGCGCATGTATATCTACTTAAGTATACTTGCAGTCTTGCGCCCACTTCTAAGCAAAGCCACAACGGATATCTCGTTCCCCAGTCCTATCCTCTGCGCCATAAATAGCATAGTATCCTGCATTGGTTCCCAGCTCTTACCACCTACCTACTTTGAATCTTAATATATATAGCTACTAGTCTGTCCAAGACCTGCGACTACCTCCATACGAGTCCACCATATATACCTCAGGACCTCCCTACTTAAGTAATATTGCGGGGACCCCGCAATATCCATCGTCATCTTCATTTGATCCTATAAATCATTTTGGGAATCGACTAAGTCGCTGTGCTCCTGGCACTAACCACAAATCCATATTCCAGACCCCAACCACCATTTCCGGGGCCCTGAGCAGGGAGCCATGTTACACGAGGTGCATGGCATACGATATGGTATGGCACACACCTCAGCACACACATTAGCAGCATTTTAACAGCATTTAGCATACCCGAGCGAATCCCACCCCACGATCCCGGTATCGTACGCGGCTAGGGATACAGCAAGCGGCAAGCATCGGACCCCCTTTTCACGGGTAGGGTTGTGGCTCGCTCCGCGCCGTAGTTTACGCAGCTCAGCCGAATTATCGTCACTAGTTTCAGATGCGGATTATTACCCCGTAATTAGTTGAAACTCAAAATTCCACCCATCATGTTGGGCGGTCGTCCATCTAAGGGAGGAAGAGTTGTGCCTCTGACAACTCCCCCCTAGCTGACCGGGCAAACCCACCATTATTACCCCTAAACACCCTCCACAAAGCGCGGCCATATACCTCTCCATATTACTTACTTGCTTGGTTATTTTACTTACTTACTTGGTCCTTCAGTGTTACACAGATTCGAAGAGTAATAGAGCCGTTTACTAACCATGAGCGAGACGACATGGGAGCTGATTATGTAGTGTTCTATAGTTCTTCCCATCATCCGACAGTAGCAGATGCACCTCTGACTGCAGGGGCTTATTCTTGTACATGTTCATGTACTACTTATCTATATATGTATGTTGTGCAGATGCGGATGCAGGGTTGGGAACCGGCAACGGGGAAACGATTTTCAGGAACAGAGCAGTTGCCAGGTGGAGGGTAAAAAGGAGGATAGAGTTGTAGCTGCGGGGCTATTGCCAAGGGATGATGAAATTTGGACAGAGTGGAGCAGTATTTGGGTTAAGGGAGGGCGGAAGAGGGCTTATATACGTAAGCTCTCTATATATTGGAATTGTGAACGGGAGTCTTAAAGATAAGTTGGATTTTGGCCTTTTTTACGTATTATTTCTTAGTCTGGTGGACCGGAGGATGGGAGGTATAACGGGTGAAAAAAGATGCAGAAACACCCAATTGCAAGTTACAAGATTGATAAATCAGTATATTGCAACATATAGTTGGGTTATGAAAAGTTAATAGTGATGAGTGCAACTATCCCTTATCCTTAAACAAGAAACTAATGTTCTATAAAGTCGTTTGCCAACAGGATCCATTACAAGAAAGCATCACTAACATGACGCAGCCACCCAATCTGGCTATTTTTCACCCTCTCTTGTTTAATTTCCTACTCAAGGTGCCATCTATCTTAGAACATCTTTGACAGCTGTAAAGGAGAACATATTATATCCTTTGAATATGTTGGTTTGAGCTCCTTTCATGTTTTCGTTAAAAAATTAGAAAGTGGACCTACTTTTATAAAATTATGAAGACAAGGTTTCTTGCATTTTTGGTTTGCTCAATTGGGTTGATTGTGAACATTTGCAAGAGGATCCAGCATTGAAGCAAAAAAGGGGGGGGAGGTCATGTGACCTTAAAGTCAATGGAATCGTGACTTCCATGAAAGGAAATTCTGACGCAACTTATCACTTTTACACTCCATTCCACCTTCGCAGGTGGAATACCGTGAATTGAATGGCAGATTAATACGACAATAGCCATCATTCCCCGTTCCTCCGCTATAATAAGCATAAAGGGGTAGCGAAAAGATTCCTATTGTCTAGGGATCCAATCGCACCTTCTTATTGGCTTTCTAAGTACAATTACAGGAGTTGCTTCCTATTCTTCTAAACCGGTTCCAACCTCAACTTCTCACGCCTGATGAACTCTTCTCTTTTTCTGTTCCAATCACAGATTTCCTTCACAAAGACTACCAGTTTGAGAATTTCAGCTCTGCGATTGAACTGTTCACTTCTCAAGGCTCTTGTCTTACCTTCAGCACGCATACAAGGAACCTTTTCTCAATTTCGGCTTCAAACATCGGCCTTCAACTCTAAAAACTCAGTCACCTCGGCCGGAAGTGGTTAATATTCCACATAGATCAACTCGCCTCCTTTATTCGAGCACGCTGAGGAGTTTCGGTTCCTGCATCATAGCTTCACATCGACCACCACACTGCCCCAGCCTCAGACATTCTGCCAGCGAGTACCCGTGGCACGCTCACCGATATCTAAATCGAGCTCCCGTTGACTCACTTCAATATAACGAAGCCTTCCAGAATAGTGTTCCTTTGATTCGCTTGAAACACAACAAACCCTTCAAAGTCATCTCCCTTTAATACTAGTGCACTTCGAACACGGCAATAACATCCCAATACCAATAGCGACGATGGCCCCGCGCATTCATTTTCGCAATCGCAGACTACAACTATTCATGGCACCCAACACTTCGAACAATGCTCAGAAAATCCAACCATCCACTCCAATTCCCGCTATCACTCTTACTCCACCCAATTCCAAATCAATTCATCTGCCCCTCAGGACCTGCAACGACATGGGCCCCATCGACCTTCAGGGGGGCAGCGACCTGAATCCAACCTCCAAGACCAACGATGTAGAGTCTATCGCACCAGCAACACTTATTTCTCCACCACCCTCCCCAACGTTGCTTCCTTCTATTGAGGACGGAAAATTCAAGGAGAATGTCTTGCTTGACTCAGAAAATCTTGCCCCCATTACTCCTCCCAAGGGAAGGAAGAAGACTACCTCAAGCCCAAAAGAGAAGACTACCTCAAGCCCAAAAGAGAAGACTGCCCCCAGGCCAGAGAAGAATGCATCCCCTCAGACGCCACCAAAAGGCGAAATCGAGAATGGAAGCCCGCAGAGAGCTCGTCCAGAAACCTCGGACATTGTGGTTCGCCGAATGATTGGCAGAGCCTTGGGACTGAAGATTCCGAAGAAGGAGGATGAGAAGACGGTTGCTGTTTCCGAGGCCATGAAACTTCCGGGAAGGGAGGAACGGGCTGCCTGCTGGGATGCTTTTAAGAATGCCCAGAAACCGTAAGGGGTATCATTAGACGATATGGGTTGCACTTTGGCACCCGTGAGAGACTGGTCATAGGGCTTTTGTGGAAGGTTGAGAAGTGATATTTGGGGTTTCGGTGTTTGTCCAATTAACTCAACAATAATAGATTCATTTTCCTTGCCTTCATGTTCGTTCTAGAACCTCTCAGGAAGACTTGAGATTGTGTCAATAAATAAATTTGAGTCCCCACCAAGAACAATAATCATAGTTTTATAATTGAATCTTGAGGATATATACCATCTCATCTCGCGGGTCCCATAAGTTTCGATAAAATGGAGTGGCAATTTTATATTGAAAGATGCTCAATAACATGTGGTAACCCAAATCCCCTCAAAATTTCAACCAGCAGTAATGCGTAATAAGAACGATGAACATCAAGTATCTTTCTCCCACATTAACTTCACTCTCTCGGGGTGTTTCATGCAAAGCGTCAACCCTACAGCAGAATCCTCAATAATCTCATGAATTCGACGCGAAGCCTGTTCGGGTGATTCTCCTACTTGCAATACCGGCTTGACTCGATGGTGTTGAAAAAGACGCGCAATTACAGCAACAAATTCAACTTGAGCGAACTTCTTCCCGGGACAGATTCTCGGTCCCCACGACCATGGTACAAATGCGCTGGCTGCAGCTTGCAGCAATTGTTCGTGCTCCAAGTCGGTTGAGTTGCCTTCTTTAATGATGAAGCGATCCGGCCGCCATACGTAGGAGTCGAAGCCCCAGGATTCGGGAGAAGTATGGGGGCCTAGCATGGAGATTATAATAGAGGTACTGGGAGGAATCATGTATGTCTTCCCTTTGATTGCTAGTGGTTGGTATGAATCATTGGTCTCTCTTGGCAGCATGACGACTGGTCCGAAGACTCGCACCGTCTCGAACTATTAACGAGTTTTAGCAATGCATAAGCTACCGATGCTAGGTTTTATTTCTCACCATTAATGCAAGACATCTCTTGAGGCGTGGAAATACTTCCTCGTAGTTCCAGTTTTCCACATCGCCATAAACACCAATGACAGCTTGGATCTCTTCCTTCAACCAAGACTGTATGTCATTGTCTGTTGACAACAGATAAACTGCATATGCAATGGTATTTGCAGTTGTGTCATGGCCGGCAAAGGTATATATAAACAGGTTCCCGTAGATCTCATCATTGCTCAAGGTGTTCTTTCCATCGCCTTGGGAATCTCGTAAATCGGATGCACGAAGAAGCGCACTCATAAGGTTATCCTTCTCGTCGCTTTTCAAATCCATCGATGCGCGCTCTTCGGCAACCATTTCGGTCAGGTATTGCTTGAATTCCACAGTGGCAGTTTGGACGGAGGAGAATCGTTTCGGGATAAAGGTTATAGAAGCGGCAACGAGTACGGCAATGAACTTGTTAAGGACAATGTGGAGGGATTCTTCAAAGGACATTTTGTGGCCTGGGCCCGGCTTGGAAACTCCACCTTGGAAGTCAAAAAATTTTCCGAAGCCAGCACCTGTAAGGACATGGAGCGCCAGAGTCATTGTATCAGTGCGGGTGTTGTTGATGCCAGCTTTCCCGGCATTGGCCCATGCTTGAAGCATTCCCGTTGCCTGTGAAAGGGATTCCTTCCACACGAGTTTACTCTAAAAAATGGTTAGAAATATGTAGAGCCAGTAAGATAAGCATAGGTCCATGCCGTCGAACCCATAAACTGGCTACCCTACTTACATTTCTTTCGTTAAAAGGAGGAGCTGTTATTTTTCTGTGTCGTTGCCATTTGTCTCCGTTCACACTGTCAACATTCGGCCCAAAAACATCCAAAATTTTATAAACATCAGGTTTCGGAAACTCCTTTCTGCGGACAAGGACATCTTCAATCGCATGCCCGTCGGCCAACATTATTTTGATCCCTCTGGGATCGACGATGATAAACGCTGGGCCCAGCTGACGGTGAAGTCTACTCCGTGTCTTCATATTCCATTTATAGGTGTCACAATTGGCGGCATCCCCGAGTCCATACGGCAGCCGGGCGATAAGAGGGAAGATATATGGCCCTATAGTTGCCCAGAAAGGGTTGTAGAGGTCGATGGACGAAATGACAATTGGCAATCCTATCTTCCGAGCTTTGCCATGGTGGTTGACGATCTTAACAAAGGGCCATGCCAATAACGCTATTACGATCGCTCCCACGATATGAACAAACGTCATGATGACTTTGAATTTGGGGTGAGGGACACTCGACGGTGCCTATCAAATCCAAGTGCTGTTGGGTATTTATATTAAGGTTGCGCAAAGTTCTTCAAACCGCGAGCGGGGGTTGCAGGAGCTGAGAAATCTGCCAACCGTTGTTCATTCGGCTGGCGACCAAGACTACGTACAAAAGGCATTGTTGTCCTAATCCGGCGTTTTACGTCACGTGTTGCCTGAACAACTTATCTGCTTGTTTTATAACGAGGTTGGATTGATAAACTTATTCAAAAAGTTCAGATAGCCTTAGAGGGCGTATGGGCGTATGGGCGGTTTACTATATGTATACATTGGAAATAGTGGTGTGGTAGCGCAGAGCGGAACAGCGCTAATGTACTTGCACAGCGACTACAGTTGGAACTACGGAGTTTGTGGCTGTACCCTCGTTTTGTATGACGATGAAGGGCAATTAGAAGGGTTATTTCTTTAAAATTAGAGTTATTTTCAGCAAGGTATTAGATAAATATCGTGAGCGAATAATACTCGTATACCCCCCAAGGTTTTCCAGCCAACAACTTCATGCTAGCTACCGCTCGTGCTCGCTCGTGCTCACTCACCCTCCGGGCTCCAGCTACCAGCTGCTTGTAATTTGTACCGCCCATGTTAGATTACCAAGGTACTCTTCCGAGCGTATGGTCTAACAGCAATCCAAAATATATATTGTCGTCTAACGGTAATGCACTAAGCGGCGTCACAAAAATGAGGTGGCCGCCAGCGCTTCAGGGGAAATACCAGGAGGAGACTGGACGGTGCGATTGGGGAACCATTAATCGCAAATTCCACAGCTATTGATAATCGCCATCAAAATACTATCTCCTAGACCGTTTCTCCCATGATGATTCTCGAGATTTGGTGCTTCTCTAGCTCGGAAAAAAATAAATGGCCGATGATCGGGTTGGTGGATGGCTACAGAGACATACCGCATAGGGGACTCTGTTGAAATGTTTAACAAAGGGCCTAATGGTATAAATGGCTGCTAGAATTATCTGATCCGTTATATTTGAAGTAGATAATTACCCTGTGTGTCCAGGACGCGCTTGCCCAGGCGCGAGACGATGCGGATCGGCTAGGTGATGGAAAGGGCGGTGGATGGAGGGTGTATGAAATAGGGCAAGAAATAAAAGAGATAGACCACGACCCAGTAAAGTAATATGCTCGGACAAACCAGTAAGGGCCTGAATAACAGGCTATGGCAATGATGTAGGTTCACATATTTTGCAGGGCAAGGCCCTTCAGAAATTGCTCGCCGAAGCTTTAAACGCCTCATTGCTCCTAGATACCTTGTGCCTAGGGTGCGATGGCTAACTAAGAGCAATGGAAATAACTGTTGGTTTGTAGAAAACCGGGCTTTAGAGGATTGTCAACCCGAAGATTCAATGATAGCACAGCGACCAGCTACCTATAACCAGGTACAACTCTATAACATCTCCAGACTCCATGTCCTAAAGTTTGTAATTTGAGTGTCGAGTAATGAAACGTAACGAGCTAATTTCAAAGTGTCCAGCCTGTGCCTGACAGACAGCTCTCCACGCTGATTCGACTGCCAGACTTCGCGCTCTGGGCTGAGAAAAATGTATAAAGCAAAATGATTAGGGCAAACCTTTCCACTAGTTCAGCCATTGCACGAGGGTATTGGAGCGCTAAGTCGATTTGAGAGCGGATTCAGGGGTAGCGGTTGCTAAATGAGAAAGGAGAATTTTAAAGCTGCGTCTATTGAGGGTTAATGGAGAAAATTTGGGTCTGGACAAATATTCGCAATTAACCCGCCATATGCGTGGTAGCCATTGGCCAGTGAGATGTCGAAGGCTTGCATGTTGGACATCTCTCGAGTTTGTTTCAACTGACACCGCCATTGCCTGATCCGTGGATAAGGAGGACAGAGAAGGCTCGGAGTTTTATAGCCATCGACTAAATGTTTGGGGATAACGAGACACCGGGGAATGTGGGAGTACGGAGTGAGATGTAGGATGTGTGATGATGTTGTCGTGACGAAGTAAATCGAGGGTTGAAGGTATTGCGATTAGTCTCGGATCATAGTTGTGCCGTCCCGTTAAGCCGCCAGAAAAATAATTCAGCCTTGCGAAGGTATAATCCAACTCGTCGATATTCAATTATTTACATACGCATGAAGTTCCTCCTGCCGACCCTTAGGCAGTTTATCAAAAGAGATGCGATTCGAGCCCACCGCTCTACGATAACGCACAGTTTCACCCCAATTTTCGCGCGAACCATGTCGGAGACTCTCCCAGATATCACGGCTCCTCCTGCCGCCGATCAGCACATTATACACGACGGTGTCGAATATGCCACCATCAAAGAAGGACTTGCTCATATTCTGATACCTGCCTCGGCCGCAAAGACTCCCCAAACAACTCCCCGAGGAGACAACCAACCCCAATCAGTCTTCTATAATCCCATTCAACAGTTCAATCGAGATCTGAGTGTTTTAGCAATTAAGGCTTATGGGGAGGAGCTCCTAGAGAAGAAGCGGATGAAGGCAGATAAAGCTCGACAGAAACAATCGACGAAAGGGAAAGACAAAAAACGTAAGCGGGAGGAAGATGGGGCTGGCGAGCCTTCTAGAAAAGCCGGAAAGATTGAGGGGAAGAGTCAAATAACGGATGCTGAGGCTACACAAGCAGAAGTAGACGCCCATCTGAAGGGCGATGCTAAATCAACCATTGATATTGAGCACGAGCAAAAGCCTGTCAAAGATATCGCATCTACCGAGATTCCCAGCGAAGCCAGCTGTCCCCAATATGTCACTTCAGAAACGCTCGACGCCAGCGCTGTTAGGAAACCCGCTTCAACCATCCTGCCACCCAGCTTCACAATTCTTGATGCCTTGTCAGCTACTGGTCTCCGAGCGTTGAGATATGCCCAAGAAATCCCATTTTCCACATCTATCACAGCGAATGACTTACTACCGAGCGCCGCAAAAACAATACAGATGAATGTTCAACATAATAGGGTGGAAGGCAAGGTCGAAGCACTTACTAGTAATGCTTCGGCGCACATGCACAGTGTTGCCTATGGCGAATCGGAAGAAAGCAGAAACCCGTCAAAAATGAGACCAAAATACGACGTAATTGATCTTGATCCATATGGCACAGCTGTCCCGTTCCTCGATGCTGCTGTCCAGAGTGTTCGGGATGATGGTGGCCTTTTATGTGTTACTTGCACTGATGCAGGCGTCTGGGCTTCGAATGGCTATCCCGAAAAGTCATTTTCGCTGTACGGGGGCGTGCCTATCAAGGGCCTGCATTCGCATGAAGGTGGCCTCCGACTTATCCTTCACGCCATTGCCTCATCAGCTGCGCGATATGGCCTGGCAATGGAACCTTTGCTCTCCCTCTCCATTGACTTCTATGCACGAGTCTTCGTCAAGATCCACAAGTCACCTGCAGATGTTAAGTTTTTGGCAGGGAAGACTATGGTCGTGTACAACTGTGATTCTGGGTGTGGGGCATGGACCACGCAAATGCTCGCAAGAAATAAATTGGCAAAGAACAAGAACGGCAATGGTTATTTCTGGAAGCATGTCTTCGGTTTAGCACCAACTACAGGCGAAAATTGCGTTCACTGTGGTACAAAAACGCATGTAGCAGGTCCAATGTATGCCGGTCCCTTGCACTCGCCTGAGTTCATCAAGAAGATACTGAGTGGTTTGTCAAATGTGTCGAGGGAGACTTATCAGACTTACGACCGGATTGAAGGCATGCTTAGTGTTGCACTTGAGGAAACGCTCCCACCTCTGGAAGAAAACACAGATTCGCCCACGTCAACTGGAAAAACCAACAAATATGATCCGGCCATAGTTGACCCGTATCCTTTCTTTTTCATTCCGTCTACTCTTGCAAAGGTCGTTCATTGTGTTACCCCCCATGAGAATGCCCTTCGAGGCGCGCTAAGGCACCTTGGGTACAGGGTGACAAGAAGTCATACGAAGGGCGGAACCATTAAAACGGACGCCCCCTGGAGTGTGATCTGGGAAGTTATGAGGGAATGGGTGAAACAAAAAGCCCCGATTAAGGAGGGTGCTGTCAAAAAGGAAACTGCGGGTTATAAGATTCTGAAGCTCGGTGAGGACAAGAGCGCGCCAAATGGTGAGAACGGGGCAAAACAGGCGGATGAGACAACAAGTGGCCAAAAGGATCAACCTTCCAAAGACAAACCAAGCCTAACAGTAGTGTTCGACGAGCAGCTAGGAAAAGAAAAGGATGCGAAGAAACTTGTTAGATATCAAGTCAATCCACGAGAGAATTGGGGGCCTATGAACCGTGCCAAAGGGCGGATAGCTTAACCATAAATTACCATTCCTTCACCCTGCAAAGTACGTCCATCACTTCATATCGAAAGCCATAATTATATTACATCAAATGGGTACCGGAAGGCCTGGGCGTAGAAGGTGGGATGTCCCGTACCCGCAATCCCCCCACTCCGGAAATTTCTTAAACTCTCATTGGAGTCTTCTTTAACAGGGACTTACCTCGTCTGCTTTGACAACAGGAAGTATAAATATCCACGACCAGCCCATCCCAACTCCTATCCTTCCCGTTAGTCGTTGAAGCGGATCTGCTTACAATCACGTAGAGCGTTATTCTGCCCGAGCAAGTCCAGTTGAGGATCAATTGGGAGGACTAGATGCTGACCCTTTGAAGGCAGGCAAGTTAATAGCCCCGCGGCCTGCACCCGGGATGTTCCACTGTTCCACAGAGCGTTTTCGCCCCTTGATCCGCTCTGGTCAAACTCCAGTAATCCTGAGTCAGGGAAAAAGTGCGACAGTAAGTGGGCCATGTTGATGGGAGGTTGCGGAGCTAGAACTTAAGCTAGCCTTGGGGTACAAGCCGGCTTGGCCACCAGGCCACATAGGGGAAATGGGGAAATGGGAACATCGGCCCCGTAAAGTATATGGTGGGGCTTTTCAACTGTCTGGATCAAGACAGTTGCAGGTTGTCTTGTTTCTCACCACAACTTCTCATATGTCGCCCTTCATCTGTTTCCCACTTTCTATACCTTTTATTGAATCATCTTGTCAACTCCCTCCTCGTGGCCAATGCTGTTCACAGCTATTTCTACGGAGTTCATGATATTGAAGGTGCGCGCCTATCAACAGCTTCCTCTGAGTGAAGTCCCTAAATGAAACGACCGGCCGACAATCACGACGATGCTACGGCTAGTTCTACGGTGGTAGCGACGAGTATCAATTCTTTGGTACAGGATGGGATGCAGCCTCAAATTTTGCCAAATTTTAACTCCAGTTTTATTGCCAGCTCGAACTCGAACGCGAATCCTTCGAAACCCGCGACACAGAGACATCGAGCTTCCATAGCATGTGCTTCCTGCAGAGAGCGGAGAATTCGAGTGAGTAAGGCTTGTTTCCAAGGTAGCAATGTCAGCTCTCTGACCTTATCAGTGTGTGGTGCCTGCAGGAGGACAAGAGTGCACGCAATGTAAACGCTCGAAAACGAAATGCATCATCAGGAATGATGATGAGAGGAGACGGTAAATGGTTCTGCAGAGTTTATAGTTTCTGAGCAATACTAACCTTTTAGGCCTATTTCTAAGGGATATGTGTCGTCCCTTACAGACCGGATCGCATTGTTAGAAACAATGCTCAAGGAGGCAGGAAGAGAGATACCACCTGCAAACTATCCGCCAAAGACTCGAGCTGAGGCTACAGCCTCACAAAATGATTCCAGTTCCGTTCCAGATCAACAGTATGGCCATCAGAATACTACCCCGAGGAGTACATCAGATGAGTCAATGGACGGCGATAATGGATGCAACAAGAACGAGAACAACATACCAAATTCCATACTTAAGGTTCATCCACCGCCACAGATCCAGGCTTCGAAGAAGGAAGGCCTTGTCCATATGCTGCTTTCAACACGAGGCCATCTCAGCTTTGACCAACTAAGTGGCCGGTTACGGTTCTTCGGCCCTGCATCGAACTTCCACATATACGCCGACAGCAATCCTCCACCCGAGAGTCGCGGAACACCCGAGCAACTCCAACGCACACAACGAGCGATTTCCTCCTTGAGCAGTGAAACGCACGATTATCTCATGGACCTATTTTGGGAATATTACAATAGTGTTCTGCATATTGTTCACAAGGAAGCTTTCATGGAGGATATGCAGAATAACAATAGCAAATATTATTCGAGCTTTCTCCACATCTGCATTTTGGCTATGGGTTACAGATATGCAGATTTGAGGAGAGGTGATATGAAAATGATCACGCTAGGAAACCGAGAGTGCACACTACAAAGGGAGGCAAAATATATGCTGGATATGGAACTGGAACGACCGGGCGGAATTCCATCAGTACAGGCATTCTTGCTTTTGGGAGATTTAGAGTGTGGCGTTGGACGAGATAACACCGGGTGGATGTATGCAGGTAAGTAGTGTTTGCAAAGTAATAGGGAAATCGAGCTAATGTTTTGGAAGGTATTGCGAATAGATTGTGTTTCGACCTCGGGTTGCATTTACTGTGCAAAAATGGTGGCCTTTCAGAGGATGACATTCATATTCGGCAAATGACATTATTCGCCTGCGTAGTCTACGATAAGTACGGTCTTAAATTACTCAGGATACGTTTCCAATTCTGACATCTTTAGGTATTGGGCTTTATTCTTAGGTCGGCCAACAGCTATAAAAAGCTCAGATCTCGAAATGTATCGCCTATCCAAGCAATTTTCCTGCCTATCCACTTGCAAACCGGCAGGGGTCCAGAAGAGTCTAGAGACCCAAATTTACGAAGAACTTTTAGATTTGATGGAATTGGCTGGCAAAATCGCAGAGATGCGGGATTCAGGACCGCAAGACGGTCGAGATACTAACAAAGTCAACAGCGCATACCTCGAGGTCATGGATCTAGACAGGCAGCTCCAAATTTGGTATCGAAAGTTGCCAGATAATCTGGCTTGGAAACCAGAAAATATTCAAACTGCACCTTCGTCCTTCTTCCTCCTGCATCAACAATACCATTGTAGTTTAATCCTTCTTCACCGACCGTGGGCCAAGTACGAAAATCCAACGCCATCGAACTCCGACGATGGCAACGATGATGATACTTCCATTAACATACAAGATAATCATTCCTTCATGTCCCGCTCCATCTGCACTCGACGAGCTATCCTGGTCTCCCGAATCTTCTGGCATCACCGCCAACGGTTCGACACTCGCCGTATCTTCATCACCGGAATTCAACATGCTGGCACCGCAGCAACGGCATTAGTCGCCGCTCTTGCATTTATCCCAAACCGTTCTAATCGCAAGATCAACTTGCAGTATCTCCAATGTCTCGCCTCATCCCTCCAGGATATGTCCGGTGCCTACCAGCCCGCCGCATCCATGTCCTCTATTCTACAATCGGTTATGCTAGAACTCCAAAGCGCCAATAAGACGCCACCGCCCGATTTCAGACACCTAAAGCAAGAGGATACGATAATCTCGGCGAGGAAAGGTAGCAACGGCAACGAGACGAAAGAAGAAAGAATATCCAAGAAACGCCAATTTTCAAAGCCTTCATCCATTAGCAGGTCAACCAGGCTCGGGTTAGCCCCAAAGATGACAACCACCCCGGAATTTGTCTACACACCTGCAACTACCCCGCCTTCAAATATGAGTGTAAATACAAGTGGCTTGCCCGCACTACATAATCACTTAGTCGAGGAAGAAGATCGTTGTGATGGCTATGCTATGCTCACTCCCCACAGTGAAGGGGCTGTTTGGCCAAATATTAATTCGGATGTTAATACTCTTGATTACCCTATGACTTATCCTGAGACGGATATGTCTAGGACGCAGGTGGGGTGGGTGAGTGGTGAAGGGTTCGATCCGATTGCCCCTCATAACATGGATGTTGGAATAAGGACCGGGAAAACTCTAGAAGGGCCACGAGGCGGTCAGGAGCTGGACTTCTTTAACTTTTGAGATGAGAGAGGGTGGATGAAACGACGTGGACAAACTGATAGACTAATAAAGAACTCGCGCTTTGTTATATTATTTTTGACGCTATGGATATATGATTATAGATCTTTGCTCTGCATTAATGATTAAGAAGTTGGCATTCCTAGAGCAATATATAGAGAAGGGATTACAGTAAGCAAGCGTTACCAACCTGTTCGACAAGTAACGAAGTATACCTATGTATACATCCGTGAGATCATTCTACGGACGTGTTTAGATGTCCAGGCTTACAATATTACTAGTAGACTCTAGTTGTCTAAGGGGAAAATTCCCCCCTTATATACAATGAGTGCCTACAAAAATTTAACTAATAAAAGCTTTACAGCAAGTGATTATGCTAGTAAATTTGAACGATATAGGCGCTTAAAAGAAAACAGATACAGCTTCTGGATTGTAGGATCAGGATATGGAGCTACCAAAGGGGTAAGTAATTAAAGCTGTTCGCATGAATTAACTAGTTGCAACCTACGAGTAAAGCACCACAGCCGAGTAGCCGGCCGAGGGATACCAGTAGTACAAAAAAAATGCATACTTCACCTCCCTTTACTCTGTAGTACCTAACCTCCAGCACGATCCGAGTCGCCCCGCATGGCCTGAACCTAAACCCTCTGTCCCCATCCCCCACACCCGCCGTCCGGGCTCTGTGCTTTGAACATTTCCAAGTTCCAACAGCGGTAATTTGAAGGCAGGCCGCGGGTTAGTAGACCTGTAGAGCTCCTAATACGTCTGATAGAGCCTTGGAACATCTCCCCGCACCCTAAACCGTGGGTCATCCCTAAGAAGGGCCATCCCAGTGCTGATCGTGGGGCATCACTGCATCGGGATCTGGTTGCTGGGTGGTCTATAGACTATATCCAAGGAACCACCCCAGCGTTCAATGTTGATCGCAAGCAAGCGTTTGATAACCACGGTAGTCGAGCCCTCCCAAATCAAATCTCTATTCGTTTCAACCCCGGCTTGTCTATTGTTCCTTTCACCATAACACGATTGCTCATAGTATACTGTATTCCATCATGAGTCCGGCACAGGAGAGCATCAAAGATGCCGATTTCATCCTTCCTCCCGATGTGGACGCCAAATCTTTCGTCGCTGCTATGGATGAGATGCGCAAAGTCGTTGGCAGCGAGAATCTCGAAATCATAACCGCGGCCAAGATGATGCCGGATTCGGATGGTCATTATTTCAATCTTCCCCGAGAACACGATCTCTTTTATTGTTTGGAGAAAGACACATTTCTTGCAAGCGCAGTCATTGTTCCAGGTAGTGTTGAAGACGTTTCAGCCATTGTAAAATTAGCCAACAAGTATCTCGTGCCATTATGGCCTATCTCTCGAGGACGTAACCTTGGTATGTATGACTCTAAGCGGATTCAGTCACTTAACAATAACTGGTTACCTCAGGTTATGGTGGTGCTGCACCACGACTTCGAGGAAGTGTTGTCCTTGACATGGGTGGCCGGATGAACAAAGTACTTAATATTGACGATGAGCATGCTACGGCTCTTTTAGAGCCAGGTGTATCATACTTTTCGCTCTATGGTTACCTACAGAATAATGGCCATAAGCACTTGTGGATTGATAGCCCAGATCTCGGTAAGTGGTACACCCCGAGTTATTGATACTTGCCATCAGCTCACCATTCTCGTCAGGTGGTGGTTCCGTTGTCGGTAATGCTCTTGATCGAGGAGCAGGGTACACCCCGTACGGTGAACATTTCTCGATGCATTGTGGCATGGAAGTTGTTCTTCCGAATGGCGAGATCATACGTACCGGAATGGGTTCTCTGCCGGAGAACAACACATGGCAGCTTTTTCAATATGGTACGCTGAATCAGGGCGAGTGACGGAGGAGTCTTCTTAACTTAAGGAATGTACAATAGGCTACGGTCCATACCCCGATGGAATTTTCTCGCAGTCCAACTTTGGAATTGTCACAAAACTGGGTATATGGCTCATGCCAGATCCAGGCGTAAGTTCTTAGCTCGTTTACTAGAGGATTCTTGTTAATGACATGTATTGCGTCTTGGGAACCAAGCATACGTCTTTAGCTTCCCTAACGACGCCGATTTGCCTGCCATTGTTGAAAAGATCAGAGTTCTGCGCCTGAATATGGTTATCCAGAATGCACCAACTATCAGAAACACCTTGATCGATGCAGCCGTCTATGCTCAAAAGGCCGAGTACAGCCTGTCCAAAGAGGTCCTTACCGAAACCGAAGTCGATGAGATTGCTAAGAAAATTGGTGTCGGGCGCTGGAATATCTATGGTGCACTATATGGCCCAGAGCCAATGAGAAAGTTGCAATGGGAAGTGATTAGAAGCACGTTGATGACAGTCCCTGGTGTATGTTACTCATCGCAAGCCTTTCGGAAAACTTCTACTAACATTGTCAGGCGAGCTTCCAATTCGCTGCAGACGTCGAAAAGGAACCCAAGGCCAAGGTCTTGCACATGCGAGAGGAGACACTGAAGGGCATCCCCAACACTTACGAGCTCGGATGGCTGGATTGGACATGCAAGAATGGTTCTCTGCTTGGGTTCTCGCCCATTTCGCCAGTCACTGGTGCGGATGCCTCAAGGCAGTACGAAATGGTCAAGCGACGGTTCCATGAATTTGGGTTTGACTACATTGGAACATTCGTTGTTGGTTGGAGAGAGCTACACCATATCGGTGAGTGAACCCTCCGCTTTCGATGGTATTGTTACTCACCAGAATCAAAGTGTGCCTGACCTTTGATAAGACTGACCCGGACTCACGTCGGAGGGCACATCGCTGTATTGAGCTTCTTATTGATGATGCTGCCAAGCTTGTGGGTGTCTCTTCGTCCTGTTTATTGTATGAGCTAATGTAATCAGGGCTATGGAGAGTACCGAACCCATACTGCCTTCATGGACCAAATCGCCAGCGTCTACAACTGGAATAACAACTCCACTTTGAGGTTCAACGAGACACTCAAAGATGCTCTAGACCCCAACGGCATATTGGCGCCGGGGAAGAGCGGCATTTGGCCAAAGCGGCTCAGGAATAGGGGTTTCGAGATTCAGCGAAGCTCTCCAACATCGGACGGAGCTAGCAGCAAGCCCTAGGACATTGTAGAAATATTGTATCCACTTTCCAATTATCATTACTTGAGGCAAGGAGGCCTACAAACCACACTATAATTCACCCTCGGAGAGGTGAGGGTGCTTCGTTCATTTGACGAAACCTAGTAAACACAAGATATAAACACAGCGGAGGCAGAAGCAACTGCATTGCATTTGGGAGTCATACACTCAGTCGGAGGCACAGTTCTTTCGATTAGTAGGCCGATTAAATAATTTTTGATAAATATGGTTCTAAAGAAGTTGTTGACATTGTAGGCAATGTGTTGTTAGGGGTGCGCACGGGCGTTGCAACTGACTGGATTTATTAATTACCTACGTGTGCGTAGTACTCGTACCTTGGTTCCTTATCATATTACTTCGCACACTGGTGTTAGTCAGGCCCAAATATATCATCACCGTCCTTCACGGCTTGCTGCCTGCTGCATCCTCATTTCCGAGCAAACCCTATACCTTGATTAATCGCGAGCGTACTTCGTATATTAAGATCTCAGCCCCTGGAATACTATCGCAGTCATGTCTCCTGCCGCTCTGGACTCAGCCGAAGCACGATGGCAAACACAATTAGCAGCCATGCGGAGTGCATTGGCCGATCTAAAATTGCCTCCTACCGACGCTATGAACGCGTCTTATGAATCTGACATCCCTTTTGATGAAGATGATGAATCTACATCTGGAAATAGTGGTGGTGACGTGTGGGACTTTATCAGCGATTCTGAGGAAGAATTCTACAGTAGCGATCTCAACGAAGATCAGTTCCCGGATTTGAACGCTGGACAGTACGGGCCAGAATGGCTCACAAGCCAATGTCTCGCCTTTGCATCAAGGAAACAAGGACTCTCGGGAGACGACCTTGAGCAGCAGATCACGGCACTTTTGGCTTCGGATAGCGGCGAAGAGGAGCTCCAGTCAACCCTGACTGATATCATTGGTTTTGATGATCTGGATTTTGTTATCGAACTAATTTCACACCGAGGAGAGATTACTGCTCCTTCGTCATCTTCGACAAAGCAGGGCGACAGCATATTTGGAGGGCTCCAAACGAAACGCCAACGCGAAGAAGCCCTGAGACAACGGGACTACGAGCATAAGCATGCTGTCTTGGGACCGAGCCTCAACCGAGATGCCCCCCAGTATCCTCATGTATACACATCCCATCCTACCGCGGGCAATATTCTCGACTCAAAAGGAAAGAAGTATGCATTACCAACCGGGCATGAGAGAAAAGAGCACGATGTAAGTGATACGCTCTTATTTCTTTTCACGGTTGCTTGAAAATATCAAACCCAGCACCCCGAAAGCCATTCACATCTGAAATATATATCACTCTCCTAAGATATCTCTATACGCTCTCATCATATAGGTTAACCATTCCTAGAAATATGAAGAGTACATTATTCCCGCAGGCAAGGTTGGCACTCTTGGGGCTGGTCGCAAACTCGTCCAGGTTTCTGAAATGGACGGCCTCTGTCGGCGAACCTTCAAGGGCTACAAAACCTTGAACCGTATGCAGAGTCTCGTCTATCCTGTAGCATATCAGACGAGCGAGAACATGCTCATTTGTGCCCCAACTGGAGCTGTAAGTTGGTATCTATCCCAAGTACTGCCAATTTTCTGATCCGTTCTAGGGTAAAACCGACGCAGCAATGCTCACTGTTCTTCATGCTATTGGTCAAAATGCCAGCCCAAGTCCAGCCGAACAGCCAGAATCTGCTGATTTTGTGGTGAGCACGGAGGACTTTAAAATTGTTTACATAGCGCCTATGAAGGCCCTTGCAGCTGAAATCACTCAGAAGCTTGGTAGTCGTCTTTCTTGGCTTGGGATTCAGGTCCGAGAACTGACTGGAGATATGCACCTCACCAAGAAGGAAATCGTTCAGACCCAAATCATCGTCACGACACCCGAGAAATGGGACGTTGTGACGCGGAAGGGGACTGGCGATACAGAACTCGTACAGAAGGTCCGGTTGTTGATCATTGATGAAGTTCACATGCTTCACGACGACCGCGGGTCGGTCCTCGAGTCACTTGTAGCCAGGACGGAACGCCAGGTCGAGAGTACCCAATCCCTTATCAGGATTGTGGGTTTATCAGCGACCCTTCCTAATTATGTCGATGTTGCCGATTTCCTCAAGGTCAATCGATATGCTGGCCTGTTTTATTTTGATGCCAGTTTTAGGCCCGTTCCTCTGGAACAGCATTTTATTGGAGTTAAAGGCAAGGCAGGGACCATGGCTTCTCGAGCCAATATCGATAACACAGCTTTCGAAAAGGTGAGAGAAATGCTGGAATGCGACCATCAAGTAATGGTATTCGTTCATTCCAGGAAGGATACCCATAATACAGCAAATATGCTCTATCAGAAGGCGGTCGAGCAAGTGTGCGTTGACCTCTTTGATCCGACCAGTCATCCGCAATATGAAGCAGCGTTGAAAGATATTAAGTCCTCAAAAGGCCGAGAACTTCGTGATCTGCTTCCGAAAGGTATTGGCATTCATCATGCTGGTATGGCGCGCTCCGACCGGAACCTAATGGAAAGACTTTTCGGAAATGGCGTATTAAAGGTCCTCTGCTGCACAGCTACACTTGCGTGGGGTGTCAACTTGCCTGCCGCTGCAGTTATTATCAAAGGGACTCAGGTATACAGTGCCCAAGATGGTAAATTTATCGACCTCGGAATCCTAGACGTTCTCCAAATTTTTGGTCGCGCTGGTAGACCTCAATTCGAAGACACTGGTATTGGGATGATTTGCACCACACAAGACAAACTCCACCATTACCTAACGGCCGTCACAGCACAGGTGCCTATCGAATCCCGGTTCTCAAAACATCTGATAGACAATCTAAACGCTGAAATCGCCCTGGGCACTGTCACTTCAATTCCAGAAGCAGTTCAATGGCTCGGGTATTCCTACCTCTTCGTTCGAATGAAGCGAAACCCCCTATCTTATGGGATCGACTGGGCGGAGCAGAGAGATGACCCAAATCTTGTTCAGCGCCGGCGACAGCTAGTCATACAAGCTGCAACGATCCTTCAGCAGCGCCAGATGATTATTTTCAATGCGACAACTGAAGACCTCCGAAGTAAGGATATCGGCCGGATTGCAAGCCAATTCTATGTTCTCAACACTAGCATTGAGATTTTTAATGATATGATGAAGCCTCAAGCAACAGAAGCAGATGTTCTGAAAATGATTGCGAAGAGCGGGGAATTTGGCAACATCCAGTCGAGGGACACTGAAGCCAAGGAACTCACCAACTTACGGGACGAGAAATTCTCCCCTTGCCAAGTGGCTGAAGGCATCGATACCCCCGAAGCAAAGACCAATATCCTTCTGCAATCTTATATTTCTAGAGCCAACATCGAAGATTTTGCATTATCTAACGACTGCAATTATATCGCTCAACAATCTGCCAGGATCTGTAGAGCACTCTTTATGATTGCATTGAATCGACGGTGGGGCCATCAGTGTCTTGTCTTGCTCTCACTATGCAAGTCCATCGAGAAGCGAATCTGGGCATTCCAGCATCCTCTGCAGCAGTTCGAACTTTCTAAGCCGGTGCTTACCCAATTGGAGGCCAGTGGAATGTCTATCGAGATGTTACGAGACATGGAACCTGCTGAGCTTGGATCCTTGGTTCATAATTTTTCGGCAGGAAAAACGATCTCTAAGCTTTTGGACAACTTCCCGACCATTAGCATCGAATCAGAAATTGCCCCGTTAAACAGAAATGTTCTCAGGATCCGTTTATATTTAACCCCAGACTTCCGTTGGAATGACCGCCATCACGGAACCTCGGAGAGCTATTGGATTTGGGTCGAGAATTCGGAGACATCAGAGATCTATCACCATGAGTTCTTCATCCTTAATCGAAGGAAATTGTATGACGACCATGAGCTCAATTTCACAATTCCGCTCGCAGATCCACTGCCAACTCAGATATATGTTAGGGCGGTCTCCGATCGCTGGCTCGGCGCAGAAACTGTTCACCCTATCTCGTTCCAGCATCTGATCAGGCCAGACACAGAGAGCGTGTATACGGATCTTCTGAATCTTCAACCCCTACCTGTCTCTGCTCTCAAGAATCCAGCTTTGGAGGAGATATATGGCAAGAGATTCCAATTCTTCAACCCCATGCAGACGCAGCTTTTCCATTGTTTATATCACTCACCTGCCAATGTATTTCTGGGCTCGCCTACTGGATCCGGAAAGACAATTGCGTGCGAATTAGCCATGTGGTGGGCGTTTAGGGAAAACCCTGGTTCGAAAGTGGTCTATATAGCACCTATGAAAGCACTCGTCCGTGAGCGTGTCAAAGATTGGGGCTCCCGCCTCACACGCCAGATGGGTCTGAAGCTAGTAGAACTGACAGGTGACAATACCCCTGATACTCGCACCATCCGAGATGCGGACATCATTGTAACCACCCCCGAGAAATGGGATGGTATCTCTAGAGGATGGGCCTCCAGAGGCTACGTGAGACAAGTTAGCTTGGTTATCATCGACGAAATCCACTTGCTAGGCGGAGACCGAGGTCCAATTCTCGAGATCATTGTTTCTCGGATGAATTATATTGCTGCACAGTCTAAGAACTCAGTGAGACTCATGGGCATGTCGACAGCCTGTGCAAACGCCATGGACTTGGGGAATTGGCTTGGGGTAAAGGAGGGGTTCTTTAACTTCCGTCATAGCGTCCGCCCTGTCCCTCTTGAGACTTTCATTGATGGATTTCCTGAGGTCCGAGGGTTTTGTCCTCTAATGCAATCGATGAATCGCCCTACCTTTTTGGCAATCAAGAACCATAGCCCTGACAAACCAGTTATTGTGTTTGTGGCTTCTCGAAGACAGACTCGACTGACAGCCAAGGATTTGATAAACTTCTGCGGCATGGAAGATAACCCGCGCCGTTTCCTCAAGATGTCAGAAGATGATTTACAGTTGAATCTCGCTCGAGTTAAAGATGAAGCTTTAAAGGAAGCGCTGACCTTTGGTATTGGTCTACATCATGCTGGTCTCGTCGAATCAGATCGTTCACTCTCCGAGGAGTTGTTCGCCAACAACAAAATCCAGATTCTTGTTGCCACGAGCACTCTGGCTTGGGGTGTGAATCTTCCAGCTCATCTAGTCGTTGTCAAAGGAACCCAATACTTTGATGCCAAAATTGAAGGATACAAGGACATGGACCTTACCGACGTTCTTCAGATGCTAGGTCGTGCTGGTCGTCCACAGTTCGATACATCTGGCATTGCTCGGATTTTCACGCAGGACTCAAAGAAGGCTTTCTACAAACACTTCCTCCATACTGGCTTTCCAGTAGAGTCATCGCTCCACAATGTTCTGGACAACCATTTAGGTGCAGAGGTTTCTGCTGAAACAATCACCACGAAGCAAGATGCACTTGATTATTTGACCTGGACATTCTTCTTCCGACGCCTCCATAAGAATCCTACGTATTATGGACTGGAGATATCAGCTGAAGAACATAACACTATTGCTGCCCAACAATTCGCAAACGACTACATGATCTCGATGGTCGACAAGTCTCTCGAAGAACTAGCGGAGTCAAAGTGTCTCGAGATCCATCATAATGGCGACGTGGATTCTACAGCTTTGGGGAAGATCATGAGCTACTACTATCTATCCCACAAAACAATCCGCCATCTCGTCAAGCACGCTAAACGTGGTGCAGCATTCGCCGACGTCCTGTTCTGGATGTCCAGTGCGATTGAATATGACGAGCTCCCGGTCCGTCACAATGAAGATCTCATCAACGCGGAGCTTTCCAAAAACCTCACCATCCCTGCCTCAGCCTTCGACGGCCTTCCTATGTGGGATCCTCACGTCAAGGCATTCCTCCTCCTGCAAGCTCACATGTCGCGTATCGACCTTCCCATCACTGACTACGTAGGTGATCAAACCAGCGTGCTCGACCAAGCTATCCGTATCATCCAAGCTAGCATCGATGTACTCACAGAAATGGGGTATCTGTCAAGCTGCATGCAGATGATTACACTGCTTCAGTGCATCAAATGTGCTCGCTGGCCCACCGATTACCCACTCTCTATCCTTCCGGGAGTACCTATATCAGCGCCTACCGACGAGAATCTCCCGCTATCTCTACAGGATCTTTCGGGCCAATCAGAAACGGCATACCAACAAACGCTCTCCGCGCTACATCTCTCACCCTCTCAGCTCCCCCGCTTCCAGAAAGCGGCCGGCATGCTCCCTATCCTCAAAATCAGCATCCGCGATGTAACAGCCCTATCCTTGACCGTACATCTCGACCGCCAGAATCCCCTAACGGATAAAGATGGGAAGATCTACGCGCCCCGTTTCCCAAAACCGCAAACGGAAGGCTGGTTCGTTCTTCTCTGCAAGGAGGAGAGCGACGAGATTATTGCCATCAAGAGGGTCGGATGGAATACCAGTAATAGTGGTGGTAATAGACGGAGAGGACCGAGTGCGAGGGCCGTGATTAAACTTCCAGAAGATGAAGATCAGTTCATTGGAAAGAATGAGAAGAAAATGGATGTCTGGGTCGTGAGTGATGGGTATTTGGGGATGGTCTATAAGATTATGGGGGTCGAGATTCCAAGCGCTCCAAGGGTTGAGGGGTTTGATGTGAAGAAGGAAAAGGACCCTGGTGCTAAGAATGGGTGGAAAGATACAAGTGGAAGTGGGCAAGGTGGTGCAAGTGCCGCTACATGACGCATCACTTGATGAGCAAGTAGTATTTTGTGAACAGCATACTGAGAGACAAAAGGGGACGCGCCGCCTATATTGAGCCTATTGAGTTGAGCCTTATTATAATCCAATAGAATACTCTTAGGAAATACTTCAAGAGGCACCGGATATACCCCAGCGGGTATTTATAGTACGGAGGACGAGGCGTGTACATGCTGACTGTATCAATCCCCATCTACCGTGCATGTCAAGATGCGCTGTGTTACATGCCTACATAATAATACGTGGACATGGCATGATGAACCGTAAGCATCACAGGCGTTTGCAGATCTCCCGTAATGTACTCTCCCTCTTTACTATACCAGGGAGGGATCTAGATAACTGTACCCAGGGATATGCGCACCGTTGAGCAAGGTACGTAATATAAAGTTGAACGTTGAAAACAAATATATCAATACCCCAAATCCCACCTCGATCTTTTGGACTGGGAGTAAAGTCCATCTAGCATTCATGTCCGCCCGGCAACACCACACCAATGATGTGTCTACAGTACGAAACATACCCGCTTATTCATGGTCAATTGATTCTTCCTCCACCTCCACCACCACCACCGTTCCCCGGGGGTTCGGAGTTAAGATATAAGATATGTAGCGACTCAGCCGGAGCACGTCAGCTTTTCCCTTCCTTCCACCTTCCAATATGCCGCGGACAAAACAACCCAGGAAAAAGGGGGGGCGTTTGTTATTAGTCATGGCCGGCATAAGGCAGGCCGTGTGATGTAATGGGTGAGGATGACTTACTAATTAGTAATATGGCAATCTGTGGATCCCGGACGGGGACGGGGACGTGGTTTCGGCCGACAAAGGGGAGGGATACGTAATCACTGCCCGTTACGAGACAGAGATAGACGGCTACAGAGTACAGTAGCTAAAAATAATAACGATTCGGGCTACGTCGTATATCTTATCCACGCAATCTTGAGGCAAACTCAAGGTACCGTACATGCTGTACCAAGTACTGTACGAGCAGGAAATACGTACTTATACCATCTTGGATTAAAGCCGAGGTCAGGTGGCTGGAAGGACGATGCGTAAGCAGCTGTTGGGCGCCGGCGCGGAGGATTGCGGTTATTACTAAGATAACATACCGACCAGCACTACCTGGGAACACATTTAGGTAGCAGTCCACAGGGCAACAACACCTTCCATAAGACTTCTTTCGTCGGGATATACTTGTTTATAGTTATTTATACATTATACGATATTTTAACTCGCCCAGCCAGATATCGCGGACTCTACGTGGTTACACGATTAATCAGCCGAGGGTCTCCTGTCAGCGTGTCACGCCTTGGCCCCACACTTCCCCCGAGGGTCACGTGCATCGTCGGCCGGCATTCCTCCCGACCGTCATTCATTCATTCAAGTCTCCAAAAGATCTCCAAAGGGAGATTATTGGATCATTAAGTCCAAGCCAGGTACAAACAAGACGCGCGAGACAGACACAGAAACGTACCTTACCTGGCATCACGAAAGAGACTCTCGAGGCCCTTATAATATATCGGCCGGCATTCGATCGATTCGGCCATTGTCGCAAAGTCCCCATCCTCACCACCACCACCACCGCTTCCACACAAAGGATGCAGTCGCTCGCGCCTGCGCCCATGCCTCAAAGCATGCAGACTCAGGTACTTACTTGCTTTCCACTACTCCCACTACTGCTTGGCCTTGTTGCTGCTTTGCTTACTTGCTTGCGCGACCCAACCCTCCTCTGCTTGTCCCCAAACGTGGTGCCCCAACCTCTCTGCTCCATCAGCATCAGCCGGGAGTGGAGAGCGCAGCGCAAAATGGAGTATAATCTGCATTTTGGGCGTGGAACATATCCTTCTTCTACCCTCCCCCCCATATCTCTCTCTCGAGTAACGAGACACAGACACACATATCCAGACTGACCAAAGCTGACTACTCTGACCGCGCAGGACATGAGCGCAGACAATGGTAATATCCCTCCCCCGAGCGCGCTGTTGCCGGCAGCGCTCGCCATCCGCCCACGACTAATCATCATCCCCTCGTATTGCTGGTGTATCCTGCTGACATGATATTGGCGCATCCTCTAGACTTAAGAGCCCAGCTTGCCGCTGTCATCAGCACCTCCCAGCAGCAGCAGCAACCTCAGCAGCCCCAGCAACCACAGCGCCCACACCAGCAGCGTCCTGGACCTCCCCATGGCTACAGCGACGTCCCGGCATCGAGCAGCGCAAGCCCCCAGAATCACAATATCGATCCTGCCATCGGAGGCGGAGGGCCTCCAGGAGGCATGATGAGCTCTGGCGCGGCGGGTGACAGTGGTGGCGATGACAGTATGGGCGATGGTCGTAAGGGCGGGAAGCGCGAGCTTTCGCAATCGAAGCGCGCAGCGCAGAATCGCGCAGCTCAGGTACGTTCTTTTTTTTCGTGTCGTTGTCCGCGATGTTTATGTGAAGAGGAGGATCGTTTAAAAACAAGAAAAAGTTCTTGAGGTGCAAACTGGTGTCTTGTTGCTTTGTCAATTCTCATGTCATCCATCCACCACAAACCCTCCTGACTGAAGGCTTACGTAACCTCCCAGCGCGCTTTTCGACAACGGAAAGAAGGATATATCAAGAAACTCGAGGAGCAAGTTCGAGAAATGCATGCGCTGGAAGAGAACTACAAGGCCATCCAAGGGGAGAACTACTCGTTGCGCGAATACATCATCCACCTGCAATCCCGGCTCCTCGAGTCCCAGGGCGAATACCCGCAACCACCACCCAACGTCAACCTCTCACATCCGCACCATCCTCCACGTCAACACCCCGAGCAACATGTGCAACATCATGCTGGCGGTGGAGGCGCCCCCGTTGCTGCTATGGCGCCGATGAATCCGCTGAATCCATCCGCGGCGAGGAACCTCGCTGCGGCGGGGCTGAGTAACACGGCGAAACATCCCCAAGAGGAGTATGAGCGCAAGGCGCATACTAAAGATGTCGCTGGCGAGGAGCCCGCCGATGAGGAGATCATCCGCTCTCAGCTACAATCTCCTCATGGCTTACCTGCTCCTGTGCCCATGTAAAATCGCTGTGCTATCACTTGTTTTAACCTTCTGGAGTTGAGGGGCGCAGGTGGATTTCGGGGCGTTACAAGTATTCAGCTCACTCAGCAGACCGTTCCTCGATCGGCCTTTCGGAGAGCATAGGTCAGGAACTGTGTGGGAATGGCGTTGGCAGTTACTTTTTTTTTGCTTTGCCTGTTTTTGTTTTTGAGGCGAGAGTACTCCGTAGTTACTTGTTCTCTTAAGGCAATCTATAGGGATCAAGTACGATTCTTACTAGCACGGTAACATCAGAGTACCCATGCATTTGCAAATCCATATTATTGTCGCCCTTTTAGGAACATCTAATAGTGCGCCTAGTGACCTTAAAACCGCAACCTGTTTAGTTTTTCCCCATTCACGAATAAGCATTTCCCAGATTATGTTCCTATTAGAAAGATTAGCTCTTCTCTCCTCACTCTCCCTCAACGTACTGCACCACGAATTAAAGAAAGAAAGACGTACCTTAAAATACTCCGCTCCTTTCTCCAGATACTCCTCTCTCGTAACCCTCGCGCTCTTCCACCCTGACCCTCCCCCAACCCACTTCGCCGCCCCTCTCCAAGCATCCAGCACCGGATCCTTCGCCCTCCTCACAGCAATCTCAGCCCCAGCAGGTAGCTGAGCCCTCAGCCCCTCTCTAATCCTCTCATCAAAATTGGGCAGCATTGAATAGCCGCCCGTCAGGAAGATGTCCTTCAGGAAATCACTAGGTGCGGCTGCTGAAGGAAGGTTACCGAGGCGGTGCGTGAGTATATCTGCAGCGATATCAATGATTCCCGCCTGGTCTAGCCCCGCTATACTGGGCTGAAAGATGACTTCTGGGACACGGATGCGTTCCACGTTGAGATGAATCTGATGGGCTTCAGCCTGGCTCTTTGGATCGAAAGGTCGCGGGCCCCTAAGGAATGCATGGATGAGGCTTTTCGTCCAATCCGTCTGCGCATCGAGTGTATGCTGGTCCGTAAAATCCGGATCGTATTTCAGCAGGTCGCCTTCGAGATTCTTCAACGTAGTTCCCAGATCCTCCTCTTCCTCGTCATCGCTCCCTTCGCCTGTGGCGATCTGACGATATACACCCCAATCATCATCGTTTGCACCAAAAGTATCGTCGTCTCCTCCTCTCCGTCGCTTTTTCGTAGGGGTGTCAGATGCGAGGTTCGCGATTGACTTCATGCGCATTTGACTCGCCAGTGACTTTCTATTCCCTAGATCAGCCTTCAAGCGCTCTCGGTCCTTTATCTTCTGGATCAGATCCAAGCGTGCCACTCGACGCTCTTCAAGCCAGGCTTCCAAGTGATTTTCCCTCTTCTCATCGTCAAGTCGTTGCTCCTCTGCAATCCTTGCTTTCTCGCGCTCCTTTTCCGCCTTTGCCCGTGCGCGCGCTTCATTGTTGGATTTCATGAGACGCTGATGCCGTTTCTGTTTTATACCGGCTTCGTCAAGCTGATCATCGGGGGTTTCGAGCAGGCTGTAATCCGGCTCCTCCACTTCTTCTTCGATTTCAGGACCGCCGACATCCTTAGTACGCGCTTTGCGGATAGATTTATCCAGCTCTTTAATGGTCTTTTCGAGGGCGGCTTCGTCTTTGAAATCTTCCGCGTCGAGGATGCGTTTTATTTCTTTCTTGCTCTGGTCGGCAAGGCGGGATTGGAGATCGCGGTAGTAGTCCAGCTCCTGCTCCTTGCGGATCAGCTTATCAAGACGCATCTTTGCTGCTTGTTCCTGTAGGCGTCTTCCACTCTCCTTGCGCTTTTCTGCTATGCGGGCAAGTTCTTCTTCGCTCTTTTGTATGATGACCTCTTCGGTATACGGGTACTGTATGACATGGTCTCGGTCCTCGAGACCTGTCCAATCGAGATACGTACTCAATTCTTGCTCGTAATTTTTGGACAGATAGCAATGCTCTCGCACCATGTATTCCGTCTGAGATGCGTTGATTTTCCCGGGGTATGTTGGATACTTTAGACGGATGAGTTTCAACAAATACTCGGCGCTTTGCGAGCCTCCCCAATTCAATCGCGCGGCCTGGGTTAGAATTCCTTTGGAGTTCAATACGGGAATGAGGTGGGTTGAGCTATGTGAGGAGGACACCACAAGGCCAGTCTTGCCGTCGTTGTAATCGTATGAGAATAGGGAGTCGATTCCGTAGGCCAGGGAGGGCGCTTGATAACATTCGAAAATGATCTCTGTCATAGCTATAGTCCACCATTAGCAAAAGCCTTAGAAGGACGAGGATGAATGGGCATGTTACATTTCCGCGAATAGGCCAAGTTAGCCACAGTCTCCGTCATGACAATCGGCATATCAACAGCTCCATTCGCCCCGTCGACACCCAACTTAATAAACGTGTAATCAAGTAGCTGCTCCATGACATCCCAGTTACTAACAATTCCACTGCCGGCTTCAAACGCATTTCTCATGTGTCCTCGGGCTGTAGTGTCGGCATAGACATCCTCGCCGACAAAAGAATAGGTCTTTCCTATTTTGCGGTCTCGGTATTTGGAAAAGATAGGGGTGATGTTCAATCGAGGGTTATCTTCGAAGGACCACCCTGCTCTGGTGGCTGAGGAGCCTACATGTTCAATCGTGATCAGCGACGGAGTACTTCATAGGAAGTTGGTGGGTGGGAGAAATGCTACCATTGTCTATCACAATCGCTGCGCCTTCCGGGCCGCGGGATACTGCTTCTGCATACCCATCCGGCTGGGGCTTCTGGAATCGCTCGAAATGGGTTTCTCGAGGGGTGTAGAGCTTAGGTGGTGGGATTGTGTTTTCTGATTCTGGGGCTTGGGCAGCCGGTTCTGTCGCTGAAGGAGCCATCTTCTTCAGCTTGCTTGTAGGGCGGGGGATGGGCGCTTGTTAGGACATCGCAGAGACTGAATGGCGATTTGAAATATAGCCTCGACTCGACTTTTCGAGCAAATGTTGGGATGGGAATTCGGTTTGCGAGTAATGGCGGCCAAAGTCTCGCGGTCGTCGATTGTCGATTTGGCGAATCTCGCGAGGCTGGGCCGGGTGCTTGACAAGGCTGGCCATGCAGCGAAGGCGCTGGTCGAGAGCATGAATGTCAAAGTGTATATATGCCATGTGTGAATAGGGTACATATTTATCAATTTATTTCATCGGATATTGAATTTTTATCATTTATCATTCCTACATTAGACAGCCTGTTTGTCCAAGAACCTCCAACTCCCGAATCCCAGACGGGATCGTCCTAATGCTTCTCTCCATAGCCTAGCTCCCATCACGACGGGTCTTTGAGGTTGTCGGTTGCTATCCATACATCAGTTGCATATCTTGAAGTATTTGTAAGTGGTCCTTTACCTTCTAGATGGAAGAGGACATTGGACTGGTAATTCTTGAACATTTGCGCCACCAGCTCCACGTTCATATTCTGGATGTTGATATCCTATAAATTAAATTAGTACAGCTACCTGGGTAGAATTATCAGACAATATTATCAACCTGGAGATTCTTATTCAGGACCATAATAGCTTCATTGAGCTTCTCCTGTGTTGGAATTAGCTGAATGTTCTGTCCAGTTCGGTTATGTTTACACACTCACCACGTTCGTGATAATGCGTGAGAGCAGGAGATTCTGCTGATGCTCATGGGGGCTTTCCTATTTAGCTTATTAGTAGTAATAACTAAATAATGACGCCCTTACTCACCATGACTATCTGTCTGTGTTCATTTGACCAAACCGTGATCCGGTATTAACGCGTCAAGGTAGGGAACGACGACGGCGATTTTGACGCCCAATCTCGCCAAGCACTCCGATTGGAACTTCAAGGGAGCTTCAACTCCAAAGTAGCTCACTACGCATCGAACAACTCTTCTCACAACTCAGCGTATCTCTTCATCGCATTTTCCCACGCCCAAAATCCCGAATACATCATGGCGCCAGCAACTCCAGATGCGGAGGCTCATCAGAAGCTCATCGATCAACTCGACATCCACGCCATCCACCGGCCCTTCCGTAACCCTCACTGGAAGCCCAACCAACGTCGCAATAAGAACATCAAAACAATCCTCGGCGACGCCGTCCGAAAGGAAGCCTCGATAATGGCCACGCAAGAAAATAGCGGTGCTGCAACCCCCCTCCCCGACGATTCAAGCGCCGTCTCTACAGGCGGCGATACCACGCCTGCATCCACCACCAGCTCGACACTACAGCCCAACCTAGCTCAAGCATCGAGGAACCTGTCCAAGCTAGTTTTAGAGAGGAATATGCGGACCAGTGGGTTCTCCATGGCACCAAATGCTACGTATACGAATATTGAGGCTGCACCTTCTTTTGCGCATCCTAAGCACTACTGTGATCTTACGGGTCTACCGGCGCCGTACACGGATCCAAAGACCAGGCTGAGATATCATAACAAGGAGGTTTTTGGGGTGATTAGAACGTTGGGGCAAGGTGTTGCGGAGCAGTATTTGGAGGCGAGGGGAGCACATACAGTGCTGAAATGATGGGTTGGGAAGAATAGGTATTTCTGGGCAGTCCGGAAGGCATTCAACGACATATACATCGGCATTTTGGCTCGCATATGCATCATTATGGGATTTGGGATCAAGGCAGAGAACGATGGTCTTGAATGGATAGGATATGGTTCTATAATGCCACCTCGGGGCCAGGCCCTGGGTGCAACTGGATATGTCTGTCCCCAGGAAGACATTCTACCAGAAGCTCGCATTATTGGGCATCAGCAGCAGAAACTGGATGGATTCGGGATGTCCGACCGACAAAGTCAAGCTCACTCCACCCACCATTGGCCTTTCGACCAATGGTTCAAGAAGGCGCTCCGGCTTAATCGCGATCAAGGTTATCTTTTATATGCCTTGAAGATGACAGGGTACCGAGAACATATGGGGGAATAGACTCAGTTACCAGAACATATAGCTCTGGTCGTCATGGCAATTAATCCGTAGAGAGTATTTGAAAACAATCCACTTCCTCCCTCAAAATGTGAAGAATTAAAGTGATTCGTGCTGGTGAAATTTGAGTGACCAGCAGATACAAACCTTAGCAGGAGTAGCGGAAGAATAGTTGGGTACTCCACAGGCCATTGAAGTACTCCAATGCATATACATGCTGTACATATATGCGTGATAGCTGTATGAAGTGTGTGTGTACATGTTTAGGTTGAGGGACGATGATGCTTTTGTACGAAGCCGAGAGGCAGAAAATTAACGAAGCGACGAAAGCAAAATCGCGAAAACGCAGAGACCGCCAACAAAAGGGTTTGGCGCGTGTTGGGAGGATCCCTGCCGCCTGCAGCGCGTTCGCAAATATTCAGCAAGGCCAGCTGTTATCGCAAACCTCCTTACGCAAATAATTACGATACAGTCCCACGAAGCAAGAAACCCCGACCACATCCCTAGCCGTTACGATTTATTGCGCACACGAACAATCCCCTCTGATACCCGTGGAACTCCTCTCTTTTCGTTAACTCTATTGTGGAAGACACCAAGGAAATCAAGTCAAAATGCCCTCAATGTGGTTATCGGATTCGCAAAGTATGTTCCTTGTGCATTTACTGTCTTTTCAATGTTATGCATATGGTTGTAGTGCGACTTGGAGCATGTTACAATGAGTACGAGCAGGGCAAAGCACAACAGAGCAATCGGCGAGAGAAGCAAACACAGACGGAATGAATAGACTAACAATGTCGTCCTCTAGAAATCGGAGTAGCGTTCTGCTCAGGCGGTAGGTACCTAGGCACTGTAACCAGACGCTTCGGCGCCGTAGGCCAGCGCTGATTATTTGGTGCGCACAACAGGCGGGCTCTTCCTTATAGGAGGGGTGTTCTTGTTCTTCGATAGAGCTATGTATGTGCCCTCCGCTCCCTCCTTATTCTCTCCCGAAGCTAATATACTATTCCCTAGGCTCGCAATGGGGAATGTAACATCTCTCCTCTCCCTCCTTCCACAGAAATATGTCCTCTAACAGCCGCCCCCAACTAATAGATCCTGTTCCTCATCGGTCTCACCATAATAATCGGGCCCCAAAAAACTGCCCTCTTCTTCGCCCGTCGCCAGAAACTCAAAGGAACGGCTGCCTTCTTCGCCGGGCTCTTGTTGATCCTACTACGTTGGCCATTGATTGGGTTTCTTGTCGAACTATACGGGATTTTTATACTGTTTGGCGACTTTTTAGGGACGATTGCTGGGTTTGCGAGGAATGTGCCGGTTGTGGGCCCGTGGATCGGCGTCGCGGTTGATCGGTTGGGTGTCGGGGTTGGAAACTCAGAGTTACCTGTGTGAAGGGGACGATGGGGGAGTGTAAATGGGGTAGATGGGAAAGGAAGGGGGTTCATTGTGAATATTTATGTGGTTTGTTTGGGAAGCGAGAGAGCTGGAATGATACCTGAGTGATATGTGTCCGATAAGGTGTACTATATGGGATCATGGAGTAGGCGTTTAGGATTTGTTAGAGGGTGGGTGGGACTAGCAGATATAGAGCTAAGCAGAGCTCAGGCTTCTTGCTTGACCCATAACCATCAGATAATAGACTTATGATCATGAGCCAAAGATTCTCAGACAGCCAGCTCCCAGCTCTATCATAGAACTAGTCACAAGGGAATCATGGAGGTGCACCCAGCAGATATAAGAGAAGTCATCAATTCATCCACCTATGCAAACCCATTCTACCCTCCCCTTTTGGCATCTCCGCAAAGCTATCCACATCCCCCGGAGATCCGCCCCCGCCGAGCGATTAATCAATAAAGATACCATCTTAGTATCCGCCCATGCATGCCAAAGAAAGTTGCCCTATGCGTTTATGCATCATGCTGCCCCAGAACACTGCCATGTCCCTCCCATCATTCCATGTGTATCGTCTTTGTACTAGTAGCCTGTGCTGATGAGGTAATCTGCCAGTTGTTCAACAGTCGTCGCGCAGTTCCCGGCGATCATGCCGTCTTTGTAGTGAGCGATGAGGATGGCTTGGGTGGTCTTCACGATAACGATGCCTTCTCTACCCTGTACTCCACGCATTAGCATGACTGCTGTGACGATACAACTTTGGGGGAATAGCTCAAAGTCATCACAGGAAGTGCATCGGCTGGCATACCTTTCTAGCATAGAGACTCCGGTCCTCTGCCTTTGTGAGGACAAATCTCTCGCCTGCCACATGAATTCCATTTGCATATAGCTCGTCTGTCTTTCCGCTCAACCCCGCAATAATCTCCTTTGTCTCAGTCGGAGAAATCTATGGGGAGGTCAGCCTTTCCACTGTCCATGCCACATATTTGTTCTGTCTCCGGTATTTGCCCACGAGGGAAACGGGCGGGGGGATGAAGACACAGATCCAGAACATACGGTGAAGCCGGCGCTGGTAGCCCAAACGCTATCACCAGCAGCACTGATGATGGCTCCCTTGTCCACATGGCCACTGCCTATTAAGCTAAAAGTCTGTCAGCTTCATCCTATCCTATCCGGCATTGTAGAGGCTCGAAATGCAAGTGAGATGTACCTAGAATCAACATATGCTATTATGTCCAAGTCAGCTCAGTCGGCGGAGGGGTAATTGTTTTTGGGATCACGCACCCTGCCAAGACATCTTCGAATCTGTGAGCGCACAAGCTGGTGAGAAGAAACAAACGCAGGGCTGTTTGTGGGCGGGTTGGATAGAACCGTAATGCTCGGATCAATAAGGGTCTGATGGTAGAGTGTTGGATGTTGAACGGTGTCGTAGTAGATGGTGCTGGGATGGATGGTTTTCGCCTGTGCCAAAGAACTCCAGCACAGTCCGAGTAAGCGAGGATGGTGGGGGTTGGTTGACATGGTGACATGGCCACTATCACAGCTACGAAGAATAGAAAACAAAGCATAATGGATATACTCGAGTAATATGCTTCAACTTCTACAAGGTATAAATAACTGCTACAACGGCTTCAGCGGCTCCGACGGCTTCCACTGCCTCAAGATCTTGTAGCTTTTGTTCGAGCAGTCCACTTGAAGTGTCAAGCAGATTGCGCAGTGGTACAGTGTGCAGAGTTATATATTATGAAGACAACTATCTATCCATGTGATACGCAGAATCACGTTCTCTATTACCTACTACCCGGCTTGACATCTCTTGTGCATTTATCATTCTATGCAAGGCTGCGTCAGATAAGTTTGTGCGCTCTTCCTCTTGTTGCATAATTGTTCTCGAAGCACTCCTTGTCAGGGACATGTTGACATCTCGAGGATGAAGACGGATCTGGTCAATCGAAACTGGGGGTTGCCATCGTGCTGCTTCCTTTCGTCCATGCCATGCCACCGGGCTCGGATCATAACCAAATGGCTGTTCCAAAAGTAGGATTGAAGCCGTCAAAAGAATCAGCAACCAGGAGCGAAACTCTACTCAGTCGGATGCTTATCACTTGAACTAATCTACATTCCCGCTTTCCCATTGCCGATTCCCGATTCCAAATCAATACGGAAGTGCGGATGTCTTCGTTAACGCAATGCGGAGATTGGGTGCGGCGAATAGGTTAGGGGAAATTTGAAGGATGTGAAGATTTGAAGATATACTCAACTACTCCGTCGAAGCAAACAATCAAGATATCCACGAGTACCGAAAGATCGCCTTCGATTCCCAGGGACTCCCCTAAGATCCCCTTTCCATTATAAACCTGCCTCCAGCTTGCCGATCGCGCGGTTTCATCGGCTCTGGTTTTCCGGCCTCAAACATGCCAAAGAGGATGTGAAACCAACGCCATCAACCACAGAATCAAGTCACATAATCAGACGATGCGGGGTGGGTATTCTGCGTCGTCGACTGACAGCAACAGCCAGTTTGGAGTTGACGGAAAAACTTGCAACATGGCTTGCTAGCAGCCTCTACGAGTCTAGTTCGTACGTAAGGCATGTCAAGACAGGACGGTTGTATACTTTTGCCAGGGACGACAGCAATCTTGGATGAGTAGCAAGACGCTTCACGGCAATTAGAAGCCCGATCTACCCCAGAGAGAGATGAGATAGCGACGGTATCGACGGGGTTCACCCTAGCCATCTTCCGCCGCCATTATTGTGTTGTTTTGCTAGGCAAATACCTAATGGCCAGGTATTATTCTTGCCAAGGGACAGCTTGAGTCTGGAGAATGGTGTGACTCTCGAGACTTTGCAAGCATTGACCGCAACTACAAATCGCGGCACGGCATTGCTCGTCTGATCACTCTGTTGATGGTGGACTTTCTACGGAGGATTGTTGACAGTTGACATCTCACTTCGGCGGCGAAGAAAGGGGCCAAGTCCTTGTGTTTCATCCCACTATTGCGCAGGGTTTCGATGCCAGTTGACGATACACCGTGCAAACTTAATCGCTGACCAACACCAAGCGACAACACATCCCTCGGCCAGGCCAAACAACATTGCGAATTTAGATCGCAATAGCCTCAACATCCAACCATTTTCCCAAAACCGAAGCCGGAGTGGGGGATAAGCAGCCACTTCATCTTCCGTCCGTCGTTCTCATCCTCCAAATGCCCTCTCCGACCCAAGAAGTGGCAGACGCGCCGCGCCCAACGCCTCAGAGTCTTGCTTGTTGGCGGCAATTCTGGCTGATCTCATCATAGATGAGAGCGTGTCTGGCCCCTGTAATAGGGTCGTAATAAGATTAATGCGGGCTTCTCAGGCCTTCGCAACCCATGCCCCATTCGCACAACTCTCTTGTGCAGCCTCGGGGCTCTTTCAGAACCCGCCGCAGATAACTCCTCTTCTCCACAGCATGTCGACTTAATCCCTGCGAGCGATCAAGCCTCCCTTCCACTTGCAATCAAAGTCGTGGAGGTCTCATCCGATCAATCTCGAACAAACCATGTTGTTGTGCAGGGCTGAGGGCTGGCCTCCTGGCCTGGGAAGATAAGGTATTTCCTTGCCAGCGCGCCCTTTTTTATTTCTCTACTCTACCGCTCTTTACTCTCTTTTTTACACTCCTTCTAAGGGTTTCCTGGTGAACCTGTCCACTCCTTTGAACACTTCAGTACTCGTTGTCCGGAGACTTAATGAGCATAAACCTATCCACCAGCCGTTTCATGTCCATTTTCAGCTAGACGCATATATTCAGATCTACCAATAACGCCTCGGCCAACGTCTTCGCCGGGCAAAGCAATGGCGAGAACCGTTACTACTCAGACTCTTTCGGGGAGGGCCAGATTAGTAGGGGTTGCGAAAGTTCGAGACACCGATTTTCCTCGTGCGCCAGATCATGTCACAGATGCTGCACGGGCCAAGGCCATCGACATAAGCAACCCATGGAGGTTTGGATTTGGCGATCCTGAGCGTGGAGGCGAGAGCCCAGAGAGACCTAAAACCTCTGCGGGCCCGACGGCTCATTCTTCAGTTAGGAAGGACGCCGAGAAGAGGGAGACAAAGGACGATCTTTATTTCAATGCTCTCTCTGCTCATGGCACAGCGACGACCTTCTATAATTTCCCCCTCCCAGGATCTCTGCCAGCGTCAGATCCCCCTCCCAGGGAGCTTCCATTATTACCACCCCGAAGTACTTCTCTAGGACGTCGAACACCTCCTACCAGAGGTCCATCGCCCAACCCCAACTTAGTTCAGGCAGCACCACCAGATATCCCAGATTCCAAGATGGAGATCGGAATGGCTTTGGGAAGCCCCTCGCACCAACCTACGGATTGGCATCCACAACATACGACCGAGTCAATCGAGCGGATGGTATCTCCCGATGTGATGGATGATTCCATGGGCGGTCTAGTCGCTCCGGTAAAGCCAAAGGCGAGTAAATGGAAATTTTTAGGAGGATTGTTTGGAGGCAAGAAGCACGCTGAGGCTCATCCACAACCATTCTACCAACTCCAGCCCGAGAATGGACAGGAGTACACAGCAACGGTAACCACCGGGGCAGAAGTCCACCTTCCCGCTCCTAAAAACGAAGATCCATCAAGTGAGAAGCGTCCGAAGTCTCGTGGCCGCACACGGACCATATCTACGCGGAAAGCAAAGACTCCCAAGCCAGATATCAAGAGAGCCAACACCATGCCCAATCGTGTGGATGCTCAAGAAAATTGGCAACGCGGGACTCCGACCCCAGAGATTACACTAGATGGTCACTCGATAGAAAGCCACCAATCTAGCAAGAATTATACAGGTCAAATGCTAGATGTCGATATTCCCACTACGCAAATGGAGCGATACAGCGTCATGTTTGGAAGCGTGCTCCAAAAGTCTGCTAATACATCGCCGTCGTTACTCGCAAGGCGGCAGGCTACACTTGACAAACTCAAAACCGTCAATGAAGCTCTTGCTTTGAAGGTTAGCCCTCATGTCCACTGGGCTCCTTCGAATAACTTGTTCTAATAGCACATGACAGGAGAAAGAATTACATGACAAGGAGAGGCAGTTCATGCCCCGAAGAGCGACCTCGCCCCAACCTAGTAAAAGCCCAGGCTTTTCTCTATTTCCTACTACGCCATCTTTACATGTACCTAGGGATTCCTCGCCGTCAAGAACTCGCCAAACTACCCTTCAACGCTCAAATACTTCCCCAGCTGCACTCTCGCCATCTCGGCCTTCATTCGCGCCTAGCTCAGATAATAAAGCCCACGCTACTCTGGTCTCTATGCCCTCTGGCCCCAAGGCTAACCTTGGGTATCGCCAAAATGGTACCAAGCCAAACAACAGCCCGGAAAAACAAGGAGGATCGAGCCAGAATACCAGCCACTCATTAGCCGTGCCAAAGCTGAAGGAAGTTGATCGTAGCTGGTCTCCGGACCACTCACACCTAGTCCTAGACTCGCCTGGAAGTGATATATACGGTGATACAGAAGATGAATTTACACTAAGCCCAGCACCGGTGAGGTCTTATGACCCCGCGCCCATGAAGCCCAAGCTAGTGGAACCAGCATGGGAGATCATCAACAAGCCCAGCGAGCATCAACAAGCACCACCAACAACCGCGTCCTCTGCATCAGGCTCTGATCATTCGACTTCAGCCTCAACCTCATCCACTTCTGCGTCAAGCGTCTCCACAGCTGAAACCTCTCACCTGGTATCTTCTATCGACAAGCCAAGTACACCCCCACATCCCACCGCAAGCAACAGTCGCGTTAAGGCAGCGCAATCCCGATCCCGCAGCAAGAGCAGTCCTTCACAGACATCAATTGCATCCATTGCTTCTAACGCAGTTGAAGAACGTCTCAGAACTGCAGCAGACATCTCCATCGCCCGTCAAATATCGGTCTCTAGACAACAATGCCAACTGCTAGTCCCAATCAACAAGTCCAAAACTTCATCTAACAATAACCCGAACAAAAAGTTCAACCAGAACTTCCCCAGTCCTGCTGCGAGCGTCAACAAAATGGCGAGCCCACTCTGTGCCGTTGCAGTCGCCGCCTCAGAGGAGCGAGGTCGGGAAGGCAAGGGAGCCGACGACAGAGCTACCAGTCCACTGGTCGATCAAAAAGTAAACCTCGTCGATTCCGTGAAGCCCAGCACACCAACCTTGGTTGTTGTGCCTGGACCGGACAGAAACGAGATGACGAAAGCATGGGGCGGGGCGACTGCCGTGCATGGCGCACCTGTCGGGCTTGCTGAGCGGAGGAAGGCTAAGGGCGCCCCCATAATGGGAGAGATAAAAGTTGGGTTGGCGGTTAGTAGGACACGAGCCGATACGCACACGACGCAGACGAAGGAGCGCCACCGGAAGAGTGAGAGAGCCGTAGTAGAGAGGGTGAGTATTGCCTCGAATTAGGAGGGCCTTGGTCGGCCGGATTGGAGTTTTTTTCTTAGCATAGGAGCGGGTAATACATACTCTGGCAGTATATCCATACTCGAGGGCAGGGCGTTACAAGATGGGCTCTTGGTTAGGTTTGCGTTGAGCGGGGATATTCAATCCCCAGGGTATTGCTCCGGTTATTTTCTTCCTTGGGCGCTGTGTGAAAGGAGTAAATCGTTTGGATGATACCAATGAAATTTTGGCGTTAAAAGAATGTCAAATAAATTGTTCCCTGCTTCATGTCAACCTAGATATACTCCTAATAGCTTTGATTATCAGCTTAATAGGGTATACAGGTCAAGATGCTGCTTAATGGATGTCATTCTCTACTATAAAACACCTGAAAGACCTCGAGAGAAGCTATATTCCTTAAGATCAAGATCATTAACTACATGTTCTGGTGAAGAGCCAAACTCAGCGTTTTGAAGACTTGCCATCCGACTCGATAGATGCTCTCCAAGATGCTACTTCCTTCCCCCATATTAAGATCTACGTTCTAGCCGACCGTGGAATGTCTTCGAGGATGCGTTCGGGCAAAAGCCATTCCTCATGCTTACGTACGACGACATTCGAGCCTACGTCAACTCTAGCAGTGAGAGCAATGCCCTCTTTACGGAATTGGTAGGAATGAGGTCATGGTGGAAGTCTGTAGAGTGGGTTATTGGACACGGAACAGGAAAATCGTGTGGTGAGGGCTATAGGAATATGTCTTTTGAAATGGTCAATCACATCTTTAAATTTGAATTTGAATTTGATAAAGAATTAAAAAAATCAGTGTAGATTGGGATTGTTATTTGAATTGCTGATCTAAATTAAAAAAAACCCCTCGGCGTGTAGTTTGCTTTGTATACGTGTCAATTGGAGTATAATTCTTGATGTGCTGACCAGTCTCTTCCACCTTCAATCCGATCTCCCCTAGGATTATTTCGCGGGTATAGGAGCCTACACGGCAATTTCCACTTCAAGAATGGGCAAAATAGGGGAACTAATTCGGCCAGTTCCGATACGACAACACCACGGCATCGCACCTTTGTATCAACTAGTAAAGGAAATATGAATTTGGGATGTGTTTTTGACTGGTATGTGCAGTGGCAGTAAACATTAGCATAGCTCCACTTTCAAACAGTGGAGTCCAGCAAAGGACAATATTATTTCTCTTGAGGTTTTCCAGTGCATCTTCAAATACATCCTAGTTCAACTACTTTACTTTACATTTAGATATGCACTTTATTGTGACCAGGATTTCCAAGCAGCTGGTAGCTGTATTTTTACTCTGAAACACTGGTATACAAGTTTTCGACTATTACCAAAACGCCAAAGCACCCGCACATTCCTATTAACTACATCAATCCAATCGTAACATCACCCTTCACCCGGGCGTAGAGGTCTACCTCGACTTCTAGATCGAGCTCAATCTTGATCTTTAGAGCGCTTTTTTCAGCCCCTTCCTTCGCCGGCCTATCTTTGATCCTCGACTGCCTGATAGCTCCGTTCGCGCCGCCCAAATTTCCCGTGACTCGCTCTTCCCGTTGAGGCATGGCAACTTGGTTGTTTGCGGGTGCATAATCTTCAACAGGTGCAGGCTGGTGCTGCGTCCGATCAATTGTTTTTTGTCCTTTGGCCTGGCTACTTCTGAGAGGGTTGCTTTTGTTGTTGGCAGAGTCGGATTCGGATTGATACACATCGTTGTTCTCTCCATCAGAGTCGACTTCTCTATCTGGACTGTGTGGAAATGATCCTAGGTAAGCATTGGAATTCAACAGGAGCGGAAGTTACGAAAAAGATGGTCAAGTACCCGTCAGACATTGTGAATGAATTTTATTGGACTAAAGTTGAGTTAGGCGTTGAAGATGTAGGCTTTAGCTGGAACTGCGTTGTATGTTGTTTAAAGCTTGTATAAACCGTTTAATAATATTTAACATGATCGACACATGGCATTCATACGACGTACTTGTATATACGTTTAATTGTGGAGGATATAAGTCTGGATGACGTAGGCGATCCAGGTTGTGGTCGGAACTTGGCCTTCGTAACTTTCCGGTGTGGCGCTTACATCGCAATACAAGTAATCCCTCCCTTGATGACGTTAAAGGTGGCTCCAAACCGCTGGAATGCTTGGTTATCAGTATGCGGGGTGCGATAAGTAGTAGGGTTATCCTATTATCTGCCTGTGGACCTGTCTATCTTACTCGTTTCACACCCGTGGTTTGCGTTGTTCTCATCCAGTAAACCCTGAGGATGATCAACACGCGTCATAACCCTTTTGGCATGGATTCGACTACAGTGGAATATGGGCCTGACCGCGATTTTCTATCTCTAGGGTATCTAGCTATGACCAGGCGGCTTGGGCATGCTTATCCATTAATTCTCAAGGTCAAATGTGAATTACGTCAAGGAGAGCAACAAGTAGCACAAGAATAGCATCTGTCTTGTCCTACTTCCATGATGATAAGCAACCCCCATTCCGTCCAAGGGATTTAAAACTCCTAGCAGATGGTGTGAGAAATAGCGAGTATAGATTTTCCCTCTGGCTGTATAAGGAGTGTCATACCGTGCAACCGTGTGTATCAAAATCTGGAGTCGTACCTGCTGCACGGCCGTTGCGGCTAGTTTTTGAGAAAGACCTCTGGTACCAGTAGGCAGTGAAGCCTCTCGGTTGGAAATCTATATCTTCCAAAGTCTAAGCTTTTAAACAATGCATTTTCATCTAACTACCATCGTAATAACTCCTCCCCCCAATATCGTTCGCCTCCACCTCCACCCTCACAGTTTGCAGAATCTTCCCCTCCTCCAACTCCCTATCCTGGCCTTTTCTCCGCCCAGGACTACTAATATGGACGAGAAGTTCCGCCGTTCTTGGAGTCATCTGCCAACTCTCCAACTCATGAACGGTTCTTGCGGATCCCTTATCACCAACAGAGTCATGCCATATAGAATCATGGTTGAGATGTGTGGTGCGGAAGGTAGAGGATGCGGAATCGAGTTGAGGGATGGCGGTTGAGTTTTTGAATGGGGTGAAGCCTAAGATGGAGAGTTGAGGGAGTTGGGAACGCATGACTGTGAAGAACATGGGTATTGTAGGGAGGCATGTGCAGATTAGTCCGAGAGAGACTTCTGCGATGCCGCAAAGGCCTGGTGCGATAATTGCCCGGGTTTGGTCTTTGGTTTCGAAAAGTATGATTATGTAGACGAGCCGTCCGATTGAGGCACAACAAACCTGAGGAACACCTGTTAGTATCTAATGCCGTCTAAACGGGGGTAACCGGGGGGGTTTCACAATTAACCCAGTCGCAAAAGCAGCAGAAACTTGTATTTTCTGCTTTATCGATATCTGTAGTTTCCATATTGCAAATATTGGCAGAACCAGTACCCCAAAGTCCGAAAACACGTTGACTGCTCCTGAAGCGACAAAGGTAGCCGGGAGGTCAAAACAACGCCCCTTGGTGATGAGCTTGTTCCAAGCCATTTCTCGCGGATTGCAGGAAAATATCTGGAAGAAAGTGACCACGATATAAAATATTAGGTGTGCCGAGAAGACAATGCTTATTCCTATAAACATGCCCATATTGTTTCGGCGGTTGGGTACGAATATTCGTAGATATTGTAGTAATAGCGAGAATTTTACCATGAAGATGACTGGGCCATATAATATTTGTACAACGTTTGACCACTACCGTAGACTTAGCTGATTGCGATGATCTGAGATTCCGGAGGGACAAACATAGAGCATTTCGAAGAAATCTCTTAATCGAGTATTCCACTGATGTGCCCCTCCATGCCGCGCAGCGATTAAGTTTGGAGCACACCAACCAATGAACATGGCCTAGAAACGTTTAGCAGCCGCATCATGACAAGTAATGAGTTGCCTACCCAGGCTAGAGCAGCAGTATCTATATATCATGTTAGCATAGGGTGTCATTGCGCTGACGACTTGTAGACATACAATCTTCCCAGTATAGTGGCCGCGCTATACGCCGTTGCGTATATATTCGCATTGCGAGAGCAAGAGTCGAGAAGGATATTGCCAAAGCGACAGTTGGAACCGCATAAACAGACAGTGTATCTGGATGATCAAAATTTGGGGTCACCCCGGGCGGAGGGTGTAGCGCTGGCCCGTTCATGAGCGCTTCATACTCGGCTGGCGATATATTTTCCATGGTCGCCAGTGATACAAAACCACGCTTAGAACACCAGCCTCTAGGAGAAAGAGACTAGAAACCAAGGCCACAATAATAAATAGGTGGTTTGAGTACCTAGCGGCTTACTGAAAACATGGCGAATGCCATCCTATAAGGGTACTGGCCTTAGACATAGCGGTTACATCTTGCAGTAAGGTCACAACCTTTGTTGCAGCAAAAACTGGCGCACTGGATAAATATGTTGGGTTTCAGGGACAAGATAATAATACATGGTCGTTCGTATTCGACCGAAAAGGCTGTTGCAAGCTACATCAAGTAGGTGCCAAATCGCAATGCCAGATTTCCTGCATGGAAGGATCGTGGATCCTGCGTGGCCGGCAGGCCATCCATGTGTCTCTCAGACTTTGTCTGCTTCGGCAGCAGCCTTTATCCTGTCGAATCCTTGTATTACACCAAAACACCTGCAGTTTACACCCAGTTTACCTACCTAGGTACTGATAAACGCAAAGATGTTTGGTGATGGCTGGATGATATTGCACGAGGAATCCTCCTAGAAACTCTCGGGCATCCCCGTGGTTGTAGAGAACAAGAAACTCGCCTGATTCGCGGCAAACATAAAATCAGACTCATATATCTGACTTGGATTTGAGTTATTATTGAACGAGACTACTCATTCTGTATTTAGCTTTGGATAACTTCTGGTTCGTCCGTTTTGAGGTCGTGGGATTGATTGTCCCTCTTCCTATAGGAATTCCGAGCCACTGGGCCTGGGCTATGTACTGTAAGATCTTGCGAGGGGAACCATAGGACCACACTTGTCGCGCCGCACAATGTTACCATCCGTACCCAGGTAAGGGTCCGTACCGCCCGTCACTAGGCAGTCGCAAATACTTGACAACATTGGGTGTGGGCGATCAAGGATATCTTGTCGTTGAAATATTGTTTTGAATGGAAACTGATTAATGCCACCTCAGGCGGCGAATTCAAAAACTTCAAAACACGTGACCGTCCATCAAATGAAGTATCACGTGAAGGCGCTGGATCCCATCGCCTGAAGTAGAAGTAGAAGTAACACAACATGAACAAACCTTATTAACCGCGTCATGACCCATCTTAGCTAAAGTTTCTATCTAACCATGAAACTCCCGTCCCTCTTCCATTCTACAATCATCTCACGCACAAGCACAAGCACAATTAGTAGCACCCGCCGCCCATTCCCCATATCCCTTCACTCCGTACGCAAGATGACCCAGCCCACATTCTCCTCGAACTACTCATCGGAAGAAGGCCTGAACGACCTCACACCTCTCCTGAAAGGTTCTGGGCAAGGAGGGAGATGGACGTTAATACCCAGTGGAAAAGGGATTGAGAGACGGTTTCAGTTTAAGGGGTTCAAGAAGACATGGGTTAGTTTATAACCCTTTTGTCTCTTCCGTATAATTTGAGTTGTGCTTTGGTTTGGAGTTTTTCATGGGATACATGATATGATTACCTTTGTGCTTGTCTATTTTTCAACTCCATCTCAAAACATTATATATAGTTAAGATGCATCAACCCCAGATTCCGAGAAGTGGTAAGCTCATAGAAAGAGATGCTAAGCTGGATCCAAACAGGAATTCATGAACCTGATAGCCCCAGAATGCATTAAGCAAAAACACCACCCGGAATGGTCAAATGTGTATAACACGACTTATATTCGTTGGACTACGCATTCGCCGCCTGGGTTATCTGCTAAAGATGTGCTGATGGCGAGGTTTTGCGATGAGCAGGCGGAGAAGTGTGGGGAGGTTGTGCAGGAAGAGGGAGAAGGGGAGAAAGAGGGAGTAAAAGGAGGCGAGGATGGAGATGTTGGGAAGGGATTGGTGGATAGAGTTGCTAGTGAGGCGGGAGATTGTTGTGTGCCAAAGGGGAAGGGGAAGGGGACGTAACGAAGCTATACTTTGGTATGCCGCAAAAAATGATTTTATCAAAGTTGGAAGTGGCTTGTATTAATAGTAAACTATCCCCAATGGTAAAAAGTATTGGGTTAACCTCATCTGTAGGTAGCTATATCTGGGAAGCCCTCCTTTGCGCCTGGGAATCAAACCTCCGGCCTGATGGTCGTCCTGCTGCCACCTCTAGAGCCTATTCTCCATTAAATTATTAATCGACGCCACCGTCACGCCAATTGCAACCCGTTATCATTGGCCTCGTCTCCCAGATACTTTGTGTCCCTATGGTCATATACAATAGAACGCATAGCTGGCCTCGCTTGTCAACCGCCCCCTATATACAATATATCTTCGCCTCTTGTGAGTTTACTGGACCTTCTTGCCAGCCTTCGCGTCCTTGCGCTCACGTCTCTTCTGAGCCGCGTCAGCGCCAGACTCGGTATCCAAGACGAAATCCCACCATCTGAAACTGCTTGCGTAGTTGCCGATGAACTTCTCATGATGCGTGTCGTGATGGTCGGCACCAGCCCAGAACGGGAGGAAGTGGTGCAAGCTCCAAGGAAACTCGTATCCGCTATGGGCATCGATAGCCTGGGCTAGACGGCAGACGATCCAGAGATACATGGTCAAAATATGAAGGTTGCCCGTGATCATGACCCAGAGGATCGGAGCCCCGACGGTCCCGGCGCCGAGAATCATGACTTCGATTGGAGAGGCATACTCGGCGGCAAGTCCAAATGGTGCTGAGTATTGGTGGTGGATCTTATGGATAGACCGGTAGAGGGGGCCCCAGTGCATTGCGCGGTGCATCCAGTAATGCCATGCATCCTCCAAGACGAAGAAGACGGCGATTTGGATGGCCATGGTGGTCCAGGCTGGGAAAGGCACGCCGGTCTCCATGCCCAGGCTTTTCGCCATGGGATGGAACAGCCAGATCTGAGGTAATTCGACGGTGAAATGGCTGAGGAGGACGACTTTGGCGCAGGCCCACTGCTCCTCGGCAGTTGGGATCTTTTGCGCCTGAATCTTGTATTTGTTGAAGTATGGGATGCGATCGATGATGATCCAGGGGAGACTGCGGCCGAAGTAGACAATCTCGTGCATGGCGAAGCTCATGATTCCGGTTGCCAGGACATCGTTCTGCATGTAGGCATACCAACTCTAGAGGATCGTATTAGCATCTAGGCGCATTGAAGGAAGGGGGGGGGGGGAAGATGGTATGGGGAGGAAACATACCGCCCAGAGGCGCTCAAAAATATTGAGGTGGACATTGTACTTGGACAATTCGTTGTAGATGCCCATGTACGTCTCGGGGGTGGTGAGGAGAGTGGAATTCGACATGACTGTGTCCATGGCTGACCAAGTCTCTCTTGGGGGGGAAGAGAGAGAAGGGAGAAGAGAGGATAACAATCAATCGCAATGATAAATGTTGAGGAGGAGAAGCGGCGGCGACCAGACTTTATTGTGTTAAGTTTAGTTAGATTAGGTAATTTGGGGACCGGCTTCGCGGAACCCCTGGGAACCCTTGAAGGGGCAAAAATTGGCAAACTCAGGCCATAAAAGGGAGGAATCAGTGGTAAACACTCGCCCGGAACAGAAGAAACCCGTGGTGGCGGTAGGGTCACGTGGTTGGATGGTCACGTGGGCGCCGTATTCGTATCCGAATTCTCTCTCTTATCGGCCAATGTTAGGGATGGAAATGGGAAATGGGAAATGGGATGTGAACCTATTATGAGATTTGGGCACAGCAGTCGTCGTGTATCTGCAATGATTGTGCATCTCCGAGTCGTGTACCCTTTTGCCACAACAGCCCGAACACGAAGTACATGTAATTCGTCATGAACTACAAGGCAACCTTTGAAGAAGTACTCAAAGCAAAACTACCCAGGTAACTAGCTACCTTTAGTTTTATCTACGAAGGTATGGAGTACATATATATATTGGCAGCAATGCACTGTACTTATGTGATCTCTAAAGACTTGATCACGATACTTATTATTACTTGGCTGTTTTGGTTGGCCCATAATTATAAATAAATATCCTCAACTCTCGCAGCTATTTATTAGACTCGAGGGAATGGCCAACCACGCTACGTCGTACTAGCACGGAGCATTCTCTCCCCTCTGCCTCCGTACCTTGAATTATTGGGGTTCTTTCGGCCCCTATTCCCCTAATATCCCTCTCCCCCTATCCTGTCTTCCATGTTCCATGCCGACTTTGATCTCGCTCTGATCCAAGGGTCGAATCGTACGTGGAGCCACCTGCGCCTCGTCAAACATCGTCTGTTGCTCATTCGATCGCGTGAGACTGTCAGGTCATAATCCATCTATCTGTTGGTGCTAAAGGAGGGTTTTATTATTACTTATCAGGGCGCCGATACCAACAGCGCGCTGCGTCTGACATGCGCCGACTCGTACACTCGGACCCCTGGCATCCTCCATTTTCTATTTTCCATTTTCCATCTTCACATGCTTTCGTTGAGTTAAAAAGTCGCCAAATTCCCACCGCGACACGTTTCTCACGGGCTCCCAGCGCAGATCGATTTCACCACCAATCCCACAACAGCAACAAGTGCAATGCCCCCGAGCGCCCGCGAGGCTGCCAACGAGCAGAGGCGGCGTCTGCACCACGAAGCAGACGTCGTCGTGGTCGGTGCCGGCATTTTTGGCTGCGCAATTGCCTTTGCGCTCGCGCGACAGGGACGCAGCGTCCTGCTCCTCGAACGATGGCTCAAGGAACCGGATCGCATTGTCGGCGAGCTGCTACAACCTGGCGGTGTAGCGGCGCTCAAGAAGTTGGGGCTGGGGGATTGTCTGGAAGGAATTGATGCTATTCCAGTGACGGGCTATTCGGTTATCTACTATGGCCAGGCCGTAGGGATTCCGTATCCTCTCAACGCAGGCGCCGATTTGGGTTCTACAGGAGGTGATACCAAGGGCAACGGGGAGAAGCCCTCGAGGCCAGAAGGCAGGTGTTTTCACCACGGCCGATTCATTAATCAATTGCGCCAGGCGTGTGCCAGAGAACCAAATATCACCATCGTCGAAACCGAGGTCACGAAGACTATCACTGGCACACACAATCCACAGGTTCTAGGCGTCGAGTCAACGACCCGGAACCCAAAGACAGGACTTAGAGAGAAGGGATACTATTTCGCACACCTCACTATCATCTGCGACGGTTACGCCTCGAATTTTCGAAAGCAATACATCAACCGAAAATCGGTAGTGAAGAGTAGATTCTACGCCCTCGAACTAATCGATTGTCCTATGCCGACCCCAAACTACGGAATCGTCATATTAGGGGAGTCAGCCCCCGTTCTCCTCTACCAGATCGGCACACACGAGACAAGAGCTTTAATCGACGTCCCCGAGAACACGCCCACAGCGTCACCCGCTGCAGGCGGCGTTCGAGCACATCTACGGAACGTCGTCCTCCCCTCATTACCCAAACAGGTGCAGCCATGCGTCGAAGCCGCCCTAGCAGACGGCAAGATTCCACGGAGCATGCCAAATAGCTGGCTCCCACCATCTACACAAACCGAACCTGGGGTAGTCGTCCTCGGCGACGCCATGAACATGCGGCATCCCCTAACCGGCGGCGGAATGACCGTAGCATTCAGCGACGTCGTCATCCTCTCCTCCCTCCTTTCCCCTGAACGAATCCCTCAGTTAGGAGATACAGCTGCCGTGCGGCGCGCCATGAAAGAATTCCACTGGCGCCGCAAAGGTCTCTCCTCCATAATCAACATCCTCGCACAGGCGCTTTACTCCCTCTTTGCAGCCAACGACTCACAGCTCAAAGCCCTCCAGCGTGGCTGCTTCGCATACTTCCAAAAAGGGGGCAATTGCTTGGATGGCCCCGTCGGGTTGCTTGGTGGGATCATCCACCAACCGATGGTCCTCGTCTACCATTTCTTCGCTGTGGCCTTGCTGGCGATATGGCTTGTGATAAAAGAGGTGGTTGGTTCACTGATTGGGATATATAAGTTGCCGCTCGCAATAATAGAAAGCTGCAGGGTGTTTTGGACCGCCTGTGTCGTTATCTTTCCTTATATTTATAGTGAGCTGAGAAGTTGATATCCCTCTCGAACCGCCTGAGACCAACCCCACACATACCACTCGTATTGCATGTCCTTCTTCTTATGTATGATATATCCCCTGTTATTTATTTTTGCAGCGAGCATGTCATGGGCGTATTGGAATGGGCGTTGTATCTATACGAGGGATTCAATTACTGTATTTATCCTAGATATAAAGATAGATTATACACATTAATTACTAAATTAAATCAACCACTCAGTATCAGAAGACAAAGAGCCTACAATATGCTTTCTCTTGGCTCTTGAGCCTCCATTCTCGAGTTCTGCTCTGACCATCCTGTTGCCGGGATACGAAAACGGTACCAAGACATGAGGTAAGCACAGGTGGGCAGAAGAGAATAGCTAATTCTTAGAAGTTCCAATTTTAGAGGCCGTGGTCTCTAATAATCCATCAGACCTGAACGCCACCCATGTGTGTATCTATGCACCCACGCGTATGTGTATGTGTATGTGTATGACATACCACCATGCCATCCACGGCAAAGCCAGACAATACGAAATGCCCAAACCCAATGCCGCTAAAGTCAAATCATGAAACTGTCTGGTGGCTAACATTTGCACCCTTTTCTTCCCCGGGCACACCATCCCTATCAAAGATTTATGATATCGATCTCTGAAAAATCCGGGGGATTCCTTCCGTAAACAACTCTACATTTCCCATCCAGGGCCGCACCCACATTTGAAATCCAAATGTTCTGCCCCGCGAACCCCCTCGTCCTCCTCACCTCGTCATCACTAACTCCAATATCATCACCAGGGATCCAGATCGTTGGTTTTCTCGCCCTCAAAGCATAATGCTGGAAAGCATGTCGAACCAACACGTCTCTTTCGTCGGGCGTGAGATCCTCAATATCATCGGCAATCCCCCCGTATAAGGCATCAGCGATCTTTTTTTGCTCTTCAGCATCACGGTGTTTGCGTTTTCGGAGGTTCGGTGGCTTGGTATGATCGTTGCCAGGACCAAAGGTCTTGGATTTGATGTTTCGGCCGGAGTTCATGGCCCAGCTTCCAGCGCCTTGGACCATGTTGACAGGATTGAATTTGGTGCGTTTGTCTGGGCTGGTAAGCCGGGTGAGTTCAATGGCATCATCCTTGTCTCTTGGCCCGGCCTCTACATCCTCATCATTGAGGCCGAGGCGGCGGGCCTGTGCGCGCTCGAAAGCTTGGTCACGGAGGACGGCTTCATCCTCGAAGGTAATGGGAAGATGGCGGAAGAGAGGACTAAAAGACATGTTTAGGAGGTATTGGTACAGTACTGTGAGAGCCGCGGCGACGATCATGATGATCGCTTGTGTCGCACAGGTTAAATTCCCATCCTCATCCCGCACTAGGAAGAAAAGGCCAACTAGGCAAAGCTCCATCACGTAAAGGCCAGTGAATGTCTGGTTAATAGCACGGGGGTACAGTAACCCGCCAGTATCTAGCTGGAATCGCGAGACGTAAAGCATGTTGTACCGCTGCGCGATCCAGAGCAACGTAAAGGTGATGATGGCGAAGACGATGATGATCGGCGAAACGACACTGTAGATCAGTGCAATACAAGCAAAGTTGGTATAAACGGGGTAGAGCTTGCCCCAAGTCACGTTTGGAAGCGTGGTATTCCTGGTCCATTTTTCCCGGGCAGTGCTGTCGAAGAGCTTTGGGATTATGTACCAGGTAATGAGAGTAACGACCTGAAGTAGGGTTCCGGAAGACGTAGATAGAGCTTGAAGAATCATATAGGAGAAGAAATAATTGGCTGCTTTAGGCAGTTGGGTTGCAAGCGTTTGGGGAATTGAGGTAATATCTTTTGCCGACGACACAAGAGTGGCTGCAACACCCCCAGTGAGGGAGACGATCAGAAAGACTTGGACAAATAGGAAGGCGAAATAATAATTTTGCACACATCGTTGTTGTTCGGTCCCCGTTTGGTTTCCTTGAAGAAACGCCAGGTAACTTAGAATCGCTGGTACGAGGGCGAGCAAGATACCCAAAACAAGGGCTGGCAGAACACCAGCAATTGCTTGGAGGATGTTTTTCGGGATGCGGTTAAGCCAGTGGAGCCATGTATACCTCTGAGCCAGTACGCCTAGCTGAGCAAGGGTGGCCGTCCAACCAACGGGAACCGCCCAGAGGATGATCATACCCGCCACAATAGCAGTAACGATAGCAGCTCTGACCCAAGCTTCCCACCATTTGATAGACATATTGTCCCAAAGAACATCCTTCGGTGCTATCTCAACCGTTCTGGGGGCCATATGCTTTGGCACATGATGCGTGACAGCCTGGCAAGCCATATGAGCGGCAACTTGATGATTGAACTGTATAAATGCAGAGTTCATCAAGGGGAATCGCTCTGGATGTTTCTGGTCTATTTCAATCTCTAAATTCATACGGGCCAACTCCTCGCGACACCAGTAGATCGTGTCCACCTTTTTATTGATTATAGGAAGACCAGGCAGCCAGCCAGGAGTCCAAGAGAACCTGGCAAGTCTATGTGTTGGCCGTTCCTTCTCTTTCAGAAACCTTTGCCAAACTGCAGCAGTAGCATTTTCCTTGTAGTCTTGATTGTATGCTAGAGGGTATTCGATATGTTGCGATCCTTTGTTCAAGAAAGGTAGAGCGGACTTGATCGTGGCTCCAAATCCTTTCGTCTGCTGTTGCTGTGGTTTGGTCGACTCCTCAGATTGCGTCAATGGAAACTCATCGCCCTCCTCATATCCAGTTGGTATAGGTGATGCAAAGCCACCAGCAGGACCCTTCCAGAATCTCCACCAGCCATGGGTATGGCCGTCATTCTCGCCGTGGACAAATTCCCCTCTCCGAGTTGCATTTCCAGGAAGTCTCGTAGGCTGTCCCTGGTGATCACCATCTTTCGATGACTCAAATGATCGTGAATCTCCCCGCACCTTTTCTGCGTCATTGCCATCTGCTGCGGCGGCATTGCTGTTGCCATCAACATGTCCAATGTATCGTCCATACTCATCATAATCACCATCTACTGGAGAATTCGCATCGATATTCACGAAGCCATGCGTAGTCTGGAGTTGATTGTCGAGATCTCTGCCAATGTTACGGGCGCCTCCAACCACGGTGCTGCCTGCGGCCCCAAGTCCCTTTCCAAGGCCCTGACCCACAGCGCCGAATCCCTTTTCAACGGCAGCTAGACCGCCACTAATGACAGGTATCTTAAATGTTCCTTTTCGTTGAGTCCCTTCTTCGGGCGTGGCGCTTCGCAGATCTCTCATCCTCTGCTCCTCCTCCTCAATGGCATCATCTATTGTATGTGGCACCTGATGAGGATCACCCGAGCTCATGCCTCCGGTACGGGCTCGGTGTTCGGCCTCCAAATTCTCGCGCTTCAGTTTCTGTTCTCGTTCATCCTTAGTAAGTCGCCGTTGCTTCGACTTTTTTGCCTCATCTTTGTCATCTTTCTCGAGCTGCTTCTTCTGGGCTTTCTTTGCCTTTTTGACAAGCTCTGTCTCTGCGGCTTCCAGCTTTTTGAAGATCTTATCTCGTTGGCGAATCTTGTCGAGCAACTCGTCAAAGTTGCGATTGATCCAGATATTGCGAATTCCGCCAGGGAAAACGTCGTAGAGACCAGAAAGCGCTTCTTCCGTGAGCCACTTCTTCGGTATGGCACTCACCAACACCGTCGTCGCAGATGCCCTCAAGCGATGTTCAGCTGATGTTAAGTAATCCTGTCGGACTTTGATGTAGACCCGCAGCTCTGCAAAGAACACGCCGCAGACCCAGACAATGACCACCAATGCAAGGACTAGATGAGCCCAATATCGACGGGTGTGGGTAGGCCGCACGTTTCCCCAAGCTAGTTGGTCCAGCCCAGTAATATTTGCAAATTGCGAGCCCGTGATATTGCCATGTTCTAACGCATATCCTCCGCCCCTGCCACCGACGTAGTTGATAGGGAGAAGAACTGGAAGCAAAACGAACGCGAGGGGTACGAAGATGATAAGGAGCGTTTGTAGATATCGTAGGAAGAAGTAGGCATCGAGGCCGCATTTTTTGATAATCTCTCTGTCTCGAAATCGGAATATGGCAAATAGCCAACCCCATGGGCTTCTGGGAGGTGGCTCAGTTCGCTCTCGTTCGGGCACCAGGTACGTCTTGGGTTTACTATATGTCATTAGCCAGGGAAGGGATATGATGCAAAGGATGTCTCCTGCAACTTACAATATCCGTGCAAGTTTATTCTTTAGTAGAATGAACGCGAACATCTGCACACCAAAAATGATCAACGACGAAATCAAGGCCGATGTAAGGGCGACTATGGTGATTCCCTGCGTGCCTTGGGCGGAGCCAGGCCCCAGAGTGTTTGATTCCGTGGGGCTCCCAGATGCCGGCGAGGGGGGGTTTGTGGTCGACGACATGATCACCTAAGGTAGGTAGTCGCAAGGTCTTTGTATAGGCTGAGACTATCGAGGCATGAGTTCCGTATGGGGCAGACAAGAGTAGCCGGCACTCTTGTGTCAATGGCTCGAAATCGAAGGGTCGTGACCCGTGAGAGAGTATCTTGTTTGTGAATAGATCGATCCTGCGAGCAAGTGTAAAGGAGGAAATAGGTCTGGTATTAATTAGGTGGGGGGGAGGGTTCTGGGTATATGAAATATGGAGAGACGCTTTAAAACGTAGGGCCTGGGGCGGTCATATTTATCAAGAGCGCCTCTTTGTCATAGGGCTGTGTGCAAACGGTGAATGGCAGAAGGAAAGAAAAGTTGGCTGTGGTCGTGAATCTTGCTTTGCTGTCCTGTCCTGCAGGAGCTCGAGGCATTGATTGATTGCGCCTGGTCTGGCTGAACAAATACCGGTGTAGGAGAGCGGGTTTTGAGACACGCCCATGACATCAACATCGCCTTGATTAGCTGCACCTATTGGCGAGATCGCCCCTGAACCCCTGAACCACTTTCTTTTGATTGAGATTGATTCGACCTCGGTCATCGCTTGGCTTTGTTTTGATACAGAATAGCCGCTCCTAAGGCTTTGTGACTTTGACGTTCCAAGCATCAAGCGCTGGTCTTTTTGTTTGATTCGGTGCTATTCTATTCATAGATTTAATCTTTTGTAAACGGCGCAATAGCGCGCTTCAGTAACTTGTAATAGCGTTTATCAGTTCGGGCGCTTCAAGAACGGAGAAAAGGGATCTGTGAGCACGTGAATATATTAGTCATCCACCGCGTGAGGACCGATAGCGGTCACGTGGTACCCCTATCACATATCTCCTCCGTTCTCCATTCTCCTTTCTCCTTCATCCCTCAAGCCCTATGAACAGCCTCAGAGCAATCAATCTCCATTCGTCTCCCAGTGAAGCTGTAAAATCTCTCAGATACTTTCGATGGTTTTGGCTTGACACGTAATGGTAACTTTTGTTTTTCTGCTGCACTCGTACAATGACGCACTGGTAGTACCTTGCCCTGCCAATCCGATGTGGTGAAATATCACTTGCAATATATCATATTTGCTGCTGTTCCCTCCCTATTTCGGGGGGGATCTGAGGTGAGATGTAGCTGTGTAACGAGTTAAAGTAAATAGCAGTCCAACGAAGCCTATAAACCAGTCCTCGTAATCAGGGAATTGGAATTGTAACGTCGACAACCCGCTCTTCTAGGATGGCAACCAACGTTTAACTCTGATCTCATCGAATTTTCTAACATTTGCAGAACGCATACGAAGTAAATTGTTGTATAGCACCTTTGGCCTTCGAATTCTCTATCCACCCCTGCATCACGACGACGCGCTCCGGTACAGAACGACCCCGTCGCGTCTTCCCCCGGTCTCACATAGATTCCTCAGTTTCCAACTCCATCAATGTCCCTCTCAACATCGCCACCCAGGAAATGCCATCACTCCTTGATCTTCCCCGAGAAATTCGCGACGAGATCTACACATTGGTTCTCCTATCTCCAACGAACTTGGTCGAAATCCACCGCCCACCTCGACCCTCTGTATCCCGCAAACCAGCACTGCTCCCTCCAGCGCTGCGATCAACAGCACTCTTTAGATTATGTTTCATTCACGCCAGGAATCCAGAGCGCTTGGGCGCACAAACTGTAGCCCATATTGCGCCCGGGCACAAGATCGCGTCAACTATCGCCCAGACAACCCTATCCCTTCTCCGCGTAAACCGACAGATATACAACGAGACACACATGCTTTTTTGGGATAATACAATTTTCTCCTTTCCCAACATCAGCGACATTCCCGTCACATATCCCCATTCCTACAACGAGAACCTCGGTGTCCTAAAAACCCTCAAAATGATGGGCCAAACAGCCTCCCGGCTCATAACCAGCATACGGCTGGAAATGGGCCGTTCTCGCTGCGAATATGGGACCTTGGCAAGAATCTTGAATGTGCTGGCCAGTCGGGCGCGCTACGGGCAGTTTCAAAGACTGGAGCTGTGTTGGGGATGTGTCGAGTTCTTTGATCTGAGGCAAGTTAAGCACGACCTACTCAGAAGGCCGCAGGGTATAGGGTATCAATGCCTCCTTGATTGTCTACTAAAGGCGAATAATCCGGGCAAGGGAGGTTATGACAGGGTTATATATATTGATTCCGGGGGAAGGAAGTTAGATGAATCTCACGAGACAAGCCAGGAACTTGTTAAGGATTTACACTTTGCATTTGGAGGGCAGTTGTTTTGGGGCGGGAAATTGGCATGGGAGAATTATAAATGGGTTTATAATGAGTCCTTGCTGCCAGTGCAAGGTGGTAAGGCCTTGATGAATAAAAGGATAAGGTGGCCAAGACAGGAGGGCGAGGGAAGTGTTCAAGAAAGCCCTTGGTGAAATTGGAAATTGGGATGATGGAGAGTAATTCATCAGCAGCTACGGAGTACACCACTATATTTCGAGTTAGATGATGTTCGACAGCGTATTACCTTGGCGTATTTATTCACATTCCTCGAGTAGGACGAGCATTCTTAGACACCACACCGTAGGATGCAACTATAAGGAGGTTTGTTTCCTACAAATTCCTAGGTTGGTCAAAGGCTGTTTGCGGAATAAAAATATACTGAATAGGTGAGAAAAGTTGTAAGTATATACCCAAGGTATTTGATACTTTATAATGGTACCAGCCAGGCTCAAGTACAAAGCCACAAGTACCTATCTATAACAATCATGCAAATCTCACTCATTCTCACCGACTCTTGCTCTCTAAGATTCTGTTCCAAAAAGACATCCACTCTCCAAGGAGCTGCTAAACCCGCAATCTATTTGCATCCATTCCGTTCGTGGACTAACCTCCCCTTAACCCACACGGCCCGCGTATTTCTATCATCTCCGTTAAATACCCACTTCTCAATACAATTATCCCAACTTTCCCACCCAAAAATATCCACTGGGCCTTCCTCCTCCTTCATCCCTCCCACCTCGTCTACAGAGCCCATACCAATAAGCTGCGCATCCCACTCCATGCCCGTCTCAAACCCCCCAATCCGGTCCCCCAGCCCAACAACCTTCGCCCCCCCTTTAGTAGCAAGATAGAGAATTTCTTCGATGCTTAGCTTGGCAGCATCATCCCCAGTCATAGCTACATGTCTACTAACAAGACTAGCCTGCCGTGCGGCTTCCAGGATGCTAGGACTATACCCACCACTCATATCAGTACCTAGGCCAACTTCAATTCCCTTGTTCAACATCCACCTCACCCTCGCCGCACCAGACGTGATGGCGGAGTTTGAGGCCGGACAATGGCTTATCTTCGCCTCTCGTTTCTTGATCAGATCGGCTTCTTCTTCAGATATATGCACGGCATGGGCTAGGATAGTCTTTGGTGTTAGCAAGCCATGGTCGTCGTATACAGCCGTGTAATGAGCATGTTCGGGGAATAACTCCTTCACCATGGCAATCTCGTTATGGTTCTCTGAGATGTGCGTTTGGATGGGGAGATTCGTCTCTTTATGTAGAGCGCCGAGTCCGCTCATCAACTCGCTACTGCAACTGGGTGCAAAGCGCGGGGTGATGATGGGCGTGATGAGTTGATTTCCCGGGTCAATTTCTGCAATGTGCGCAATTGTCTTGCGCGTGTCTTCAACTCCGGACTCGGGGGATTCATCGCGGTAGTCTTCTGGGGAGAGTGTGTCCATGCAGCAGCGGCCGATGAAGGCACGCTGGCCATGGGAGAGGCAGAGGTCCGCTAGCAAATTGGTAGCGGGCACCGAGACGGTAGCGTAGTAGGAGGCGGTTGTGGTGCCGTGGGAGAGAGTCCTTTGGATGCAACGAGTGTACACTCTCGTTGCCCTGGAGAGATCAGCGAGGCTGCGCTCCATGGGAAAGGTGTACGTGTTCAGCCACTCGAGGAGAGTGGTTTTGCCGAATATCCCGGCATTGGGGAATTGAGAGGCGTGGATGTGTGTATCTACGTGGAATTAGTGACTCGGTATCTAAATAAACAGAAATGATATCACACATACCTATGAATCCTGGGAAGAAGAACTGTCCCGGTTTCGTGCTCCGTATTGTGACATCTCCGCTCTTCCAGCATAGCTTGGGGAAAAGACTCTCTGTAGCCTTCTTTTCGTCACACTGCGGCTCTATAGCGACAATAACCCCTTTCTCATCGACAAAGACAGCAGTATCATGGAAAGTCTCGATCTTATCTAAACTTTTGCAATGGACAAAGCTTCCCAAGAAAAGACTCTTCCCCACAGGATGGCTAGCCATGATGAAGACGTTGCTAAACGGTCTACAGAGCGGAATTTGAAAACTTTGAGAGCAAGCAAACAGAAGGGAAAATTATAACTAACTTAGACTTACATTTGGTTGCCCACTCCTAACTTGCTTTCTTATTAAAGACGTCAAGGCGAGTCTCCTTATCTACCAACTTAGAAGCCCGCGCTTGTCCGTATTAGGAAGGCCAAGCGGCGGAATCCGCCTCATGCCGATTTCACTTTTATTTGATGGGCAAAGCCGAGGTGATCGAAATAGAAAATTATGGTACTCGTACTCGTAGATCATTGCATTATGTTCTACATAAGATATACAATTATATCACAAGATCTAGCCTAATTCCACCATCTGGGTATCCTACCACCGTAACTCCGAGGTAAAAACGCATCCGCTATATACTTGTTCTACGAGGAGCCATAGTCCTCCGTAATGCCTTCTTCTCTTCCGTCTCATCAAGTAACGGAAGGACGCCCTCTTCTCTCATCCGCCCTAGAAATTCTTGTCCATATTTATATCCTACTTGATAGATCTCATCAAACTTGCCAAAATCTAACGTGCCATAAGGATCGATAGGCGGCCTCATATAAAGACATCCCGGGGTATTTTTCGCCTTTTCCAGTGCGTCAACACTTGACACATACGCAAGCCTAGCTTGAATTTCGGCAAGAGTAGGCGGATTTGGATATGAGGACAGTGGATTCCAGCGATTGACGAAGGCCCAGAAGCCGGATAACGAATCACCGAAATTCTGTGGAGTGTCATCGTCCAGGCTGCCCACATCAACCGCGAAGATGACATTGGCACCCAAGGATTTCATATGAGACACGGTGAGGTTGTCTACATATCCCCCGTCAAGAAGCATGCTACCTTCATCACAAAGAGGAGGGAGCAGACCTGCTAGGGACATAGAGGCTCGGACATATCTCCAGGCGTATCCGCTGGTGTGGATCTCCGAACGACTTTTGCTGATGTTGGTCGTATTGCAATAGAATTCGAGCCAGAAGTCTTCAATCTGGGTGTTGCCGAAGGTCTTGAATATACCTCGATTGAACTCGTGTCCAGTCGTATATGATGCAGAAGGATACGTCAAGTCCAGGGCGAAACGCCACATGCTAGCCATTCGTCCAGCAAACTTCTTCGCTCGGCCATACATGGGCACTACATCCGCGTCACGGGCATATAAGGCGCCGATAAAGGACCCTATGGATGTACCACCAATGATATCGATTGGGATTCCAGCTTCCTCCAAGGCTCGGATGATGCCGACTTGTGAAATGCCTCTGGCTCCGCCACCGCCTAAAACTAAACCAATTGATTTACCGCAAAGGCGTCTAGCAATCCTGTGAAAGTCTCCTTTAAAGGGGGTATCGGCAGAATAAATCGGTGTTTGCCGAACCCTACGTGAGGTGTATTTCTCGATCTCTGCCTGCAACACTTGAACTCGCTGCTTCAACGCAGTACCAAATCTCCTCGTTTGAGGATGAACTGGCAAGGAAGTAGTTCTAAATGACATCTGTACATGGTGGTGGCCGCCATTGATCCATACTCGATTGCGTAGCCATGCCCGAGTTAGACCTGGTGGAGAGAACCTATCGGCATGTAGGAGCACTAACTCCTTTCTTGCGGTTGTTTTCATCCCGAGGAGAAAACGTTCGTACTCTCCAATGGCAGGAGACCCTTCGGCGAGCCCGACCAGTAATATGCAATCCGCTTGGCTAATGCAAGTTTGCGTCCAGGGAGAATTGACGTTGGTATCTGATTCCACAACATTAGCATTAATTCCGATAATGGTTATGAAGGATGTGGATTTAGGGATGGCGGTCAGGAAAAAATTAGAGTTGCGTGTTTTGGTCTTCATTGAAGGACCTCGGGGTTAAAAAGTGATCATCATTCGCCAGAAACGGTAAAAGGAAATGCAAAATCTTACCAGCAATGTACAAGACGAGACCATATTTCTCCTCGAGATCTGCAAGATACTGAGATAGCTTCAATTTCCCCATACGACTAAATGCATGCCTTCCTAGATGGTTCAGGATGGCAGTCTGGTTGAGTGATGTGACCCCATTCGGCGCCCCTATTTGAGTCAGGGCGTTCATAAGCCGGCTACCAAACTCAATCACCGGCACTCCCGCAGTGACCGGGAGAATTGCAACCGTCCGGAGATTGAGGGTGGATGAGACTTTATTGCTCTTAGCGCCTGTCACTTTCGCCTTTCTTTGGTCAAAAATTGGGTCCTCTACCAAAGCTCTCATGCGAGACGCAATAATTTTCGAAATTTTAATGGTGATGCCCGGGTGCTCTTGTGCGAGACTGTTGAATAATGTCTTCGGGAACTTCGCAAGCTCTGTATCACGGATCGCGTGAAGCGTAGCAGGTCGTGTAGATTCAGTCATAACCTCCAGTTCGCCAACACTTTCACCTTGTCCATATTCGCCAACAACCTTCATTTCAGCTTGATCGTTATCGAGGACTAGCCGCAGGCGGCCATTCAGAACAATATATATGGCATCGCTGTCGTCTCCTTGGTGATAGATGACTTGGCCAGCACTTACTTGGACCCATTCCAGGGCAAAGTCGATATGTAGGATCAACCGAGGCAAGAGACTGGTCAAGCGTTTCGCCATAGTGAGCAAGACTACAGGGTACTTTTCGACGATCCTCTCTAATGAAGATCGCGGGAGGAAGCCAACATAGACGTCTGTCTTTGCTATAACATCAATGAATGACCGGTAAGACGATATAGTACCAATGTAACCGGCAATTCCACCAGGTTTAATCAAGGCTAAGCTTTTGCGACCCATCGATTTCCGTTTCCTGCCATCATGCAGAGCACCGCGTCCGGATGGCCCTGATGACCCGGCTTTGGTGCGAGAAAGGGTTGGGAAAGGCTCCTTCCCAAGTCTGCTTGATGCAGGGGGAGGGTGCGGCGAGCCAAGAACGGTCGATTCCGGCTTATCATCCACGGGTACACTAACATCCAGAAATCCATCGACCACATAGTAAAGGCCAGGGTTCCGCTCCCCTTGCTCAACGAGAACTGAGCCTTTGGGGAAGTAGACAATTTCGAGCTCGTCTCTCAGTTCCTGGGCTAAACTTTGTGTACTTGGAAATCCTCCCGCACTAATGCCTCCAGATGTCATGGACTCGGTATCGCCGTCGGTAGATGCTTCATAAGGGTCGATAAAGCCGAAAGCATTAGTGGTAAATACTGCTTTCTGCCGCTTTTGGTCGTAAGTGACGAGTCTTGGTGAGGCTTCAACAGAGTCTGACATCTTCAGCGCATTTTTTGTGTTGGTAAGACCAATTGCCTTGAAAATGCATTCCAGTATCGAAGCGCGGAATATGCTATCTTCATCGATTGATTCCTGACGGTGTAATGGTGCCCGCAAAGGCGAAGTATTGGTAAATGTATTGAAACCTCTTTGCGAAAGGGGACTCTGAGTATCATGATGCCACACATGAGGAGGTTGACCACTGGAAAGACCAATACCTTCAGCGAGGTTTGAGTTACTTCTTCGACCCCCTGAACGGGACATTTGAATGTTGGTAAGTAGATCCCCCGGACTGGGGCTCGCGCCGGTATCGCGAGGTATTGGCACATCAAAGGTTGTAGCAGATATGGCTGGAGACAGCTCCGCGGACAAGGCATGAATGGTAGCTTCCTTTCGGAGACCGGAAGAGGGTCGCCGTCTTCGACCTGCGCCAGGGTTGTGTAACGCGATCCCTTTGCTCCCCTCCTCGGCACCAATCCTTTCTTTCTCACGAGTGAATTTTTCTTTCAGTCTCTCTAACGCGTTCCCACGCAGGAAATTCGGTAGCTCATATGTTGTGTATTTGTTCATATGCTTTTCTGTGCGGAGGACCTCAGGTGTCAATCCTAGATAGGAATGGCTAGTTGCGAGTGTCACTCTTTGCAACCTAGTCAATATCACTTGCACAATATGCGCAGTAGCTTTTGGATAGACTCTGGTCAAGCGGCGAAACGCACTCGCAGGAATGATAGCGATTGTGGTATCCACGGTAGCTCTGGCAACAATATCGGGATGTGCTGAGTACGTCTGCGCTCTTCGCGGCCTAGGGCGCGACTGCTGGCGATCCCCATTGAGAGACAAGGGAGGCACCCTTGGAAGAGTCCCACCGGCCGTAGGGCTTGTGAGTGTTGATGTTCGTCGGTCGCGACCTCTAGCGGAGTCAATCGGGTTGGGAGAAGCATATATTGGACTTGTTGGTAGGGATGGAGGCGTATCATGGTGGCTATGGTTTAAGTCAAACCCAGCACTCGACGGATATTGTTGACGAGGGTATCCGCTACTTGAGGCACTGGACGCCAAATCATCATCCTCCGTGTGCCTTAATTTGACGTCTTCTGTAAACAGAGACAAAATCGAAAATAAGGAAGACATAGGGGCCCCATTCTTAACTTCAGTTAGCAACTCATATCCCTGATGTCCGCTTCCCAAACGTGGGCCATCGCTGCTATCCGAAGAATCATCATGATTGAACATCGCGGTCTCGGAATCAGATTCGCGGCCTTCGCGAGAGGACTTGACGAATATTTCCACCAGGCCATCTACAACCAAGCAAAATCCCTTTTCTTCTTCAAGATTCAATGTTTCTCCTGCTATGAGTTTCCTGGTTTGCATGCTTCGGGTAAGCTCGTGGAAGACCGGCCTCTCCAGATATCCAAACACCTTGATAGCACTAAGAAATTCGTCCAGGTAATTGGAAAATCCGGACTTGGACCCTTCTTCTTGCGTATCTGGGTATAGGTCTATTTGTGGCTCCTTTCGTTGCGGCTCCGGCGGCAGCCGGGCGTACATATTCAGGAACCTGTACCGGACGAACCAGCTTACAGTGGACACCAACGCAACCATGATGAGCATCCTGCAAGACATATTAGCAGTGATAATAAAGGCACATAATACCCGCTAAACATACAGAGTAGTTGCATTCATGGTAACCGTTAAGCTCGTAGAAAATAGAGTAAAGAGGAATGTGGGCAGGGTGATGGTGGTGAAGGTAATAACCCAGTACAGAATCCCGGGTACAACCCGAATCATAGCGAGAGCCACTCGACCAAATATCCCAAACCAGGAGGACTGCACAGGTGGCTGCGGGACAGTTTTCGCCGTGGCCAAAGCCAACGACGCGGTCGAGGTTGCGTTCATGCTGCCGGACAAGCTTGGGAAGCTCGAGGATATAGATGCGGAGAGCGACATGATGGACAGAATGACGGTATCAGCAGAGCTGACCGCTGCGAGAGTACTTCAACCCAGGATATATACAGCTCCCATTTTGCAAACCGTGGCTATTCCAGAGCTCGAAGTTGAGATCGTATCGCCAGTTGTGTTGTTTACATCCCTTATTCCAAGGGTCAAATGACGAGAGAGCCGAGTTCTCGAGTAAGTCAAAAGTCGCAGAGCTTCCGAGTCGCCGTCGCAGCTTTCCAAGTCTCCCACCCGCGCTAACCGAATGTGATACCGCCCCCCACCACCGCACCAAAATTCAGCAGACTCATTGTATTGCGAGCCACCACGAACAACAACAAACATCCTCGCCATTCCACGACCTCTGCACATTCCACCGTCCGCGGACGAATAATTTAGAATTCGGATTCGATACGGCTCCCGATTTACCCTCCAAGCACAAGTCAACGACGAGAAATAAGGCCACCGCGATAATCTACCCGCGCCCCGCCGCGCAACTATCGCAAAGATGTCGTTAACAAATTGCCGATTCTATGAGGAGAAGTATCCGGAGATTGACAGCTTTGTCATGGTGAACGTCAAGCAGGTAGGGCTCCTGTGGATTTGGAAAACGAGAATCCGATATGCTCACACATCGTACTCAGATCGCGGAAATGGGAGCCTACGTCAAGCTCCTTGAATACGATAACATCGATGGCATGATTCTACTATCCGAACTCTCGAGACGTCGTATCCGAAGTATCCAAAAGCTCATCCGAGTGGGACGTAACGAGGTTGTCGTGGTTCTCAGAGTGGACAAAGAGAAGGGTAGACTTTGAATCCCGCGCCACATTTTAGATATGCATCTCGAGACTAACGGGATGGATTGCAGGTTATATCGATCTTTCCAAACGAAGAGTGTCACCCGAAGATATCGTCAAGTGCGAAGAGAGGTACAACAAGGGCAAGATGGTGCACTCGATCATGCGCCATGTGGCAGAGAAGACAAAACATCCTATCGAAGATCTATATGAGCGCATTGGATGGCCACTAAACAAGAAGTATGGGCATGCGGTAGATGCTTTCAAGCTTTCAATAACGTATGTTGCGCTGTGCGTGGTTTGGGTGTCCGTTTACTGATCTCCGAGAAGAAACCCTGACGTCTGGCAAGACATCGAGTTCCCCAACGACGTTGTCGCCGAAGAGCTCAAATCCTACATCGGAAAGCGCCTGACTCCACAGCCTACAAAGGTCCGCGCCGACGTTGAAGTTACATGCTTTGGTTATGAAGGAATCGACGCTGTCAAGATTGCGCTCCGAACTGCTGAGGCCCGGAACACTCCCGACAACCAAGTGAAAGTCAAACTCGTATCCCCACCCTTATACGTCCTCACTAGCACCTGCTTGGAGAAGAACGTCGGCATCCAGACGTTAGAAGCAGCGATTGTTGATATTCGGAGCAATATCGAAAAGGCAGGCGGCAACTGCGTCGTGAAGATGGAACCCAAGGCGGTTACAGAGAACGACGATGCAGAGTTACAAGCGCTGATGGAGAAGAGGGAGAGGGAGAACGCTGAGGTCAGCGGTGATGAGAGCATGTCGGAATCTGATGAAAATGCTGTGGAGGTGATGTAAACGGCTTTTGAGCTTGCGGATAATTAAAAGCATCCTGGAATGATTTGCATTGGGGGCGTATAGAGGAGCCATAGAAGCTCCCTGATGTAGGAAGTCATTGTCTTGACTCGAGTTACAGTAAAAAGGCCCAATAGAACTTATGTTCCAATACGCACTACTAATTCGTTACAACTCTCGACACTGGATAAAATCCTCTCTACAAGGCAAGGCTACGGCCTGTTTGTGGGTGCGCAAGGCTGCGGCCCCAGTAAATACTCCAAATAGTTTGCAATCTCGCCAAACTCCACATCTACACTATAATCCCTCGACCTCCAATCTTCAGAATCAACAAGTAGTCGAATGATTTTCGGCCGGCGGCCATCATGGCCACCAACAGAATATTTTCGGTTTTCAGCGGCCGCACTCAACCTGGCCAAGTACTGCGCAAGATTCTGATCTTTACGTCTTGGCTCCCTGCTGTTATCTTCTTCAACGGAAATGTTGGACAGATAGCGACGATCAATGGAGAGTCGATGTATCCCTATCTTAACACGAGTTACAACGAAAGCCTCTCAAGGGATAAATGCTGGGTCAATAAACTAAACCCGGCGGGCAACTTAAACAGGGGAATGCTTGTGACCTTCCGGTAAGTCCAATTGAACGATGGCCCGACGACATGCTTTTCTAGACTGACAGCCGACATAGGAGTCCGAGTAACCCTGAGTTTATGGCCGTCAAAAGAGTCATAGCTATAGAGGGCGATAGAGTATTTCCTCGAGCGCCATATCCCGCCCCGGTTGTCGATATTCCTGCTGGTCATGTCTGGGTAGAAGGCGATAATAGGGATGGCAAAAAGACTCTCGACAGCAATCACTATGGTCCTATATCCGCCAGCCTCATCCAGGGAAAGGTTACACATGTTATATGGCCTTGGAAGAGTTTTGGTGCCGTAAGGTGGTGGGAATTTAAGGCGAGGACGAGAGTAATTCAAGGTCGCCGAGAGAATGCGTTTCACTTTGGCTAGAAATATAACACATTTCAGGAGAAGGAGTATTTGATAGGACTATCTGGTTATGTTTTGCAAGAGCGACGATCAAATACCAATAATTAATGTCTTGAGTCCATAGCTGTGTGAACTACCTCCAGGCCTATATGACAGTACTGAGGTACCTAGGTACTCGAGGTACTACAGCGGATAGCCGGAACTGCAGAGTATCGTGTCCCTCAACGTCTGGAATTGTTATTCTGGGCTTTCAGATGCAACCCAGCTCGAAACTGAAGAAAACAAATTGGAACCGCTTTAAATTTCAGAAATTGGATCAGTAAATGATTGAAACACTTCTTGAAATACACGTCTCGCAATTCAAGTTATCTTATCTCAGCCTTGCGCCTTGCCTAACCGAGCGTTATTAGCTTTTCCCTGAGTGTCAAAAAGTCCGAATTTCACAACATTCCTATCGCCTTGCTCGAATCTCCCGCCACGACGCTCAAATTCATATTTGAAGTTTGGATTAGCAAAATTAGACGGCGAATCTATAGGGAACTGAGGCAGGGCCATGTCCCTGGCCTCTCGCGTCGTCAATCTGTTCTCTTCGGGAACAAACAGCACACAACAGGATCGTAACGAGATCAGTTTCGTTGACGATGGAGCGGCAGCAGGGAGTCAGGCTTTTGCTAATATCAAGTCGAGAACAAGGAGCGACATGTCAGAACCTATGGCATCCAAAGCGCTCGAGGACGAGGGGCGTCCGCCCTACCTACATGTGAGATGGAATGACCGTGTTAACTCCTGTGCCAATGCTGACCCTTATAGTCGATGATTGCTGGAGGACTTGGTGGCACAACTGGGGATCTATTGATGCATTCTCTAGATACGGTTAAGACACGCCAACAGGGCGATCCGCATAATCCGCCGAAGTATTCCACGATGGGTACTTCGTACACTACGATTTTGCGCCAGGAAGGTATAAGGCGGGGATTATATGGCGGATGGGTACCGGCGATGCTTGGATCTTTTCCTGGTACCATTATTTTCTTTGGCACATACGAGTACAGCAAGAGACATATGATTGACTACGGCATCACTCCTCAAATTGCGTACCTCTCAAGTGGTATGTCGACCAGCACATGATACGCACGCTATTGCTAAAACGAGAACAGGATTTGTTGCAGATTTCGCTGCCTCATTTATTTATGTCCCGTCCGAGGTTCTCAAAACGAGATTGCAGCTACAAGGTCGCCACGATAATCCATTTTTCAAGTCTGGGTACAATTACAAAGGAACAGCCCATGCAGCTCGGACGATTGTCCGCCAAGAAGGCCTCTCTGCTCTTTTCTACGGATACAAGGCTACCATCTTCCGAGATCTCCCGTTTTCCGCCTTACAATTTACGTTCTACGAACAGGGCCAGACTTGGGCGCGGCAATGGAAGCAGAGCAGAGATATCGGTTTACCCCTGGAGCTTTTGACGGGAGCTGCAGCTGGCGGACTTGCTGGAGTCATTACATGTCCTCTTGACGTCGTCAAGACTAGGATCCAAACTCAAATAAATCCCTCCGGCGAACCCGCGATAAAACCGTCACCTATACAACAGGCAGCAGCTAGCCAAGGAAACACACTAAAACAGCAAATACGTTCCATATCAACCTCATCCCCTTCGACACATACACCTCGTCCTGGATCAATGATCCTAGATACTTCATCGGTGCTGACCGGACTGAAGTTAATCTACAAGACAGAAGGTCTAGCTGGCGAGTTCCGAGGTGTAGGTCCCAGATTCGTGTGGACTAGTGTCCAGAGTGGGTGTATGCTGTTTTTGTACCAAACAATTCTACGGAAACTGGAGATTTATTCGAGTACTAGCGATGGGGAGGACTGTGTATGATAGGTGATAGGTGGGCTGTATAAAGGCGTGTGGCGGGTTCGGATGGTCTTGTAGGGTTAATGTACATGAAGAAGAGCATTTGGGCGGCGTTAAAGTGCATGTATATCATGCCGGCATAGAATATATAGATCTTCACTTTTTAACTTATCTATCCGATAACAGAGCTGAGACGCTGTTAAGGCTCCCAGTAGAAGAACGAAAGGGGCACTAAGTCACGTCTATAAATAGCTTTACTTTACGACACGATCGAATCAGAATACTTTATTACTACAGCGTAGGGTATCTAGATTGGATATAATGGGATATAGGAGAGCGATACTAGAGTCCTACTTGATAATGGCCGTTGGTGCATGAAAAAAACGTTCAGCAACAATGCGCTATATCAGCATCCCTGGAATGTGGAATAATGTCGTCCGATTATCGACGATGTCCTCGGTTGTCAAATTGGCAGCGAGCTTTTAATCTATCGACCCCCCAACGTGCGCTCGCAATTGCAGTTCAATCGACATTTATTTCAGTCACGGCATCCATGAGATGGCCACAGCAGCTTCGAAATGCCCACCACTCTCCCTGTGCCCTCGAAGGGTGCGCTTCGAACTCTCCGGAACCTCGCTTTGGGAACGTCATGCACATTGGCCTTCGGTACTGGTCTACTAACGGAAGACCGGCGACGTCGTCTACATACCATGCGAGAGGTACATGGAAATGTACAAAAGATCAAATCCTCGAGAAGCTACTACGGTGCTGGTAGGGCGTTGATAGATACGCTCGATGACCTGGGCGCTGGGTATGCACCTGAGAGCATTTTTCTGGCGGGCGATCCGGCGATGAGGAGTCTGACCAAGGATACCAATCGAGCGTTAAAATCCGAAGAATCTATATCAACAAGATCTCCTGAACCTACAGCACTACCACCACCCTTTTTTCCGGTGCCAGGACACATAGAGCGGCCCCCCAAAGACCTCTGGAGACGACCGCCAGCAATCCGTTCTCACCTGCCCATCACAGCTCCTCCGCCCCCGCCACCGGGACTTAGCAGAGCCAAAATACACAATCATCAGCACAGGCTTGCCAGCGATGTTGCTAGTATCCTTGAAGGCGGTGGTGTTGAGACAAACGTCGATGCGGCAGCGTTGCGATTCCTAGATACTTTCGAAGAAGGCCTACCGATAGACGGATCTGGGCTTCTACGGCCCTTGGTCGACGTTGCGGCTGAGTTATCGAAGGCTTGTGTGAAGCAATCAAAGTTGGATTATTCAGAGAGGATATTAGACGTGGTTCTAAAGTACCCCCCTATCGACGAAGCACAGTTCCAGAGTCTACAGCCCTATTCAGTTGTTCAGCACCTAGTCGACGGGCTAAAAAATGAGGCTCTGAGCGACTCTCGAGCTGTAGATGCCAAACTCAGGAAAGCATGTTCAATATACATGATGGAATTCGATGGCAAACCGCACACCGCTCAAGAATCGGATCTAGAAATAGTCCAATCCCTTGGAGAAAGGCTCTGTGCCGAAAGCTACCGGGTTGGGATGTATGACCTCACGATCGATATCTACTCTCACCTTCCGCGGAAGCGCTCCTGTGGCGTGCAAACTCTTAGCCACGTTATCGCAGCATGCCATGAGTTAGGGATGCACGGAAAGGTCTTTGGCTATTTTTCTAGGTATGCCCAGAAGTTGCCAGATCAGGTTGACTTTTACCATACTGTTGGTCGGGTAATCGATTCTGCCTTGAAGCACGGCAGGGGCAACATGAATCGTGCTGAGGAGACTTTGGTTATTGCTACCCGCATGGCGAAGTCTAGAGGTTTCTCGACCTCCACCACTCCAATACTCAAGGTTATTGGACACCAATGGAGATCTACTAAGAATATTCACAAGACAAGGGAATTATTCGATCGTTTGGAGCCTCTGGCCCATGTTGCTGGGCATCCTCAAGCAGCCTACGGGGCCATCATCCAATTTTGCATTGAGGCAGGTGAAGAGGCTGCCGCCACGTCGTACTATGAAAAGCTGCGAGAATCGTACGAGCCTCTTCCTGGTGATGTCCGAATTTATGGACACTTCGCGCTTGCGAAAGCTATGCGAAATGACTGGAGCGGGGTCAAAGAAGACCTTCGCAACATGGCTGTGTTGAGCCCTGATCATAAACACGACTTTAACAGCTGCTTTACCCCTATACTGAAGGTGTTTGCAAAGTCGCATCCTGTCAATGAGACTGAAGATTTTGTTCGGGGCTTCGTCGAGGAGGGCCACCTAGAGATGACGGCTTTCATCTCAAATATTATGATCGATACATATGCTAAGGCTCGAGAGATGGCCTCCTTGGTTCGATGGATAGAATATGCAACATCTGTTGGCTGTAAAATGGACGCGGTATCAGTCAATATCATTCTCAACAATTGCTACAGAACGTGGAAGTTTCCATTCGAAGAGACGTACCATCTTTATCGCCACATCCTCGGTCTCGGGAAGGGCTCTCGGAATTTGACCGACAATGATACAATGGAAATACTCGGCCGAATTGCTGTCAACGATTCTCCCACCGCACCAGAACGTGATAGGAGATTGCGTCTTTTGAAGGAGCTAGGCAGACCGAAACATTCCTGGAGCTCCAGCGGCGTGCATCGGGCAATGAAGACGACGCTTGCAAATGAAAATCCGGCGGCAACTTTGAAAATCTATGATCGTGCTTGTACTGAGGATTTGCTTTTGGGGCGTGGCCACCTGGTGGCAGCCGTGAAAGCTTCCTTACAAGTAAACGGCGACAACGTCGACGAAAGTATTCGTCTTATCAAGGATGCCCAGCGTGGGGGTCAGAATGTGGAATTACCCATTGCCATTTTGATTGTCCACCAAATGACCAAGGTCTGTGGACAAGACCAACCAGCTATCCATCTCCAGGGGATGGTTCAAAACACCATGTCTACCTTGGACAAGTACGGGTTCAACGTATCTCCTCCTGTATTAACACATACAATCAGCCTACTTGAAAGACATGGTAGGTTCCGTCAAGCGTTTAACTTTTGGACCACTATATCCCAACATCAAGGTCTACCGCCATCCTCTATTGATCTTGTAACGCTGTCCGCACTTCTAAGGGTATTTATTGGGCTTCGCGACGCTAGGGGTATCTGCTGGGTAGGCAAAATACTTGTGGGAAATGGTCTAGTTCCTGACACTCGGCTCTACACGGACGTCAAGAAAGCCCGCAAGTCAGCAATGGATATAGAGATGCAAGAACCTTCTCTACACATATCCAAGTTCGTTGCTGCTCTTTCTGAACTTCGTACAACCGTGGCCTGCTTAAGGAAGCGCGCAGCGTCAGAGAAAAGGGATGTTAGAGATATGACTGTCAAAATCATGGAACGTGCCATCAAGAACCAGGAAAACGAGAAAAGCCAGGGCCAAAAGGCAGCAACAATTGTTCATGTGGCAATGGAAGCCTCTCCCAAGCCGAGGGGATTGTCGGAGCCCGTGAAAGAGTCGCTGGATTTAGATAAAGAGCCATGTTATGGCTTTTTTGTTGGGCCGCGGAAGGTAGTCGAAGTGGCATAAGGATGAGTTTGCATATGAATAAGAATATTTGAACTTATACCAGCTATTTATTTTGTTAGATTGTGTATGATTGTTTAGTACTATAGATATCTTTGTCCACAATCTCAGTTCTCACAGGAACAAGTGAAAAATCTGACACATTCTCTATTGCAGAGTTACATATATGCACTTTTAGTAATGTGCGTACCTATACGTAAAGTAGCTAGGTATAGAATTGAAATGTTTACCCCTGCCACTTTATCTGCCTTAAGACGTCATTGTTTATACTTCCGCTTCGCTTTGACAACCCTAAAAAGTAAGGCCCATGCAAACAAATATTAAGTTCATTCCAACAGCCCGGACGCGAAAAAACCCCCAATGTGTTTGCCATTAGCAGCGTGATGTCGATTGTTGCAGAGTAATCTATAATTCCCTCTCATTTCCTTAAGTATTCTCCTACTAACAATTCTCAGCCAAGTACGTCGCGTAGACACCCAACTCGACCGTGTGCAGTTGGTCCCACGCGCAACGGATAATGACGACTTCACAGCAGCAAGCCACAAGGTCTCGTCCTCCCCACAGATTGCCGAGCTCCAGCATATAGTAAAAGGCTTATCCGCGACCTCATCTTCGAGTCCTCTCCTGTCGTCCTGGCGGATATGCACGTTCCTCCAACAGGCCGCGCTCTCCGAAGCTGTAGCCGAGACTGAGGAGGACGAACTCGCAAGCATATATAGAGCGGAGCTGGAATGGCTTCTGGTGGGCAAGGCTACGGTGCAGACTTATGGATTGCTGTTGAGCACACTATTGGAGCAGACCATACCGCTAAATGATCAAATATGGTATTGGGATGAGGTGCTGGGTTCATATCCGTATTCAAGTCTTTACGCTATCCAAACGTCTCCCTTGAGATTCTGGACATGGTCGAAGGATATATATCATGATACAAGAGAAAGACTTATTAGAATTGGCGAGTCACCAGGGGAGGCCCTGTCTGCGAGGGAAATTGGGACGAGTTTGACAGGCCGATGGAAGCAGTTCTACGGTCTTGTCCAGCAGAGCATACAAGAAAGATCCGTTGCAGATATTCAGCGGCGGGTGCTCTCTCCTATTGCACTTTGCCGTGCGCAGGCTAGACATAACCAATTACGACTCAAGCGGTTACGAGAAATGTGCGCGAGTGGATTAGGGGTCCTTATGGATGAAGGGTTAAACTTCGGGATCAATGAAGAGTACAACGACCTGGCAAAGACTGAGGAAAGCAGCCATGAATGGAAGGTCGTTGTAGAGAGAAGTATTGCTCTCATGGACACTGTGCTCCGGAATATCACCACCCTGGAAACTGGAGTCTCGGACTTTGAAGACACGGTCTTTGCCAGTGTGGAGGATGACCCTGAGGTATCTGTTTTAGCTGATGGGCCTGGGGTCGCCAGACCGGCAAAGCTTGCTCACAGACTCCAGCACATCCTTGAAGCACGTATGCCGAATCATGCGGCAACTTCACAGAAGCTTGTTTCTCAGTATGGCCGGCCATCGAGGCTAATCCGATACTGGCTACCTACAGGAATCCTTCTTCTATCCTCAACCACCATATTGCGGGTCCTTGTAAACCGGAAGGCGGAGATAGTCCAATGGATTCAAGATTTCGGAGTCACAGTACGGGATTTCTGGTTGAACTGGATCGTGGAGCCTACCAAGAAGGTCATCGGCACTATACGGCATGATGAGGACAGCATGATTGCTATCATGAGCAAGGAAAGCCTAAAAGGCGATCGAGAGAGTCTTGAGCGCATGGTTGTTGACTTTGCTATCGATAACCCCCAGTCTGCAAATGCAGGAGGTGGCCCACTGAGCGAGGCTCAGATCTCGGAGATCACAGCAAAGGTCAAAGAGGGCGATCTTACACCTGTCCTACGTGTATACGAGAAAGACCTTCGGAAACCCTTCATCGGCACTGTTCGCGGCGATCTTATTCGAACCCTCCTAATTCAGATCCAGAAGACGAAGGTCGATGTCCAGGTTGCTATGAGTGGCATAGACTCTTTGCTGAAGAGCCAGGAATTGGTCTTTGGATTCGTTGGCCTTACACCTGGGGTCTTGGTCTGCTTTGCGATTGCGCGCTATCTCAGCGGTGTCTTTGGGAGCCGGAAGGGCTTGCGACAAGGCCAAAAAGCTGGACAAAGTATTCGTGTGCTGCGGAATATTGATCGGATTCTGAACCTTGCTCCTGCACAGAACAACCTGTTGCCATACAAAGACCATGGATTGCTGCTGTGCGAGGTTCACGTCCTTCGGGAGATTGCACATAGGTTGTTACCTGGGAATGTTGAGAGGGAGTTCCTCGAGGATGTCGCGGATCTGTGCAATATCAACACAGGCATTCAGCAACAGCTCAAGACTCTTGACCGTATCAGGTGGGGCTATGCGAGGTGGTTTAGATAATAAAAAATATACGAATATATGTAACTATATTAAATAAGCATCCAGGCATCAACCTTATGAGCATACTATACCTCAGTCTAATTGTCTCTCATGGGTAAATTGTTGACCCTGTAAAGTCAAAAAATCCCCTTTTGCGCTTTCTCGAAATCGACATTAGAATCGACTAGTATTGCATAACAGTCTCCAAGCTTAAAGGCAATTAAATGTGGGAGGTGTCCGCATATATTTCCTGACCGCCGTCATAGGGATAAATGTTGATTTGCCTTGGTCGTCCTGCTTTGGCGAGCCTCAACGCCGCAACAACGTCCAGACCATCACCACCTCTGTGAATCCTCAGGCGCTGCCGAATAACTCTGCGGTGCTTCCCCCTTCCTCGCCAAATACAATACAAAATCACCAAGGAGTATCCTTCAAAGATTGCCCCAGATACACCCGCTGGCCAAGTCCAACTTCAACCTCGACCTCAACTTCGCCGCAACCGACCAAGCTCACGACCCTGACCCGCTTCTGCACCCCACGACCGGTCACCACCGCTAAGGTTACAAGACGTCCCGCAGCCTAGGAAATCCAATTTCCATAGACTGTCCTCCTCGCTCACCTCGCGCGAACACCTTTTAGCTGATATTTAAACATGGCCGGCACACGTAATTACGATTTTCTGGTATACATCGCCTCTCCCATCTTGCCCGCGCGATCCTAGAGTGCAGTGCGCTAACAGACATACCTCCACAGATCAAGCTGCTGCTAATCGGCGACTCTGGCGTGGGCAAGTCATGCTGTCTTCTCCGATTCAGCGAGGACTCCTTCACCCCCTCGTTCATCACTACAATCGGCATTGACTTCAAGATCCGGACCATCGAGCTGGATGGGAAGAGGGTGAAGCTGCAGATATGGGATACCGCGGGCCAGGAACGGTTCAGGACCATCACGACGGCTTATTACCGAGGTGCCATGGGAATATTACTAGTTTACGATGTTACGGATGAGCGTTCGTTCAATAGTGCGTTATAGGATACCCTTCCTCTCCGTCATCGTGGCCAGAGCTAACAGCTGCTAGATATTCGGACCTGGTTTTCAAACGTCGAGCAGCACGCTACGGAAGGCGTAAACAAGATCCTCATCGGGAATAAGTGCGACTGGGAAGATAAGCGCGTGGTCTCTACAGAAAGGGGTCAGCAATTGGCAGACGAACTTGGCATACCATTCCTCGAAGTCTCCGCAAAGAGCAATATCAATGTGGAGAAGGCATTTTACAGCTTGGCCGCGGATATCAAGAAGCGAATTATCGACACGGCAAAGACAGATCAGTCGGCTTCCCAAGGTGTAGATGTGGGAGCGCAAGGAAGTGGGAATGGATTGGGGGGCAAGTGCTGCTAGTTAATTAAGTTACGATGTGCTTCGCCGTACTGTGTTCGTTGTTATTGTTTGTTTAAGAGCAGATTATGGGCGGAGTTTGGTCGTCATATTATACGGTATTACAAATTCAACACATGCTTTTCAAATCATAGATCAATTCCGCCTTACCTATTTAGAGGATTGGGAAATACTGCAAGCTTGACTGGGTTTGAACCAATAGCACTTATCCGGTTTGCACTACCATAATATCTCTACATTGACTATAGGGGGCGGCTCATCGCCTGGTCTATGTGGCCGATGGGAGGGGAAAGCACGACGATGCCATTCCCGTACAAATCTGCGAGCCTCATGACGGTCCCTGAACGATATCACGTATCTACCAGCTCGCCGAAAAGGCTTGGTATCAATGCCTGCGTCCGGGTCACCGAACGCCCCCTCGGCCTCGATGTCAGATTTCAACGTCAAAATATCGTTCTCATTCCCAGCAAGTTTCCAATGCAGATTCCTTCGCCGCCCGTCATCCATAATCGCCTTTTTCAAATCGAACTGAGATATATAGTTCACGTCCGTGTGAAACAGCACCATATTCTCCGCCTTGCTCTTACTGCTAGCGATTGCAGCAGGTCCTCCATCACTGAGCAGCCGGACCATGGCCGGTTTATAGGATTTGTCAATCAAACGTAACGCGAGCCTGGTATATGCCGGTACGAGTGAGAAACCCTTGATTATCTTCTCCAGATCTTCGCCTTCCTTCAAAAATCCGGGCGGGAGAGGGAGACCCACCACTCCTGATGATCCCCAGCGACTGTTTGCTTTGGCTAAACGGTGCAATCGGAAGGTGTTGTCGAGATATGCGCGGGCGCTCGCGTCGCTCGAAAATAGGATGAAGTAGTGGTCAAGTGGTCGGAGCGTATGGTTATCTCGACCGGGGATAACTATACCTGTGAGTTAATATAATATACATGAAGCCTAGAGATCATTACCTTTGATAATTCCACTTGTCCAGCCTTCAATGTGCTCCCCTCTCGGGTTCACTCGGAAGAAATCACTCTCTTCGAGCGAATTCATAGCACAATTCAGCACCAGCACGCTAGCCTTCGTCCTCTGCATTCCACCGCTTCCTTCCACCCGCTGGGACTCTGGTGACTGTTGGGGTACAAATTCATCGTCTTGCCGCAGCAGTATTGATCGGCTCGCCCTGTTCCTATCATTTCTTGCGACGTCTGGAACTGCCGCTTTGAGTCCTTTCCAGCCAAAAGAAGGCAACTTGTCCGCCTTCTTATCTGAGCTCTTCGGCCTTGCCTTGTCCTCCTCTGGAAACAGTTCCTCAAATAGTGAGAATGCGTTTGGCGCTGCTCTACTTTGAGGTTTCTCCGTTGCGCTATCCGATTTGTGAGCCCGCTGCTGGAACGCCAGAGCCAATTGCTGCACATTCCATGCTGGCAACAAGAACTGCGGAGGCAGCGCCCGCGACAACAGCATCAATTCTTGTGCAAAAGCTTGGGCGTTATTAAGTGGATGTTGAAGTGTCAGGATAGCTTCCCAGAGCTGTCAATCGTATTATGAGGAGGGCTTGCCGGGATTTTGCCGAGAATTGGCGAGTTTTTGGACGGAACTCGACGGATTGAGAAGATATTTTATATCTCGATTGAAGAATTCGACACTAGCCATGCAAAATCATTTACACTTCACTACTTCATCATGTCGAATACCCCGGATACACAGAAGACCTTGGAGGTCAAGATACGACCCTATTCCGGCCCAAACAACCAGGAACGGCCGGATCAGAAAGGCGTGTCACGTGTTCATATGTGCAAAGAATCCCTCATGGACTTAAGAATTGATGCGGGACAACCTATTTATATATGGAAGAATGGCCAAACTCAGAATGAGCGAAGAGAAGCTATTGCCTGGCCTACTGCGGAAAAATCTCTGAGTAAGAAGGTTGTTCAGATGTCCAAGACTTTTCAAGAGATTTGTGACTGCAAGCTGGGGGACGACTTGAATATATGTGCGGCGGGGCCTTTACGAGAGGCGGAGTCTATTGTTCTGAGGGATCTTACGGCAGAAGAGCTCGATACTGTACTGGAATTGGGAGATGAAGATAAGTCTCATTGGGTGTGGTTTCTTAGAGAGAGCCTTGGTATGTGAAATTTCCCATCTGCAAGCGTCATAATCTGTGAAATACGGGATGCATGTTATCCTTTTGAGAAATCCTTTTATTTTCATAATTCTTGTTGGGACAGTAAACCTAGGTTTTGATGGTTCCCATCATATCGTCATATCCTTTGATAGGTTCAATGCTGACCAACTTCTAGCCCGCGCTGAAATAATATTCACCGGCATGACTTTCAAGAATCTTTCTCTCAGGGGCCCCAAACGAAGCTTCACTGTGGATTCTGTCAACGGAAACCCTAATAGCCAAGCTCGGTACGAGGAGAGCTCATCTGTGACGATATCAAGTCCAGTTGACATTAACACCCCAGCCCAAACCAACGGCCATCGGGCAGCCCTTCAGGTCGTCGATGTTGCTGGCATTGATCAGGCAATGAAAAAGCTGAATCGGTTCCTTAGCAACTTTGATCGCCAATTCAAATTTACCTCTGCCCAAAGATCTTGCGCCGTGCTTCTACATGGCGGGCATGGTACTGGGAAGACTTTCCTGCTGAATAAGGTTGCCCGCACCGGCTGGGGGAGGGTATTCCGAATCGAGCGGCACTTCAAGGCTTCGGTCATACGATCAACCTTTAAGGATGCCAGAACTAGCCAGCCATCCATCATAGTCATTGATGAGCTTGAGAGAATGGTCTCAAAAGATGATTCTATTTCGGAGGAAGTGGCGATGGTCCTAGGGGACGAGTTACATAACTTAGCCGATGGCAGCTCAGAATCGTTGCCTCGGATATTAGTTATTGCAGCTACCCTCGATGCTGGAAGCATACCGATCTCCCTGCGAAAGAGGGGAAGGTTCTTCACAGATATCCCATTACCAATTCCGGATGCTAGAGCTCGCAAGGCGATTTTGAAATCTTTATCTTTCCCCCTTCATCCAGATACGAGGAATGAAGCACTCGAGAAACTTGGTGACCGAACACACGCCTATACAGCTGAGGATTTATTGTCACTGCTAGATACCGCATGTGAAATCGCTGAGGAAAAGGCTGACAGCAGCGGCGAAGGCAAAGACCAGGGAGATTACTATATAGCAGAAGAGGATGTTGAGCAGGCATTGCTACTTATCCGACCAACGGCGATGCATGATATCACCCTCAGACCACCAAGCGTCAGATGGGATGAAATAGGGGGCCAAGAAAGCGTCAAGAAAGCTCTCAGACGAGCCGTGGAAACTCCTTTGCTAGTAAGTTAAAAATTATTCCCCCGTCCAGCCGCACATACTTATTTCAACTCAGCACCCCGAACGAATGCAAAGATTAGGGGCATCACCCAAAAAGGGTTTACTCCTCTATGGCCCACCAGGATGTTCCAAAACTCTCAGCGCCCAAGCGATGGCCACAGAATCTGGCTTTAACTTCTTCGCTGTCAAAGGCGCAGAGTTACTTAATATGTACGTCGGCGAATCCGAACGAGCAGTACGAGACATCTTCGCACGGGCTCGCGCCGCAAGTCCCAGTGTAATCTTCTTCGACGAGATCGAATCCATCGGCAGTAAGCGCGAGGGCAGCAGTCGAAACAGCAGCGTTAATGTATTAACGACATTGCTGAATGAGATGGACGGCATTGAGACGTTGAAAGGTGTCACTGTCCTAGCTGCCACGAATCGACCCCAGGTTCTAGATCTTGCTCTTATTCGCCCAGGACGTTTCGACCAGTTGATCTATGTCCCTCCTCCTGATCTCGCGGGTCGTGAAGCCATCCTCCGTGTGAAGCAGCGGAAGATGGATATGGGCGATGATGTTGATATCCCGGAGTTGGCAAAACTGACGGAAGGATATTCAGGCGCCGAGCTAGTTGGTATTTGCCAGGCTGCGTGTGATGAGGTTTTGGAGAAGTGCGAAACGGCAGGCCAAGAATTGCAGCTGCATATGGACGACTTTTTGAGCGCTATCAAGGTAGCTAGGAAGGGAATTGCTCCCGAAATGATTTACGGCTATGAGAGGTGGGCAGCTGTTGCAAGGGGGTATGTGTAGGGAATCTGCTAGTTACCCTGGGTTTGATTATTCAACTATACTTTCGATGAAAGGGGAGGCACCGTCCACTAAGAAACCACGGTTCTGCGAAGGAGCGTCCGTTCTCTTGTAGGAGCGAAATCCGACGTTGTCGAAGCGACGAACGCCGGATAGGGAAATATGTTGGCGAAATCATTGGCAAGGAACTCGGAACGGCCAGAGGTCAGCGAATAATGGAATTGTAGCGAGATGTACTTTTGGTCGGACTAGAAGGATGACTCTCGCTCTAGAAGCCAAGTGACAGAGCCGGATATATATGACTGTCAAGATTTGTATGCCGCCGGTGGTAGGTGCTGGATCCTCATCTACTTGGGAAATGGTGACTTGATTCGCTCCATTTCTCGCTCTGGGTTACTGAGGCCGGCAAGCAGTTTATATATAGAAGTTAGCTCTTCTAGTGTGGTTGCAGGCCCAATTGGCAAATAACACTCCTCAAACCTAACGGATACTGACCAAGCACCTGTACAAACATATTAGCATAAGATACCCTTGATCTTATAGTTTATTGCAATTCTCATCATTACTGCCACAGAGCCATCCGCAGATTCTCATTATCTCTTGAAGTCTTCATTAAGAACAGTTTCCAAGATGAATGATACTCTAGGTTTTCCGGTTATGTCTGGTATCGCACTGATTACTCCAAATACTTGAGACGGGATTTGAGAAGCCCAATTACTTCGACGGCAAAAGCCTTACAGTCGTCTCATACTCCACCTGTCCAAGTCTATTGAACCGAATTAAAAACAGGATCAGGGTAGAAAATGGGATATAGCCCGGTTCACCATTGAGTTTGCACTACCACGGATGCAAAAGAAAGAATGAGGCTACAACAGCTCTTCATAGCTTGATCCCCCTCAAGGAATATGATACTAGTGTACTCTAGGGTACATCGCCTTGGCTTTGGGCCTGTTATACTAACCACTCATCTTAATTAACACAATAATGTACGGACTAGCCACAGTCATCCGAACATACTCTATTGCATTGCTTTTCTATTCAAAACAATCTACCCCTGTCCCCCTTTCGCATCAGGCACTTTGGATACTGGGAGAGCATAGTAGTGGCAGTATTAGTACAAGTGGTAGCACAGACTTCGAAAGCCTCTGTTTTTGTTTTATTCAACTGTCGTCCTGCTACAAATAATTTTAGTGATAGGAGGATACGGCTACTAAAACAAACCATATAATGTTACACACAACGTTTAAGGAATATTTATGTTCAATAAAATACGTGAAACTATTCAGAGCCCATATGACAGTTAGGAAATATATTAGCATTAGTAGGGCTGTCGATCTCATTGTAGTTAATGTTGAACCAGGAACTGGGGCGAAGACAGCTTCAATATATTCTAGTATCTAGCTATGGGGATGATTTGTTGAGCTCTTTGAAAGGATTAATGAGATCTCTTGATTCAACCTGATTTGACTTTCAGAAGGATGTCAGCTTGTGACATATCCTTAATTCCTTTTAAATATACCTAGGTAGGTATATTTCCTGCCCAGCAGCACCTCATTACAGAGCAAAGAGTAGTTTGACTGAGTATCATCCTGTCCAAAACTGTTTAGTTACTTCCAATAGATCCATGCGATAGGGCCCATATCATACATAGCATTCTTATGTAGATATATTAAGGACTATATGTAAACGCTAGGAATATACTGTATCCCAACATCCTCACCAGCCACGTTGATGCCCTTCAGATAGTCTGATGTATATACATCGCACCAAAAGCCTGCTGCCACTTCTGGGGCGTTGCCAAAATACATATGCCCGCTCCTTATACCCATCCTTTAGGATATATTACCTTCGTTTATAAACTCCCAAAATCCAACTCGCCCTCAAAATCCCCAATCCCCACGCCATAGCCAAACTATCCCACACAACATTTAGCTTACTCCCACCAACCTCATGCCACCCAATCTGCACCTCAGCAACCCGGATCCCAGAGTTTAAGTTGGTATTTCCCTTTCCGGTCGCTTCAGCTGCGGATACAGGCGCAGGCGCGCTTTCAGCAAGCATCAGCATCTCGACATCAAAGATCCAGCCTTCGACATGCATGTAAGGCACGATATGGGGGAGTGCGGCCCTGGAGAACAGCTTGAATCCGCACTGCGTGTCACGGATTCGGGACGTTGCCGGGGGCGTGAGGAGACGGAGAAGGAGGTGGAACGAGTGCATGAGGGCGTTTCTTAGGGCCGAGCGCTAGATAGACATCCCATCATTAGCACGTATATCCTAGGTATGTATGGTCATTATCAATGGGAGGCTTGGTTCATACCTTCACAACAGCTTCCGACCCCACAAGATGTGCTCTGCTCCCCACTGCAATACCTCTTGCAGTCCCATCCTCAATACCCTTACAACCTCTCACCAACTTCCTCGAATCCTCAAACTTAGACGCTCCATCCGCGTCAGCAAATATAGCATACGCGCCCCTAACATGTCTAAAACCATGCGTGACAGCGCCCCCTTTCCCTCTATTCTCCTTGAGCGTACAGACCCGCAGAATATCATGCAAACCCTTCTTCCTCGAGAAATCCAGAGCAACATCGACGGTTTTGTCTTTGCTTCCGTCGTTCACGATTAGGATTTCGTAGCCTCCCATGCCCATGCCCTGCCCCCCCGCACTGCCGTTCACTTTCCCCTTGTGCTTCCCGGCGGCGAGGGGAACGCGTCCATATTCATCGTCCAGAAATGCTACAGCTTCTTCTAGCATCATCTCTATGCGTTCTTCTTCGTTATATGCTGGGATAACCACGCTCATTTCCACTTCCGCCTCGTCTATCGTGCCGGTATGTACATCATCGTTGTCCTTCTCCTTGCCATTTTTAGTAGCAGCTTCTTTCCTGTGTGTAAGCCAGGCATCGTGCCAGCATGGAAGTGGGCGCGGGGCAGTCGCCGAGCTGGAGGAACCGGATGTGGTTATGTATGTCTTTTCCGAGGGATGTGGAGCGCGTGGAACGGGGGCGAGGACATAGACTAAGGCGTATATCTAATTCTCCTTGTCAGTCACATTTCCTCACAGACTACCAAAGTCCAAAGAAATAGGCATAATCGGAGAACGCACGAAGGCTAATGTAGAGATCGTAGTGGTAAGAACGACTAATAGCAAGATAGGTAATGGCGTCTCCTTCGCCGTCGCGTATAAACCCCCAATCAAGCTCCAGCAGATATCAACGATGGTCGCCATAGCTTCGGACTGCAAGAGAATTCGCCTTCGGGGGGTGAGGATGCAGCTGTATTAACGACCGAAAGAAAGGATACCCGTATCAAGGGGGTTTGAACATCGAAACACGCCGCGCGCATAGACTCAATTGGCAACGCTGTAGCTAGTCCTACATGTTCCAGGGCTAGGTAAAAACGAAAAAGAGAGGCAGGAGAAGTGGAGGGTTTAGAGAGCGTCGTTGGAGTTGTTTGTGGGGGATGCGCCTTTGAATTAATGAACACGGTTATCACAAGGCGCTGACAGACGACAGCCGCTATCTCGCGTGTATTAATTACCTTAATTAATTACATTGAACGAAGCACCGGCATTTCCTAATGCGGGGCGAACCCTTTTTTTTTTCAGTCAGGGGCTTTTATTGCATGTTTATTTACTTGTTTACTTACGAAGTATAATAAATATACGAGGCTGCAAGGGAAAGGCTGGACTGCATTCATTCATCAGAGCACATGCTCGAATTATAGATATTTTCATTTAATCAACGCCCGCACGACGTAGATCGGTATCATCTTTTCTGCATCCGTCATCTCATCTCATGTGCCTCCCATCCCATCCCAGCCCGATCTATAATACATGGGTGTTTAGACAAATAAACAAATTCCCCATCAGTTGCCGTGATGCTCCGAAATTGGTCTTCATATGTACGCCATCAGCCACTAGCCACCAGCCAGAGGAAGCGAAGCTGTGTATCGTAAAATCAACCCAAAATACCAGTAACCATCCTTAACTCCATGTACCGCTTGAAAAAGCGCCTTGCGCCCCTTTCTTATCTAAGAAATCATTTCATGCGTTTAAGGCGACTTTCAACTGCCACCTTCTCCTCCACCACCCCCGCCATCGCCGCCCGTTTTGATTGCTGGTGAAAGGCTGATTGCGATCTTGTTTGGTTTGTTTGTAGAGCCACCACCCGCATGGTTGGTGAAGCTCTTCTTCCTCCGTAACATGCTACTTGTATTAGAGCCCGCAGAGCTACTCGAATTTCTCCGTTTGGATAGTGACAGTTTCCCTATCTCATCTTCTTCGTCCTCTTCACGGCGTCGCTTCTCCGAAAGCCGCTCCGGAGGAGGGAGGGCCAGGGATGCCGAATTTGAAGCTACCTCGCCGCCGGGCTTTGAAGATGCCGAGGATTCACTGCTGAGATCCGATGTAATGTCAGCAGCATTCGTGCTGGTTTCCGGATTCTCGTTCTCTTCATCCGAAGGATAATCGACAAGCGGTTTGGAAGTAGGTGATGTATCGTACATGGATTCCCTTCTCCTGGCAGCAAGATCGTCTTCGTCATCTGATGTGTTGAAATATTCTTCTTCCGCTGCATCAAGATCTTTGATTCCATTTTCCCACCTATTCCCTCTCCCTGGCTCGGGCCGCTTAGGGGTGTCTTCTTCGGTATCTAAAAAGGAAGTTTCCATGCTGATGGCGAAACCTTGAGTCTGATCGTATCTGATGATAAAATTCTGGAAAATATCCACATAAGTTATATCCTTCATCTTATCCCGATAGTTCTCAACCAGATGACTGATTATATTCTTGATATGCTCCCTCTTGATAAGGTCAAAAAATTCTAAGCATGCAGAGTTCAGTAGATTATCTCGAGGCATCGTCTCGATTAGCAAGTTTAGAATTGGCTCAAAAAGCCTTCCTTGTGTCATCTGTTGGTTGTAGAACTCGTCTTGCAGACCAATGAGATTACGGAAGAACTTTAATGCGTCTGGAAGATACATATTAGGCTTGCCATATTAATCGGGGTGTGGGACTTACTGAGCTTCAAGTACTTCTCCGGGCTCGACAACAGTTGAGCAATTCGGTGACCCAACTTCTCAGAGAGTATGAAGTACTTGCTGTGATGCGTATGTTGTCGAACGAAAAAGCATAGAATCTCGATGAGGTATATAAACAGAGATACCTGATGGGTACTGAATTCCATATTCTCTCTGTCTTTTAGATCTACCAGAGGCTTGAAAAGCCTTTTGGCTGAGTCGTCGTAGAAATCCTTCACAAATTCTGCTTGCTGGGGATCTACCTGGGGTCGCAACCTAATCCCAAACTCGCCCCCTGCTTTGGCCGAAGTATCAACTGGAGCATTCTGCGAACCTGGATCTAGGAGAACCTTGATTGCATCCGCAATTTGTGCTTTAACTCCAAGGTCCACTTCCACGAGGAGAAGATCGATCAAGGAATCGGTGAGAGGCGTTTGCTTTTCAGCAATCTGGCGGAATATGGACAGTCGGATCATATGCGGATCATGATCAATCATCGAGACCAATACATCTGTAGCAGCAACGCGAACAGCGACATCGTTGTGTCGGAGGGCAAAAGTTATAACGGATAGTAGCCCATGCGCAAGCATAATATTGTAGAACGGGGTCCTCGCTGGGGGTTGAAGGCACTTCGCAGTAGCGCAGCACTGTTGGATGAATAGCACAGCTTCCTTTTTACGCTCCTGGCTCGTCTCCTGCGCGCTGAAAATGCCAAATAGGTCTTTGAGGAATGCCGGGTTTGTCTGAATATGTTGAAGGATGTCACTCTGCTGATAATATATTAGGGCGTTAAGAACAGAGTACGTAGGATCGTCCAGGATCCGCGCGAGGACAACGTCCTTAAGATATTGTAATCGGTAAACGATGTGGATCTTCTTCCGGACCTTCTCGTCCTCGATATGAACCACCTCTTTGTATCTTCCTTCCTTGCTCAGCCAATGCCGGTGATTCGCCTTATGGCTTGGAAAGTCTGGGTCGTACTCCAGGGCCCCCATAACACCGAGCATCAGGTCGTCTCTCACCACGAGTTCCATAATCGGATTATCGTTGAGCAATATAAATGTCTTCATGATATTGCACAGTTTATGCAAACTGGCCAGATCTTCCATGTCCTCCGCCATTTCTACCAATGGTATCAGTTGTTTTATGTAGTCCTCGGAGATGACAAATTTAATAATAGCCTCCCGGCCTGCATTTGTGACGTTGCAGCTTCGGATACTCGCTTCCACCTCTGGTAGATTGCCGAGGGTGGGTGGTGGTAGCGATATTGAGCTTGAAAAGTGGTCGACGGAGATATCATCATCGAGGGCATCATCTGTAGGCGGGCGTGATCAGTTCGAGCTTGGATATGGAACCCCCCCCCATTCGCGAATCGAAGATGCAGCAGCGGGATACTTTTACAACGTGCACTTACCTGGGCAGTTAATTGCTAGCATCTGCGCTTGAACGTTGCTCACGAACTTCCTATAGGTGGCAGGCATGTCAATATCCGTTCACGTTACATCCCTCGCGATAGAGAGGCGGGAACGAGGTACTAACCATATAGTTGCACAACCTTCTGCCTCTTGGAAGCTAAGCGCCATATCAACACCAGTTGCTGGCTCCGTCCACACGATAAGAGTGTCTGGTTCCGTCAGCTATGAGACTAGCTATTAGAGACCGCCCAATGATATGTACCTTGCTGTTTTTGGAATCCATCTTCTTTGCAAATCTTCGTTTCTAACAGTATGCGCTCCGGTTGGTCTTCGGACTGCACGAGAACTCGCGGTATTTCATGACGCGAGACCTCATCCTAGAAGGGGCATAGGTGTCAGTCACAGTCTCATTGTGAGGCGCGCCATAGATCGAGGCATTAAGTTTTGCCCGATCAGGTACGCGACACGGAGTGACGAGAGAAGAAACATACGAATATGAAGGCCGCGGTGCAGAAACCGGTGCCGCGATCAAACCAGTCGCTGTTGCGCAACTCATAGACCTTGACTCTCTTCTTGTTGCTCGGCGGGGGGTCAGGCACCGCTTGTGCCATCATCAAGGGTTGTAGCTCCCCTTCCGGTTCTTCTGCAGAGCAGTTTGCGATGTCGAGGTGTTGTTGGAGGGACAGTGGAGCCTGGCTCTGGGCAAGGACTGTGAGCGCCACTTTCGAATCTGCGCCCAAGGTCGCGCAAAGCTGCGCGCTGGGTCGTTCGAGAAGGCGAAGGGGCCGAGGGGCAGGCGCGCGGAGCAGCGAAGACTTCAGCAGATCTCACGTCGGCATGTATGAAGGTATCGTCGGCGGCGGCCGTGTAGCAGCAAAGACTTTCGTGCGCTGTCCGAGGGGAGGGCGGCGCCAGGAAGGGCGACTACCAAATGGCGCGCGTGCTGCTCAATGCTGCACCGTGGCGGAGTGCTATATGGCGAATGGCGAGTGGTAAGTCGTAAGTAGTAAGTGGTGAGTGGTGTGTTCGAGGTGAATGAAGTGTTTGCCGTCAGATTGACGATGGCGACCCGAAAAGAGGCTCTCGCTAAACGTTCCAACGCCTCCCGCGCTGTCAAGAATCAAGATGCCGAAACCAACCCCTCGGAGGTCACGGAGACGGAGGTCAGAGACCCGTTTCTCACAATCAACACAGCTACAAGATGCTGAGCGCGATATTGAGGCCCGGACAATGGAGCTCAAGGGTAGAAGTTGAGGGTCCTGAATGTTTAATCTCTCCAGAAGACTTTGTTTACATCGTCTTGGTCTTCGGCAGCCGGTGTCGCACGCCGTGTGGGTACATGATCACGTGCTGTTGGCGACCGATAGGAGGCTAAATATAGGTCATGGTTGGCGATTAGAGTTGTGGTTTTGTTTTATGGTTTTATAGTGGGCAAAACGAGGAAACGCGTCATCCTATTCGGCATAGAAGCAGAAGCAGAAGCAGAAGAAACAGAAGATGTAGCATTCCGGCGGAGCTTAATGTTTGTTAATCAGCAGGTCACACATTCACCACGAATAAATACCTTACTCGGACACATTCCAAGCAATATGAACCATGAATCATGAACCACGGGAGTACCCGAATACCCCTTTATCTTGGATTGTACCTGAAAATCCGAGTACAGAGGCACTATACGGAAAAGAAGCCCGAAAATGTCAAGTTGGCATGCCTTTCCTTAATAGTCAAATGTATTACTTTTATTTTACTTACCTACTTTTGGGTCCCCCCGAGAAACCACAGGACATCTACCAGGCAAATATATCCCATCGAATCTCATGGTCAATTCTAGCTGCACTTCCTCCGACCGTTCTCTTGACAATAGCTATTCGAAGGACAACATGACACTCAGAGGAAACCAATTGGGATATTCTTCGATTGTAATTTAAGGCCGAACATACCATTCTTGAGACAGATTGAAGACATGTCTAGGCTTAGACGGCATCATTGAGTTCGCCGCACATTTCTCAAGCCTAATATTCTCTAGTTCTCAGCGGGAGGTCAGTCGTCGGTCAAGGGACTATGTCTGGTTATAGCCGATCATAACACACTACGGCTTCCTAACTGTATCTTCTTTTCCTTTGGTTGAAGTGGGAGGTCTCTGTTAGATTGGGATATTTGCCCACAGCTGACGAGGTGATTGATATTATTGATCGCTGCAATACGAAAATACCAACCCAATAATTAGGGATATCACGGTCTCAGATCCTGTAGGGCAAGTCGAAGCGGATGACGAATACATACCTCGATATTTTCTGGTTGTGCCGCTGCCTGTCATCCTCACACATGGAATATGTCCACTCGTATAACTAGACCTTCCAACTAACAATTATATCAACGATCCGTTATCTTCGCGCTTTCGTTGATCGCGATTTCTCGTCGCTGGTGTCGTGCCCGAGTAGCCACCCCGTGCAAAATCCCAAGCCTGACGGATAACCTAGCAGGAGATGCGGTGTCGGGGACAGGATTTGAGTTTTATCGACCATGTGAGACTTCACACCGCAACGGCAATTGGGAATTGGGATGCTGCTAGGCCAATGGACTCCCACACGCCGACGATTGCGATGAACGGAGTAATCAGTAAGTGTCTGTAGGTCTGTTCAAAGTATGAAGTGCGCCGCGTACGAAGAGACATCGGAACGGATGTCGTTGACCGCCATGTAAAACTCCAAAGTCCGCAGAACATCGATAATGTTGGAGAAGAGATGGCGTGCTTTGCAAGTCAGCACATTGAGCACGCTGATCTAAAGCAAAGGGGAGCGGGCAGTGTTATATCTGTACAATCGTACATGTCGAAGGAAATGACAGCTCTAAGATCGCTTCACCAGCGCCCAAAATGAGATTGCGCACAGTAAGAAAACGTTCCAAAATCCGGGGTTCCGAATGAACGCAATACAACGATCGAAAGACCAAAGGAGGTTGGATTCGATGTTCGCCTTATCGGCTGCGAAATATATTACTGTACCTAGGTTATCCCTGAGACGATCCATTATATGCAGCGGAGGGAACGTAGTATTCGGCATCTCGGATCATGGGCACCATGAGAAGAAACCCCTGGGACAGACCTTGACTCGTAAGCAAGATAACGAGGACAGGAGGTGGGAATCCGTGTTTTGGATCCGGTACATCGAGTCCCGCGAAATGATTGTAGTACTGGTCAACAGAGTACTGCTGTTGTTGCGGATGTATCCGCTGTGCTGATACCCCAAAAATTCCAATGGATATGTCGGGCTCCAGTCAGAAAGGGATCCATGACCGTAAAATTATAAAGCAAACTGTTTCGGTTCTGTCTTGCCATCAGGGCCAGAATGTCCGTTTTTGGCGCAGCTGAAAAATACTCATTCGATACTGGTACGAAGTATTGCGTTGTCTTTCAGCCCTCACTGCATTAGTGGTATCAAACAGGACCACTTATGGATTCAAGCAACGCCCATGGTCTCCATGTCGCTTCTCACTCGCCCTGTCAGTCCCCAATTATTTAATGATAACGTGAGATTCTGTGCTCCAGTGGCGCCTTATTCTCCGTCACTAGTTTCAAGCCATATGCCAACAGGCGACGGTCTCGGCCTCGACATTTCAGTGGGCGTATTATTGACTCTTGGACGACGAGTTCGGCCCTGATAACAAGCTTTTCCACGGATCTATCGGGCCAGCCACGTTTGACAGCGCATGATCGAGACTGGAGATCTGACACCCCAACAATAATAAATATTGTTGTCAATAAAAATCCGCAGATTTCCCAGACTGTCAAAGCCCGAAGGCTCAAGGGCCCCAAGCCGTACCCTGCGGTGTTCCGTGACACCGGCGTCGAATCTTGAATCAACACGAGGGCTTGGTTCCTATGAGCTACCTAAATGAAGGATCACATCTTGAATGCCGCATCCAGTCCCGGGCTGGTACCCAGTTTCGCGTTTAAATTTTGGACGAGTACCTTCGTCCATGTATCACCAACGTCATCATCTCGCACTACTGTTATGATTCGGCTCCGGCGTCAATCATGCGAGTAGCGCATCCCAAGAACCAAGACCTCGTGTTCGGGGCAAGGGTAAAGGGTAATGGATCATCAGTGACCAGGCATATGGAGATGGGTAGCGAATGGTAGGTAAGCTTCGCCGTGGAGTCTCTAGCTGTAACTTGTAAAACGTCAGTTGCCGAGTTTCGAACGTACAGTTGTGCTCCTGTGAACGCATAACATATCCACTCAGGATGGATCTGTTGGACTCCTAGCTTGCCGCAAAACAAGACATGTACGAAGTACGGAGTCTTTACGGCGGCACCCACTGCTCTAGGCCACGTCTTGGTGTCTTACTTAGTGATTCTATTTGGTGGTCAACGCACGGTGACTTATTGGTGAGCGCTGTCCCGCGGCCTGAAATAGATACGATGGTGCTATGTACCTTGCCTTGTAAGGCTCTCCGCTAGAAGAGAATCACTATAATTCTAGAGGCTCTGGGGCGAGCAACCTTGCAGAAGGATAAACTGGCGCTGATCTATAGGCTCCATCCTCCGTATCTGTAGTCTGTGCTGCGGCCATTATCCACAGAAACAAGCCACGAAGTATCCGTTGCCGTGGCCCGTGGACAAGCTGAGAATGTGCAGGGCTAGACGATAAGTCGGAAATCTTAACAACATTTATTTCCAAGGAGTCCTTGAGACATGGATCTTTATTGGAATTTAGAAATTGCCCTCGAATTTCTACGGATTCGAGAACTTATTAAATCGGGTTGCGTGGTAGGACGTCTAGACTATAAGACAGTAGGTAAGGTACTTGCTAATAACACGTACCTAGTACCTAGTACTTGGTACACCGTACGGTACGTGATATTGAAAGGTGTAGGAAGTGGAGAATTACTTACCTCCTTAAAAGTATTGGCATTTCAGCCACTTTCTCTCAGCTCAGCAAATGGCAACATCCGCTTTGCAGCCCCCACGGTGGGACAAGACGCAAGCTTCCTGGTGAAGTTGTGAGACTGAGGTCGCCCGCTGCCCAACGGCGGTGGATCAAGAAGCTCTTACCGCCAAACTGCACAAAGAAACACGACGAGGGAGCTGGGACTATCCCACTTCAAGAAATACCGTAGATGCAAACCCTAGCGTATCAATTATCATTATCCGGACGTTTCGTTCCTTTTTCTAGCCTCCCGACCCGGCACCCAGCTGAAGCTCCACGCGGCTGGGCATGTACATGTACAGCACATGTACGAACCCAGAGCCACGGGTGGGATTTCTTGAACGGTCCAAGTCCAAGTCCAAGTCCAAGTCCAAGTCCAAGTCCAAGTCCACCTATCCACCTATCCACCTATTCGCCGCATTTCGTGTTAATAACTTGAACCCCCCTTACTTCTCCCAGTTTTATTAGTCTCCTGTTTCTCGCATTCGCATTTGCATTTGCATTCGCATTTGCCGTGCCGAGCTGGCAAGCCCCATCTCCATCGCCTTTTTATATATACACAGCCCTCGCTTCTCCTCGTAGGATTCAATAACTGACCCAACCGATGCTACCTTAAGGGTCCATCTGAGTCCAGCCTTCGATTGTAACAACTATCATTATTGCTAGGCTTCAACGACAACGCCAGGACCGGCCGAAGTGAGGAGTCTGTCGTGTCCTTGTCAGGATCCTTCCATCAGACTCTTGGAAGATTTGTACGCTGTCGTGCTCGATAACCAAATACTCTGTTACCTCCAACATTCCCCTCAGCTCTCTCTGTATCCGGCCCCAGTCACGATGTCCGTATTCTCAAAAATTAGGCAATCCAGAGCGGCCGCCAAACAACACAAGGCAAAGGCCAAAGAGCCCACAGAGGATGTTAAAGTCCCGTACAAACATGTGCCCAAGCACGCTGCCGTCGATGCCCTGAGTGGCGCACCGTCGACTTGGAAGCACGAGGACAAGGGAAAGATCCGACAGCATCACCAGCGAAGGAGTCAAATGGGTAGTCGGACCACAAGCATGATATCGACCGCATCCTACTTCACTGCAACCGCCGGGCCAAGTTCAGCAGCCCCTCCATTACCGCGAAATAACAGCTACACGTATAGTAGCTATAGCCCGGCCTGGCTTGATCGAGGGGGTGATTATCACAACGCAGAGCCTACGCGGAAACGATACAAATCTAGAGGTCACTCGTATAACGACTCGGGTATTGGCGCCAGCATTGGACCATCCCCTCTGGCCTCGAATATGCACAGTGAAGGTAAATCTTTCCGAGTCGGCCTACTCGCCATTTTAGCACTGCAGGAAAGTTGAAGAAAGTATTAATTATTAAAGCAGATGTCTCGCCGGTCATCAGTTCCGGCGACAGCTCCTCATCCAACTCCTCCGACCACCTTGAGCTCGCACCTGCATCCAATTCAAAACGTAGGTCACAACAACGGCCACAGCCCGAAAAGCGTGATGGTTATTCAACGCCGAATATGAACCGCACCTCACAGCGACCCCAACCCGTGGTATACGCCGAGAAGGACATCTTCGAGCGATTGCACACAAGTACGACACGAAAGATTGGCGAAGCTCCTCTTTACGACAGTCCTCCATCGCCTGTTAAAGGCTCAGTGGCCACGACAACCGTGGCCCCGGCCGTGGAAGAGCGAAAACCAAAGAAATCAAGATGGAGTTTACTTGGGAAGAAAAGAAATTCTGCGATAGTGGCTTGATTCAAGAACACCCACGCCAAAAAAGCAAAATGAGACTATTCCAGCCCAAGTGGGATTCGATGTAATTGTTCGGAAAGCCGCATGATACAGATTCGTGATATTCCAGGCTAGGAATAATCATGGTATCCTGGATCAGATTTCCCCTGCCGGACCGGGGAATGCTCACCGCACATACAGTACGACTATTTTATGCACTGCAATTATTCGTGCAGAAGTTTCCTCACCACACACCTTACCAAGGTCGCACCAAACCTCTCATTTGTCACACTTCTTCTTAGATTCAGCCTTATCGTTTCACGGATGGATATCTCAAATGGCAATGTGCTGTACCACCACTATACTTTACAGCAAGCACTCCCAGGCAGGAATGAGCCTCTGCCTCGGAGGAAAAACTGGTATCACTGAAATACCGATATCTTTTTAACGTTTTGAATATTTTGCGTCGGCGTTACTGTAGAAATGGCGAAGGCGCTGGAATGCAGGGGTTTTTATAATGCAAATATTTTGAACTTTGGGTCTTGGATTCGGGATGGGCTGTCAATCACCTGGAAATATCATGGGTGGGATTTTGGAAATAGTGGATCGATCTACTTATTCAGGGATCTTTCGAATGCACGTATATGTTTCGAGGGAATCATATAGGAAACGAGCTGGTTATTGTGATCCTCGCCTTATCCGAGCTTCTCGAGCATTGCTAAGATTGTTCACATCTCTCATTGGACCTACTCTATGGCCCGTTGCTTTCCCTAAAACCCATCATCCTAGTCTGTATTATTCACAAAACGAATTTTGGTAATCTACATGGTCCCACGCTACCCAACTCGTCTAGAACGATTCAGCTACTACTTGTTCTTTATGAGAGATGAGAACAACACTTTCCTCCTCTACTATGAGATATCACCTCGTACTCTGTAGTGGTGTATATACTCGGGTAGTGCCGCCCGCCCCGCAAATCGGGAGAGCCCGCGCGTCTCCCGCGTTATATATAAAACTCTAATCGGAGCAAAATTCGGGCGCAGGTAGATGTTGATTCAACAACATGGTTTTGCCGCTTTTCTTAGAGTTTGAATGCTGTTTTTATTCCTAAGGAAGGTTTAGCATGGCATAGAATGTAATGCAATGCAATGTCATAAACTTAAACCGCACAAGTCAATGAGAATTTAAGAAGTCTTTTGACAGGCTTGCCCAAGTGGGACTTTCCTCCAAACGAATTAGCATCAAGCTGGCCATCCGTCATCATCCAGCATGTCGAATTCCTTCATTGGCAAAGTCGGAAGTCGGAGTACGCCCTCCTGGTCAACAAAATTATCCTTCTTAGCTGTAAACCCCCAACTCTTGACGAAATCGTACGCATTGTTCTCCAAATACATCGCAAGGTAAGCAGCAGAAGTAAACGGTACCCTCCAATGCTTCCAAGACTTGATCGCCTTCTCATCGACCCATTCACCATCCTCAACATCATCAGGCATTTCATAAACCGAATGGTGAATCAAGACGGTCTTATCACGTGTGCTACGCCCGTCAAGAATAACCAACGTATCGTTAACAATCGTCTCGTCTTCTTCAGGGAGACCCTCCATAAACTTGACCAGGTTGTCTACCGAAGACTCAAGAAAGCCAGTTTCAACTGGGTCCAGGGGTCCTACAGTTCCTTCGTCGAATTCTGTCTGCGAGGGATCCCTTACGAGACTCCATATGTTTGTTGTGCCTTCCGGTTTTTGAGATTCCACAACGAACTCTTTGATGAGCTTTGAGAATATTCCGATCAGCATGATGTAGTCCCCTCCATGCGCCCAGGGATATTCAGAGGTTTACCTCAACGGAGACGTTGGCAGTGCAGAAGAATAAAACCGTAGTCATTTTGGCTTGTAGGCTAAATCCGTTGGCGAAAAGGTATGGTGGGTGGTTTGTACAGATATTTTGTTGAGGGCGAGGTGAGTAACGGTAATTATCATGTGCATTTGTAGTGCAACGGAGTCACTGTCACACAGGTAGTCTTATATCGACTCCGCCACGCTGCTCTGTAGGATTCCTGGAAACCATATTATCGCTTATTTAGGTGGCAACTAGGCACCACTGTAACCATTATCTGACTATAGACACCTTAAAGTGATGATCTCGGCCATATCGGTCGGCGCTCTTCTCCACCATTAACTAGTGGTATGGTTTGGACCGTTTGGATTAAAAATGTCACAGCATCATAGTCTTGAATCTACGAGTTATTAAACTAGGTCGTAAATAGCCAAAATTAGGCTTTTCATATAAAGGATTATTATGCCTAGAACTGTAAGAATGAGGTTATAAATCGCTGCTTCTACCATCAGGGTTACACGTAAAATTAACTCCTACCAGAGCCCGTCTTGTTTGCTAACCCTAACATAAAAACGGTAATGATATCTCACATTACCTATAGCCGACTGGTACCAACTCTATAGGTATAGACCTACCTACATATGTTTGTATGTAGCTGCGAACACGTGCATCTCCAATTGCTGGAGAAACTCCTCGTCTAGGAAAATTCACAAAATGAACAAAAGATCTTAGCCACTACCACACCATGGCGATGCAACTGACAACGTAGCATATTTATATTCCGGTATGAAGCTACTTTAATCAACATGTAAGAGCGCCTCCTTCGCTAAGCAGAACCCCCCCTCCTAAATGCACTTCCGGCTTGAGACATGCTTCTTGATAAGCGTGGTTTGGGTGGTAACTAACTCTCGCCCTTGAGTGAGAACCTCAAAAGGCAATTCGAGTTTGCTATGCGGGTGATATCAAGACGATATTTGAGGACGGGCGAGAGGGTAGGCGCGAGGGACGGGTCCGAGTGCTGTGAAAGCGTGAAGAGGCTCATTATAAACCCCACTGCCCATTAATATATAAAGCGGGCATTGCTTTAAGTAATTGTATGGTCCCCATACTACTCTTAGCCATACAATGCATTTCCATGAATACGTAATTCCTGTCCACCATACCCACACTCACATTTAAGCTCCTAGACTTTTGGCTATTAATCACCTTTCAGCCTTCCAAAAGACGGTTCAGTGACCACAATCCCATCACTATCAAGTACCTTCCCCCTATCCCACTCCCTCCCTTCCCCTTTCTTCGCCCATTTCACATCCTCCTCCGTCCTCTCGCCTCCCTTCTCCCACTTTTGAATTTCATCATCCGTGAATCCCGCAGCTTTCAATCGATCAGCACCTTGCTGTTTCCACTTCTGGCGGTCACGTAGCGCCTCCAGGGCCTGGTCCCAATCATTCTCCTCGTCGACATCTATCTGCACATCGGCAGTGGGATCGTAATCGGCTGAGAATCTCGAATCGATACCAGAGTTACTAGAAAAGGCTCCACGGCCGCGCGATCGTACTTCTGGTTTAGGTGGCGGGGCTGGACCGATGATATCATCTAGAGGATCCGAATCGTTGTCTACATTGTGCTTGTCTTTCATCGGGTCCTTCGTCGACTTCTTTTTGGAAGGACGGCGTTCAATTGAGGGAGAACGACGGTATTTGCTCGGCCTATGTCGACCTTCAACTGGGGATTTTGAGCGTTTCCTTCTTGGTGACCTTTGACGGGTTCTTGAGCCCTTGCTTCGATGCTCGTTCGGTGAACGCGATCGAGACCTCCGTCGTCTCCTCCTGTCATCAACATCTCGTTCACTATCTATCGAAGCACTCCTGTGCCGCCTGTGGTGTCTCTTAGTACTTTTAGATCGTCCGTCCTCCTCATCTTCTCGCGTGGCATGTTTCCGCTTCCTCTCATCCTTAACTTCCCTCTTCAACTCGTCATCACCAAAAGGCTTTTTCCGCCTGGATTCGTTCTCGATTGATCTAGCCTCATCATCTCTCTTGCGTTTTGAAGGCTTCGCCCCTCCCAATATAGCAGCAATATCTCCTAATTGCCGCTTCCTGATATCGCCTCCCCCAATCCGACTCGACTTCTTTTCCCTATCATTCCCCGCAAGCCTCTGCAAACGTGCGCGGGATTCTGCCGCCTCCCTAGCCAGTAGGGCCGCATTGTGACTATCGGTGTCTTTGATAATGTTGCGTAGGAACCGAGTATTAGGTTTTGGCTTGTTGGAAGGAGGCCTGGTAAGGATTAGTTACGCAGTAGGCTTTATGTCGGGTATATGGTAAGTACTTGGATGTTGTAAAGTCTTCAAGGCCCAGCGAGGAGTATTTGATCGAGGCTTTCGCATCTTTTGCCAGGAGTTCGGCGACGTACTCGTCTGTAAGAGCCTCGTTTTTCGTCATGGCGGGGAGCGTTGGTAAGGGTGATGTACTATGCCAGAGCTAGACGGTTTGGACTTATCGATATGGGTAACCTGATGGTTGCTCAATGCATGCGAGGAAGTGCCATGTTTTATGTCTGAGAACTCTTATGCCTGTGGGAATGTGCCTTGTCGACGTAAGGATGATGCGTCACTCTCAGCGTCCCTAAATCGAGACCTTGAAAGGCGGTGAACCGGCAGAATTGTCTAAAGTAAACAAACCGCCGTTGAAGGGTCGCGGCAACTTAAACTTAAAAGTAATAACTTCGCTCTAAGCATTACTATATTTTGAATTTAGAAACCCAGAGGAGAGGCTCTTTATTTCTGTACGAGACCAACGCCTGTTGAATGTGTTCCGGACGCAACATCACGATTACCACGTCCAAAGCGCTTTTCTAATCAGGCACGCGATAAGAGCCCCTCAGCAACGATACATTCACTTCCAATTTTAAACCAATATGGGGAAGTCTCATGAGGAGACTCTTGGGGATATCTTACAAGCGCAAAATTCCCATGAACTTTCTATTATCAGATTAAGTGAGCCACTTGCTGGGCCACTGAAGGGGAACCCCGGGGAACGCACTTCGGACGTCTCGGCCGATGTCTTCGACAATCCAACTCCTGCAAGCCTCGAGGCGGATTTGGCACATTACAAGGTATTTTATTTATTAATGTTTATTAGGAAACGCGCTAAGAATATTAGGAACTTTTCTCTAAACTCCGGTTCTCATATCTTGAACAAGTTACAAAGGAGAAGTTCATCCGAGCCATTGTGGGCGATCCGCCGCTAGTCGTCGACCACCAGGAAAATGTTGATTTAGAGGAATCACTTGCCGTTTCAAAAGCATCTCTCAAATCCCAGAAGACCGAAGTAACAGATTTGGTAGAGGAATTAGAGAAGAAAGGCCGAGAAATATGTCGGAAGTATGAGAATGTCCAATTGCAGACAGCCCAGCTGCAAGAATTGCCGGAAAGAATCGATGGATTGCAGGCAAACATTGAGAATTTGAAGGCTATGCAACAACCTGGTTCGGATCCGATTTTAAATATGTCCCTAGACAAAACCATAGCGTTGGTAGACGAGAGGCGAAGGGAGAGAGCCGAGCTGGATCGGCAATTGGAGCAACTACAATCGATGCTACCGAGAAAGACTAGGGAGCGAGAGAGGCTGAATGCAGAGTTGCAGCCATTGGAGGTGAAGAGACTGGGGAGTAAGGCTGCTGCGAGAGATGCAAAGCGGAGGAAGGAAGAAGCTTTAGGAGGGGTTGGAGACGATCTAGAGGAGCGAGGTAAGTGGTGGAGAGGCGTTGAAACCGGTTTGAAGGGGGTGTTGGACATCCAAGGATAGTTTTATAGAGGTTCGGATTAGGGTTAACAGGAGATCTGGCTGTTATTTCAATAACATGCACAAGGGTTGGTTGATGTTGGAGTATATTTCCGTTGATGGGGCTTTGGAGGCATACGGCAGTGCTTCGTATATATGGCGTTCCATGGGCGAAATGAAATAACAATACCTTTATTGAAATCGAATATACCATTGTAGCACTCCTTGCAATGCCCTGAGGAGACTCCAAACGGTGCAACACTATTAAGCAGTTGGTTTGCCACGTAATAAGTACTACTGCCCTGATAAAGATATATTAGACATTGTGTTGCTGTATTTTTGATACTGAGCTAGCTAGAAAGGGCGGAGAAGGACGGAGTGCGGAACGAAAATCCATCACGTGATAGACGCCCGAAGTTCAAGGTTCGCTTCTCTAGTTTCGCGCTAACGACCGATCCCACATCTGAATTTCTCGAAATTCAAGCCCACGCGAAGAGTGCAACGACTACCTCGACAACCCCACGACGGCAACGAGGTATGTGATAACTCTTCTCATTCCCATCACCGATTCTCGATATATCTTACTGACATTGCTCTTGGCAGTTCCTAATTCAAAATGAGTGCGTCTCCAACAGTGTACCTAACTACGGACGCACGACACTAACAATTCTACAGCGAAGGGAACCTCCAGCTTCGGAAAGCGTCACAACAAGACGCACACTCTGTGCAGACGTTGCGGTCAGTAGAATTGATCCCCAGAGGGATATTGGAGAATGGGAGACTGATGAACCGATGTTTAGGCCGACGATCCCTCCACATCCAAAAGCACACCTGCTCCTCATGCGCATACCCAGCGGCTAAGACCCGAAAGTGTACGTTGTCCCGAGAACTGTTGAGGGTGAAACCCTGAGCGGCCAAGCGCTCGCGAGAATGGGACATTTTGGCTGACAATGAACCGTAGACAACTGGGGCGAGAAGGCCAAGCGGAGAAAGACCACCGGAACTGGACGCATGCAATACCTGAAGGGCGTGCCAAGACGATTCAAGAACGGCTTCCAGACTGGTGTACCAAAAGACTCGCGAGGACCATCCAAGGCCGAATAGAGGGTGCAAATCGGGAGTTGATCAAATGGGAATTGGTTGCGAATTGCGGATTGGGGGTTACTCATGATGTCCTGAAAGCTACGTTCACGCTAGCAAATACCATCAATTTGCACCAAGGATATACAAGCGGATGTGACATGTTCAAGACTTGTTCGTGATTTCTGAGTGACACACCGGTGGAATTATATGATATTTCGGGGATATCGATTAGTTATCGGTAACCTTCATCGAAGTGCAAACTACACTACTGTCCCCTCTCGAATACTCTCACGCCTCCATCTCCTGCAACGAAATACAGCAACTCTCGCTCGTCAATCTTTCGCCTAAAATCATCATCCTCAGCTACCTGATCTCCAATTGTAACTCTAACAACTCCACTGACGTCTGTTGCCGTCCCACTGTCTAACAGCCTCAAGCCCATTATGAAATCAGCTTGATGTGCTATATTTACTAAAAACGATGCATGATTCGTTTCCAGAGGCGTCTGCAGAGCGGATACCAGAGGGTGATCTGCCGAAACAGTAATTATGGCGGAATGAACCTCCTGCCCTATATTTAGTAATATATTCAACTTGCTTGAAAGTTTACATTCCCACTTACCTCTCGAAGCCCTGCCAACATCTCCTCCAAATTGACGGCCCCAACTTGGTTCCCTGCCACTGCCAATAATAGGTCTAGCTGGTCGACCACTAACAAAACATTTCCCTTCGCTCCTGATGAACCTCTTACATCTTGAATAGCCTTCAATATCGCTTCGGAGACATTTGTAAGACTTGGGCTGCTGAGAACTGTCTCTCCGGGACCCACGGCTGGCCTCTGTTGCTTCGGCAGGAAAAGCCCACTCAAACCGTCCACAAATGCAAATGATTTCTTTGCAGCATGTTTCTCAAGATCCAACCCCTATCCAAACGTTTAGTTCCAGATGCCCAAAATTACTCAAGCAGGTGGCAATCAAATAACCCGAGATTTCGAAAGAACGAAATTTTACCTACCAATCTCCTAGCATTATCCTTCCAGAATGCAAAATCCCTCAAGAAGCTCACGAAAACTACTTTAGTTTCATCTTCTGGGTGGACTTCAAGGGAATTACTGCTGGTGGCCAAGGTGCTGTGCAGGAACCGTAGGACGAGCCAGTTTGTACTCGCGCCAAGAACGTTGGTTAATAGGATGAGGGATGCCTCGGGGGGAAGGGCGAGATAGGGCTCAAGGAGAGGTGGAATCTTGGAAGCCATTTTAATATCCAATGTATAATGGGTTCTTCGTGGTGATTTTAAGGTAAGTTTTTTAGACCAAGATCTAATCACGTGATTGGTGTTTAAATTGAGATTTTTCTCCAGTGTCTGGGACGTCACCTTTCCATCACTAGTCAAAGATTTCGAGAGATCCTTTCTTCTATTATGACATATTTCTGTGTTCCATTTGGTGTTATACATTGTTTTACTTTTCAAAAATGCTCTAATTTTGCATCAGACACTGTCGCCGATGTAAATTCTCATGTCCGACGGTGAACCGTAGATTCACACTCTGACTGTATAGAGCACTCAATTGAAGGATATTTGCAATATGTGTAAATTTTTGCAATTGAAGACATTTCATTCTTCTATGTTATATACACGCTGTCAGCCAAAATTGGGCAATAATGGTCCTCAAACGACTAATATACTTTCCATTTTTAGTCAAGCAAGCGCTGTGTCCTTTGAAGAAACCATGAGGAGTATTTTTCAAATTTTCATCTGTAGGGGTAGTAACTATGGTGGTTCCTTTTTAGTTGAAGATGTCATGTAGCTGTAGTGACGAATTATTTATACTCTGACGTTACTTTTGTTTATGGATAAAAGAGGTCCTACAGGAGGAGAATTTGATGTTCTGCAGCTTGAATTGTTATATCGGTTCTCGTTAACATCATCGAACCACTAAGTGTTTGATAGATAACCCAAGTTGTGCATTTATCTACCATCTAAGCTGGTCCCCACAGGTAGCTTGGCTGTATTGAATTTATCCTAAAAATCATAAGCAGCGTAACATTTGGCTGTTGAATATAAGCCAGCATGTATCAACTCAATCATTTACTAAAACAAGTGTCAATTCGCTCTGCGGCTTAATGATATTTTGAGCAAATCGAGCCGCTAGCAATCGGATCCGATTTTATTCCTACTTATTTCAATGTCTTACGACCTCTTATGTTCCATACATACGTAGGTACTTTAGCAAAGCAGTGACCTCAAATATACATCCTCGCCCCCGGCTAGTAGTCTTTCGATATTTCGAGAGCCAAGTCGTATACTTCTAGCTCGCAGCTAGATCACGCCTGCCACTACTCCCTCGATAATATCTTGCTGTTGCAATTCCTATATTTTTCCTTTCGTACACGCTGTATGAAGTATAAAACATTCTCGGCGACTTCCCTGCTTTCTAAATTTGTCTCGTTGCATGTCGAGCGCCAACCACTTTTAATTCTGCCATGCACAGCCGCAGACATTAAATATTTCTGTATATTGTAGCCACTAGCTGCACAGCCGCGGTAGCATTTCGTTGCAACTCGATCGAAACCCACCACCTTCAGTTCTTCCATAAGCAGCCGCAGGTAGTATGAATTCGTTGCACCTCGATCGAAACTCACCACTTTCGGTTTTGCCAATAATGGCCACAGACAATGTGAATTTGTTGCAAATCGACCGTTGTAACGTTACGCGGATATTGCTGAGATGAGCATTGATGTATGTCTCGTTGCATGTCGATCGAAACTCACCGCTTTGATTCCCCACGGAATGGCCCCAGTGACCTATGTTTTGTTGCAAGTCGATCGAAGATTACCGCATTTGGTCGGCCAAGAATAGGAACGGGAGCAGTCGCTGATAAAATAGAATTCGTTGTAAGTCGATCGCTTTTAAGCTTTAGCGAGGTTTTCCAAAAAGAGCTCATGTACAGTTTCGTTGCGTGTCGAGCGCTCACCATCGGTTATTCTGCTTGCACAGCTGTGAATATGATGTCATATTACATTTCAAGCCATCGTGTGTTTCTGGCTTTCAGTTCTGCGAGGTATGGGGGACAACGTTGCATGCCAAACGTCCACCACGTTTATTCAACCAAGGGTACAAGAAACTGGATATAGAGCACTCTAGACCAGGAGAGTCTTGGTTCAACTAGATGCCGTCTACAATATTTACGTATAATAAACAACAAGAGATGACAACCTAGCCATAGTGTGCTAAATTACATGTGGGATCAATAGACACATCCAAACCAGAAGTGTGTGAAAATAAAAATAAAGTGTAAGGAACAATCAACTGTGCAATATATAGTGGTTCATGTCATTAACAAGTGTGTTGATGTAGTTAATATCGACTATGCTTCGCAGATATCTATTGTTTTAGTAAAAGAAACAGTCGACCATAGAAGTCACATGGTAATCGGCCTTCGCCCTTTACATTGCACATTTTATTGTTATAGTTAGAGGACGTGTAACAAAAACAAGTATAAAAGGCACCATACCTTTCCGTTTTATCTCTCGTCTCCGGTCTACCTCATCAATTAACAAACACCCCAAATATATCATTTAATTAACAACTTGTGAGAAGTAAAAATGCCGCCTTGCCTACAAAATAAAACCTCAAGCAACTCCTCATCCGTAGGCGACACCGGTTTTGGTGATCAACTAGCCGATTACTCCATGTACTGAATTTGTTGCTGTGTGGGCATAGCGGCGGCATAACCTCACCTATTAAAGAATGTGCTACTTAACAAATACATGTTAACATGTTGCTTTGCTAATATAATGCAACATACTAATATTAATCATATCGATCCAAGCCACATGTTCTTGTGGATATATCAGAGGTGTATGTTGTTGATATCAGGAGCGAGTCGGGGAACAGGGAAGGAATGCAGCAAGTGGTTGGAGTTTGGATTTAATTGAGTTTGCACGGCAGCAGCAACGCTCTAGATACATTAATTGGAATAAATATCAATATCCTATGCTAGTAATTTTAGGGTGTTGTTCATCGTTTCGAGGTTCAAAATCCGTGGGATATATAGACTTCAAAGTAGGAGAAGGATTTTTAATATACGTTCATTCGATTTGCAATAGAGGGAGCTGATAAGCTTGCAGTCACCGACATTGAGTTTGTCATACAATAACGGTTGCATTTGTAATACGAACACCTACTCCAGTAAGTTCGAAGACACACTACACCACAAGAATGGGGAGAGAGTGGCGAAGACACATATTATTCCCACTTTCTGGACCCCCTCCCTAAGAGTATCTTCCAAGCCATTAATGGAATTGCAACTTTTTGAATTCCACAGTTGCAACTCGGCATCCTCCAATCGCCAACGCGGCGGAGATACTAGCAAACATAGTGTAACCCCGGGGGCCACCACCGGTCACCGGCGGCGGATAAATATGAATATAAATATTGGTCCTCTAGTTAGCAAAGGTGGGGTTGACCTGATAATAACTTGATGAGCGGCGGGAGGCAGCAGTAGTGCGAAAGGAAAGCCCTTATCGAAGCTCTAGAGTCTAGAGTAGTGTCTAGACAGAAGAACTTCGTAATCATCCCCCGCCTGGGTTTTGTGCAGCGTCAACTGCGCACCCGAATTGCACGAAAGTGAGAAGTGAGCGTGTCTGGATTAATTCGTCGCCCGATTGATCGATCGATTGATCCTTCGATAGTCAGGTTACCACGTACATACCTACGCCGTCGCTTGCCTGTTCTCGACGCCTCGTGCATTCTTCCAGGCGGTTAGAAAAAGGACAACCCCCGTCCGTCACTCGCGAAACTCGCCGACGAGAGCTTCAAGCTCCCCCTCTCGCACTTTTTGAACGAAGTCGACTCCCGTAAAGTTTACATTGTATATATATACTCTGCGATCTACAGGAATTCGTTCAAAACCTCGCCCTCATCATGTGGTCCCCAACATCGGCTTCCAACCCTGCATCGCCAACGAGTCCCCGCACCCCACAGCTGCCCCAACCACTGCAGACCTACCGGCTGAAAAACCAAGGACGGCGCATTGCGCAGATTGTGAAGCTGAAGCCGGAGCATGCGGATAAGTATAAGGAGTGCCATGCGAAGGTGTGGCCCGAGGTCCTGAAGCAGATTAAGAACTCGAATATTGAAGATTGTAAGCTCCCTTTTCGTACTTCTTTGCCCCGCTGCTTATCCTGGTCTTGTGGGCTCGGGACTTCTTCTCTAGTTGTCAATTCAATTGCTATTCTTCCGCACGGTGGGCTGGGCGGGGCTGAGCTGAGATAAGCTGATACTTATTCTTCCTCCAGATTCCATCTTCCTCGATCCAGACACAAATACCCTCTTCGCGTCGTTTAAGTATGTTGGTTATGACTGGGCGGGCGATATGGAGAGGATGCGGGAGAATCCCAAGGTCCAGGAGTGGTGGAAGATGACGGACAGTTATCAGGAGTCCCTTGTCGAGGGCGCGACGAGCAGCCTAGATGGGGAGCCTGCGTGGTGGAAGGGGATAGAGGAGGTGTTTTACACTCCCTGATGTGATATGTTTTCTGCGTGTGTGTATGCACCCTGGCATTCATTCGCAGGGGGAAAGCATATTCTATCCGTCCTTGTCATGGCTTAATGAATACACGAGGAATGCAATTGACGCAAGAAAGGCATGTCTTTGGGATTCGCTATTTCGTGTTTCCAAAGAGCCCTCCAAGTAGCCCCGTCCCTCCTCCGTATAGCCCCGTCCCTCCTCCGCCTTGCCCACGCCTCCGCGCCTCTGTCCGTATCCATTCCTTCATCCACTCCTTATCCGTCAACTTCTTCGGGTCTACGACCTTGGTCCCGGTCTGTGCTTCTCCGCGGTCGAAACTTAAGAGGGTTGGCAGGCTGGTAATCATGTATGTCATTCCCAGGCCGCTGTCCATCACGTCCGGGGTGTCATATTCGACCTCACAGAAGGAAACGCCGCCCTCCTCCTCGCCCACCCCGGCTTCAATGAGCTCCTGAAGAAGGGGGGAGACGGTTTTGCAGGTGGCGCAGTAGGAAGCTGTCCAGAGGGTTAGGAGGGGGGTTCGAGAGGAAGTCGAGAGTTGGAGGTAGGAGGAGAAATCATCGTAACGGCGGACTCTGTCGCCCAATTAGCAGAGCGTAGATATAAACATAAATACCCCGGGGGGAGGGGGCACAAGTGGCTTACGGCGTATAGACGCGGTTCTTGGCCTTGTTCTCGGGGGTGGTCGAGAAATGCCGTGTAATTGGGGCGGCAATTGGCGCTCGCTTTCTCAGGGAGACTCGTAAAAGCCGCGGAGCTGGCCGTGTTATCATTGCAAGGATACGCCCGAGGGAGGGCGATGGAGCAAGAGTCGGTGTGAGCGAGAGGCTGGGTAGCTGGGTAGCTGGGTTGTGTGGGGGATGCAGGTGAGCGAGTGCAGTTGGTGGAATTGGTGATGTACAGGAGCTCCCACAGTGCTACGAGTACAAGAATGCTGCAGTACAGTCCAGTGCTAAGCTCCATGCAAAAAGATCGATCTCCGCGCTCCCAACGCTCTTCCAAGCACAAACAACGCCGAGCTCGGCGGGGCCAGGGATGGTGCGCGTCATGTGATGCAGACCAAAGACTCACTTGATGCTCTCCATGTTCCTTTTATTACTTGATTATTACCTTTCTTGCCTCGTATCTTGACATCTGTTCGCACCCAGTTCTCCTTGGGCCGAAGCATGTGGAACACGCCAAGCGGGGATGGGCATCACGGTGATCACTTGACGGCGTTCAGATGTTCAGATGATACTCGGTGCTGGGGGAACCTGGGGCTGCCAGCAACGCGCCCACCGCCCAGCGCGTCATTGAGCAGATCCGAGCAGATGGCGGTGGGAGGGAATGGATGGTGGCTGCATGTCACCGCCCGGCAGTACTCTGCGCACAGGAGGGAAACGCGGGGAGCAGCACAAGCAAGCACCAACGTAATCTCCCTCCATCAACGCCCAACTGGTATTGTAAGGGAGGTAGGTATATAATCTAGAGGACCCCTATTTTTTCCTTACCTTTTCCCCCATCCTTTCTCAGTACTTGAATTCAGTACGTGGTCCGCAGTCCGCACAATGACCCTCCGTTGAAATCTCGACGTTTGCCCCCCCCCGAAATCCCAAAGGGAGAGTTGCTCGCCCGCTCCATTGTTAGCCACCGCCTTGGCAAACGCCCAGCAGAATATTCCATAAAGGAGACCCTGAAGTTGCTACGAAGTACATAGGCGCTGCTTAGACGGCCATATCTGCTACACGAAATGGCTTCTCCCTCAGACCAGGAAGAAACTGGGCCGGCTCCAGCCTCCCTGGCCTCACGCTGGTGGTTCTCTCGCCGGTCTGCTTCCAAGCGGGACGACCGCCGAGAAGATACAGACACGAGCAGTGGCGAGCCTGAAAAGAACACCACCCAGCCTACAAAATGGAGTTTGGGAGTGCTCAACGATTCATCCACCCATGAAGTCCCTGGTGCGTCTGATATCCCTTCTCTGCCATTTTTTTCTGTATCACAAACACTGACGGGTGTGACAATAGGCTCTGTTCTTCTTCTGTCAGGCCAGCGCAATCAGCCCTTGGGTCTTCGAAATGCGCCGGCTAGAGCGTCTCATTCCTCCTTACCTCCACAACCTTTTACTACCATTCAGAATGACCACGAACCTCTGCCGGAGGAGCTACCGGAAGGCAAGAAGACCACACCCGATGGTGCCGTGATACTCAACCCCCAGCCGGACGAATCACAGAATGACCCATTGAATTGGCCCAAGTGGAGGAGAGATGCTTCACTGTTATCGCTCGGTCTCTATTGCATGATTGGTGGTGGTATGACTACAATCCTAGCCGCGGGCTTCACCAATGTCGCCGAGACATACGATGTCACAGTGCCGCAGGTAGCGTTGACTACCGGACTGTATATGATGGGGCTCGGCGTGGGTTCGATTATCGCCTGTCCAACGGCCATTCTATTTGGAAAACGGCCCGTATACCTGGCCAGCGCTTTGGTATTCGTTCTTTCCTCGGTCTGGTGCGCTCTATCGCCGACCTACTCTTCCTTGATTATTGCAAGAGTCGTCATGGGCCTCTCAGTCAGCTCGGTTGAGTGTCTGCCATCGGCGACTGTTGCCGAGATCTTCTTTCTCCATGAGCGTGCATATCGTATTGGCATATATACCCTTCTCCTTTTGGGCGGAAAGAATTTGGTGCCTTTGGTTAGTGCAGTGATCATCCAGTCTCTAGGCTGGCGATGGGTTTTTTGGTGAGGCTCGATAATCTTAATTATGAAATATGGGGAAATGTGCTAACCCATTCCAGGATCGTGGCCATGTATGTTGGCTTCTGTGGGATGCTCCTTTTCGTTTTTGTGCCCGAGTCATTCTGGGATCGGACGCCGCGACCAAAGAAACATAAAATATCAGGGAATACATCCAAATCGTCTCTATTTCGGAGTAAGGCGGCGTCTCAGGCGCTCTCAGGGGAGCATACCGTTATTGATGGGAAGCCTGGAGAGATTAATGATGAGAGCAGCCCAGCTGCCAGTTCGGCCGGGGCAGCTCTCCCCCAGAGGCCCCCGGTAGTTCAACGAGCTACTAGTCGCAGCCTGCGTTTTGATATGGGCCACCAGGCGAGGTTCACCAGCGACTTGGAGAAGCAGGCAGATGGTCCTACTGAAGGACTTCCGGAGTCGGAAGTTAGTGAAATGGGCCAAAACAACACTGCATCCCTAGATCAGACCAAAGGCGAACATTCAAACCCAGATATTTCGGGTAGCCGATTAGAAGGCGAGGCTACATCTAGTGGACTCCAACCTGCACATACTGAAGCGTACGACTTCCAACAAGAGGCGGGAACTGGCCGCCCACCCACGGGGAGGACAGATTCGTACGCCGATGGAATGGCTATCGGGACCTTTGAACCCCCTCTTATTTCCCAACGCTATACCAACACGATGCGGAGCCGCCCGGCGTTGACATTCGTTCAGCAGATGAAGCCTTATAATGGACGGTTCTCCAACGAGAATTGGCTGCGTGTTGCCGTCCGACCCTTTATCCTATTCGCATATCCCGCCGTGCTCTGGTCAGCAGGCGTCTATGGCTGCGCCGTTGGATGGCTGATCGTCCTTTCTGAGTCCGTGGCGGAAATCTACCGCAGCCCAGATACATACGACTTCCACGCCCTTGCCACCGGCTTGGTCTACCTCTCCCCGTTTATTGGCGGCATCCTGGGCACTTGCGTCGCCGGGAAGGTTAGTGACATTGTGGTAAAAGCAATGGCGAAACGCAATGGCGGGTTGTACGAACCGGAATTCCGCCTCGTGATGGCTGCCCCCGTGGCCCTCACAACCGTGGTAGGGCTCATGGGCTTCGGCTGGTCCGCGCAAAACCACGATCACTGGATCGTGCCCACCGTTTTCTTCGGCATCACCTCCTTCGGCTGCACCCTCGGTTCGACCACCGCCATCACGTTCTGCGTAGACAGCTATCGGCAGTATGCGGGCGAGGCACTTGTCACGCTCAATATCACCAAGAACATCTTGCATGGCTTGGTGTTTAGTTTGTTCTTCAATAACTGGCTAGAGAAGGATGGGAGTAGGACGGTGTTTATCTGGTTGGGAGTTATCCAGTTGGTTCTTATGGCCTTCACAATCCCTATGTATATATTCGGGAAGAGAGCGAGGATGTGGACCGTACGGAAGGGACTGATGGAGAAGTTTTAGCTTGGGCGGAGCATTTTGGTTTTGCATTGGGTGCACTTTTAGCATTGGGTAGTTTCTATGGCTATTTTGAGTAAAGAGAGGGAGATAGTTTTGTGGGATTCTCGGGATTTCTCATAGCATCAGCTTAGCGTGGTGTTTTGGTGTGGAAGGCGCACTTTGTTGCTACATTAGAAAGCATCTCTTACGATCTATGTATGAAATAGCTGGTTTGGAAGTGAGTGATATATATATATATCTTGTGAACAAGAACAACTTTTTCCAAATTCTCGTCGCTCCTCTTCGACTCAGAACATCCACAGTAGTGGTTGAATAAACGTGTGTCTAAACGAGGAACAAGAACACAATGCCACCGTCTGAACCACCAGGAGGAAACCTTGTACGTATGTCGCTGCGTCCTGCAGATTGGGCATGATGGTAGGTGCATATAAGACGAGAATTCCGCGGGGCAATTGATTCTCTGCGTACCTGCACGGTATTCTACTGATGCATTCTCGTACCAGCAAGCAAATATGTATTTATCGATAGTATCAGCTTTCCTCTGATCGAACCTAGCCCACAAACCGGGTCACTTAAGTGCGGAGGAATAAATAGTGACGATGAAAAAGTCCGCCGTGAGGAATATATGAACTCTGGAACTATTAATAATTGATCTAAAAACGCGAACACACACAAGCTTTTTCCGCACCCGGCGATCGCTGCTATCCTGGTGCCGCGGAGGGGATATTATTCGGGGGATCGGATGGTTGTTACAGGGTGCTATATAGTAATTGTTCATGCGGAGATGGTGCTAACTGCTAATCTGGTACCAAGGGTATCTTGATTTGGGTCCTTGATCCGGGTATCGTCGTACGCTATCGTGGAAACATTTATTTGGCAGTGGTAGCGTCAGCTTGCCATGCGGAGACTTCCAAGGCGGCTATGTTTATTAGAGAGCGAAGCTTGAAATGCAGCCAAATCCGACTAAAGGGGCTAATATAATATGTACGAGTAATATGTCCCACTTTCTTCTCTTGTTGGAGTTGAAGCCTCACTTCTGGATGCCTGCAACTCACTCCGAACCGCGGCAAGCAACCGAGTGATTATTGATAGATATATTGGGGCTTGCATCTATGTACAATACATCTGCGCCCGCATCTGCATCTGCATCTGCCATCCGGTTGTGGTTGCCGACTTGCAGTCATAGCAGTGAGACTCGGTACTCGAGTACCTCGTCTGCCTGGAATATGTACTTGTCCCCCAAGGTCTTTCATCATCTGGGGATATCTGCACGTTTTGCACACGACTGGCCCGGCTCAAGTTCCCCATTGCCCCCGTGTCTGCGAATCCGGGCAGCTCCACGTGGTGGTGACACCGGGCTCTGGCTCGTCCGCTATCGCCGCCCAGCTTTGCCCAGCTTTGCGCAGGACTTAAGCGTCGCAAGATAGTAAGACGAAGCTTATAAACATACAGTAGTGCTACGGTAGTAGCGGTAGAGGAGACAAAGCAGCAGCTGGCTTGCACAGCCATCATGGACGGGACAAGGATGCCCGCAAGGCAGAAGAGCGGGAATTTCGAGATACGCAGCCTGTAGATTGGATTGTTGGTCTGACTGGATTCGGGGTGGGTTGTGGTTGTGTTGGCTTTGGCTTTGGCTCTGGCAATAGGAAGGATGGAGGAGGTGAGAGAGTGAAATGAGCAATGAGCAATGATCCATGAACTGAATGATCCTTCGCCAGGTTACCTACGTATTCGTTTTGTCTTGATTGTCTTGTCTTGTAGTTAGTTGCACCGAGGCTTGTCTATTGTACTTACTCCATCTCCTTCACCAGGGGCAGGGCAGAACACCCACCAGGACAGCCTCACTTCTCCATCATTATTCTCCGGCGGTTGGATTGGACTCCAGCCTGCCTGTGGATGAATGCCGTTATATCCCTTCCCTACGCACGCACCTACAGTACGATACTCTCCTTCTCTCGTCTCTCGTCTCTCTCGTACCTTACTCCTCCTGTCCCACCTGTCATGTCCCACCCAGGCACCCCGATAGCATAGCACTCATTGCACGCAGAGCATAGCATGACCGTCCCTTGCGCATTTCCCGCTGCGTCGCCCTTTTCTGCTGCAGCTACACCAGCTTCTCGTGTCTCTTTCACCCGTTTCCTCATCTACTCTCCTTCTAAATCTTCTTTCACTTGCTGTTTTCCCTCTATTATTTCTCCCTTCGCTCGAACTGCCATCATTCGGTGCCATAAACCGACCTGAGCTCTACTTATATATAACTACCTACATACCTACCTACCTTATATATACACGATCTCAGAACCCCGCCGCATGCGACACGCGGCGGATCCGCCCGCCCCTTCACAGCCATGAATGCCGACTTCGAGACACCGATCAAGAGCATCCTCAAGACGATCGAGTCCGCCATCAAGCTAGCACGGAGGGTTACTCGATCTGCCGACCTGGCACCGGCGGATCAAGGACGTCTGATTTCCGAGTCGGCGCAGGAGTTACAAGCTGCGCTAGAACAGAGCTCCAAGGCTATTAAGGATGCCTATGCGCAAAGCTTTGGGATATGTGGCGAGTCGTTCACCCAGCCTTTGCGTGAAGATGGTAAGTGGACTAGTCTGGGTGATAAAGGGGACGGGCAGTGATTGACAGCTACGTAGCGGCCATCCAGACCCGATTAAAGGACCTCCGGATCGGGCTGATTGATCAAATCGACCAATGCAATGATTTCGATGACGATCTCGACTTATTCGACCCGGCAGGCTTCGCCGATATCCAGCACCAAGCCCAGAAATGCGGTGAAGAGTGTATATCTATTTTCCATGACCTTCGGGATGCCCATTTCACAGCCTGTCTGGGGAGCTTCAGGCCGGAGCAGGAGGTAAGGAACCGGTCTGGGTTTGCAGCTACGAAGCAGTCGCCCGAAATTGATATGAGAAGCCAACTCCCTCCCACGCCGAGCGAAACACCTCGTTCATCCCATATTGCACATATGCAGGTTGCCACGCCTCCTCTATCGGTGCCCCTGAAACCTAGAAGCCCATGGTCCATTGAGAGCCCATCACAGTTCGATTTAGGGGCATCACGTCCCGTTCCATGCGCTGCCCCAGTGCGACGGCGGCCCGTACCTGAACCTTCCCCAGCCTCATCCCCATTAAAGCCAGAAGGACAATTTACTCCTTGGATACCAGACGAAATTGTCCATTCGCGAATTAGCACCAATGATGAATTTTTGGAGAGGAGGAGGCAGTCACGCATATTGTTCCAGAATGAGATCCAGAGATCTATAAGCCCCACCACCACCACCGAGCGCCGAGTGAGCGAGGCATCTAGCAACAAAATGATGGTAGAGCGCCCAACTGTCTCCCCAAGCTCTATGGGAGAACGTCATTCAAGAACGAGCTCAAGCGGATATGACTCGTTAATTACGGGCCAGCGGAGTCAGGGTCAATTTTCACAGGGGACGCGAAGCTCAAGGGGCAGCTCTGTCCTCCACGATCGCCAAGCCCAGAAAATGGAGAGTCAAGAACTAATATCCCCTCAGACTCCCTTCCAAACGACGCCGTTCAGCCCTGTCAACGAACGCCGAATTTCCAATCACACTGAAATATGGAGCGCTGACCCAATAGCTCCCCAGGCTCATCCACATGCAAGCGAGATCGAGTCTGGGCTAGAGGTTGTAATGAATAATAATATTAACTATGATACCGAGAAAATGCTTGTAGAGGAGCCAGTATACACTCGCACCACGCCTACCACGTCGATGAAATCGATCGATCACCACATGCGTCATGATACCTCGTTTTATAAGTTTGGTGGATTTTGTGTTGGCGCGAAGGCAATGGTGAGAGGAGAAACAGGGTTCAAAGTTGTGAAGAGGCCATCTGTAAGAATTTCTGGAGCTCTCTAAAAGAATTGGATCTGATCAACACGCAGGGACACTACAGCGCGACCGTGTCTGCCAGGTGCATTAAGTGCTCTTATGAAGTTGGATGGAATGATGTTGAGAAGGATAGGTTACTGCAACGTAAGTTTTTAGTTCAGCAACCGATGGTAGTGATTGACTTTATTAGGTGACGGTATATATGGAAATTGTGGAATAAGATGGCGACAACGGTTTATTTCCAAATGCCATGTCAAATCCGGCTCGATTGAGGAGCCATTATATGCTGTCAGTTATTACTCCGCTCAAATCTATTTTCAACTAACCATCCATAGTGTATATTCTGCATTGAGGAAGGCAAAACCGTTGAAGAGCATGATGCCACCGTCTTTTTCTCGGTGGGACAGCTGTTCAGCCACTTAGCCAAACATCCTCGTCCTCTCCCAAACGTCGCGGGCATAACCACTCTTTACGGCTTTCAGCCACCCGAGGCGCTCGATTTCGACCTACATTTTACAACGACCGAGCCCCGTCTCTCCCAGTATAACATGATGGAGATTGCTAGCAAAGTTTCAACCCGACCCTCTGCCCATGCTATAAGCACTCATCGTCCCAAACCTTCAGTCAGGGCTGCCCGTGATCCCGATGGAAATCAGAGCATACATTTCGCAGCCGGGGCGAAAATAGTTGGCATCACATTCCCAGAGCGATTCGGCGGGCAATGGTGTTTTGGATATCACGATGGTGGGCGTGGATGTTTTCCGGCGGACAAAATAATGCTCGCAATGCCAGTCAAAGAAGATATCCTTATGAATCCCCAGAGCACCTTAAGCGCCATCGCAAGATGGGACTTCAAGCCCAAAGACGCGAAAGACGGCGGCTGGCTAAAATTCAGCAAAGGCGATAAACTAACTTGTATCGGGTACACTTTCCAAGATCAATGGTGTTGGTCGGGTCAGACCAGTAAGGGCAAATGGGGCATCTTCCCTTCGTCATTTGTTAAGGATTTGAAAGATACGATATTCATTCAACGTCCGGGAACGATGAAGAGCCAGGGTTCTGTGAGGAGTGGGAGTGGGTTTGGGAGTATCATGGGATTGGGGAGGAAGTCAAGCAAGAATCATGAAAGGACTAATAGCATGTTGAGTAATGGGAGTGGGTCGGGGAGTATTTCTATTAAATCCTCACCCGGGCTGGAGACCCTTAGGTCACATGTGGGGAGTTGGAAGGGTTGATGTTATTGGTCGATGGATACCGATTTGCGATGATGTTGATGGGGTCTCATGGGATACGAATAATCCACAGGGGATCGGCGTTTGGGATGAATGGAACCACGAGAAATATCACGGCCGATGAGTAAACAACAGAAGTGAGGATGGAATGCGTTACAGAGCGAAGGAAGGCTGTTGAAGCATGGTCAAGGGCATTGTTTTTAAGCGGGAGGCTCTTGTATATCCACATGTATGTTTAGCGTCACGATACCCCCTCAAATTAGCATTACTTCTTATTTATAAAGTTATGAGCATTTATATACCATCAAACCATCAAATGGGAAGTGATATATGAAGACACTTGATTTACGATAGAACATTTGATAATATCTCGCACTAGATTTTCTTATGAGCCTTGCGCTATTCGGAGATATGCAAGGTGGTTACGGTAAGACCTACCGTTTTCTTTTAACGGAAACTCTGGTGTTATAGTGCTACACTTGGTTTCATTGGTCTATGTCTTTTTAGAGACGGCGACATATTCACTTTTCACCCCAAAACGCTGCAAATGTGTTTCTTTCAGTGAGGTTTCCTCTCCCTTTGTCCCCACCTTCCCTCTCCAAGCCAACCAACAACTTAGTGCCCAGAGGACATCATACCAACAATCCTCATCAAGATCAAAAGAGTCCCATATACAATTCTCTCAACTCCCCGCAAGCTCTTCCGTCTCCCCTGTCTCCCCTAGGAAGGAGCCACTCCCCCGATCTCAAGCAACAACCAAAATCTAGTCGTCCTACACTTCCCTGCAAAGCATACACCACCTCCACGATGTCGAGACGCCCTGAAAAAACCCTACGTGATCGGATTGAGCAGCGGAGATGGACTAGGGTGTGGGTTAAGAGAGAGCTTGAGCGGATGAAGCGCCAAAGAGAGAAAGAGCGCGAGGAGAAGGCGATGAAAAAGAAGAAAGTAGGTTGCTTCTTTTTCCTGAGGCTCGATGGAGGCGTGGGAGAGAGGGCGTATTGGCTAATGCGATGTGCGTGTATTTAGGACGAAGGGGGCAGAAGAGGCAGAAGAGGCAGAAGAGGCAGAAGAGGCAGAAGAGGCAGAAGAGGCAGAAGAGGCAGAAGAGAAGGAAGAGAAGGAAGAGAAGGAAGAGAAGGAAGAGAAGAAGAAAATAGGGGGAAGGAAGAGAAGTTAAAGACTTACAGATAGGGGCGGTAATGTGCATATGTTTGAAGCCGGAAAGGGCGGTCCGGGGCGGAAAGCTACAAGTCTAAGCTACTAAGCCTCAAGAAATAAATGACCTGACAATGATGCTGCAAAAAACTGAATCCTCTAATCGAGGAGTACATACATATACTCTTAAAATAAAGCCGCTCTATACGTTAAGGGCACTACTGCTCCTCCTAATTTAATTATGCCGTTTTATAAATTGGCCACATTGGAGTAGCATACAGAGACTTACACAGCGCTTAAGAAGTGGGTGGAAAGTGTCTTAGGCGAGCTATAAACATAACCTTGCGTATCCTCCCTGGTGGTTTCAATCTTTATCCTGCCCCACGCAGATAGCAGAATGATGACCCTGTCTTATCCCTGGCTCTACTTGCTCCTCCCACTTTCATAACCACAGTCTTTCAATATCAAATTCGCCCATAAATGTTGAAAGCAATATCTGAAAATCGGAGACATTGCTACAACTTGATCAATTTGAAGACATGTTGCCCTGACTTTGCTACTTTGATTGTGAATTCCGTGAAATGCAAATGTTAAACTTCCCAGGAGTTAGCCAAAATAATCCCCACAATTGTAGTGATCAGAGATATAAAACATACCGAAGAACAAACAGTGTAAATAAATATATTAGTGCTTGAATCATCATTCCAGAGTAGCCATAAGGAGGTATTTGTGATGGCACACCCTACTGCCCAGGGGAGGCTCCCTTGCTGCTATGCCGGCTCATCCAGAATATCGCTTGGAGAGTGTAATCGAGGGACTTTTCTCACAGGCCAAGGTCCAAGGTCTTGCTAGAACTAAAGCCACCCATATGAAGGTGCAAGACAGCATTGCTGGCGAAGAGAGATTGCAAGTTACGGCATCCGAACTCTCATATACGACCCTCCCAGACTTGTCCATCCTCGCTGCACCTCACTCCTCACTTATCCTCCCCTCTGCTCACCTCCGTTCACCTAGCCGCTACCGTCTCGAACCTCGCCATCCTTGGTGGGGATGGGAGGAGACGGGTTAGGCGATGGTCCGGTGATCTCTGATACTGCGTGTTCCGGTGCCTTGAGTGACAGTATCACGACGGCGGCCCTTTGGGCATCCTCGAACCAAACGTAAATTTCTTCGCATTCCGCACGCTCATTGATTCTGTCCAGCTGCTCCCAGTTGACTTCGCATATCTGAACCTTTTCCGTGTCCTTACTCCTGTCGGCATCGGAGTCTCTAGCGCGTAGCGTGGTCTTAGTGGTGCCCACGACTTCGGGGACTGAAGGTAGCTCAGCCAGCTCCTGTAGCTTCTCGGGAGTAGAAACTGGGCCGTCGGGGCTGATGACGACGGGGGCACGTTTCTCTGGCATCCGCCATCCGGATTGGTAGGCGGCCACAGCCTCTGCCCAGAAGGGCCAACGTGTGCTATGTTGGCTGGTGTCAATTTTGGATTTACCCAGTGCGATTCTCAGATCGTCAGCCATAATTTGCGATGGTCTCGGGAGTGAAGGGTAGCCGTATGTGTAGATGGGCGACTAAGAGGTTCAAATTTTGAAGTTTGCCGGATAATCTTCTGAAGAACACTCGATAGGGAGCATAGAGTTGGTATTGCTAAACGTGTTTATTTATCGATGGAGAAGATGGTACTGAGTAGTGGTAGGCTTGAGGTGCTTGTAAGTTGTAGTTTGGTAGAGGTTACTCTGTACCTGAGGCTCTCCATATCGATAGGGCTGCGGTGTCACGGAAGGTAGCCGATAGGTGGGAGTTAGTCCTACTTACGGTGTATTTTATTCACTACTGGGCACGACCCACGGTACAGGGGCACCTCCACAACGTCAATTCTAACATCAAGGAATACAATTATCACTAAAATATCGCCTGTCTCGAATCTCGATACCGTAAAGGTCCATCTTCCTTGCTAACTGTGGTTTAGTGCCCTCCTCGAGTGCCCTCGGCTTGCCTTGTTTACGAGTACTCTATTCGAGCGCCTTGCGCCTTTCACTGGAGTAGTCTATACCAGGCTCACTTGACTTCAGCTTCTTCGCCAGTAGGCCACTACCATCCGCGCGCTCATACCTTTCATAAGTTGCGACCACCGCCCATTGCCTCTGATGGGCTGTGAGACCCCGACTTTCCCGTTGCCCCCATTCCTCGCTTCAACTCGTCCGCAGCTGGAGTACCGCTTTGCCTGGGTTAAAGTATAGAGTTGGTTCTGTACAGTATCTTCGCTTTCTTTGTTTTGATCCAAATGCTGTGCGATGTGAAGAATGTTTCCTACTGTTGGTAGGCACAGCAGTGAATACCAGGCCCAATTGGGATGATTACGAGTAATCACATGCTCCATATGCGAGACCCCGCCACCTCTCATCTCGAAACAATATTGACGAACCCTCTTAAAATTCAGAATTCGAATATCCTGCCAAACTACTCGCATACCACGATGGAAGGTTTGATCTTCATCATTGAGGGGGTAGACGACACTACCCCCGAAGAAATTGCGAAAGAGAGTGTTACAGACGATCCGCTCTTTGAGCTGAAGATCGTGACGATTCTCCCCGACTACCTCTAGCCTGACAGCAAGCCGCCCCTCACACAAGCTGCACATTCGCTCGTGAAGCTCCTCCCAGATCCTCCGGAGCCTCGTGGCTGGACAAATGAATTATCAACTCTCTGGGAGCTTTGTATTTCTGTTGGAAAGCAAATTCAATATTCTCATCCATCCATGGTGAAACTTGTACGACTGGTGCTGGAGTTACGCCGTTCTCCCAAAACAGCCTTCGTAGGCTTCTGGGTAAAGCTTAATCCTTCTTATATTGTTTAAAAGATTGCAAAAGGCTTACCAAATTTATCTCAAGGATGAGGAGAAGAGACTTCGTTACAACAATGAGCTGAACCTTCTTGGGGAGACTTTACGAGAAAACTATGATCGTAAGTTTGAGCTTCTAATCATTCCCTTCTGAGATTTTCTTCATCTCTTGTTACTTCTCATATGCTGTTCTAAGTCCTGCCTTCGATGTCTATTTATCCTCTATCTCATTGTGTCGCGCGTCTAATATTTTTACGCTGATTTGTATTCTTCAGCCCCATTTTCTGTCGACGAACCAGAAGAAGCATCAACACCTGAATTTGTTCGTCGTTGGATCAACTTAAATGCTTTTTGTGCACTTCTCCATTAGCTTGGAGGCGTGGGCTTGGAGAAATTCTGCCTCTGGACAATGCGGGAGGCCTTCGAGACCTCTTCCTCTGTGCCCACCTCAAGCCATGACGAGCCCGCCTTTAGTTGCCGTGTTGCTGCCGCTGCTTAGTGGGTTTTGAAGTCCGGACAAACGCTCTTTATACGTGCTCATTTTCCGACTACGAATACCGATATGGAGACAGGTGAATATCTTGATCTAAATCATTGGCGGCACTGGAGGAAGATGTTCAGGGGTGCGGCCGAGAAGAAAGATGGCATAGATAACGAAAGTAGAGGTCTAGCATTAAAGGCTGCAGATCTGATGGACGCCCTCGAGAAGAACATGCTTGGGACCTAAATTACGACAAGATGTACAACACCGATTGCACGTATTTGGCGACCTTTTGTTCTATGTCCTGGTGATCCAAAAATATCCCAGAACTGCATCTTCTTTGCAACAATTCCCAGAAATGAAGCTCAAATAATTTTTGCAGCCCATAATTGAATGCTTCAAATTTTAATCTCAATCGCTCCTAGTACTTTTATTTCCGGCTCCACGCACTCTAGACTCCATTCCGACAAGTGTCGAATAAGAAAAACCGAGTTGACGGCAAAGTGATGGAGTTATCAGTCGAATTTCGCATCCCTATAGCTAAATTTGGCTTATTGACAAACAAAAATAGACTTGAAAACAGTAAGAGAGCTCTATTTTCCGTCAGAGCCAGTCTCTTCTTGTTCGAGTGATGTTTGTTGGGGACCGGAATTGGTGCGTGCCAGGTCGATTTCTGGGCTTCGATGGTGGTATGTTTGGATGTATCTGCGTAAGAGTAGAGGATCTTTGTGATGCTATCTACAAGATGAATGTCAGCGGCATGGTCTATTCAGCTTACTGATGTACTCACTAGCTAGGCTAGTATTGTTTCTTCCAGATGGCTGGGGTCCTAGCTAGTAGGGTCAGCAACCAAGTGTCAAAGAAAAGACAATGAGGAGATATAGTATAGTACTGTAAAGTGATGCAACTTGTCCAAGAGTAAGCAGAATCGGACATCTATTGCTGCGCAGGTCCCGACGGTCAAAGGTCATGGAACCAGAGGTGAAGTCAGGATCAGGGGCGTTTCGGTGCGGGGTTTATCATTACATCTTCTCCTTTAAGAGCCACCTCGCGATCTGCCTCGCAAGCTCTAGCTGTCCACGAGAGCCTATAGAACGCGCCTGCGCGGCGATGATAGCCGTACTCTCCCTCAAAGTCAAAGAAGCATCGTCCAAATTTCTTCATCAAAAGTGGATTAAGAACCGGCCAAGAACCGGCCACTTTATCACTTGTGGGATCCCAGCCATTTACTTGGCCGCTCTCTGGATCATTTGCCAGGTGTACTGGTTCCGTTGAAGTTGTGGTCGCGGTCGAAATCGGCCTGAAGTATAGAGCCTGCTGGATCGCTGGGGAGTTTGTTATAACGCCATCCCACGTCTTGCTTACTCGCATGGTAAAGACCAGCAGGGTGGTGGGTCAAAGTGAAGGAGAATTACCTCCAGAAGTTATGGTATAGCGGATATAGCCTCCATTGTAGATGATCAAATATTTATGTATCGATATTGAGGTGGTTGGGTCGCCAGTGGTCTTGACACAGAAACCGAAATTGAAATAGAGAAACACCGCTATGAAGTAGTGAGTTTGTATTGCGGTAAAGTAAATATCGTTTGGAGCACGCAAGGATCTCAAGTTAAAGCAGGTGTAAGGTTGTTGATTTAAGTACGATAACGGAAGTGTACGTCAGGGGACGGTTATAAGGGATAAGGGAGCCGAGCGAGCGGTATTTTAGCGCATGTGTTGCCTTAGGCACGAATTGATTGACCACATACAATCAGGGGTTCACCAAATCTCTAGTATCGGAAAACCTCGCTTCAACACTTATATATCAAAATAAGCAGAAACCTCTTAACAACTAGAGACGGGCGACCAAGCCTGTTGGTGTGTAGTAGTAAATCAACCACCATCAACAGATAAACTAAGATAACCTTAGGTGCTCCGCTAGAGTTAACAAAGGCTAGAAGTGCACAGCTCAAGTTTCTCAGTATTCAACGCTCCAGAAGAATATTCCTTTTACTATTTTTTTTAGTTCTGTAATAGTTTCTTCTTTCCCTCACTTCCTCGACTGACTCGCTTGTCCTATACATTTCCTCGTGTGATAAAAGCTAAGAAGCTGCCCAGATAGCAATAACCCCAATTCTAGTGAAAGAGGTGGGATAGAAAAGTGAGAAGATGGAATATGAGAAACGTACATACCCCTACTGCCGAATAGGAGAAGGTTGCTGAGAGCACATCCGCTCACGAGGTGGATTATATCAAATTATGTTCTACCGTTTCCAACGAACTGATAATTGTAAATCACAGCGTTTTTAAAATGTATATAAGAAGCTGGTTTTACAAAACTGAACATCTTAATTATAGAACACGATACTCCATAGTTCTAACAACCAACACATACACTCTGTCTAGGAACATGTATCATTTAATAATCTAAAAATCCATACGCCCACCGTCAGGTACAAAAACAAGAGGAAATCTTCAGAACATCTGCACAATCCTCATCTAATGGGTACCATTCACGCCATTAACACCGTCCACACTATCATCATCGTCACTACCAACACCGTCCACGCCATTGGTGTGCGATACTCCATTAACCCCATTAGTTATCGCCCCCTCATCCTGGTACTTCTCCCAATTGGCCAACACCGCCCCGATCTTCGGCGAGTTCGTCAACCGATAAACATCCTCGAAGTATTCCTTGGTGAGCTCGAATGGCCGGGCGGTCACGTTGGGGATATACTTCCCAATGAGCTTGCTCGGATCAATCGTCGTCTTGTTGATCTTCTTGAGCAGGAAGGAGCGGAAAGGCTTGACGCCAGATCGTAGGAAGGTCGAGTGGAAGGGGACATCGATGCCCTTGAGGGGGATGGTGGCGAAGCCGCGTTGCAGATCGAGTGGTTTGGGTTTCGCCTCTGTTTGCTTTGCGCATTCGCGGATTATTTCTACCAAGTGTGCTTTGACGTCTTCCAGGGAGAGGGTCTGCATTAGTTGCTGGATATCGATCTTCTGGGCTTTGAGGTAGTTGGTCACGCCTGTGAGGGTATCGAGGGCGCGGAGGTCACCAGCGCAGACGTATTGCATGTTGGCGATGTTGTAATTGACAATCTCTAGGAGCCAACCAGTCTCCTCGGTAATATTGCCCACGACGTACTGCAGAGCCTCCTCGTTGAATGTCTTGGAGATTCTGCTGGGGTTGACGGCGCACATGGAGTAGTTGGATCTGCCGGACTCGTCCCGCTCGACGGCGACTTGCATAGTGAGACCTCGGTAGAAGACAACGGAAACCAAACTCTCAATAGGCATGACATCAGCCAGAGCAGCAAGAGCAGAGTATTCTCCGAGCGAATGCCCAGCAAAACTGCTATCTCGTTGCACGAGGCCCTTTGACCGCATGTCTTCGAAACTGGCCTTTTCCATCAGGGTCAAGGCAGGTTGGGTAAATTGTGTCGCGGAAAGCAGACCAGTTGGCGACCGATATGTGTATGAGGTAGTACGCTCATCAATCTCCTTGAAGATCTTCTCCGATTTGGTAGAACCATCAACACCCACAGTTTCGAAAGTCATAGCCATATAATTCTGGCGGATGGCCTTGCCTCGAGGGCCACCAAAGTGGATGGTGAGCTCTTTAGGATTGTTCTTGACAATGTTGGTGATTGCAAAACCTTGAATGATGTTAGCTGGGCACTTGGAAATTTGACTGAGGAACCTTACCATAGTTATCCATGAAGTGCTTGTCGGCCCGATCCCATACCTCCTTCGCAACAGGGCTGCTGGCATAGAGCTCCATGCCCATACCTTGCTCTTGTGAACCTTGTCCAGTGAACACATAGGCAGATACAGGTTGTTCGACTTCAGCTTCACCAAGCAAGACTTTGTCTTCGGTCTCCTTGTTCATTGCCTCGACCTTGATGATCTTCCGACCGGCAACCATGCCGACATGCTGTAGCTTGACCTCGATGTCATCATTGGGGAGCACCATGCCAGTCAGCGAAGCGTGGAAGCTTCTTACGCGGCCGACATTGTTCTCAGCAGCCCAGGTCTCTACCAGACTTCTAACTGCGGCGCTGGAGTACATGCCGTGCGTAATGGTGCCGGGCAGGTTGGCATAGCTTGCGAAGACACGGGATACGTGAATTGGGTTGTAGTCCCCAGAGACACGTGCGTATGGTTCGTTAGAAGCGGGAGCCCTGAGGAGTAGTGGTGTCTTTCCATTCAACGGGATGGAGTTCTCAAAGTTTATGGGCTGCTCAATCGACGACCCATGTCTTTGGAGATAGTCGATGACCGGATTTCCGTGGGAAACATCTGCCTCGTAATCAACGCTAGCGACTTGGATGATCTCTTTGGTTGAGAGTTCTAAGAGGACTTGTCCTCTGGTCTCCACGCTACTGAACACAGTAGTGTTCTTGAAGCGCACCAAACTCTGGAGACGGAATGTCAAGGTCTGGCCAAGTAACTCATGACTAGGCTCATCTAGGTTGAACCATTCCTTGGATTGCAAAACAGCGACATCCTTGCTCGTTGCTAGGTGGATCTGCATTGGTGTCTCTGTCTTACGCTGGAAGGTGTTCTCGAAATCGGTATAGACGCCACGGTACAGGAACTGCGAGGTGACCTCCATAACTGGACGTCCTTCACGTTTGATGGTACCACAAACCTCTACCATTTTGCCGGAGTCTTGGTTGACTACAGCATTGATCTGGGCGGTAGTTTCAACTTCATCGCCCTTCTTCAAAGGTTCGGCACCAGGAAGCATGCGGAATCCATTGGAAAGATGGACGAGCTTGAGGAGATCACCGTCAATGCTCTTTGGGAATATGGGCTTTGTGATGGCCTTCCAGCCAACCACAATGGCGAAATCCATGGGAGCCAAAACTTCCTTTCCAGGTCTGTCGACGAACGCCTCTCCAGTATTACCAACAGCATATACGAAGTCGTTGATAGCCTCGCTTGTAATCGTAGCCTTGCCACCGTCGAATTTGCCCCTGACTGAGGCATCAAGGTCTAGAGGCTCGTTTCCGAACCACGCCCGCCAGTAGAACTCCTTGATACGGTCATTTCGACCTTGCATAACCTCACGGATGGGTGCATAGCCAGCCTCAGGATGGTATGTGAAGATAAGTGGCAAAGCAACAGGCTTTCCAACGGCTGTGGTATCCTTAATCATGTTGACTAAGATCTCGTTCTTGTTGGTCAATCTAACATTAATAACCTCGACATATTTATTGGGTCTTGGTTGCTCCTTCACGGTGATGACGGTCTTTGTGGGATCACTGGGGTGAGAAATCTCGATGAACAGGCCACGAACAGGGGCAAAGATTCGCTTCATTGGGTTTGTTTGGAACTTCTGCCCTTGAACGAAGACCTCAGAGGAGAACAGTGCATACCTCCATGATCGTTTGTGGCCAGCGAGTAGAGATAGCCAGACATCCAAAGGTGGGAGTGGAACGGCGGCAGAAGATGAGATGCGGTATGTCGTTTTATCAGTGTCTTGCGAGATGGTGAGGCCTTCTAGATCGACCTCTTGCTCCGAGTCAATAAGCTTGCCACCGAAATATTCGATCACTGGAATGGCGGACTCATTCCCATTGTAGGTGTCTCTGGTCAAGCCCTTGATATGGGCGTTATGGATGCCGTCAAGAATATCCTTAATAGGCTCGTCAACGACCTTGGAGTACTTGGCAGCCATGGGGCCTTGCAAGATACAAGTTCGGCCCACGTCCTGATCTATAACAGCCTCGAGATCCTCTGATTGCCACAAAGAATCCTTCTTGAAGAATAGCTCAAAGTTCTCATCCAGCGCGGGAACAAAGGTGGTTGGCTTCTGGCCGCGGCGTTGGCATAGGAGCAAGAAGTGCTGGACATCTTGTGCGTTAATGAGTTGGGTCTCGGCCTCGGGATAGGCGACTAAGATTCTCTGGACGGTTGCATATGGGGTATCGAGTTCCGAATAGCTCTGGAGCAGCGATGGACTTCCTTGATTTGGCGTAAAGCGCTCCTCAACACGACGGATGAAATCGCCGGTCAACCTTGTGTAGGATTTGTCAATCCAGCGAGATTCGTGCCGCACGTACATCAGATCGACCATACGCCGAACGACCTCGCCATAGGTCATATCCTCAAGGTCAACAGTCTCACCGGCCTTGTTGCGTCCAAACCAGACCTTCTGGAAGTCATCGTTGAGCTTCTTGATGATGTAGTCGCGGTTCTTCTTGAGCTCTGGGACACGTTTCTCCTTTGGCAAGCTGAAGATCTTTGCATCCATCTCAGCCCAGAACATGACACCTCGGGTGGCAAGTTTATGGATTGGCTCTCCCATCTCGGATCTAACAGTGATAACACCTCCAGCGGGCCCTTTGTAGGTCTTTTCCCACTCACCGTCATCTAAACCTTCTGCCTCAGTGATTGCCTTCTTCGCATTTTTGCTCGTATGGGCTTCCTTCGCAGTCATCATACGGCTACCAAAGAGACACCCATCGAATGGCATGGGTGGGTAACCGTATTTGGCGGACCATTCGCCAGTGAGGTAAGGGTATGTATCCTCAGCGCCACCGAATCCACTGCCTGCCACCAAAATGATGTTATCGCTTCGTCTGATGCGACCATACATTTGAAGGATGGGTTGATGAAAATCTTCAAATGAATGATGTCCACCACCACGACCACCGGTCCATTGAAGGAGAACTGGGAATGACGGGTTGGCTTTTGCGATGTTGATCACGGCCTGAATTCCCTCAACGGAACCTGGCTTGAAAGAAATGTGCTTCAATCCAAGTGTCTCAATATACTCTTGAGCAACGTCAATTGAAGGAACACCGGCGCCGATGGTCAAGCCTTCAATAGGAACACCCTCGGCACGTAGCTGGCCAAGAAGTGGGATTTGCCATTGCATGGCACGGGGATTGACGTAGATAAGGTTGACTGTGATACCGCGTCCTGTAGGAATAGCATTCTCGATCTTTCTTAAAGCCTCGGTCATAGTTTTGGCATTATAGTAACCACCACCGGCCAATTCAATTTGGTAACCGGCGTTCATTGTCGCTGCAACGAAATCCCATGGCACAGTGCAAGGTGTCATACCTGCAACCATAATGGGGGGTACGCCTAAAAGTCTGCTCATCTTGGTATCGACATAGGTTTGGCCGGTTGAGTTCTTGATCAAGCGAGGACCGTGCTCTTCGACCCAATCCACAGCGTATCTTACTGCGTGCTCCTCATCTCTATCAAAGAGCTCTGGCTTGTAGCCAACCTCTGGGATTGTACCATCAATCGCCCCAGCTAAGATCACACGAACACCAGTTCCTTCTTTGTTACGGCTAGTCAGGACACCGAGGCCAGAGATGCCACCAGGCCCAAAATCAAGCACATGAGTCGCCCTTGGGAAAACGGTTGCTTTCTCCCAGTTAACAGGATCATGCGTAATCAGGCGGACAAGTGTCGGTACGATGTTGCCCTTTACTTCGGTTTTGATGTCATTTCCGGTGTTCGTATCATACACAGGGATCGCCAAGAGCTTGCTATCAATCTCAACATTTTTGAGATCTTCGGCTAGTTGTGGTGTGGCACCGGCGAGGTATTTGCTATGGAATGGCGAGGTAATCGGCAAGAACCGATTGACAAATCGGACCTTTCGTTCCGTGAAGGGGATGCGCGTTTGATCAAGGCCGGTGGGTGCTTTGACTTTTCGGAGTTGGAGGTTGAGACCATAGAGGGAGATGGGTGGGCCAGTAACCACCAGATTTCGTGCACTGTTAACCAGAGAAATGGCGATATGGCGATCCTCGGGAAGGTATTGGTTTGTAGCATCGATGTGCTGCTGGACCTGAGCCCGTGAAAGATCCCGAATGCTAAGCATGGGTGTGGGGGTGCCTTCTCCATTATCGACAGAGTCTTGCAGGATTGAGGGGGCGAGTGAGGTTGTGGGATATGTTTGTTGACTTCGTGATCCAATCCAGAAGAGGATCGTGAGGGCCGAAATGGCAATATCATCAAAAGACTCCCAGGAATCCGCGGCCGAGGTAGCCGCCGCCATAACAACGCCCTGAGAGTGACCGGTTGTACCACTTAACCGTTCCCGAAACTGACCTGGCGTAAGACCAAGTATCTTACAGGTAACGGTATAATGTGCAAGTTGCACAAGCCCAATCAGCGGGAAGCTAACAGGCGCCGACACCATATAATCGACATCTGGGGTTGCCTCCGGATCATGGAGCCATGCCATCACATCCAGTCCCTTCGAGTACAGCTTTACTGCCCTTGGATCCCTAGACAGATTTTGCAGTAGCTCGGCGGCCGACACCACCAAATCCTCTACGAAGGAGGGGTAGGCGCGGTAGAGTTCGCGGAGCTCGTCAAAGTATTCTTCGATGTTGCCCTGTCCACCGAAAACGCTGTACACCTTCGCGCTCTCGTCGCTGGCTGCGCGGAAGAGTGCGGATTCATGGGGCCGGATGGCTCTGCCGATGGCCGCTCGAGCAGCATAGTAACTTCGGACAACTTCGAGTTTCTTCGCATTGATGCCGGGAAGCGTGGCAGTCAGCGCGTGGACTTCGTTCCCCCGCAGAAAAGCACGCTCGAATTCGTTGAGGACGAGTGTTAAGACCTCGGCGTATGTGCCTTGCGCATCGTCTTCGCCCTCATCCACATCTTCTGCAACGAAGCCAAGGTATCGCGCGACCAGCTCTGGGACGGACGAGGGCTCGTCATCCTGGGCTAATTCATCGGTTGACGCTGGGAGAGATGCAATAAAGCGATCCCTGATCTGGGAGGCGTGGAAATGGAGGTTTGTGGGAACCAAGAAGGAGAATTCGAGAGAACCATGGCTGAGGACGAGAGGTCGCAGTGATGCAGAGGAGCGCGGTGTCGACACGCCCGTCTGAGGGCCGGTGGACGTTCCGTACATGACGGAGAGAATTATGTGTATTGTAGAGGGGATGGATGGAGGGATGGAGCTGTTGGGGGGAGAAAAGAAGTTAGCACTGGTTCTGGCGGCCCGGGAGAAACTGAACCGACCTTGTTTTTGGAACCTCCAGAGACTCAATGAAGAGCAGGAGCAGAAGTAGTTACAAGAACAACTCCAAGCAGACGAAGCAGAAGAAGAGGCAGTGGGGGAGGTGGTGTAGTTGTGCTCCTCTTGTTTTGTTGATAAGCCTTCTCTGGTGTATCGGCAATGGAGAATTGGAAGCCCGACAAAAATTATAAACAGGAGGGAAGCAAGACGTTAGACGGGGGCGGAGACGAGATGCGGTGCGGGAGGTGGAGGATCAATTGAGGGTATATGGGAAGATTGTGAGGATGGAGTATTTTGGGTTCTCGTCTTTGGCTTGTCTTGCGCAGGAGAGGGCAGCGTCGGGCAAAGAATGAATGATGAATCTCTCTCTGATTCTCCAATATTGACTTCAGTCGGGTGTCGGGGCCCCAACAACACTTGGTTCCGCGGTTCTCCCTTGACCCAGAATCCCTACAAGAATAAATATCCCTGGCTGGTCCAACGCTGTAATTCTGGCGCACTAATACGACTCCAAGACTGCTAATTGCATGCTAATTACCAACTAATTGTCTCCTAACAGTCTAGTGTCGCCCAACAGTCGATCCTCGCATTGCGCCTGCATAGTCTGCAGTCTGCAGTACCACAATAATGCCCATAGCGGCGGCATATTTGGTGGCGGGAGGGGAAGGGGGGCGAGTTAATATATACAGTACAAGGGAGAGGGGGAGATAGAGATAGACAACAATGATATTCAATTATTACATCACTCTTGGGAGGGAAGAATAGTACCAAGTTATACGAAGTACCGTAGAGAGGTATTGTCGTCGAATTACACACCCCTCTTCTCGAAGATATTTGTTGTTTATTTATTACTCGGTACTAAGTTGCTCAAGAGCTGGGTTGAGCAGCAGGGAGAGAGATATGCTGATGGCTATTTATGGGTATGATCATGCAACCATCCTCCGTATGCGATTACTATTCACCCAATTCACCAGTATTCTGTTGAGAGCGGGACATATATGCAGTAAGAATAAGGTCGATTCTTTCCTCGGTATACAGGAGACGCATTGCGGTTGTTTTGTGTACTGTGCAATACGGAGTAGCGATTGGGAGGGGGAGAGGGGGCACGCAAGCAGGGAGAAAGGGGGGAGAAAACAGGAAGAAGGGGGCGAGATATGTGGCAATCAACTGATAAGTGTGCAGTGTTCCTTGCCTCCGAGGGGTTGGAATGGAAAGCCCCGGGTTACTGTATCTCCTCCATCCCATATTAGCTAGCATAGGACTTTAGATAGCAGATAAGGATGTCTTTGCACTGTACTTCGTGCATAGTCTAGAGTGCAATAATGAATGGCAATATAATGGAGGCTGTCCTAGGTACACGTAGGTAAGGTACTGATAGAAACCCGACGCGGGTGTTCGTGATAGCCTGGGCTTTGTGTGCGCAGTATTGTCCCCCCACTCGGCCAGAGCCGGTGCAACGATCCAGTAGAGCCATCATGGTTGCATCTCCAGATATCCAAGGTATTTAAATTCTTTACTCTGTAAGAGCCGTTGCCTTGTCTTATCTTGTGGTGGCGTGGTTGACCTTGCTGTGCAGCGAAGTAAAAAAAAAAACTCGGAAGTGATAATAAATAAACCAGGTAAATAATAATAACAACAATACCGGATTGCCCCTTCCCTTCCCGCCGGAGCAGCCATTGCAGGGTCCAGGGTCTGTCTCTTATACACATCTAGATGTGTATAAGAGACAGGCACTTCCCTTCCCGCCGGAGCAGCCATTGCAGGGTCCAGGGTCGTGTGTTGGCGCTATGCCGCCCCGGGCCTAGGCGATGCAGGCGTTGGGACGGCGGGAAGTTGTTCCAGCAGTTCAACCCTTCAACCGTTGAAACAGAGACTGAGAGAGAGAAAGCGAGAAAGTCAATATACGCGACGGGGAGACGAGAATAGTGAACCGAAATATCTCAACTCTTCCTCGGCGTACCTCGCACTCCACTCCACTCCCTTCATTCCTCATCCCCCTCACCCGGCTATTCAATCCTCTATTCTCCATCCTCCATCCTCCAATTCTTCTCCTAGTTGTGCTCCGTCATAATTCATTCGGGCTTGTTGTAATTTACCAGAGCATTCCCGCCCTTCGCCATCCACCACCCATCCACTCCCGCAACAGCACCAATACCTCCCCGAACAACACCGAATAAATCTCCTCTCCTCCTCAGCTCGCACCCGCAACCACTTCATCCCCGGATTGCCTCCATTCCTCCTCTCACATTTCTCCTTAATCGTCCCCGGACGTAAAACGAGTCCCCGAAACAATGCGCCCCGAAGTCGAGCAGGAGCTCGCCCACACGCTCCTCGTCGAGCTATTGGCATACCAGTTTGCCTCGCCCGTCAGATGGATTGAGACCCAAGATGTCATCCTCGCCGAGAAGACAACGGAGAGGATCGTCGAAATCGGTCCCAACGACACCCTCGGCGTCATGGCCAAGAGGACCCTCGCCTCCAAGTACGAAGCCTACGACTCTGCAAAGTCCCTGCAGCGACAGATTCTCTGCTACAATAAGGATGCAAAGGAGATCTACTACGATGTCGACCCCGTGGAGGACGAGCCCGAGCCGGTAGCTGCTTCGGCCGCGTCGCCAGCACCATCATCATCCGCTCCAGCTGCAGGCTCAGCGCCCGTGGCTGCCGCACCACCTCCCAGCGCTGGCCCAGCCGCGCAGGTTCCTGATGCTCCTGTTGGAGCCGTCGATATCGTACGGTCCCTGATTGCTCAGAAGCTAAAGAAGCCCCTTGCGGAAATTCCTCTCAGCAAGGCAATCAAAGACTTAGTGGGTGGTAAGTTTGATCTGCAATACGTCCTGTTCCTCCCAGACTTCAAATCCTAACTCGTGTGTTGCGAACAGGTAAATCTACCCTTCAAAACGAAATCCTCGGTGACTTGGGGAAAGAATTCGGCTCCACCCCCGAAAAACCAGAAGATACTCCCCTCGATGAATTAGGAGCCGCCATGCAGGCAACGTTCAACGGCCAGCTCGGAAAGCAGTCATCCTCCCTAATTGCAAGATTAATATCCTCGAAGATGCCTGGTGGCTTCAACATTACCGCAGCCCGAAAGTATTTGGAGTCAAGATGGGGTCTGGGTCCGGGGCGACAAGATGGGGTGCTGCTGCTGGCTCTTACCATGGAGCCTCCTGCGCGTTTGGGCTCAGAAAATGATGCCAAGGCGTTCTTGGATGATGTATCACAAAAGTATGCGGCAACTGCAGGAATCAACTTGTCGACGCCAGCTGCTGGGGGAGATGCAGGCGGTGCTGGGGCCGGCATGATGATGGACCCGGCCGCCATTGATGCGTTGACCAAAGACCAACGAGCTCTTTTCAAACAGCAGCTGGAGCTCTTTGCTAGATATTTGAAGATGGACCTGCGAGCCGGGGATAAGGCCTTTCTTGGCTCCCAACAATCGTCTAACGCCCTCCAAGCTCAGCTTGATCTGTGGAACGTGGAACATGGAGACTTCTATGCCTCGGGTATTGAGCCGGTTTTCAGCTCACTAAAAGCAAGAGTTTACGACTCCTCGTGGAATTGGGCACGGCAGGACGCCCTAACCATGTACTACGACATCATTTTTGGGCGTCTGCATGCCATTGATCGTGAGATCGTCAGCCAGTGCATCCGCATCATGAACCGCTCCAACCCGACCCTTCTTGACTTTATGCAGTACCACATCGACAATTGCCCCACTGAGCGAGGCGAGACCTACAAGCTAGCAAAGGTGCTTGGCCAGCAATTAATCGAGAACTGCAAAGAGGTTCTGGGCGTCGCTCCTTGCTACAAGGACGTTTCTGTTCCCACCGCACCACATACCACCATAGATGCACGCGGAAATCTCAATTATGCAGAGATTCCTCGGACCAGCGTCCGCAAGCTTGAGCATTACGTCCGGGAGATGGCTGAAGGAGGCAAGATTTCGGAATACGGCAACCGAACGAAGGTGCAGAGCGACCTCAGCAGGATCTACAAGCTCATCAAACAGCAGCACAAACTTTCCAAAGCGTCCCAACTTCAAATCAAGAGTCTCTATGAGGATGTCATCCGCTCCCTGGCAATGAATGAAGGCCAGATTATCCCAAAGGAGAATGCCAATGGCAAGCTGGCTGCAGCGAAGAAGAACGTGCCTCGCGCAAATGGTCCGGCCAAGACTGGAAAGGTCGAAACCATCCCATTCCTACACTTGAAGAGAAAGGACGAACATGGATGGGAGTATAGTAAAAAGCTCACCGGCCTGTATCTTGACGGCTTAGAGCAAGCTGCCAAGTCTGGCGTGACATTCCAAGGCAAAAATGCCCTGATGACAGGTGCTGGAGCCGGCTCCATTGGTGCCGAGGTCCTACAGGGCCTAATCAGCGGCGGCGCAAAGGTTGTGGTTACTACCAGCCGCTTCTCCCGAGAGGTCACCGAGTACTACCAATCGATGTACGCTCGGTACGGTTCTCGGGGCTCGCAGCTTATCGTTGTTCCATTCAACCAGGGCAGCAAACAGGATGTTGAAGCTTTGGTTGAGTATATCTATGACCCTAAGAAGGGTCTTGGATGGGATCTCGACTTTGTTGTCCCATTTGCCGCTATCCCCGAGAATGGCCGCGAGATTGATAGCATCGACTCCAAATCCGAGTTGGCTCACCGCATTATGTTAACCAACCTCCTCCGCCTCCTTGGATGCGTCAAGGCTCAGAAGGCTGAGCGAGGATTTGAGACTCGACCTGCCCAGGTAGTCTTGCCTTTGTCTCCCAACCACGGCACCTTCGGTAATGATGGTCTCTACTCGGAGTCGAAGTTGGCTCTCGAGACCCTGTTCAACAGATGGCACTCAGAGAGCTGGGGTAACTTCCTCACTATTTGTGGTGCCGTTATTGGATGGACCCGTGGCACCGGTCTCATGTCTGGGAACAACATTGTCGCGGAGGGTGTTGAGGCATATGGTGTCCGCACCTTCTCCCAACAGGAAATGGCTTTCAATCTCCTCGGTCTTATGTCACCAACGATTGTTGACCTTTGCCAATCGGAGCCTGTATTCGCTGATCTCAATGGTGGCTTGCAATTCATTCCAGACCTCCAAAATCTGATGAGCAAGCTCAGGAAAGACATTATGGAGACTAGCGAGGTCAAACAGTCCGTCACAAAAGAAACCGCCATCGAAAACAAGATCGTTAACGGGGAGGATAGCGAGGCGTTGTACAAGAAAGTCACCATCGAGCCTCGTGCAAACATCAAGTTTGACTTCCCTCATCTACCTGACTGGAAGGAGGAAGTCGAGCCTCTGAATGAGAACCTCAAGGGTATGGTCGATCTTGAGAAGGTAGTTGTCGTCGCTGGCTTCGCCGAGGTCGGACCATGGGGTAACTCCCGTACTCGGTGGGAGATGGAGGCATATGGCCAATTCTCACTTGAAGGCTGCGTGGAGATGTCTTGGATTATGGGCCTTATCAAGAACCACAATGGCCCCATCAAGGGCAAGCAATATGCTGGCTGGGTCGACGCCAAGACTGGAGAGCCAGTTGATGATAAGGACATCAAGGCTAAATACGAGAAGTATATCCTTGAGCACTCTGGTATCCGTCTTATCGAGCCGGAACTCTTCAATGGCTACGATCCCAACAAGAAGCAACTTCTGCAAGAGGTTGTGATTGAGGAGGATCTGGAGCCCTTTGAGACATCAATGGAGACTGCTGAGGAGTTTAGGCGTGAGCATGGGGACAAAGCAGAGATTTTCGAAATTCCTGAATCCGGCGAGTACACTGTCCGCATGAAGAAGGGAGCCACCCTCATGATACCCAAGGCTCTCAAGTTCGACCGACTTGTTGCTGGTCAAATCCCCACCGGCTGGGATGCAAAGAAGTACGGCATTCCGGACGATATCATATCTCAGGTCGACCCTGTTACTCTGTTTGTGCTCGTATGCACGGTGGAGTCTCTCTTGGCAGCTGGTATCACCGATCCGTATGAGTTCTACAAGTACGTCCATATATCTGAGGTCGGTAACTGTATTGGTTCTGGTATCGGTGGAACGACAGCTCTTAAGGGCATGTATAAGGACCGATACCTAGACAAGCCTTTACAGAAGGATATTCTCCAAGAATCGTTCATCAATACTATGAGTGCCTGGGTCAATATGTTGCTCATCTCCTCCACCGGTCCTATCAAGACTCCTGTCGGTGCCTGCGCGACGGCTGTCGAATCTGTTGATATTGGTTACGAGACAATTTTGGAGGGCAAGGCTCGTGTCTGCTTTGTTGGTGGCTTCGATGACTTCCAAGAAGAAGGCTCCTACGAGTTCGCCAACATGAAGGCAACTAGTAATGCCGTTGATGAATTTGCCCATGGCCGTACGCCAAAGGAGATGTCGCGGCCCACTACGACTACCAGAAACGGCTTTATGGAATCCCAGGGCTGCGGTATCCAAGTGATTATGACAGCCAAGCTAGCCCTCGACATGGGCGTTCCCATCTACGGTATCCTTGGTTTGACATCTACTGCAACTGACAAGATTGGCCGATCAGTACCCGCACCAGGCCAAGGTGTGCTTACAACTGCTCGTGAGAACCCTGGTAAATTCCCCTCGCCTCTGCTCGATATCAAGTACCGTCGCCGCCAGATGGAGCTCCGAAAGAAGAACATCAAGCAGTGGCAAGAGTCCGAGCTCGAATTCGTCCATGAGGAGGTTGATGCTATGAAGGCCCAAGGACAGCAGTTCAATGAGTCGGAGTATGCTCATGATCGAGTTATGCACATCGAGCGTGAGGCTGCCCGTCAAGAACGCGAGGTGCTAGACAGTCTTGGCAATTCCTTCTGGAAAAAAGACCCAACGATTGCTCCTCTCCGCGGTGCTCTCGCTACATGGGGTCTTACTATTGATGACCTTGATGTTGCCTCTTTCCATGGTACTTCAACCGTCGCAAATGATAAGAACGAGTCATCGGTCATCTGCCAACAGATGAAGCATCTTGGCCGAAAGAAGGGAAATGCCGTCCTTGGTATCTTCCAAAAGTACCTTACTGGTCATCCAAAGGGTGCTGCCGGTGCCTGGATGTTCAACGGCTGCCTACAAGTCTTGAACAGTGGTCTAGTTCCAGGAAACCGCAACGCCGACAATGTTGACCAGGTCATGGAGCAATTTGATTACATCGTCTACCCAAGCAAGAGCATCCAAACCGACGGCGTCAGGGCTTTCTCCGTCACTTCCTTCGGTTTCGGCCAGAAGGGTGCACAAGCAATTGGTATCCATCCCAAGTATCTCTTCGCTACCCTAGACGAAGCCACCTACAAGGCCTACTCTACCAAGGTCGAAGCGCGCCAAAAGAAGGCATACAGATACTTCCACAACGGCCTGATCACTAATACCCTATTCGTCGCCAAGACCGAATCCCCATACCAGGACGCCCAACAAGCCGCAGTCTTCCTCAACCCAGAAGCCCGCGTCTCCGTTGACAAGAAGACCTCCGCCCTCACCTATGCCCAAGACTTCACCAAAAGCATCTCCTCGAACAGGAAACCAACCGCAGCGACCAAAGAAATGGTCGAGTCGCTTGCCAAAGGCGTTGCTACTGCTAGCAACAAGGTCGGTGTCGACGTTGAGGATATCTCCGCCATCAACATCGAAAACGAAACCTTTGTCGAACGCAATTTCACCCCTCAGGAGCAAGCATACTGCCGAAAGGCACCTAGCCCACAAGCCTCCTTTGCGGGGAAGTGGAGCGCCAAGGAAGCGGTTTTCAAAGCGCTTGGTGTAAAGAGCAAAGGTGCTGGTGCCCCGTTGAGGGATATCGAGATCACAAATAATGAGAATGGTGCCCCAGTCGTTAGTGTACGTATCCCCTCCCCTACCCATCCCTTCCCCAAAGATATCGTATCATCTCTCAAGAAGTTGAAAATGAATATCAGCTAACACTGCATCAATAGCTCCATGGCGATGCCGCTGCTGCTGCGAAGAGTACTGGGGTCAAGGAGATCAGCATTTCCATCTCTCACTCTGAAACCCAAGCTATTGCCATTGCTGTGTCCACCTTCTAGATAGACAATCCTTCTTCTAATGAACTTTTTAATTTGGATTCGAAATGTATATTTGCTGTCAAGACACCATTTTTGCGTGGGAGGCGTTTCATTTCTTTGTATTGTGTTTTTAAGGTTTAGACACGTCTTCACAGACGGGAACTAGTCTCGAATGATGGGGAGTGGAATGGTATAGAGGGTGTCTGAATGAAGAAGACTGGTATATGCATGGCGGCGGAGTGATATCCTGCCACCTGTAATAGATAGATGGAGGAGGAGCATTAGAATGATATGAGAGTGTGTGTGATAAATCAATCGTGTGATGTTCATTTTTTTTAATATTCTGATCAATCGTGAGCTGTTCTTGACTTCTTGAGGCAAGGAAGCTGTAATTTTGTATATTGCTACTGGGAAGCTAGAAGATAGGCATACACAATTGCTTATGACTCCGTCATGTCTTGCCTAAAATGGTGGTGTCCCCAGTTGGGGGTATATTTTATGTGTGCCTTGCATCTCAGGTCAAGATCATGATCACTAAGGCAGTAAAAATTACAACAACAACCAATCGGCGTTTTATCCGGTCTTGCACCACAAACAACAACACGTGACAATTCAACGGCATTTAGTTATTCCGATAATCGCCAAAATGGGACGAAGACCTGCACGGACCAGGGTAAGACAATCAGCGCGTCCACCAAAATCTGAATATCCAACTGTTGACAAAAGCTCCCTTTACCAGAAGCCCAGAGCACCACGATCGCCACGAAAGCGCAAGATGGCTCCTCAGTTCCGCGAAGAGCACATCTTGATGATCGCGCCCGGCTCGAAGACTACTCTTGCGCAGCTGGGCCTTCCCGATTCCTACACTCCTGCGTCGCATCGCTTCCCCACGCGCGTTTTCCTTGCGCCTGATGGAAAGACCTATGAGCCTTATAGAGTTGTTGCTAAGAAGAAGGAGACGGAGCAGCGCGAGAACGGTAACGGTGCTGGTGAGGTAGTGGGTGCTGCTGAGGAGGATGAAGAGTTGATTGAGTATCCTGATGATGATGAGGGCGCGATTTGGCCAATTGAAGGTGTGTTCATCTTTCCTCGACTTGAACTGAATGGAATTCAATTGAATTGCTGCTAATCTGTAATTACCAGCCGGCCGAATCGTGAACAAGTCTGCCTTCTTCGCGCTCCTTCAGCATATCCACAATAGCTTCTCTCCAGCTCTACAGACCGTCATCATTCTTGTCGGCGACCCAGCCTGGACCTCTAAGGATTACGAGGACATCACGCGCTTCATCTTTGAGAAGTTCCGTACCCCTGCGCTCACTCTCATGGAGAGCGGGCTGGCCGTCACGTACGGATACGGAGCCCCAAATGCGACGGTAATTGATGTAGGGTATGAGAAGGTTGATGTCACTGTAATTGCAGACTGCTACTTCGCGGCTCGTGGAAGTGTCCATCACCATGGTGGTGAGGGTATGACAAAGCGGCTTCTTGAGCTCCTCGAGCCTCATGGTTTTACCTACGATATGGCCGAGCAGCTTAAGAAGAGCCCCATTTGCGAGATATTGCCTCCGGGAGTTCCACTACCAGGCACTGAGGAAACGGATGAACAGGGCATCAGTAATCCTGCTGCAGCCGCTTCGACTGGAGCACTCGCATCGGGGCCGACTGTTAAAATTACAGAGGCGCCTCGAGTACCGGGAGGAGATACCGAGGCGGGAGACGATGACTATACAAATGGTGAAGATAAGCTAATTGAGGACGAGGGTGTGCTTGATGTTGCAAGCATTGTTGCGAGCGGCAAGACACAGGAGTTTCTAGCCAAAAAGGAAAAGGAGAAGGCTGAGAAGGCTGCTGCGAAGAAGGCCACCAAGGAGAGGGAGGCTGCTGAAGCTGCGGCCGCTCGACCTCAGAGACTTCCCAATTCCAGAAGGCCTCGTGCCACATTCTTCTACGAAGAGAAGGTCAAGGACCCGAGTGACAAGCCAGACAAGTCACCAGAGGACGTTGCCATGGCAGAAGAGACTGCAGCTACCGAGGCCGAGCCCGCTGAGAATGGCGCAACTGCTACTGATGAAGCTCCGGCTGAAGAGCAGAAGATCTCGCAGAAGAAGGATGCACGGCGAAAGATGTGGGAGGAGGAGAACCCCGATCGAACCCGTCGTGGGGTTGAGATTGGCGTCGAGCGCTTCCAAGCCGCACCCCAACCGTACATCGACAGGATCGCCGACACGGTCTACCGCGTAGTTATGAGCGTCGCTGATACGTCCAAGAGACAAGAATGCTGGGACAATTTGATCATCTGCGGCAACGGTTCGAAGGTTCGAGGTTTCAAGGAGGCCCTCATGACTACTCTCAACGGCCGCTACTTGGTCTCTCCCAGCTCGGCCACAATGTTCATGAGCGAGCTGCCATCTAATATCGCAACGCCCAGCGGCACCGGATCCATGACCCCCAATGCATCATTCTCTTCCACGCCACACCCTGTTCCAACGGCTAGCGCAGTCAACCCCCTTCTCATCGCCGCAACCACTGCCTCCAACCCGGCTCTCAACCCGAACATCCAAGCTAGCTATGGTAGCGGACCTCACTCTCACTCCTCGCACTCGCAAACCCCCACGAGCATCAAAATTCTCACTCCCCCAGCCTATTTCCCAGAGTGGAAGGCCGGCTTTGAGGAGGCTGTGTTCTTGGGTGCTCAAGTCGCAGGACGGACCTTCTATATCGCAGACCAGGGCGCCTCGAAGTGTTTCTTGTCGCGCGTGGATTATAACGAGGAGGGTCCGAGTGGTATCCATCAAGTGTAAGTTCCCCCCCTTGCTACTCCTTGTCGCCTCTTCTCGCGCTATCCTGGTGCAACCGAAACTTGAGATTTGACTAACATATCCCAGGGCCATGATGAGTTAGAAATGGGAAATTGAAACAGTGGTGTTTAGGCGTTCTTGAGCGGACACGGCGGAGTTGGTGGATCGATGCATCATGCATGAATGAGATACCTAAGTCCCCTGTTTCCCAAAAGGTTAACAAGGCATAAAGAGTTTAAAATGTGTGCTACAATTAATAAGTAGTACTTGTACAATACAAAGGAGATTCAAGAGTATCAACGAATTAGTTCTATGCGCTGCTGCTTCTGCTTCTGCTTCTGCTGCTGCTTTCTTTGTTTAATGAGTTTACTTTGATTAGTTTCCTGAGACGAGGGCTAGAAACCGTAGCTCGGGCTTTTCCAGCGCTCTATGGGCAGATAGCTCTTGTGTTTGCTTACGCGGTTAAAGCTTTCCGTGGGAGGCTCGTTTGTGTCTACCTTAGTGGCCCAGGTGAGGTAGCACAAGACGCCTCGCATCTGCGATGCCAACACACACCAACTGTTTGCAACTTCAGAATGTCAAACGCTTTCGAATGATTGTAATAGTTACGCAGCTTTACAGTTCCGTCGCCAGTTCTTTGCAAACAGGAAAGACAAGAAAGAAGGACAAAATACTACACCTAGTCATTGAATCTGCGGAATATATGCCTTGCTTTGAAGTCGAGATGCCAGCCTCATTTCAAGAGTACGTCTCATTGTCTACTTCCCCAATCTTCGAAAACTTTCGAGTCATTCAACCCCCTATCCTTCAAATGATCGCGATGGAACTTTGTATAATATTAACGATTTTGGACGTAGGATCCTCAATTCCAGGATCTTCCAGTTTACGGTTGGCGAAAACATTGATGGCAAGCCAACTAAATTTTATATTCATGAGAAAGCAATAGCCCAGCTCTCTGAACCACTTCAGAAGCTGATGGAAGGGAATTTTGCAGAGGCCCAAACCGGCTGGGCAAGATGGGACGATGTGAGCAAGGAGACTTTTGAGCGCTTCGTCCAGTTTGCTTATACAGGCGACTACTCGATCCCAGAGCCCACGAAGTGGAACAAAGTTGCGGAGAGAAACATTCCTGAGCCGCCTGTGGAAGAGCCGCCTGTGGAAGAGCCGCCTGTGGAAGAGCCGCCTGTGGAAGAGCCGCCTGTGGAAGAGCCGCCTGCGGAAGAGCCGCCTGCGGAAGAGCCGGCTACGGATAACTTTGGCTGGGGAAACTACTCCATCACAAACTTGAAATCCAAGAAAGGGAAGAAGAAGATCCATCGCCCTATCTACGACTCCCCTCCGTGGGAGGAGCCGGCGCTAGAGCTAGAGTTGCCGCCACCGGAGCCATTATCCAGCTTCATTTCCCGCTCGTACGCATTGCTTGCGCCGCGCAACAGTTATGCCAACACCTGCGAGCCAGCTAAGCATTTCGACCACCGCCAGACTTATTCAAACGTGCTCCTAAGCCACGCATCACTGTACGTCTTAGGGGATTTTCGGCTCATTGACTCGTTAAAAGCATTGGCTTTATTCAAACTTCACAAAGCATTATGCATGTTTCAGCTCAAAGATAGGAGCATAGAAGATGTTGTAGACCTTGCAAGATATGCATACTCCGAGGAAGGTGCAGGGTCCGATGATGGATTAAGGGTTCTAGTGTGTAACTATACGGCTGAAAATGCGTTGGTTCTGTCTCGCCATATTGGATTTATGGAGCTTTTGGGGGAAGGGGGCCAATTTGTCCAAGACTTCTTTGAATTGGAAGTGAGGAGATGTTAAGCTTGGAATGTGGTAGTGCAATTAAGGATGGCTGAGCTCATCTAAAGGATTTCATTTCCTCGTGAAGTTCGTTTCCCACCGAATCACGTTCCATATGATTTGAGCCGTTGAAATGCGATCCTTGAACAGCTTGCGTTACCCTTCTGCAGTAGCAGAAAGCATTCGACCAGCGTCCGGGTCTTACAAATGGATACAAATAAACATAATTCCTTTGATAAGACTCTGTTCCCTATGGTATGATCCATAGTTATGAGAGTTTTCTGGAAATTGGGGATATCTTTTAAATTTGCTAGGAGGATTCGCTTGATGGTTCCCTTCCATGTCTTCAGACGATCGGTCGGATTGACTTTGCAAATATGAGAGCGAATCTATTGAGTTGTAACTGCAAGAATTTTTAGAGATTGAAGGTTAGCCGGCCAGCACTTCTTTTGAATGAACCAAAACACTATGATCCCGAACCATCTCTACCGCGTCATCTCATATCATAGACATATCATGAAGAGCAAGGGCAGCTCGACCGTGGCAATTATAAACTCGCCATTCTTCATGATCGGAAGGGATGGGAACGGAGAGCGAAGGCCGCAAGCTTTGAGCTATAGAGTTGAGCGGGGAACTGCGACAAGAGGCTAAGAATGTTCCATTTGAAAAGAAGGAGCTCATAAAACTATGTCTTTGTATATTGTGTTAAGATTTTGCCTTCAAGTCTAACGATGTTTAACGAGTGTGGAACCTACAGTGATGGCGTTTGTATTAATTCGCGACTAATGGCTACATCGATGTGTAGTCTAAAGGCCGTACATAGCCCTGATCCATCACCCTGTAGTCCCGCGTTCATTACGTTTTGGAAGCCCACTCCATCACTTGCTGCTACAATCCATTACCCCCTATGTCTGCAGTAGCACCACGAGCAGCGGAGTGTGTATTTTGGCTCTCGAGGCGAACCACCGCTTTCGATATAGCAATTGAACTCTGCGCTACAATGAACATTACGACAAGCCTTGGTATTACCAAGTATCGTGCGACAAGCCGCAAAGTTTTCGATAGTGCGATTTGCCCTATTAGCCTCCCTCCTTTGCATTGACTCATGCGTTAACAATGTCATGGCGTAGTCGGACATATCTTGCAGTTCCGTAGTGGTTGATTCCACTTTGGCCTGGAATGCTGTAATCGTGTTCCGCATAATGCCAAAGGCGAAATCACTCATGTCTAGAGCCTTGCCGAAGTCGTCGAGCTCGATGAGTTCGTCGACGTGCTGGGTAGCTGTTGAAGCCATGATCTTGTGTAACTCGATATCGCTGGTTGAGTGGAGGACCCCCTTAACGGCGTCAAGAAAGCCATTCGGGGACCAGTCTTCGTCAAGGATCCTCTGGATTTTCGTATTCGCAAGCTCTTTCAATAATGGCACGTTGTAGTAGTCTGCGATCGCGTTGACTTGAACATGACCGAGCAAGATCACACCCGGTGGTGCCGTAAGGTGAGAATCCAAGGGTGTTGATGGAGGGAGAGAAGAATCGTCTTTATCGTCTGTATTTTGTGATCGGTTATTGATTAGGCTCTTTCATCGTGGGAGGTATATCCCTTACCTTGGTCGATTGCTCCTACGGTCGTGTTGTCAGGCTCAAATACGCTTTCAAGCTGCCTCTCTTCCGCGTCAAGGTCATAGTCTTTCATATACATAAATGCGACCATCCGTTCAACAGTCCAAGCGTCGAACTCTTTGATGTCTATAGTATTGGTCCTCGCCTCCTAGAACGGCTCGTAAGACATTTGATCGACTTATTTCTTGGAGAGTCGTAGGAATACCTGAAAGTCACCATCAACAGCCGCTGCGAGCACTGGAGATTGGGAGCACACAATTGCTTTGTGCACGTTGAACTCCTGCCCCTGACAGACAAGTTTCAGGTCACTGTATTTTTTAGAGCTTAGAAGCTGGGCCAATCCGGTCGGAGCGGCGATTTTGGTCGACATGAGTCGGCCTGGTCAAGCACGGTATGCCTGCAATTCTGAATGATCAAATTAAAGGATCAAGGGTTCGGAAGCAACTTAGAGAGAATGCAAACCGTAAGGACAGAAGTATGGGTTGAACGGGTAGGACTGATTGAAAAGGTGGGTAAGCAGGATGGGGGATGTGACAAGAATAGAGAGCAAGGAGAGTTGATATCGCGACCTATGTAGGGACAAAGCCTCTTTAATTTTGTCACGCCTTTGAATCGGGGCCTTAGGCAAACTACCATATGAAGCAGTACCCCTTAGAAATGGATTCTAGGTAAGGAGTAAAATGCCGCGGAGGAAATTAGTTATGTGACTGATTAAATGACACTAGTTATTGTGGGATTAAATACGCAAAATAATATTGAAGCGACTAAGAGCAAGCGCATGCCATAGCTAAGGGGTATCAAATCGTTTTATTCATGCCTTGCGTTTTCATCAACGCTCCCTCTCAGACCGTTCTGCCGACTTCCTCGAGCTCCTCGACCGCCTGCGGCCATCGTCGCGGTCACGGTCACGGCCATCAGTCTTAAGATGGGAACCGCTATGGCGCGAGCTGCTCGGCCTGCTACTACTGCTAGGGTGGGTGTGATGTCTGCTCGATGAATGAGGTCGCTCGTCACCTCGCTCGTGATGATGGGAAGCTGGGGAACTGCCAAGTGCATTTTCATCCCCAACATCAACGATGCGGCCGTCAGAATTTACGTGCCCTTCGCGCTCAAGACGCACTTCACGGCCTCGCTTATGGCAGTACCAGAAGAAGAAGAGTAGGACTGTTTGGGTGATCAGAATTAGCTCATCTACGGTTACGTGGGACGACAAAATATAAGAGAGACATACCGAACAGCCCCAGACTCAACAACACATTCGTCCCCATAAAGGCAGGCCATCGATATTTCAAAGCATTCATGATCGTTTTCAGTAAACCGGCCACGGCCCCAGGTTTCGTAACTAGGTCCTTCAACGTACTCGGCGTGAAGAAGCTCTTCGCTGCGCCAGCCAGACCCGCTCCAGCTCCAGCCGCAGTAGCACCCAGATCAAGCGCCTGAGCCTCCGCGGCTACAGCCAGCAGTTCGGGCGCCAAATTCTTCGTCACCTTATCAGGTAGTTGGGTGATTAGTTTCTTTAGGAAACTAGGTAATTTGTCATAGTTCTTTGATAAAGTGCCTTGGCTGTTATCCAACAGATGGATTAGGTCGTCGTACGCCGTTGGGACGCCGTTTATTAGGTCTTTCAGGATGACTGTGAATTTGCCGACGAGCTCTTGGGATTCGGCGGAGAGGGAGAATGCACGATTGTTTTGGGCGGAGAGGTTGAGGTCTTCAAGGATGGTGCTTAGGTCGTCTTCCTCACGGTGGGCTTCAGAATTGGGCACAACGTGAGCAGGTTTGAGGTCAGGTTTGTTCTACGGCGCTGGTCAGTTTGCTGTAGATACAAGGACGTGGAAGGAGATATACCTTCTTGGTGCCGCTTCGTTGGAGAAACGAGAAGCGGTTTGATTTCTTCTTCTCGGCTGCTTTGTCGGCTTCCTTTCCTTTGCCTTTGTCTATATGAGTACGCCCCTTCTCAGCAGTGGATGGCGCATCGTCATGGTCGTGGACTACCATCTGCGACCCATTATCCCTGGTATCTCCAGCCTCGACTCCCAATCCGCGAGGGCGTTCTGGTAATGGAGGCGGCGTGCCCTCGGCAGACACGACGCGCTCGAGGAATGCCTGGTCTTCGTCATCTAGGAGAGGCGGGGGCGCTTGGTTTTGTGCTTTGAGATCCGCAGCCTTCTTCTGCGCCTGGTGCTTCTTGAATTTCTTGTAGGTGAAGTATTCCAACATCCTGGCAATACTTAGCGGGTAGTGTCAATTTTTGAATGGTGACGATGTTGAATTGAAAAGAAAAAGAGAGAGAAAGAGCTGTAACTTGCAATTTAGATAGAAGATAGGGTAGAACCTTGGGTCGAGAATATGAGGTCGTTGTCGCTTTGTCTCAGGTTGGCGGAGCACGGGGATCTCAGCCACATGCCATCATAGCTGCAGGTCTCAAAACCAAGTTGTGGTTGCTGTGGCGCAAGCTTCAGCAAATCAAATATGGAGCACTCTGTATCAAAACTGTCCAGCGGTTTAGTGAAGGATCGCTTGAATATTTAAACAGCAGCAATTGCATCTCTTTATTGCAAAGAACTATACAGAATCCACATAGCTAGGTATCTACCCTATTCATCGCTCGCTACTCAACTTGAGCCTTACGGCGAGTTGGGCACTAGCAACTTTAGAAGCGATTCGCCTCCGCTACTGCGCTGAGGTATGACCGGACAAAATGCCGATAGGCGTACCAATGTCGGACGAAACTAAGTGATGAATGCCCAGTTGGAGATTTACATTTGCCAAAGGTAGTACGTAGGCTTGGGCAGCATTGCTAGACGGGGGTGGCAATTTAACGATTGCTTCCTCTAGTAGCAACCCTATTAGTCACGGTGAAGGAATTGGCATAAAACAAAGCTTTCCACTCAAAGACTCGTATCGATTCAAGCGACGGCTAATTAAGTACAAATATAGGGAATTATATCAACCGAAATTCATATGGCCACCAAGCTACCCGAGTCCAGTATCAATCAACGTTCCCAGACTTGTGCATCCAAGTCCTTCTGCTGCGGCCCTGGCGCTAACGGCAATTCATCATCGCTATGGTGTCGGGCTCCATTTCGTGCATGATTAACTTGAACATGCACCTCCTTCGTCGTCCGAATGCCGTCACCATCATCCAGTCCCGTATTATGCTTCGAGGTAACACTCGTATGGATTCCAGAAAGAGCCACCGGCTTCAACGTATGCGGGTCCTCGGTGTCGTGGCGACTTCTTGAGTACTGGTTGTGGGAGGAGGTGAAACCAGCCACTCTGTCGTTAACAGAGTTTTGGGCTAGTTTGGTGATTAGGCGGGCCATGGTCATCTCGATATTGAGCTTAACCATGTAGGCGACAGGATGGAATTGGATGTAGACGACTTGATTACGGAGCGACATGAGGAGAATAAGCATTAGCTACAGCATGGTTAGCAGCTATCCGTCATGTACGGCCGAAGTTGACTTACATCCATCCCGATGGAAAGCACCATGAGCTTCGCGTTAAAGCTTATAAGAGGTGCGTACTTTGTCAAGCCATGATATTTAACAAGTCGGTTTCGCACCACCCGGAGGAAATAGTAGTTCAGTCCTGCGTCTACCAGAAGGATGATGACCTTAGAGGTCCGGTCCCAATATCTGTTGATTTCAACGAAACTAAAGGAGTTAGAGGGAGGCCTTCGGTGTCTGAGGAGTTCATGCTTACATAGGCATAGGAGGAGGAACGACATGAGCCGGAATCCAAATAATCATGACAGCAATGTTGACGAGAGTTATAATCAGGGCAGTTCCCCACTTTGCAAACAGTCAGGCATCTTGTTTACGGAAGCATCAACTGCCACACACCTTGAGTTTCCAGATCAGTTGACGGTTATCCCCCAGAACAGCAATCCGATTGATAATAATTTGCATCAAAAACTGTATCTCGAAGACCCAGAGAAACAAGATACCAAACAGGACAGGAACGCTACATTTATTAGCTCCTTTTCATTACTCTAAACAATGGAGTCTTACGTTGGCGACAGTTTGCCATCAAGAAATAGCCAACCGATGATTCCGATTGCAAGATTGGCCACAATTTCCCCCCACACCATATAGATATATACGCTTCGGAGAGGAGAACGGACATTTCTGGTCTGCTTGATGGCCTCCCAAACTGTCAGCACGCCGAACCCGAGCGTAAAGCCAGCTGCGGTGCTGGATAGCTTGAAGTCTCCAACAGTGCTCGCCATCTTGGGTTCCCCGAATGGGTAGAAATGCAAGTACTGTACAAAGGGCCGTTGAAAATATCAGGGTCCTTTTAATAAGCTCCCGGCCAAGGGAAACGGACTTGAAGATATAGACACTGTACGGCGCTTCAAGGCTAGCCGATGGCAGAGGCAGGCAGAGCCGGGCCAGAGAAACCTGCAGACGGGACGGCATGCTGGTTATTGGTTTTGGTGTCTAGTAGTTACTCTACTGCTCTTGCTAGTCCACGGCCCCTGGAAAGCCTCACCTCTGGCTCTGAGTCTCTGACAAGTTACAACGTCTCGAACGTGCAACTCTCCGCGCTTGTTGGGATGTCGCAAAGCTTTGACAGCGCGATTTCGACACTTGGCACCGAAGATGTTGCGCCTCTTTCTCACGGCTCATGGTGACAGGGAGCTAGCAGTGGCAGGATCCGGGTTTTGGGGTCAAGGCGCAAATGTGTTTGGTTCCATGCATGAATTGGATCTTCATCAGGCCGAGGTGGCTTTGGGTGTGCGATTTTGGGTGGGGCAAAGCGGAGAACTGGAACATCCTCTGGAGAGCTGAAGTTCCCGAACATCGAGCTACTACTGAGCACAGGTTTGAACATACACATACGGAGTAGTGGAACTACTACTAGTACTGAACATCTACAGTTTATGGTTGAACGCCACGGGGCGGCCCTCGGGTTGATTGTAATACGTAAAGTCCACTACAATTAGAACCCCGCTACCTACCGTCACCGGTACTGTACCTGTTAAGATCGGCACTATTACTACGACGTACGTACCTCGGACGAGTTGAAGATGAACCAGATTGCGGTGCTTTTCGTCCTTGCCGCAGTACTGTACGTAGTCCGTACTAACTAAGGTAGGGGTACGTACTCTGTATGCAAAATATCCTGCGTACCTTTTGCCTAACCTAAGCACAGTACATGTACCGTATGCCAGAAGTTGTGCAACTCAAACGTGCGAGAACGAGGTGTGGTTACAGCTGCAGCCATAGCCCCTGAATCTAGTCGACGGGAAACTTAAGCTCCAACAGTAGTCCCCTCAGCGAGTTTGACTACTGTGTGTTGACGGGGACGTGGTGGAAGAATAATAATGATGATCTACAGCACCAGACACAGGCGTGGCATGGCGTTTTCTCCGCACTACGGAGGAGAGTCGCCGATAGAAGCAGCGCTGCGACTCCAAGGATCCCACCTAACCATTCCCAGTACCGTCCACGCGGGCGCGAACCTCTTCACGACGCTCAGGCGGAGGCGGACGAGCTGGGAATCATAATCTGGGAGTCTGGGAGTCTGGGACTCGTGCCAGCAGGGATTGCTTGTATTGGCGTGGGCCCACGAACACCCCCTACTCTGTCCTTCGTATATCTACATCTACACTACTTCGTCCCCCTATCTTTCTGCCAAGGGATCGAAGCAACCACCGTCCGAAGAGGCTAGGACTCTCAAGCCTCCGCACTCTGTAGTACTGTAGCGTCGACGAGTCTGATGAGAGAGATTAGTAGCCTTGCAGGTCGCCTCGTGTACGGCCGTATCTGCGCCCGGGCGATCCCATCACACCCACATGGCCGATGACACCTGCCAATGACCAGAAGTCTCTCATTATTATCGAACATTCGATGCAGAACCCGCCCGGGAATACTGCGGTGAGGGCTTGGACAGGACGTTTGCCAGGGTGTGGCTAGGTATCTCATGACCGTGCTTTGCCAGGGGTCCTTCGATTCCGAGAGTGCCATGTGCAAACTGTGGAGTTATAATAATAATAATAGTGATAATAATGATCATGATCATGCACTTCGGAAGTATTATCCGGCTCGTGGGGAAACATAGAGCAAAATAGCTGCGGAGCATTCCGGAGTAATATTATTAAGTATTGAACTTCACAAAGAGCACAGTACGTGGAACCCAACCCACCCAGATCGCCTGAAGATCGACTAGGCGGCAGGTGGATCTCATTATTATTCCTCCGTACAACGAGCTACGGTATAATAATCGTATGGAGCATGTGGCCATTTATTATTATGGTACTTCGTACCCCATATTGCGCCTGCTACCGCCTATTAGAATATGCATGGACATCTACTACTGTACTTACGAAGTAGATCCCTATGTACAGGAGATATCCGTTCATTCATCGTCCTGCACTAGCTCCTTGATCTCGGATCCCAAGACACCACCACCAGGCATTCCATCCTGTGCCGACCCACCAGCTGGAGCGCGCAAAGCAGCATCAGCAACCCCCTTCCCACTAACACCGCCATCTTGCATCCAGAAATCTACCTCGTCCACAATATCATACACAATATCTTCTACAATCTGCTCATCATACCGCTCTCCCACAGCGCGGAGCGGGTGGGGTGCCGATGCGGATGGGGCAGCCTGATCGCTTCCGGTCATTTCCGCATCAACCTGAGCATCTGGCTGGGTATGGCCCGGTGGCGGGAACCAGAAATTAGGGCCAAAATTGACCTCCGCTGCACCGCCACGGAAAACCGAAACCGCGGGATAATATCCCAACATGCCATCATCGAGGCCTTCTCGAGCGCCGACCTGGGCAAGAGGCTTTGACGCCGGAGGCAAGAACGCGAGGAGGTCAGTGAATGGCGTGCCTATAAGCTCGCCATTCTTGTATATCTTGATACTTGAATGTGGTAGTGTCCGTAGCGATGGTAGCTGGTGTGTCGGTCCTGGCTCTTGTCCTACGCCACCAATCCCACCTGTCGAGGATATGATTGGTGATGGGTTCATGAGCTCTTCCAACTCCTTTACAGCATGGTATTCGATTTGCTCAAAATAGAGATGTGCCTTAAATCGTATAGGCACCCTATCTCGAATGATATCTGCAGCCTCGATTCCGCATGGCTCGTCATCTGCCAAATCGACAGCTGGATTGTAATGCCCTTCAACGACTTTTCGATGCAAAGCCTCTGATGGTAGGTTGATTTCCAGTCCAATTACATCCCCTTCCTGGACCTCTTGTCCCGGGGGGAAGAAATCCTTTGGCCTAGACATGAAAACTTTCTGGCCCTTTGCGTCGCGAACACCGTAACTATATGTGTCGAACCCTACAGGCGCATCGAGTGAAGCTTCTCTCCTCGCCCAGCCCATCCGCACATGGCCGTTCGCACTCTCCTGTGTTACGTTTGTCTCGCTTGGTTTTCGCTTTGGTATCCCGCTTATAATCTTGCATTCCCAATACCATCGGCCTTGCCGTACGCCTACATTCGCCTTCGCCATTCTAAAGCCTTTGTCTGTTGTGACGTGGTGGCCGGACTCATCGAGAAACATATGTGTAGAGGTATCCTCGAAGTTGAATCTTGGCCCAAAGGGCTCGGTCTCTGTTTGTCGGTAGTAGAGCGATGATGGGAAGGCGGGGTCTGCTATGCAGTGAGTGTAATGGAAATTTTTCTTGTTATAGACACTGCCAGGATAATTAGCAACAGCAAATATGTAGTCTCGTCTATTTACACTTACTGGTCAGTTGTCTCGTTGAACTGCACAGCAGTCCCATCCGGAGCGGTCTTTGTATGCGCGGGTAGGAAGATTGGACCTCGAGGAGCTTCGAAATCAGTCAACTTTGGCGGAGGAAGTTTATATCGGATCGGAGCAGGTGCATCCCCCTTCTTCTTGGGTTTGTGCTTGGGTGTAGGAGCTTTTGGGTCTGGTGTTGCTCTCGCGCTGCTATCTGCCGCCATAGACCCTCCCTTCGATTCGCGCTTCTTGAGCGATTCCTTTTTTGCTCTTGATGCGCGTTCGCGTGCCAGAGGTGCATCTTCTTGAGGCTTTGCGGGTTTGAAATCGGGATTTAGGGGAGATGAGATGGCGGGCTGATGGTCATCTTCGAGAGCGCGTTTCTGGGGTATTGAGGAGACTGGCGCTGCGATTGTGGACGTAGATGTCGGCGTAGGCTCCCGCTGAGGAGACGGTTCTCCTGCTGACATCTTGACCGTGGATCTAGAATAGTGGCGTCTAGAGAAGTGGTTGCTTGAGGAGCTTTCACCGTTCAATTATTATTTATTATTCAAGAGGACGCTCCACAACGCCGAAGTTGACGCGAATACTTGAGTATTGATATCGCCAGTCCCCTGGTCAGCGCACGCCCTAATCTCCATGTGCCGCCAGATTCCCAACCTCGCGCCTCGTCCGCCTCCCCCATCAAAGTTATTTATTATTGTCAGCCTTGCAACAATTCTCACCAAATCTAATCCCATCCAACCCACCTCCTACGACTTTGCAAGATGTCACTATCTAGCTACCTCGCAAGTAAATATTTAAACGCCGAACCTGCCACATCTTCATCGTCATCCAAAAAGCGCAAACGCAAAGAGAAAGCCGCCTCCTCGGGCCTCATAATCGCCGACGACGACGCCCTGGGCTGGTCTAATACACCCACCCAAAACGAAGAGGAAAACGATGGGCGACCTATAACTGTATCCTCGGGCTCAGCGGAGTTCCGCAAGGCAAAGAAGAACGCATGGAAAGTCGTAGGCGCGCCGGTGCTCCAGCCACAAAACAACGATGCCGAAGCAGATGCGGCTGATAAGATTATCCAAGAAGCTGCAGCGGAGAATGCGGCGGCGATGCAGGAGGATGAGGCGCCAGTGGTAGATGGGGATGCCGAAGGCGTGGTTAAGATGGGAGATGGGACACATGCCGGGCTACAAAGTGCTGCTGCTGTGGCTCGACAATTCGAGAAACGGAAACGAGAGGAAGCTGCAGCGTGGGAAGCTGAACAAGGCGGCAAGAAGGGGAAGAAGAAAGGTGCTGAGGAGACCGTATACCGTGACGCAACAGGTCGGCGAATCGACCTGTCTATGCGCAGGAATGAAGCGAGGAGGGAACTCGACGAACAGGCCCGGAAAGAGCAAGAGGAGAAGGAGGCCCAGAAGGGCGATGTCCAGAGAGCCATGAAAGACAAGAGGAGAGAGGAACTTGATGAGGCGAGGTTTATGCCTCTTGCGAGGACAGTGGATGATGTGGACATGAACCAGGAGCTGAAAGAACGAGATAGATGGAATGATCCCGCTGCGCAGTTTTTGGTCAAGAAGAAAGAGAGGAGGAGTGTCACTGGAAAGCCAATCTATAAGGGTGCGGCTCCGCCGAATAGATATGGGATACGGCCTGGCCATCGGTGGGATGGTGTTGATAGGAGTAATGGGTGGGAAGGCGAGAGATTTAAGGCTTTGAACAGGACGCAGAGAAATAAGGAGCTGGATTTTGCGTGGCAGATGGATACGTAGTGCGGTCACGAAGTACTATATGAAATTCAACATGTCAATTCGGACTATTCGTTATTGGGATGATTTGTGATATGGTCATGCAATGCTATCTGAAGCTACCTGTGAGCAAGCTCGCAATCCCGTGATGCCGCCCAAACGCGAGATTAGGTGCTCTATAAATCACGTATATCACGCCGGATGTGATTAATCTTGAATTAGATATGCCGGCGCAAACTTGCCATCTGCCGTGGTGCAAAAAGTACCCCTTGATACATGTCTATTTGGGCCGCAAAATCCTGTCTGGTCCATACTTCGAGTTCACTTTCACAAGCTGAATGAAGTCCTTTTTGGGCGTCTGCCCAGGACCATCGCCAACTCTACCGGCGAATCTTTTCATCAGCTCTCCAATCAAGATACCGGACGGAGGCAGTGCTGCTGCTATCTCGTGTGGCTGAATAGGGCCCGCCCCCGGTGACTGTGCGCGGGAAGTATCTGGCGCTGTCGAAGGGCTGCCTGCACGGCTTCCACCAGCTCCAATTGATCTAGCCCTAGCTGGATCTGGACTTCCTGCGCGCGATCCCGCGGGCGACGCATTAAGACGGAGCTTGACCTTTTTCTTCTTGCCACCATCAGACATTTCCCCGCCAGTAGCTTCACCGTCACTCATCGAACCGCCATGGCTTGGGTTGGGAGGAGCAGCCTGGATTTCCGTGAGTTTTGATGGATTCACGTTAAGTTTCACGACCGAAGACCTTCGCTGGCTCTGACCAGGTTGCGACCCTGAAGGGGCCGGTGACATAGGCCGGGAGCCGGGAACTGGTGTGCTTGTACCCGAAGGCTGGGGGGTGCCATGCTTCTTCTTGTGCTTCTTTCGGACAGACTCGTTCCCTGAAGACTCCGAGAGGTTTGGAGAACCAGACCTCTTGAGGGCATTTTTGGCTTTCTTCAAAGGATCGGTGTGTTTGGGTCTGCCAGAGGGCGTATTTGTCCCTTTAGATGACGCGCCGGAAGGAAGCTTCGACTTAGCTTTGGCTTCCTCATCCTTTCTGCGGTCGATCTCTTTTTGTTTCTCCTCGTCCGATGTGTCATCCTCGCTCTGAATGCAATTAGCGAGATATAACAATAAATAAAGAAACGACTACTTACCGTTTCAGAATAAGGATGATCAGAATCACTTTCATAGATGAGATTTCTCTCGCGCCGTGTCAAAGCTTTCCGAACCTTCTTGCCAAGTTTTCTCTGTTGCTCGGTATCCTTTTCCTCCTGCTCAAGCTCTCGCTCGACTTCTACTTCGTTCGCCTGACCGAAAAAATTGGCTCCTAGTTGCTCACGCTTGATCTTGGTCTGCGCCTCTTTTGACTCCTCATCATGGTCGGGTTCAAGGGTTGGCTGCTCATCATCATCTTGGAACAGATCGGACTCAGCGAAGTCAAGGTCGTCCATATCCTGCCTCTCGCCCTTGCTAGCATTCAGGAACGTTTTGCTTTCTGACTTGACGGTAAACAGTTTATGCATCGGTCCCACTTCTGCGCCCTTCTTCTCGTTATCCCTCATGACCCATCGAGGCTCTCTTGTCTTTTTGTTCAATTGCGCCTCTGCCTCTTCTATTGTGAGGGTCTTGAACTGGTTTTTAGCAGTAAACTTGTACCACTTCTCAATCGGAATCATCAAGAACCTTGATCCATCGATGACGAAGATGACGTTAGTATGCGATAGAGCGGCCTCGTAATTTCCAACCCAGGTGTTCTTGTTGTCCGCATCCTCCAGGTGCCATGGTAGTGCTTCTTCATATCTCAAATCGGAAGCTTTCTTCTGTTCCTCGGTCTTGTCTAGCCGATACACTTGGGTTGTCTTCTCATTTCGGAAAGATTGGGTTTTCTTCGCCGCCAGCGCCGCGGCATTATTTCCGGTCGGGGCAATCTGCGCTAAATCTGCTGCTCTCCGGGCTTCCTTCTCGGCCTTCATTATCTCCAACTTCTCTCGCTCCTTGGAATCCATCAACTCATCGGGGGCAAGCTCCTCTTCTTTGGCGGCCTTCCCTGGAGGGGGCTGTCTAGGGTCTCTTCTATGCAGGACCACTGGCCGCGTAAACTCATCTTGGTTTACGGGGTCGATATCCTTCTTCGTAGCGAATCTCGAAATATGATGCCTTATGCCTTCACGGAGAGCTCGTTTGGTCGTGTACAGAGGGAAATCTTGGTAGGGTCCTGTTGGCGCGTTGGTCCAACCACCGTGTGATTTCGGGGCATTGGCACCATTGATAGTAGATGGTTGCGATCCAGATTGTGGTTTCTGAGGCGCGGTGCCATTCACGGGATATTGTCGCGCTGGACCCGGTCGGGCAGGCGCCCCGGGTCCCTTAGGTTTCGGCCCAGGGGCGCCAGGTGGTAATTTCTGTAGAACAAGCTTCTGACGCGGTTTCTGGCGTGGCCTCAGAGGATCTGCAGGTTTGGACTTGCGAATAAACTGGGGAACACCGCTGCCGGGGGTTGGAGTTCGGCCGTTCGACTGGCCCGACGGAGAAGCGCTCATGATGAAGAGAATATATGCCGAGTCTCTATTGCAAAGGCTATCGAGAGTCGTGGGAGCTGAAGGGAAAAGAGTACGAGGCGCGATAAAGGCAACGCCCAGGACGCTGTCGCCAGCGCTGGAATGCTCCTTGCTCAGGTTGCCTTCATGAAGCGCTAGGACAATGCGATATCCAGACAGGCCGCAAAGGATGAATGAACGAAGGAATGCGTGATACGGGATACGGAGAAGGGCCGGTGTATTGTGTGAAGTCTTTGCCTATTGTTTCCCAGGAATGCGAAGGTGAGAGCTGGAAGGTGAAAGGTGCAAGTGAGCTCTGGGTTTGGGAGAGGTCAAATCGCGAACGGAACAATGTCGTTGCCAGCTGCTTAGTCACTCGGGGTAGCACCCCGGCTCTTTCGGGCGCCTCCCACGTGATCTAGATAAGCCCCTCAGCCCATATCGCGAGGAATCCCGTGACCTGCTTGTATATCAGTACTTTCCGTTGTTTCTTTATTTACGCCGTCGCCATTAGCATCAACCTTCCAACGTTCAACTTCCAGTCTCGACTTTCCACGCCGAGCATACACAAGATTCGCTGGCGGACACAGTAGAAAGAGCAGAGGGATATTTATTGGCTGTCTAACGGAGACTCATATCGACTCGCTAATATCTATTGCAACGGCACTCACAACATATACTGCGCTACTCGAGCACCCCTTGTGCTACTTACAGGGACTTTGCCATACGGACATCTTGCTGTACCCGTACGGTTGTCCAGGCCGGGACTACGACTATGGACCAATATACAGCAACGCAAACACACCCATATTGGCTTGGTAGCGGAAAGTGAGAATCCAAAAACACATCATTCTCTATAGCTCAGCCCTGTCTGTTCATATCAAGTACACTAAACCCGAGCGTCGACAAATCCACCTCTCAAGGTGACATGCCCGGGGATCCTTGGCCTGCACCAACTGCCTCGTCGTTACATCTCCTATATATTTGAACGACAAGGCGCAAATCGGAATTTCTAATCCTGTCAGATTCCTTCGGCCTGACGAACTAAAAGACCTCCCCGACAGCAGGTGTTGGCTAATCGGGAGGACGAACTCGAGGTTCACTACCCTCTATTCAACATCAACCTACACAATATCTATCGCTCATCAGCGAAGGATAAGGGCTGTCCCCATAGTCGATAATGTTTCCCTCTCCTTCAGGACCACCGGGCAATGGGGGTGATGACCTTGAAGCCCGACTGCGTGGTCTTATCCTCAGCAATGCTGGCACTCAGGCAATCCCGGAGACCGCACAGGGTGCTGAGACTAAATCTCAGTTGCCACCTCATATGCTGAGCGCAACTTTGGCGGAGCAGCAAGACTACCTAGCCAATTTAAGTCTTCCGCGCAAGCAAAATTTTGACAGCTTGGATGCTCAACCAGGGCGAAAGAGACCCAATCAAGCGCAAAGACGGCAGATCAACTCACGGCTTTCCATGGATATTGAGCCACGCCCAAGCCCTGCTACTCAAGGACCTGGATTTGGACCTGGTACTGGATTTGACCGGTCCCAGTGGTCGAAGCCCCCTCATAATAAGGCCCCTCAAATAAAACATAATCAAGGATATCCTCAGCACCAAACCCATTCACCGCGCTTCCAAAATAATGGGCTTCCAAGCTCGTTCCCGTCTCAGCCCTTCTCTCCGCAAAACAGCCCGCGATCACCAATGCATCGGTACCCGCCTGGGTCGGAACCTCAAATTGCATTTCAGCAAGCATCGAATCAGTATTCGCAGTTTCAATCACGCTATGCTCCGAGACCTACTCCTCATGGCCGACAACTTTATCAACCTAACCACTATCAAAACCAAGGACGAGGTGCGCCATCTGGCTGGGGCGCTGATGACATAGCGACTCAAAGTTCGTATCTTGAGACTCTCCTACAATCAATTGTTCCATCAGTCCATATCGACCCCCAGGAACTATCTGAGAAGGAATCATTTAGAGTTGTGGTTGAGAATGCATGTCGAGAAGCAATTGCGGAATACGAAATCAATGAGCTAGGGTGCGAGAAGTTTGACCCTTCCACCGTTGAGCTGCAGTGCTTTGGTAGTATGATGTCGGGGTTCGCCACAAAGGGATCCGATATGGATCTTGCACTTCTTAGCCCCAAGTCTAACCCCGCTCCTGATTCTCCAGAATCCCCCATTCCACGCCTGCTGGAGAAGAGGTTGCTGGTTATGGGCTTTGGAGCCCGGTTATTGACTAGAACTCGAGTTCCTATTATCAAACTCTGCCAGAAGCCGTCTGAGAAGCTGAAAGCAGATCTGTTGCAGGAACGTACCAAGTGGGAGAACGGATTTATTGGAGGCCCACAGGAGGAGGAGGACATTAATGAACCAGGGCTTGATCCAGAAGCAGTGCTGGAAGATATTGGGAATGTAGCCCCTGAAGGACGCCCTCAACAGACAGAGGAATGTTCCGAATCAGTCGTGGAATCTTACGAAGAAAAGTTGGCCGGTCTCAAGCAGAAGGCTCAGCAGTCGCTTGGCGACTACCATAACGCTGCAAAACGTCTGTTGAAGAATCTCGGCGGTCGAGATGTGACTTCAACGAACTCGAGTACACTCGATGAGGATGAGTTGCGAATCCTCAACGATGTGTGCAAGGCTTTTGTCTCCGGCCTATCATCTCAGCCTCTTGTTTCTCGACTGCAAAGCTATCCCTCGATATCCCCACTATTCGACTCTTCATTACCACCCATACAGCGAACGCTCCAAGGAATAATGCACCAAATCGAGGGAGAGCGGCTATCCATGGCAGTAGACCATCGTCCTCTCACCGAGCAGAGTGATAAACGAGAACATGAATGCTTGATCGCCGTTGCGGCTTGGCAAACCATGCAAAATATGAATAGACCGGTCACGGTTACAGAGTCATTGAGATTCAACAGGGATCTTTACATTGCCCTAGAGAGGATGAAACGAATCAGGTCATTACAGTTGGTCTTTCTTCATCAGATCCAGCATGAGGAACCTGTCTATTATTATGGGAGGGCACAAAAGCTGTTGGAAGACCTGCAAGGTTACAACCGCAATTGGGAGGGCTCAACTGATACTGTAACCCCTATTGTTGTTGCTCATTACCTCGCTGGTATCAGTAACCTAGAGATTCGCCAGGCTTTGCAGAAATCTACCCGCACTACCATGACACTTCAACGGGTTGGGCTGCAGCACAGGGCCTTGCAGCTTGCGATGGACTACGAGAATGCTCTGAAGACTCATATGTATGATGAAGACGATCGTCCCTATATCGAAAACTACATTGCTTTTTTAAGAAGGGTTGATCTCACAGATCCTGCCAGAATCCGTGAAAAGATTCCACAAACAGGTGATGAAGCTAAGCTGATTGCGAAGATTCGATGTCTTCCCAACCCCAAGCCTACCAAATCTCGCGACCGTTACAAGGACCATCTCGAATTTCCAAAATCGGACATTGGTGTACAATGCGATATTAACTTCTCAGCGCATCTTGCGATCCATAACACTTTGTTGCTTCGCTGCTACTCGCGTTGCGATCCTCGTGTGGAGTCTATGGTTTTATTTATCAAGCATTGGGCAAAGGCTAGAGGCATCAACACTCCATATCGAGGCACACTCAGCAGTTACGGCTATGTACTCATGGTGCTTCACTATCTTGTCAACGTCGCCCAGCCCTTAGTCTGCCCTAATCTTCAAGCAGTTCATAAGGACCCAGCTCCACATCTGCCACCAGCTGAAATTGAGGCGCGGAGTATTTGCAATGGCCACGACGTGCGGTTCTGGCGTAATGAGCTAGAGATTAAAAGTTTAGCAGAACGCAAAATGTTGAACCATAACCACGATTCACTAGGATTATTGCTAAGAGGGTTCTTCGAGTATTTTGCGATGAATGGTTCCATGACAACCTTTCACCACAGGTGTTTTGATTGGGGCAGAGACGTCTTGAGTCTCCGCACGCAGGGCGGAATACTATCGAAGCAAGAAAAGGGATGGGTTGGTGCAAAGACCACCATAGAGACCAAGACGGTTGCACCACCGATAGCATCTACTCTCAAGGCCTCTGATAATGATTATAGCGTACCAGCAGGAGAGATTCGCCCGGGAACAGCAGAGGCATCAAAAGTCAAGTCTCCCAATCAAGCCCACATGAAAACAGTTCAAGAAACCAAGGAAGTCCGCCACCGGTTCTTGTTCGCCATCGAGGATCCATTTGAATTAGACCACAACGTCGCAAGGACAGTGACGCACCACGGTATTGTATCTATCAGAGATGAATTCCGACGTGCATGGCGCATTATTCGCGGTGCTGGGAAACCCAACCAAACTGATGGTGGGCTCCTAGATCCCAACGATATCATGGGAGAGGCTACTAAGGATAGCTGGCAAGAGTTGCTAGATCTGATTCACGGACCGACGCCGAAGGCTGAGATGGGAACGGGTGACAGAGGCCCCGAAAAACAATAGAAAACATCCTTATGTGGTATTGTGTTGGCTAAACTGGCAGTATGAATGGGATACATACTGAGCATGCGTGTAGATTAGGTATACAAAATCCAGTACTAATCATCTCCGGTCTCTTATTACATCTTTATTTGTGCGCTTTGATTACTTTGTGGAAACTTATTACTCACATTCTAGCATACGCTGGGGTTTCTTACTGATAACCTGGGGAGGCTAGAGGGGAATACTCCGAAGAGATCAAGGCCATCGCTGGTCATGCGGGCGTGTGATAACGATCAGGCGGCATCTATCTCCTGTACTATACCTCATCAGTCTCGAAATTACCCTCTTAAGATTGTGGCAAGAGTAGGGCGAGCCAGCAAGTCAAGCAGCCCGGCGTGATACCAACGTGACTGGTTAAGCCCTTTCATGTCCCGGAAAGTCGAGTTGACATACCAGCTTGCCTCTATTGAACTCGACTTCAGACCATGGCTTTGGCCGACTACGCTATCGCACCGCCATGATCCCGCTAAACGAGAATTCGTTTCTTACTCTCCTCCATTTTCATCTTGACGAAATGCCTCATCGCTTCGATTTCCTGCTGGGTGAGAAGACCCAACCTCGCGTGGTAAATCCCCTCCTCATTACGCCCGAGCTACCGGACATCTAAGAACTTCCGCCCAACTAATCCTAGCTACATAGCTGACTATCCAAGTCTTAGTCTCCTAGATCTTTCGCATCTGCTATGAAAAAGCAGTTTCCTATCACACGACGGAGCCAGACTCGCCATACCGCCGACGATTCAGGGGGTGGCATACCTCCTCTTCTCTTCGCCTTCTCCAACGAGTAGAAAAGTCTCGAGACGCGGTTCGTACACTTCTATCTAGGAACGGCCAGGCCAATAATCTAGGCTCTTCAAGAGGGACCAATAGAGGGGGAGGGGTGTCGAACGAAAATTGTTCTAGTAGGGAGTTCATATTCTAGACGATAGGCCCCCTAGACACGGAAAAGGGCCCGTCTTTATCCTAGATGGGCCTAATTCGCGAGAATATCAAGGCAGGCAACTACAGTACAATGTTGGCCATCTACTGATAGAGAAACTGAAGCTTTTGCTCATTGATATTAGGATCCAACGTATGAAAAGCATCAGGCTTAAGGGTGGGGTCATTAAGGGCTCAGACATTCTTCTCTCATGTTCAATATAATCTAATGACGGATAGACCTGGGCCGGTGGGATTCTCGGGTCCAGTTTCGAAGTAAGTAAACCTCGCCGTTATACCGCATCGTGGCCACCTCATAGCGGACATTCTCCTCGGGGAACTTGATAGTACCTGCTCTCGCTTAGTAGATTCCTCCATGGACTGAGGTGTCGTCCATCTAGATATCTTTGTAGTGCACCACCGACGGGCCGTCATTATACTCTAGGTGGTACAAAATGCTGTGCCGCCCTCGGATCGGCCTGTGAAGCTCCACGGCCTTGCCTGGCCTTTATTCTTGATGATGTTGGCGATAGTAAGATACATCTCCCCCTTGTGGAGTGGACCTCTCCCACGTCTTGGCCTCATCGTCGCTTTTCTCCCCGGCAGGGTCGTCCTTGGCCATGAGAAGGTATCTCGGTCTAGGCGACATAGCACACTATTCGATCAACAATAGCCAAGATTGGGCCGATGAAGTTGGGAATTGAAATATTCATACGTAATAAAATCGATCGATATATTTTCCCCGGTTCTTCTTCTTGTTGACTCTAAGCGCAGATACTAAACGACTAGAATTTTCCACAAACCCTTTGTATCTCGATAGAAGATGCATCAAGGTCCAACTTTTCATGTCGCTGGTGCCGAAGCCCACTGCCGCTACAATGCTGGAACTCGCATGATGCACACCACCGGATATGACGGATTATATGATTGGCACATATTACATCCAGTCTATACGAGGGGAGCTCCAAAGCATGTCGGGTCGCACCAAACAATAATCAAAGGAAGGAATCGGGAAAACCATTATCTTGAGGTGCTCCGTGATGTATCGAGTATGTAGGATGACGACGGGGCGAAAAATGTACGGCTGATAGGTGAGATTCCACGAAATGGAAGGAGAACGATATGAATATATAAAGGGCATGTGAGTACTAGCAAAGAAACAACAACAAATACCAAGCATCAGATTCAAACATCACCACAAAACATCAATTCACAATATACGCAAAAAAACACAACACGATGCCAGCGCTAATCATCGAAGAAAGTCAGATACCAGCGCCCCTCCAAACCATACCTTCAAAGTCTCAAAACAAAGACAATACACTCGACCACATAGTCCACTCCCGCCACTCAACTCGCAAGTTTCTTTCCACGCCCATCCCAAAATCAATCCTGCTCGCCGCCCTAGAACTCGCCCAGCAAAGCCCCTCGAACTCCAATATCCAACCGTGGCGCCTAACAATCGCCACAGGCGCTGCGCGGGACAGCCTGCGGACAGCCCTCCTCGCTGCAGCAAGCGTCGATCAGCCCAACATTCCTCCCCTCCCTCAACCATTCACGCACTACCGCAGTGAACTCGGAAAACAAGTCTATGGCGAGGGTATGGGCATACCCCATTCCGATGTTGAGGGGCGGAGAAAGGCTGTGTTGAGAAATTACGAGTTCTTCGGTGCGCCGACGGTGGTTATTGTCAGTATGGACAAGCGACTGGGGAGTGCGGATAGTTTGAGTGTTGGGATGTTTTTGCAAACGTTTTTATTGAAGTTGACAGAGGACGGAGTGGGGAGTTGCGTGGAAGTTAGTATTGTGGGGTATCCGGAGGTTGTGAAGCGGGTATTGGGGATTGGGGAGGATATGGAAGTTCTTTGTGCGGTTGCGGTTGGATTCGAGGATACGACGTTTAAAGCAAATGGGCTGAGGATTGGGAGGGAGAGGATTGATTTTACAACGACGTGGGTAGAGGAGTAATAGATGCAGAGGTGGGCTTTAGGTGCTTGGTTAGCGTTTGGGGTTCGGTAAACTGGTAATTGAAATATGGCGTTTAGATAGGATGAAAAATTAGACTCTAGAGGATAAAGTTATAATTAATGATAATAATACCTAGAATTAGCAAGTACATCTTGTGGTAGTATTCATGGCATGTGAATAAACGCTTCTTTAGTTTGCAGGAAGCCAAAGCAATTTGTAGATATGTATACTATACCTCTCCACCTGCAGCCACAGCCCAGTAATATTTCAAATGCCATTCCAAGATTTCCTAAGAACTACCCAGGCATGGGAACTTTTTGATAAACGGCATTATATGATAGCTCCGGAATATCAAAATAGATGTGTTGGATCGAGAGTGACGTACCCTGTCCTCAATTGCCTGGATTTTAACTCTGATTGCTTGACAATGACTGGAAACTGGATCTTAAATTGTTTCGCCATTACGGTAGGAGATGTCTACATTGTATGGCAATCTCAGATGAGCCAGACGTAATTGGTGTTGGAGACCGTATGTTCCCAAAATGTACCATGAGGAAGTGGAGCTTATTATTTATAGGCCCTACACGTTTGGATCAAGGGCCGCCGGGTAATACACATTGTGTACACTCTGTGCAACAGCTACGTGCGTTTCCCGAAAATTGCCCTCAGCAATTCTGCCACCACTCCAGGTAACGCATGTATCAGAGTTAGACCCCAGAAGCTGCCTCAGCCAGCCTCCTACACTGCCTTTCAAGTGACTGTTGTGCCCGACCATGGTGCTCAAGTTGGGCATTTCTTGGGGTTTGAGGTACTAGAATACGTTCACACCACATCGGGAAATAGTGCAGCCAGAAGCTCAACCCTCAAACTCTTCTAGCGGCTTCGATAGAGCGCTCTATGATGGCAACTGATGCTCCGGAGAAGATCGGAGACTCAATGTGGTTTCAGCCACAGCGCCGAGGCAAGTGTCACTAGTACCCAGCTGTTTCTGAACAAGGGGGGCTAAGGCAAGACTTCTATTAACAAAAGAGAGGGCCAAGGCTCATTTATTTCCGCTACTAATCCTCCATCAGCGTCTAACCTCTCCCTCCATTAACTGCCTCGGTATGTCAAACATGGACTGCTCCTAACTAGCAGGCTGTTCTTTCTCTATCTTCGCCACTAGCTCTGCATGTCCGGCGCGGGTACCAATCTTCCTGGCCCGGTCGATCGTTAGTACAACTATATACATGCCACCGGGGGGTTCTTGGTTCCTGGGTCGAGGGTATCGCCTCAATCAGGTGGCCTAGCTAAGAACGTGTAGGGCGGCGTGGCCCAGTCTAAGCCTGACGATTAGCAACTTGGTACTCGTTGAGCTCCTCAAACTGCCGATTTACTTTCTTATTGCGGAAAAGGAAGCCGAACGTTAATACTGATCCGGCCTTAGCTAGCAACGGCCGGTCATCCGCCTCGTCTTGCCCTTGCAGTTCAGTCCTGCCATCCTGCGCCAAATAGACGTGGTAGCTCTTGGGCAGATAGCGGCCCGGATTCCATACATTCCATAGTACAGAGTTTATGAGCATGAGGGTTGCCTCAAAGACATAGAAGAACCACTCATACCGCAAAATGGGACTGAGGGTCATGAGTGCTTCGAGGTCATCGAGCCGGACTATGGCGTTGCCCAGGTGTTCCACCAGGCGGTAGATGCAGCGTATCAAGATCAATGACATACTTATGTACAGCGTGATCAGGGGAGTCGAGACAGCCTTAGCGTGTATATTGGCTTTAGTGCATCGCTTGTGGAAAATGGCCGCGAGGACGATGAAGATCACGATAACGCCGAGTTGGATCGCAAGCGCGGCTATTATCAAGTTTCTTCCCAATTCTTGATGCGACGATGACCGGTTGGAGGTGAGGGCTACCCCTAAAGCGTTCAAGGTCTCGACAAGTGCCATTAGAGCACCGAAAGTGGATAGAACTCTGCCCGGAGGAAGGGGTGCGGAGTATGGCACGTAGTAGAATATTCGACCGAGGACGTGGTAGTTGGCGAGTTCAAGAAGCGGACTATGTAGTGGTACAGGATTAGTAGGCACTCAATGGCATTGTCTCTGTTGGATGTATTACTCACGGGCACATGAATATGAAGACCTGGCTGAAGATGTAGATGATCAGGTTCTGAGAGGTATACAAATAGTTGAAGGCTCCGTATTCCCGCAACGCATAGCCGGCAGTAAACAGCACTGCACAGAACGGGTGTAGTCCGATCAACTTGAAGCATTTGTAGCGACTGATCGTGGGTGTCAGGAGGTGTGATTTTGGTATAGCACGGACGATGATACACTTACTAACACTGCCAGATATGGCCGACCGCTGAGGCAGCGAACGCAACGGTGAAGAAGATGGATGCTATTCTGTTAGGAGCGTAGACGTAAAGGCTCCCCGGGACTAGGATATGTTAATAGAGATGCTGCAAGTAGGATATTCGAAGGACTTACCGGGGGTTCCGTCCGCCATCTTGGACGTTATGCTGGGGTGATGTTCACAAATGTGAAAGTTGGACGGTAAGGAGATGTTATATAGTACGAGTCAGCACTCGCTTGAAAACACCGGGCTTGAATTATACGGAAAAGAGGATAGGTAGGTAGGGCTAGAAGCCAACTCGAATAATGAACAGCAAAAGAGGTCAACGACTCGATATAAATGAAATCATACTTCTTACCTCCTTATAAATACTATAATATAATCTTACGCCTCTGCTACTCAATCGACAGCCAAGAACCGACTGCCTGATCAATGCTGCGGACACGCGTGTTGCGTTGCAATAACCTCGCGGCATCGTCAGTGAGGACTTAGCCCTTGGTATCTAATAAGCTGTGACGGTGCTTACTCCTTACTTCTTACTCGAGTCGAGTAATAAGGGGGGAGAAAGCTGGTGAAGCCGAACACGCGTGTTAGGTAAGCAGGGTATAACGCTACTGGATGCCAGCGCGGTCCCCCCTGCTCCTGCTGACCGAATGATTACGTAGCGTACCTAGTGAAGGTAGTGGCTTATGTGTAAAACCATAGATAGCGCCTTCAGGTTTGGATGGCTACAGGTACTTTGTGATAGAGCTGGTCTGAGGAACATATCCAGCATACGTAGTATGGAGCCTTTGGTCGACTTATATCCGACATTGACGCGTTGAAGGAGGGGCAGCCACAGTAGCTCATCCTTGCTAGCCAAACCGCACGAAGCAGTGCGAGCACCCCTATTCGGCTATTTCTCTACTCCAAGCAACAAAGTCGTTCACTTTTCCGCCTTTAAATCTTGCGGCCATATGCTTCGTCGCAGCCACAAGAAGTCATGGGGAGGCTGCGTCCAATGGTGAGTCGTACAGAAGTGGTTCCCCCTTACTCGTAGGCATTTGCTGATCTTGGTTAAATAGCAAGCGACGACACGTCAAGGTAATGCTCTCTGATGGTATCATGGTCCGCCCATTGTCATGACTAACCTCGAGTCTTCCCAAACCATCAGTGCGATGAAGGCCGCCCGGTATGTCTCCTATGCACCATGTCAGGGCGGGATTGCAGCTTTGCATCCCAAGCCTCGCCAGAGAACCGCTCGACATCTGGTGCATCTTCTCATGAGCGGTCCATAAGCCCAGGCGACAACCATAGCCAAGGTGGTTTTACGCTCCACCATGCCACCCCCTTAACTGCCACCTCCATTTCCAATTCCGACTCGCCGGAACCACCAAGTATCAACAAAACCAACAACCACCAAGACCTGACACTTGATGGGGCTATCAACTTCAACCACATGGAACTTCTCATCCACGCGATCCACGACAAGGAGCTGTTCAACCTCGGCGACCGCGTTAGCGACTACTCGGCCAGCATGTCACTCGCCCTCAAGAGAGGCCTCAAGTCGCCATATCTTTTGCATCAGCTGCTGGCGTTCTCCGCCCGCCACCTAGCATTCCTGCATCCTGAGTGTTCCGCCTCCTACTTCCACCAGGCCGTCGCCTTGCAAACTCGCGCCGTCTCACTCTTCAACGCCGCCTGGACCGGGGTAGACGAGTCCAACTGCGTCGCCATACTCCTCTTCTCGGTAGCTCTAGGGCACCACCTCCTCGCCGACACCCTCGCCAAGCGGGATCCGGGCGGTTTGGAGGGATTCATGACCCATTACGTGCAGTGTATGGAGATGCACAGGGGCATCCACACCATAGCCACAACCGCGTGGCCACAGCTGATGGAGTCGGAGCTCGAGTCGGTCCTGTCGTTCAGCTCGGGGTTCGCTTCGAGGAAGCCAAGAGGTAACCAGTGCCAGCGGATCAGGGAGCTGGTGGACGGCGCGGACGGGCTGGTGGAGGAGGATAAGGAGACATGTCGGCTGGCTATTCGGTACCTGCAGGTCGGGTTCGATGCGCTGTTGGCGGAGGAGGAGGAGCAGGGAAACCGATACCAGATGATCTTCGCGTGGACGATGCTGGCGCCGCCAGAGTTCACAGGCTTGTTGGCTGCTAAACGCCCCGAAGTTTTGGTCCTGCTGGGGTATTATGCCTTGTTGCTGCATTACGGAAGGGACATGTGGCAGGTTGGGGACGCAGGGGCGTACATATTGGGAATTATCGTGGACTATCTCGACCCTAAGTGGCATCATTGGCTGGAATATCCACGGGAAATGGTAGTTAACGTTCTCGGACACTAAGCTCTTTAATCGCGTTCTGGCGAGCTTCTGTCGGCTTGTAGCACTCACTCATGCTTGACGATGTTCGCTTGCTAAAATCGCCCAACAGATTGGATTAGAAGCTGCAGAGGTGAAAACCAGGGCCTTCCTAAATACACAGCAAAAACCGCTATAAAGGCAATACTCGGCGAGATGCTTCAGAGTTTCCAGCTTGTAGGGAGTGACACCAATATGTATTATTTTGTACATTGAAAAAACGTATTAGCCCAACTCGAATGTGGAGGGAAGAGTATGGAAAGTGACTTACCCAAGTCACGGTTCCAATGGCACGTCATATATGCCTTTGGTGTAACCCAGGTCGCCCTGTGGAATGGGATTGCCGTCGATACCTGTATCACCATCATCAAAGCTGTTCTCGTCGGCATATATCCTCCTGCCTTCCACTGTCATCTTCCTAGGCATTTTTAGTAGTGGCTATTGGCTAGCTGAGACAAACCAGAAGACAGCTAGAAATTGAGAAGATAAATATAGATGTAGAGATCAGGTACGAGGTTCAAACTGTGGGCAGCTGCTGAGAAGGGCGAAGACTCACAATAACTCCAAACGAACAGCCAGGATGGAAAGTCAGCCATGAAATAAAGGTAGGCAGAAACTGGGCTCTATCGGCGGACTCCCTAAATAGGTGGAGTGAGTAACTGGTGAGGCCAACTTTTGGGAAACGCAACAAGTCAATCAATAGAGTTCCAGCTCTCCGCAACACTCTGGCAGTACTCGAGTAGTCGGTCAGCCGGCACAACCTCGCTACCAACTTCAGCAGGTATATATATTCAAATAAGAAAAAAGCATTTATCGACAACCTGGCTCTTTAAGACACTCCCCACAAGTGTCACACGACACTCATATCGAAGAGAAATATAACTAGGTCTAGCGACGCCCACGAAGCGGCAGAAATTAGTTGGCCGTAGGCACAAACTCTTTTGCCATTTTCATCTTTGTAATTTTGAAGGCATTAAAAGAGCTTTATCCAAAGACTTCCTTTGGGGCTTTTTTGGGCTTTTTCAAAGATCGCTTATATCGCTACAGTAGTAACCCACTCGTTTACCATAACTTTTGTCGTAAGTGACTGAGGCAAGGCACCTAGCTAGGTACAAGGTAGGTACTCATTTGCTCTATGATGATAAAACATTAGACCTTTGGCATGCTTGTCAACGATACGACGCTGAAGTGTACTGTACACCAAAGTACAATATCACATTGAGCCTCACCAGTAAACTTTTAAAGGTTGGACGTAACACCCACTAGGATAGTTGTACGAGTTGCTTTAGAGTGGCTAAAAACTTTCCTTTCTTAACATGCCTTAAGGTACGTATGTCCGAGGTTGCTTGCGGTTGGAACATGGAAGTTGCTCGCAAACGAGATAATATGGGGGGGGCGGTAAAGAGTGGCAGAATGAATTGACTTGGCCACATTCGGAATGTTGTTGCCCCTCCAAATTTCTCGGAACTCTGGAAATGCACAACAGAACTTGCACATACTAATAAGAATAGACACGATGCCGACAGAACTAGAGGAGGTAAGTCCAAATATATGGCGCTGATATCTATCTACCGCTAACATATCAGTAGCTTGTGGACTTTATATCCCACGGCAACACAGAAGTGCGACAGCTTGGTGAGTTCCCTTGCGACCCCGCCGAACGAACAAGCAAAATATTGATACAATACGTTTTTGCGCCTCAGCTGTCGAAAACCTTGTTCCATATTCCCTCTCGCAGCCGTCAATTTTCAAAACCAATGAGCTGCTCCCAATCAAAGATCTCAAGCTATTAGTGAGGGATTACAAGGTCTGCTTCACCTGAAACTCTCCCAAATAGCCAGGCTGATTTTGTGTCCAGCAAATAGCCAAAGATGCCATCACAATTTTGATAAATCTGTCAACGGATCGGGAGATCTTGGAGGATCTTGCCTCAGACAAGGAGTTTATTACATCGATGCTAGGTCGTCTGACAGTATGTCAGTCCTCCTTCCTGCCATTTTCACCGGCCCTTGCTGACGTTGGACCAATTTTAGAATCCTGCAGAGCCAAATGCGAACCTTCTATCGATGCTTCTAGCAAACCTCGCAAAATGGGATGATCTAAAATATATCCTAACTCTCGAACGCCCTGCGCCAGAAGAACTCGGCTCCAACAACAAAGCCATCGACCAACTGCTTGACCTATTCGTAAAAGGCGCAGAGGGAGCCTACAACAAAGCTGCCGATTACGATTACCTCTCATACCTCTTCGCCGACATAGCCAAACACGCCGAAGGTCGCCAATATTTCCTCACGAAACAAGATTACGATAGTGTCGTACCCCTCACGAAACTCACAGTCTTCACCGAACACAAATCTGACATACGGAGGAAAGGCGTCGCAAGCACAATTAAAAATGTAGCGTTTGAGATTGATTCACATCCCTCGTTCCTGGCTGAGGATGAAATCAATATCCTGCCCTATCTGCTACTGCCGATCACGGGGAATGAGGAATACGACGAGGAGGACACAATGGCCATGCTGCCTGATCTGCAACTTCTGCCCCCGGATAAGCAGCGGGATTCAGACCCTAGTATCATTCAAACGCATGTGGAGACACTGATGCTTCTGACGACGTCGAGGCAGGGGAGGGATGTGCTTAGGGAAATCAAGGTTTACCCAATAATTAGGGAGACGCATCTGAAGGTAGAGCATGACGGACTTAGGGAGGTGTGCGAGAGATTTGTGCAGGTGCTAATGAGAGATGAGGAGGGAGAGGAGAAAGTTGACGAGGGAATGAGGGCATTGTCGAGAACTTCTATGAGCAAAACTCAGGGGCATGGGGGGCCAGGAAGCTGGGCTCATCAGGATGAGGAAGAAGACGACGACGATGATACGATAGAAGAAGTCTAGTACTTCAAACAAAAACAGTTTCCCCGCCATCTATTTTCTTTCGGTGCATATAATCCAAAATTAGAAAACTCTTGTTGCAAATCTTCCGCCTCGGAATCCTCGATGGAGGAGAATGGGTATGTCTTTTCCGATGATTTTAGAAGCACTAAGAAGCCCATAGATTTACGACCAACACCCTTGACTATTGAAAATAGTTAGTCGAACCAATATAGACACATAGACTCTAGCACCAACAACACAAACCTCAAAACAAACGTTCCCCCTTCCGGAACGGTGATGCCTAGGAGAGGGGCAAATCACAGGAATCTCAATACTACTTGAAGGGATATTTCGGCGTAATGTGAGATATAAGAATTATCAATTAATTCGAGCATAAAGCCGCTCTTCGTCTCCCTAATTATATTTCTGTTATCATTTGCCTCAGATTGAATAACTCATCTTTTTACAGCTCAGCTCAAAACAAAACTCTTACTAGTCCCGGAAAACTCTGTTATCTTCCCCGTAATTGGTGCCTTCGCATCCCCATAATACCTCAATCTATAAGTCCCGGGAGTCGCATAACTCTCTGTTTCCCAACTAACAACCACATGACTACTCCCCAGCAACCCATCATCTCTATACCAGCTATACACCAAAAACCAGTCACTGTCATCACGGACTTGGACCCAGTTTCCGTTGCTCTGCTGCGTTTCAACGGCCGCAAAAGTTCCTTCGAGACGAAGGTTATTGCGTGGATTTGCGCCTATAAAGGATGCGTTTACAACGGCGCCGCGGGTGTAGGATGAAGAGGGCTGAGAGAGCACGGCACCGAAGGATTTTAGGATTGGTGGGTTGTCGTATACAACGGGCGCGATGAGGTCGAGAGAGTTACGGCGGTTATCAGGGGGGCTAGGGCCTGGGGCTGGCTGGCTAGACGAGGACCCGGAAAGGTATTTGATATTGCTTGTTGAGAGATAGATGTAGGCGTCTAGTTCGTTGGGGCCGTAGAGTGTGGAGGCCCCTTCGTAGCGTTGAACGCCATATTCTTCGCGTGTCGTGAGATAGTGAGCATATGTGTTTGCCGGGCCGCCGAGAACTACTTTGGGAGCTGTAATCGTGATTGAAGAGTTTATTGCTGCCGCTGCCACGGAGCTTTTCCAGCGCCTACCGGACATGGTTGTTGCTTCACTTGGGCTGACTACGATGATGAATTGACCCACGCGGAAGCTTTGAACGTCAACGATGTTGGGGGTCCAGGCGTAAGGCTCCGTAAGTTCTCCCACATCAAGGAGGATGGGTTTTGGGCTCTGGCACGCCTTTTGTTGCGCATTTGGGGCCTTGATGACAGATGAGACGATTACCCAGAGGGGATTTTGGGAGTTGGTGTCGTTGTCGTTTTGGGTGAAGTCAAAAGCACCTGGACCATCGCTGGTACCCGCAGCAAAAGAGTATCCCAGTGCTGCCGGGCAGGTTTGGACAGTGTTTCCATTTGGAAGTGGAAAGCTGAAATAACTCATATCATTGAACGTATGATAGAATTTGACGCTGGTATCCTGGACTGGGGTTGCAACGGTATCGAACGAGTCCTATTGAGACATTAGCTTCCTTGAAGCATTATAAAAAGGATCATTCTATTGCTTACATATAGAGTTTTCGCGGCAGCATAGACTCGGCGGCCAATCTCATAACAGCTTGATACTCCCAAATCCACCTTCTGAAATTCAGGACCTTGCAATTAATTAGCGTAGTATTAAATTGCCTCAACATGCCCTACCTCTTCCATGGCACGCCTGGCTCTTCCCTCCGCAAGTGCTGTTTTCCAATGTGCACATTTGGCCCGACCCATCGTCACACCAGGCTCCTAGGACATTTGGCGTGGTGTCGCCCACGCTGCTTTGACTAAAGGCGGCCACGAAACCTGGAGCTGCACTAGCGTCGCTGGCCATTGCTTTTTCAAACAAGTACGAGCTGAGCCCTTTATTATCTGGAATTGAAATCAGCATCCCGTGCTTGAATTTATACAAGAGACTTGCCTCCTGTTACATGTGTGTTGTTTTCTAGCATGGAGGTCCCGTGAACGCTATGCCTATTCGAAAGTGTTAATCACTTGAAGATTCAATCGACCAGCATATATCCATAACAGCAAAATCGTCGTGGGATGTATCGGGAGCTCACCATGCGAGAATGCCTGTATTCAAGCCATCCGAGGCACGCTTAAAGCGGAGAACAGTAATCGTCTTATCTACGTCATCTGGATACTGAGCTCGCTCCTCAGCTGGGTTGGCGAGATAGGCCCATAGACTCCGGTTGATATTGGCATCTGAGACAGTTGTATCCGCATAGCTGAGATATCCAGGGCTCAAGCTTTGGTGCGCGCGCTTGATTGACAGAACAGCACCATCCACAATAGCTTGATAGCTTTGCGGAGAAAACCCGAGGGAAGTAATTTGTGGCAGAAGATAGTTCAACCACGCTCCTGGGCCAGAGTGCTGATGGGTTCCAGTTACTGCAACATTACTCTGACCGTACACGGAATAATCACCCCCCAGAGCTGCTAGACCTTCTAAAATACCATTTCGAATAGCGGTATCTCCTGACTGGGTGTCAAGAACTAGGTATACGAAACGATCACTTGGCTTGTCCTTGTTTCCAACGATGAACGCTCGGGAGTAGATTCTCTGACGAAGGCCAGACCCTGTATTTCCAAATCAGTATCGCCTGATGGGAAGTCGAGGGACAAGACGAGAGTATAAAAAAGACGAGCATTCAAATCAAAAAGGAATGAAGTAGTGAAGTTGCATATATGCCAGAAAAATTGCGAGAAAAAGAAGAAAAAGAAATACCTATTTGAGACAGACTGGCATATCCCATAAAATTTAACTCTACCACAGGACTGCACTTTCCATTAACTAGAGCGCTTTTTGACAATGATCTTTTGTCATGCCGCTTACCCAGTAATATCGGCTTTCCCTACGCCTAGGAGATATTGGTCACCCGTTGCTCTTGTTAGATGCTCACGGAATGCTTCTGAATCGTCGACCCGCGGCTCGGTAGCAGAGGTAGAGGGGGTCCATAGCGCTGCCGTCCCCAGGCCCGCTAGTACCAACGTCAAGAATAGCACTGATAAAAGAGTAGCCAAAAATGCGTTGCTCCGCCTTAGAGTTTTGTCCGGGCCATCTTGAGGGCCAGCTTCCACCTTCTCCTGCGCCGGAAGCGCGACGTACTCTGCACGGTTTAAACGAGCCATGGCAGCAGAATGAGTGCACTCGGAAAAAGAAAGGCAATGCTGGGATCGCCTGATATTATAAACAGAAACTTTGGCAGGTCAGGCCCAGGTACTTCGTACGACCGGGCCTTTCATTGGTAACCTGGGAACGGGTTGCCGGCCGATCTGTTGACTGCTTCATACTGTATGCGCACACGGCACATTGCCTCCTTCGAACATCGTACTGGGGTCAAGTTGGCACTCGTCCTGTAGCTTGGTGGTGTCTGGCTCAGAGGCTAAGGTATGTGTGTTTACTTCGTGATCCTGTTCGGGGCGGGGCGCCGTTAATATCGAGGGGGATCGGCGCTCCTTCCTGATTCAACACCAATCAGGCGGACACTGGCCCTGGCAACAGAATGCAATAAGAATCATGGGATTGAGATTCGCATGGATTGGCGCATCGTGACATCGTCTCGCTGTTTGGCGCTGCAGACACAATGCTCAGTCGCCGTGGTCCGTTGCCTGCTGGCTGAAAGTGTAACCCGCGCCCGGAATTTGCAATCTGGCATTGATCCAATCATCTGCGCTAGCTGTGCCTTAACCTCATACCTTATACCTCATACCTCATAGCCAATTTTCGTGCGTTGACCTTCCGACCGCCAAATCGTCAGATACCAACAGATTCGGGGCTGTGGCTTTTCAAAATATATCCTACTTTTTTTCTGGCTTCAGTGCCATCTCAGGTACCCGGGCTGCCGCCAGGTCAGGAACCGTTATTTCATAGCGGTCTCAACCCGTTGCAACCAATACCTTTGTTGTCCTAGAGCCGCATCTGAACCCCATATTTAGTCGCGGAAATATATGKTGATGTTTCTGTTCAGAAAGCTAAGCCCATCGTCCAACCCAGAGCAGGAAATCACCAATATAGTAATAGTTCAATCCGCGTTCGATGGCCGGCTCAAGAGCAGTCAAATACCCCGTCCGAGTTTCAATATCCAGATCAAATGCGTCGCCATTTTCTCTCCATCATACCCCTCATACATCGTTAATCGGTGTTTTCTTTCTAGAGAGGCCAAGGAAGGTTGGCAAAGCGCGAGCTCAAATGCGTTGCAAAATCATCACCAGGCTTGTGCCGTCTCAGCAAGTTCCACTGAATTACCCACAAGAAATGAGTTCCCTTCTATCCTGCATGGCTGTGGGCATTTTCACAGGTGCCATAATAGCGCTGGAGTATATTTGCCTCGCCAAAAAGGCTTCTCAACCCGATCCAGCAAACGCCTTGAGACCTGACAGTTCGTATCTCACTCCACCAAACGCCGGACAAATATTCCCACCCAATATCCTCCATTTTCATCCAGTCAAAGCAACATCGCATCACTCCTCCTCCTCCTCCTCCACTGCATCGTCCGCTCGAGCTCGCTTCCCACCTCCGCTCCTCCTCTTCCCCCTCAGGTATTCCTCTGTAGTCGTAACTGCCTGTTGCCCAACATAATGCTCGCCATCCCATTCGGTCTCGCATTTAGGGCAGTGCTTACTCTGCCTGGAATTCCAGTACGCAACCTCGCAGATATTATGAAGCCGAACGTTGCACTCCATGTTCGAACACCTCTGACCAACCGTGGCAATCTCCTTGCAAGCTTCGCAGAACTTAATTCTTTGCCACTCGTCAGGGTCGTCCGAATCGTTATATGCGTCGACCAGCCAGCTTCGTAGTTCCATCAGTGCCCTGGGAGAAAGCCTGTAGAAGCCCTGCGGACTCCTCTCAAGCCACTTCTCCTCCTCGAGTTTCAGCAATAATCTCTCGGCCTCTGCTCCTGTTAAGCCTTTATCAACAGCAGTTACGCTTTCGCCCTCGTCGGCACGGTTCGCTCCCCTAAGAAGTTTCTTCTCTAGGGCTTGGATGCTGGTAATTGCCATCACCTCCCGTCGCCTTGTGTTGTAGGTCTCGAACATAGCATCGAGAAGTCGTTTGATATATAGCATCTCTTCCGTCGTCCTTACTGTCGCCAACTGCGTCAGTGGGTCGCTGATACTATTAACTATGGCATATATCCGCTCTTTGGTGACTTGATGCTGCGAGTTGCGGATTTCATAGTCTAAAGGCGAGAGTGCATCGGCTGCGGCAGAGATGTAGGAGTCGAAATCTTCTTGTGTCACTTCATCGGCAGAGACCTCCTTATCTAGCATAAAGTTCAGCTATATATCCACAAACTGTTATAGGGAACTGACCTTCTTGAACGCTGAAGATAGCTGCGAGGATTTTCTTGCTTTCCTGGAAAGACAGCTGCCCACGAGCCATGAATGCCTGGAGAAATGCGCGGTTGCCATCACTGTAGTTACCATGCGGATCGTCATCGTCAATATCCATTGTTAGAGATGGTCGATGTGGTGGCGTAGGAGCAGTTGGAAAAGCCAAAAAGTCGCTGAAAGACGCGTTGAAAGTGGCGTCGGGACGCGTTCAGATTAGATAAGGTTACATACTTGAGGGTTTCCATCACTCTTCACGGGCCAGCTAAATGATAGCATTTAACTATGACTGTGAGTTCTATGGTCAGTTAGTTAGAGAAACTATGGTTTAAAAGTTTTCCATTTCTGTACTTGTGGTTCTATCACTACAAACTATGGGTTGTAGGGGTTTCCAGGGTTGGTACTTTCTACTGCTCCACCCTACTGAAGGGCTTGGGGCTTGTTTTCTGCGAACAAAGCCCCTGAAACGCCGCCTCCCATTCCTAATCTTGCCTCCTTAAAATACGCCAAAAATGCCGCTCAACCTAACCGTTTAAATAGGATATCTCGTACGAGGTCCCAGCCCGCTTAATAACCATCTGAAAACTGTCTCAAAATTTAGAGGGCGGCCTCCATTTCAGACAAGGCCATCGAAAACCGCTATGCTGTTAGGCATCGTATCCACCATTCACAATCAGTAGCCAGCGCTAATAAAAGCATCGCTAGCAAAGCCTGTGAGATCGATTTTTGAGACCAAACGTACGTAGCCTTTAACATTTAGAGTCTTTAATGTAATAGCGCTAGAGGATTGAGTTGGGGGCAGGTGCACTGGTGGTATTTATACATTGTATATTAATCAGAGTCCGGAAATAGACGCATATGCTTCATGTCGAGTCGCCGTCAAGGTCATTAGACGAATAATGATGAAGGAACATATCCCCGAAATATGCTCATCTCAATTGTCAACCTCGAGGCAATGGTTAAATCAACTACTCAAGTGCTTTCTTCTGTCATAAAATTTCTACGTTGGAAAGAAAGAAATAGGACCGAATCCATACCGTTTAGAGGATCTGCCATGCCTTTAATTTTGCTCAAATGACAGAATCTTCAACAGACAACTGTACTAAATATCATGGTAACTAAAACCAACAAGATTCTCCATTGTTGCTTCTGTTGCCTTCTATATGATAAAACGGAAATATATATCGAGAAGAGTGATAACCGTAGTGTTTGTTTATTAGTACATTGAATATAAAGCACAATATAAGCAATCGAATTCCTCAATAGTCGCGTGCTTGATCAGAGCTTCCTGCTTTTGGAAAATCATTGAAGGTTGGCGAATTTGCATATCAGTCAGTCTTCACGGTCACCATGTTCTTATCTGCACAAGCAACATATTAGCCTGTTATTTCCCAGTCATTCCAAACAATTGACGAGTTATAAAACAAGCAGCCAGGTAATGTTTCCCAAGTAGTGTAATAGCAGCACCAAAGCTGCTAAGGGAAGTAGCACACTTACAAAAAGCAACATAGTTCTTAATATCCTTCGCCTTCTCAAGAGGCTCCGGATAATACCACGCCGCATTCTTCAACTCCGTTTCTAGATATCATTGAAATATCGTCAGCAAGCTCTTGGCAAAACATGTCCTGGCCATCGAAATAGCGACGTAGGGGCGACAGAAATCAACTCACTATCAAGATTAACGTTATAATACGAAGCATCCCCCTTCCATGGGCAGTGCGTACTATGGTCGGTTTTGCTGAGGTATGACATGTTGACTGAGCTATAAAGTCCAGTGATTAGCCAAATACGAAATATCCGTAGCTCAGCACTACGAATTTCGATGGATTGATAGATCTCAGATTGACATACGAGGCCGGGAACTGCGGTTCATTATCAGTGATATATTTTGTGTTCAATTCTGATTTTCGGCTTACGTAGACATTTCCTTCTACAAGTTCATACTCGTCTGTTTCGGCGATAGTGCGGCCTGAGACTGTGGCGGTGGCTTTTCCCTTCACCATTATGTGAGCTGAACCAAGTGCTTTTGTTCGATTCAAATATGGGATATGCTTTTGTAGATTGCAATTATGGCTGTGTATTGGTATGCTTATCAATGGGGTCGATGGGAGACGGCGAGTCGAGTGGGTTGGGTTGTGCGGGGTAGAAATGGGGGAAGACGATGACAACATCACGTGTGCTTAAGTGACCCCAATAAACCAACGTTAATATAATACCTAAGGTAAAGTACCTTATGATAGGAAGCCGAAACCTTGATGGTCGGTGATGAACAGAATGTGAATTTATCAATTTCCTGAGATCTATGGCTTCAAGCTTACCGGAGAATACTCTCCAGCCGCTGTCCTTCTCGAATATTATTCGGACTTTTCAATGCGTTGAGAGTTTACTCGCTATAGATAGACGACAAGGTATAGAACAGGGAATAGCGAAAACTTGCTTTGAAACAACATAGAAGATCTATATTCGGCGGAAGACCAACTTATCAAACCCCCTGGGGAATATATTTAACCACGACTTATTTTGTGGCGCCATTGCTATGTTGAGCAACTTCCTCTCCAACCCCCTCGCCCTTTCCATGCACGACGGCCCCGTTAACGGACCCATTGCTGCTTTTGCTGTCTCGAATCTCCTCTGTGGTGGCCACTAAAATATCAAATGCCTTTCGCAAGTACTTTTCCTCCGCCTTCGGATTGGCACTGACTACCCGGATGGCATAGATACCTGCCACAACACCTGATGTTAGGTATATCTCTCCCCTGCGGTTCACCAACTCATACACCTCCTTAGTGAGCTCGTTCTGTTCGGCTTTGCTCCCGGCTGGAAGAACAGCCCTGAAGACGGTCAACGCAAAACTTGGTCCGGTTAAAATCTCGAAGAGATCTTGCCTCGACTTCAGTAGCCCGGCAAATAACTCGCCAAGCTTTATGTGGTTCCGGATATGCGCTTGCAAGCCATTAATGCCGTAGGTGCGTAGAACAAACCATATTTTCAGACTCCTGAATCTTCTCCCTAGGGGAATTTGCCAATCTCGATAATCCGTCACCAAGCCACTCTCCGAGAACTCGTTTCGGAGGTAGCTTGGCATGATGGATAATGCGTCGATTAGATCCTTTCTCTTCTTAACATATAGACATGAAGCATCAAAGTTCGTGAGTAGCCACTTGTGCATATTCATATCAAACGAATGGAAGTGCTCGAATGACGTGGTCAAGTGCTGGTATTCTGGACAAACCAAAGCAGCACCAGCGTAAGCAGCATCGACATGAACCCATATCTCGCCGGGAGCATCTGGGGGGGCGTGTTTTGAAAGTGTAGAAGCAATAGAGCCAAAATCGTCAACAGCACAAGTTGCTGTGGTTCCTAATGTCGTCGTAAGATAGAACGGCTGTAGACCATCGGCTTTGCATTGTTTCAATACTTCTTCGAGGCCGGCTCCAGTCATTGCAAATTCGTCATCCATTGTGGTAGGAACAGAACGGAAACGAACTCCAGCAATCTGTGCTGCTTTTTGGGTTGAGCTATGGGCCATTTCGCTTCCCAATGCGACTAATTTGCTCCTTGTATGTGCGATCGCATCTTCGAGCTCGAGCCCAGATAAGTGCGAGGTTGTTTCTCGAAGGTATTTATCGCGCGCGGCTACCATTACAGTGACGATGGCTTCGGATGCCGAGCCTTGAATGACACCTCCTCCGTGGCTGGTCGAGAGGTAGCAGTCTGGCAGATTCAGGAGCTTTGCGAGCCAATCCAGGACCACAGTCTCGAGTTCAGTAACGGCGGGGGAGCATATCCAGTTAAATGCAGGTGCCGTGAATGCAGCAGAGTATAGCTCGCCCAGCATCCCAGGGAAGGAAGAGGAGGCCGGGAAGAAAGCCATGAAGTTGGGCGATTGCCTGGGGATGAATCGTTAGGCTTCTCAAGACTGCATATACAACACGGCTGCAACTAACCAATGAGTCAGACCGGGCATGATCTTGGTCTCGATATCCTTTTGAATATCCGCCCACGACTCTCCCTCTTCGGGAGGGCCATCTGGAAGTAGCTTCTTGAGATACCCAGGCTCAACATTGGAAACGACCCGGCGGTCCTGGATCGTATCGTAATAGTTGATGACTGCGCCGGTCAGTTCCTACAATCGGTGCCATTACTCGGACGGTACATACTCTCATCGATGGCTGACGTAGCAGCATCCTTGAACTGCTTCGAGTCCATAATTAAAGAGGCACTGACGACGGATTTTGGTGCATGCGTACCGAGTGTACAGCGGCAAAAGAGTCAATTTACTTATCTGGTTCAATGGGGGAGCAGACCACCTCTCTATGGGAATCGAGATATATATACCTACCTAGGCAAGTAACCGCGCATGCGCAAGGTGTTATCACAGCAAATTGATTTGATTAGTCTTCCGTGAAGTCTGGAGTTTTTGCACTCGGGAGTTGCGTAGAGTGCGGAACCGGGCCGCGAGATGATTATTAGAGTATCCGCGGGTTTTTTAGACTTTACTCCCGGGCGGGCCGCGGGACCCGTTATGTAAGCTTCCGAAGGGAGTCTGGAAAACGAACTCAGGTAGCAGTAATAATCTGGACATCCAACGAGGTACAATCATATCATTCCTACAACATTATTATTGCTTTACAGGTGCAGGCAGGGCCACCGCCTCTAGTTAATCCCACTAAATAGGGGGCTCGTCGAAGTAAGAATATTAGGTTCCGAGCAACGTTTCACACGAAGCACTAGGTATTTTTGCAAGGAGTCGCTTTACTCTCAGTGCCTGGGTGCCTAGGTACCGTAAGGCATGAATACGCAGCACCAGCCACCGCCGTGCACCGCCACAAGCGTTATCCCATGTGACGACCGCTCCGCACTCCGTACAGCAGGACGTCGCAGGAGTAACAGCACCAGGCGTAACAGGCAAAGGCAGCAAAGGCAATCAATCAATCCATCGACTACTTTGTATCAAGTTACACCACGCAACCACACAACCACCTCAACTCTCCCCTATCCAAACAGCTGCCAGCCCCCAGTATCACTTCCTTACCCATACCCATACCCATACCCTATCCAATTAGTGACCATGAAGCTACATTACATCGGGGTAAGCATCCCCACAGATGGATCTCGGGCGCTATGATCTATACCATCCTGACCGCTCTCTCGAACAGATAATCAAGAACGAGGCAAAGCCATCGCATGAGCTGTGTGCGGAGAAGGACTTGACTGCATATTCGAGGTTTACACGCAACAAGTACGCTCTGGCCCCATACCAACCTATCTCCTCCGCTCCGTTGGGGGGTAGTCGACATTCCGGCTCTATGCATCATGAGATTTGGGGTGTAAAAGGCTGATCAAAGAGCGCGACAATAGCTATGGCGAATTCATGACGCTATTCAGCAAGACGGTCGCAGAGCGCACAAAGCCAGGCCAACGACAAGACGTCGAGGAGCAAGGTACTTTTCACCTTCCTCATCCCCTTTCGCTATGACCCCTATGTCAAACTAACTCTCCCCATCAAATAGACTACACATTCCACGCCTACGGTCGCACCGAAGGAATATGCGGAATAATAATCAGCGACCACGCTTATCCAGCCCTCGTAGCGCATCAACTGCTCTCCAAAGTCGTCGACGAGTTCCTTACTTCCCACCCACGCTCCGAATGGGCCACCTCAAACCCGACTCTCCCATTCCCGGAGCTGAAAGATTATATCGTGAAGTATCAGGATCCGCATCAGGCGGATAGCATCATGAAGATTCAGAAGGAACTTGACGAGACGAAGATTGTGCTGCATAAGACGATTGAGAGTGTGTTGGAGAGAGGCACGAAGATTGATGATCTTGTGGCGAAGAGTGACGGGCTGAGCACGCAGAGTAAGATGTTTTACAGTGAGTACTCCCCTTTCTTGTCGGGTTTAATTACGTGGAAGATGGGTATCCTGTGGGCTTGAGAATGGCCATCTGCGGATCTATTGGAAATGGTATGGTGCTGATAAGATTGGTGTATAGCGCAAGCAAAGAAGCAGAACTCATGCTGTGTACTCATGTAGCTGATGATTGGATGGATGGATGGGAATATGACAAGGCGTTTCCGATGCGTTTAATTTGAGTATGATTCCAGCATAGCTGTTTTGCAATTGAGATTGTAGATCATTCGTGGATTCCCTTTGATAGAGCTTATCCACGGCTGTTTACACGGGCAATATGGTTATATGCGTGAATAGGTATATAATAATATAGTCCTCCTAGCTTGTGCCAGAACACCTTCAAGAAAGCAAATGACAAAGACGCAGGTAACAAGCATAACAATCCCGGCAGACCGAACCTATCACACTCTCTTCCGGGCGATTCTTGTCTCTCTCGTCGGTTTTCTTCTCTTCCCTTTAAGATACATCGCAATGAATTCTACTTCTGTTTGATTCCAATAGCTCGTTAGTTCCGGTGTAACTGTGCACCTTTATCTGGCTTACGGCTGATATTTCAAGGAGGCATGTATCATCTCTCTTACTACGGAGTTTAAGAAGATATTTTTGCTGTGTCAAAATTTCTGTCGTTGTCAACTTATGGCTGTCATGACGGAAAATTGTATCTAGCGCTTCTGTCCTCATCCGACGTCTCTCGGTAGTTAGGACAGCCGCCTCGGATTCATTTTCAACTGGGCTATGTAGAAACGGCAGCATTCGTCTCGGACTAGCGGTCTTCATGATAGACGGCATAAGTCTCTTAATACCTCAACTACTTCGGTTCGAATATGTTAAGGGGGCCCCTGCCGGAATAGCAGCAAACAACCCTCCGACCTCCTCGGTGAACCATAGGGACTTTGAGATGGTTGAGTTATTGCGCTATTGTGTAGTATGGTGTTATAGGTAGAGTTTAGTGGGCTGTTACAAATATAGTACTGCCTTGCCCTTTGCAACCAGCCGTACCCGTCTCTCTATTTATTTAACAATACCAAAAGGGAAATAGCAAAATATTAGGACATAGAGGACTTAAACTTTAGCTAAATAACCAAGAATATATAGTCGACCACTACCCTAGGCCTTGCCTTTGCCTTCTTGAAGGCATTTCCCCCAAGTTAGCCAAAGATGTCTAGATAGAAAACCAACTGGACGTAATGTAGAAGCTCAAATCCAAAATCGATGCGTGCTTTCTGATCTTATAATAGGCGTTTAGTAGAGGATTTCTGACCAAGACACTACTTTGTTAAAGCCCAAAGACCTGTAACGACCTATTATATATAGAACTAGGTAATCCTAGACCAGGACTACCCTTTTGCAGGCGAGTAATGAGAAGGAATCTTGCCTAGGTGATTCATAATATTCATTGTGATACATATCAGAAAACCCCCAATGCAAATGCTATGTTTGCCTGAGAAACCTAAACTCCATAACCAGATGCAAGCCAATCATTCCGCCAGACCATTAACCAATACAAAACATCCAACTCCACAGGGTATCCAGAACACAAAACCGGCATAACAGTTAACAACACTTCCTTCGCGTCTTAACCTCGCCAACCTGTCCGGTCTCCGGTAGCGTCTCAATATACGATTCCACCGGAACTCCAAACCAACTCCTCCTATCCCTCCCTACCCGGAAACTACCACCAGGTCTCATGCCATCAAAGTACCCTCCGCCTCCTTCCCCAGGCGTACCGTCGATTCCAGGTGTAGCACCCGGTGTCTCCGTCGCGCTCAATAGCTGTTGACTCATAGCCCTATTCTGCTCAACCAATTTCCTCGTAATAACCCTAAACACCTCCTCTACGCCCTCGCCACTCTCAGCACTAACTTCATGGCAACAATCCCAACCAACTTCCTGTCCCCAAAACCCACTGCTCCTCTTAGAACTCGGGCTTCGCGCCCCATCCAGCGCCTCCCTCCCTGCAAAGGCAGGCATTCCGAGGGGGGTTGCAGTCGCTGGCGGCGTGGAGGACATCCCCGGCGCGAGGTTATCAGCTACATATGCGATGCACCGCTCGAAAGGGACTTCGCGTGCGGAAGGATCCCTCGCTACTAGATCGGCCTTGGTGCCCACGACATGGAGGATTATATCGGGGGGGAGGTTGCGTCGGAGCTCGTTGAGCCAGACGCCCATTTCTTCGAAGGAGGGGAGGTCGGTGATGCTGTAGCAGAGGATACAGGCGTTCGCGCCGCGGTAGTAGAGCCTCGATATCGATCTGCAGTAAAAGAGTCATTGTTAGGTCAAACAGGGCCAACATGGGGGTAGAAGTGGTACACCGGCCTGGGGAGGAAGATGATCGTGCAGTATGACCTACCGGAAGCGTTCCTGTCCTGCTGTATCCCATATCTGTAATCGTACAACCGTGTCACTCTCGTCATCCACCACTCTCTTCGTCATGAAGCTCGCTCCGACCGTGGATGTCGTGTTTGCGGCCGAGAACTGGTTTTTGATGTACCGCAGCAGCAAACTCGTTTTGCCAACGCCTTGAGCACCAAGAACCACGATCTTGGCCTCAAGTGACTGTGCCATGTCTATCCTGTCTCTTTGGTATGAATCGAGCCTCGAGGCGGAAAGGAGGGAGCGTGAAAGGCGTGCTTTGGTGGAGGTCCTGGCGAGGCTTATTCTGCCGCTTGCTTGCTTGGTTCCTTAGGTATCTTGCGTAGGTGCTCACTCTCCTCAGCAGATGACTTAAATGTCACAAGCTTATCCTACACACCTCGCCTCATCCTATGCGCGTCCTAGTTTCAGCGATGCTGAACGATGCTCGGGTGCGGTGGGGTGGAGGATTGCGATCGCCGACCGACCAAATATATACGAGAGAAGCTGAATCCGATCCGGAAAACGGGGGGGAATACGCTATTTGACGGTCGTACAAAGAGGATAAATAAGGGGATCTCCTCGTCGGATAGAGGAGGATTATGCCATGGTGGGAGACGTGCTTTGAGGCAGTCAGCTACATTAATGATAATTAGGTCGAGGATATGACGCGCATGGCCCGCTTGTGATTCAAATTAAATAGAATTCCCGGGGGTCATGCGAGGCTGAGCATCTTGCAGGAATGCTGGGTCATATGGGGGAGTAGTTGTTCCTCCCGAGAGGTTAACATGGCCAGGAATGTATATTACTCCATCTGGTTTCTGGGGCCACGGACTTTCATTAAATATATTATATCCTCCTTACTTTAAGACCTATTTGAAGTTACTGGCAATATACTCGGCAGTTACACCCCTTTTCCCCTCGGGCGGTGGACCTCCTCGATATCATCCTGACTAGGATAAACCTAAGCTTTAACTCTTTAAGTAATTACAATGGCTACTTTATAGCAAAAGACAATACAATCAGATCGTGAGAGTGGTTGAGCATCAAAGCTAGATGGGAGGAAGGATGCGCGAGCTATATTACTCAGAGCGGTGGATAGGATATATACAATGATACATGCTGATGGTGTATATGCGTGGGGCATTTTCCCATAACAAAGGCTCTCTCTACCATGACTCTATTGCTATTTTTGTTCCAAGAGTGTCATAAACCCATAAGATGTCGCCCTAGGCCGATCAAAATGAAGAGCTTACAACATCGACTTTTCCTTAGGGACAACCAAAGGATCGTAGACGAATTGGCCCTATTTAGGATTCATTAGCAAATCCGAGGAAATAGTCCCCGTAAGCACGGGTTAGAAGAAGGTAAGGCTAGAACTCACCAAATTATCAGTTGGGACATTGGCAGCATGCATGCTCAACGCCCTAGTATCCACCAACGATGGGTTCAACTGATCGATACTCGAACATCCAATCAACCGCATATTCATCTCCATCTCATCTTTCAATAATTGCATAGCACGCTCCACGCCAGGCTGCCCATAGGCGCTCATGGCATATAAGAAAGGTCTTCCGATACCAACGCCCTTCGCTCCCAAGCATAGCGCCTTGATTATATCAGTGGCGCGTCGTACGCCGCCATCGATGAAGACCTCAAGACGATTGTCCCAGCCGCGTTCTCGTAATACGGGCATCACTTCAGCAAGCACTTCAATTCCTGAGCGTGCGAAATCCAGTTGACGGCCGCCGTGGTTAGATAGAACGACACCTTGAACGCCAACTTCAACGGCGCGAATGACATCTTCCACTCTTTGGACGCCCTTGAGGATAATGGGCATCTTAGTAATAGACCTGAACCATGGGATATCCTTCCAGCTCAGTCCGGGATCAATAAAACTGCTGATAGCTCTGGCAGCGCCCTGGGACGTATCCGTCTGCGACCCGCTTTGTACATTTGAGCCCACGTCGTTGAATTTGGTACGCATATCTTTCTCTCGGCGGCCGAGTTGGGGTGCATCGACTGTGATAAAGAGACCTTTACAACCACGCTTTTCGGCGTGCTGCACAATCTTCTTGGTGATTTCTCGGTCCTTGTTAACGTATAATTGCAACCATTGAACTTGATCCCCTTCCGCCGCGTCCATGATCTCGTCGAATGAGCAAGAAGCGAGTGTTGGTATCATCTGCACAACATTATGCTTCTTGGCTGCTCTTGTGAGCACCACCTCTCCTTCTGGGTGTCCTAGTTTCCCTAGAGCGGTGGCGGTTACGTAGAAGGGCATGTCGACCTTTGTGCCAAGCATGGTTGTGCTAAAGTCGATCTTTTCGACGTCGATGAGAACGCGGGGCCGGAACCATATTTTGTGGAATGCGGTATGGTTTTCTCTCATTGTCTGTGAGCGTAGTTAGAAGTGGTGTTGGAGATGCGCTGTGGATTGGATGGCTTACGATTTCATCATCGGCGCCACTGGAATAATATGCCCACGCAGTCTGCTTCATGACCCTCTTCGCCACGGACTCGAAATCCATCAGGTTGTAACATTGTTCCAAAATTGGCATGCGGGCAATCCGAGCTTGTCTCTCCTTCTCTTCGGGTGATTCTGCCTTCTCAACCTTCGCCACTGTGCCCATATCGACGGGTCCTAGATGCTTCGACTTGTCGAGATACTTATCTAGGGTATCGGGCGGGTGGATTGGCTCGAATTCTTCCGTCGCATCTTTGCCCTGTGGAACAATTATCAGATTTAGATTCGCGGACGCAGCTAGAGTCGGGGGATTGAGCATACGGCATATTTAAGGATGATTTTCGAACCGCCAGGATGTTCTGTGTTTGCTATCAGCAAGGTGTGGTCTGAGATCAAGGTAAATTGCACGGCGTAGATGTACCAGGCAGGAACTCTGTAACGTCGTAGGCTTTGCCCTGTAGAACCCTCAGTTAACTAATTGCCAATTGCCCATCACCAGAATAACAATTGCGTACATGGACTATAACCCAGCACGATTCGCGGGAGTTGTGCTCCGCAATCTGTTTTCCAGACAACGACATGTTGGAAAGACTTCTCTCGATCTTGTTTAGGCAAAGGGATAGGTCAGGGAGAAGAATGACGACGAAGAATTTAGACGGTCATGGAGAAACGTGGAGAGCCCAAAGTATCCAAGTTATAACCGTACGAGACTACCTGTACGGGGTACAAAATGTAAGATCCCCACACTGCACTAGCGGGGAGCTGGAGACTGGAGTAGGGAATATATATTCCCGAGGTTAAGTAAAGTACATGAGCTCTTCGCAATGCGGTAGCTTGGGTATATGGGGAAGGTCAGGCGAAGGCCGGGGGAAGGGAGGATTATCATAGAGAATTGCCCTCGGTGTCTTCTCGCCCGGAAACTGCGAGTGCGAGTAGCCGTCTCGAGTATTCAATTATTATTATTGGGGGCGCAAAGATATGGCGTACAACGGCACAACCTGCCAACAGTCCCTTGTTATTACTAGGGAGACGGGTATTTACTCTCGGACTTGTCCCGACGTCGGAAAGGGGTTGGGGCTAGTACTCAAGCAGCCATATCAGCACAGTAGCAGACCTCTGGTGGAGCCTGAGAGCGAGACATGAGCACTAAGTACGTACCTAGTTTGTAGTAGTCTCCCAATCAGTAGGGAGCGATTGGCAAGGTAATGTCAGTATGTGTATTTACTTGTTTTTTCATGACTCGGATCCGGCCTTCCTCCTGCCACGGCTAGATCTCACTAACGTACTTATATCCCTCCAAAACTCTCTACCTAGAGCCATTTATAGGTAGTTATAACAACATCATATCCCTCTTTTTCTACTCTGTAAGAGGCGTTTTTTATATTTCCCTGCGCTGAATTTACAATAACCAAGCCGCACAGCAAACAATCGGCAAAGGAAGAAGGTCTAGCGACCAAGACCTTACAACATAATGGTAGTGATACGCCGGGCCAACTCTAAATAGGTCTCACCGAGAGGCATCAAACTTACCAATCCCTGGGCGAGGGAGCCGTTGACGATGTTGTACCAAAAGGCCATACGCCCGCTAATGAAGTTGATTGAAATCCAGGAAGACTCATAGTTCCACAACCTCGACCGGGTTGCCCACATCACTGGTACTCTGATATACCACAGCGGCATTGACGAGCAAGCTCCCATGCCCGCCAGCTGTACCAACCATCAACCTCTGCCACAGTATTCCCTTGACCCCATACCACAGAACCTTCAAGGAATCGAGCCAAGCAGAACTGGGTATAATATCTGCTATAACTCCTCCGCGCTTCCGGCCCATAAGCCTTTCATACGCAATCTGCCCGTTATCCCAAAATAACGCTTCACGGCCGTGACCCGAATGTATGTGTCCAAAAACGTGCAGCCTAGGCTTGACTCGCCATATCTCGTTAAGCAAAGAAGCACAACCTAGTTTGAGATCAAGATGATACCGCGGAGGACCATGGGTAATCAACACGTCTGTATCTTGTGGGATCCGATTGTCCCAAGGTGCTAGCTGCCGTTGGTATTGGAATCTATATCTCAGTCAGCCCACCCGGTCATATGTAGCGCATTATTGGGAAGCCCACGCAAAATTTGAGCCACCGCATTGAGGAATATCCGGCGACCCATAGAAATTGAGCTTCCTTCCGCCCTTGAACTTCAAAGTGATGGACTTATTTTCCAAGTAATGGATTGTCTTTAGATCCAACTTCTTGCCTTTATCCTCCGCTCTCCGAGACTTCGGGTCGAAATAGCTGTCATGGTTCCCAGCAATCACAATCTTCTCTTTATGCGGTAACGAGGCTAGCCAGTCGAGCTGGGCTTGGATTTCGCCCACGGTTCCGGCATTCGTGAGATCTCCAGCGTGAATCAGGACATCGCCATGAGGCACTGAAACGGTGTTCGTATGCGTGTCTGATATGCATACCACTCGGATTGGGGGTTTGTTCCGGCGGGGTTTGAAAGGAGCTCCACGGAAGAGGAGGAGGATATGGTAGATGAGGTGCACCAAGGTTTGGATGGGGGAGTCGAGGAACCTGTCGAGAGTGGTTGGAGGGTCATAGATGTTTTTCCGTCGTGACCAAGGCCATTGCGGCTTCCGCCTTGTGATCAATGCTGATGCCATTCTTCTTTAGCTACCTGCGGTTTCATGCTGAGCTGTATGGAGGCAGCTGAGGTGGTCTGGAGGTAGTGATGTTTGTTCGGTGGGGTGTCCTTGTCCGAACCATGCAGCCAGGTAATCGAGAGGCTGGGAGCGACGTCATGGGTGAGACCTGCTTAAGGTTGGACAACAAATACCTCCTCTAAATACATTCTTTCCTCCGCCCTCGATGATAGTTCTCTCCACATCTTCCTGAATATATGGTTTGCGGTAGGGGAGCATTTTAATTTTAGACGGCACTATGGCTTCGCTGAAGAATCTCCACGAGCCCAATACAAATTTGGGCAATGCGCTACACACTAACTTTGAGTACGCTTGACCGACTTTACCCCTTTCAATCGAGATACTAACTTGCTAATAGCGTTGACTATGTAATAGATTATCGCTTCGCAACAACGAGTAAGTTCGGCTTGCGATCTCAATACTCCAACTACTCCTTACTCTGTACTGACTTTACTGCAGGCAAGTCCCAAGCTGTAGCTCAGTTTACCAAGCTTATCGAAGCTCTCAGTGATGCTGGCCTGGCCACTGAGGTCCGAAATGGAGATAATGGTGCGGTGCTTGTGTTTGTCAAAGCCGCCTCGGAAACCCGTCTAAGAGCAGAGGTATATCGAAGCCGAGTGCAAGACTGGCTCTATGGAGTGCGAAGCGCAGCCCCCGAGAAAGACATGCGTAAGAGTTTGGACGAGGAACCTATGACGGAAGCCGAACGTCTGAGAATCGTACACCTGTTGATTACGAAACCAAAAGCCGAGCGAGGCGCGGGCATTACGCCCAAGAGCGGGGAATGGGAGAATGTGGAATCCATATTTGCGCTTCACGATCACAAGTTCAACAAGGAATGGATCAAGGATTTGGGTTCAAAATACCTTCTCAACTCGGAGGATTTGACCAAAATCAGAGATAGATTTGGTGAAAAGATTGCTTTCTATTTTGCGTTCTTACAATCCTACTTCCTGTTCCTGACCTTTCCGGCTGGGTTTGGATTCTGCTCATGGGTTATTCTCGGTCAATATTCACCTTGGTATGCAATTATCAACGGCCTATGGTGCATATTCTTCGTGGAATACTGGAAGAAGCAGGAAACCGATCTAGCTGTGGAATGGGGAGTTCGTGGGGTATCTCGGATCCAGCACAAGCGCCCTAATTTCCGACATGAAAGGGTGATAAAAGACCCCGTCACTGGAGAGGAAATCAAATTCTACCCTGCAACGAAGAGGTTGACTCGACAGCTGCTTCAAGTTCCTTTCGCAATTTTTGCATCACTCGTGCTTGGCAGCTTAATTGCTCTTTGCTTCTCTATTGAGGTCTTTATCTCGGAAGTATATGATGGCCCGTTCAAGTCGTACCTGGTTAGTATATTGGACGATCGTTCTCAGATATAGAAGCTAACGCGTGTAGGTCTTCTTGCCTACTGTTCTTCTCACACTTATTATGCCCATATCATCGACGCTTCTTACTGGATTTGCTTCTAAGCTCACTGATTTTGAAAACTACGAGACTACCGATGGTAAGTATGGATGGGCATCGGATTGAATACTTCTAACAACCTTTAGCACATGAGGCTGCTATGGTCTCCAAGATTTTCGTCCTGAATTTCATTACTTCGTATCTCCCTATCTTCCTAACTGCATTTGTCTACGTCCCTTTCGCACAAATCATCGTCCCCTACCTGGACGTCTTGCAGGTTACTGTGAGGCCATTTGCGGAGGATGAGAAGCAAATGACAGCTCCAAAATCCGAGTTCCAAATCAATCCAGATAGGCTAAAGAAGCAAATAATTTACTTCACTGTCACTGCACAGATAGTTAATTTCGGGATGGAAATTGCTGTCCCATATTTATCCCGTCGGTTTTCCCGCAAAGTCAAGGAGATCAAGGCGGACCGAACAACGAATAATGGCGCTAGCGGAGACGCAGCAGATGACCATCCCGAGGAGGCCGCATTCCTAGCCAGAGTGAGGAATGAGGCGGAACTCAGCGTATACGATGTTACAACTGACTTGAGAGAGATGGTTGTCCAATTTGGTAACTCCTCGTTTCAGGTTCACTCAGCACTCAACTAACAGTCACTAGGATATCTGTCATTGTTTTCGGTCATCTGGCCATTGACAGCTGTATCTTTCTTGATCAACAATTGGATCGAACTAAGGGGCGATGCGTTAAAGATTGCTGTGCAGACCCAACGCCCAGTCCCTTGGAGGGCAGATTCTATTGGCCCCTGGCTCAACGCTCTTGGTTTTCTATCATGGCTTGGTAGTCTGACTACAGCAGCCATAGTTTACCTTTTCAGCGGCGACGGTCTTGGCCCTGATGGGAACCCGCGTGATATCAAAGGTTGGGGCCTTCTCTTGACAATCTTCTTCTCGGAACACATATATCTCGGCGTACAACTTGGAGTGAGGACAGCCCTCGGCAAAATCGACAGTCCGGGATTGCAAAGAGAGAGAGCTGAACGCTTCACAATTCGAAGGTAAGTGGTGGTCAAACCAACTCTCTTCTAGCTTAATTAACAAAACCAGGCAATATCTTCAAGACTCCCTGGGACAGGAAGCGGCTGAGGAGGAAAAAGCGGCGGAGGGGGTAACCCTCGCAAAGCAAACTATTGGCAGAAACATTCTTGAGGAGGAGGCCAGGCAATCCACGCTTCAAGGTCATGGAACACCCGAGGAGAGGTTCTGGAAACGCCAGCAAGGCCCATCGGAGACCATAGCTATTGGAAAGATGTATATTGAAAAGGTATTTCCGAACTCTTCCATGATTTAATACACAAGCTAATTTCAGGTAGGCGGCATCAGCAGCAACAGAGGCGAAAGAGAGTAAAAAGGAACTTTAATGAGGGGCTGGTGGCTGGCAACTGATTATGGGTCGCGGTGGGTGAAAGTTTAATAAATGTTATCACGAAACGAATATAGCTGATAACGTAGATGGGAAGGACTGAAAGGAAGGTGAATAAATGAAGTTCGATGTTTATTACACACAAAAGCCCCTTTCTTCCCTTTGCAGATCCGACTATATCTAATATTTTCCGTACACGGTCGCATATAATGTATCCAGAACGAAAGTTGCCATAGCAAGCGCACCTGTTGCTACTCTTGGCCTAATCTATCTATCAAAGATATAAAAGCCTTTGGGAAAACAAGATCGGTACCTTGAAGCCATTGCTGACGATTTCGGATCACTGTATCATCTGGCAGCCTACAATTTGTAGTTCCCAGTGGATACGCGCGAAGTGTCCACCTTTTTGCCGGCCCCAGGTAGCTCCACCGAAGCAAACGGCTACAGCCGCCATAAGCTACTACGCCCAAAGATGCGGCCGAGATTACTCTCACGTTTTTACTCGGACATAGTCTAATTAAGGCCAATACGGAACGCTATAGGCAAACAGAAATCCATAAGCAAAACAAAGCCTCGAGAAATATCCAGGAGATATCGTCCCCAAATACACGGTGGTAGACGACAAAATCATGACACTTAAATTATAGAATTATAAATTTATGATCCTCGAAGCATATAATTAAACTCTACCGCTAAAAGACCCACCATAACCCGTCCAAGATTATACTTTCAGCACCTTTTGATACCCAAACCCATCTAATAATCTAATGCTATGAGACGTAGTAGCAGCTAAAACCAGAACATTCAAGACAACCAAAGTCATACCAAAATAACTAAGAAATTATAAGGATAAGTTCGCCAAGCACAAGTTCGAAAAGTATCCCCAAAACGCCGTTTCCCGTTTAGTTTCACTGGCCCTTAAGCAGGGCTGTTAAACATGGTGTCCCCCCTTTTAACCTGTACGCCAGTTCCGAATCTTTCCAAGCACCAATCCATGATTCCCAACTATAGATGTGTCAAACGGTCCCCATATAACAACGGTAAATCGTGACGTTGAACCTAGTTCCACCAATCTATGGTCATATGTTCCGACTCGAAGGATATCGATCAAATATCCGTTTACGAGCAATATACTAGCCGTTCGCCAACGGGTATAGAACCCAGTTGCCTAGAGTAAGAAATACCCATCAAGCCACCTCCCCACCTTGGTCATTCTTCCATGTGCCAGCATAATGGTGCGTGACCAGCGCCGGGCCCATTTTCTCTTTATAGCGATTTGATGACGATGCGAACGAATATCCGGGTAGAACCAAGACATCGCCGATCAACTTCGGTTCCAGAAGGAGAGAGATATTCTTATCATCAACCTTGTCCTTAAGAGTCAGTTCCAAGCTTTTGAGGATACTGCGTGTCAGTCTCCTAGGGCCCGTGAAATCCACCACGTCGCCGATCATGTCGAGCGTCAACTCTGCGACCGTAACATTGCGTCTGCTGGTCGCCTCGCGCAACCCCTCCAGAATATCGTCGACTACCATCAATATGTGGGGCGACGCGGGTTTCGCCATGAGCGTCCAACTCGTAAATTGGCGCACAAAGTTATGCCCCCACCCAAAATCAAACTCCAATCCCACGACGACACTGGCATTGCCTTTGTATTGCGCGGGTATCCAGTCGCGGATCGGTACTTCTTCACATGAGACGTCGAGATCGTTCCAGATTCCGCCTTCAGCAAGGAGAAGTAGGTAGCGGAGGAAATCGGCTTTGAGGATAGGGATAGGGAGGGCGAGGTAGTTTTCGACAATGTCGGGTCGGAATGCGAAATTCTTCTTAACGTAGGCGTCGCCCGAGAGATCTGTCATGAACTCGGATTTGTAGGTGGGGTTTTTCTTGAGGCAAGTATCAATCCATTGTTGAGATTGGTCATTCAGGCCTTTCGGGCCAAGTTTGTACCATATTTTCTCTGGTATCCCGATTGCCAATGGCGCCCTTCCGGGTACGGTTTCCATACCGACCCGCTTCCAGCTGTCGAGGCTCCAGATGTGATAACTAAAGACGATGATGATGCACAAGGTAATAAGTGAGGTAGAAGTAAATATTTTGAACGCCGAGGGTCGGTTGGAGAGCAACATGGTAAACGATAGCTGATGAAAACAGGAAGGACTAGGGGGCGGACGTTTTGGATCAAGCGCGAATATCCAGGGGGAGGCAGAGGCTAGCTAGTGAGTGGCCTGTAGGAACAAAGGCTCTCCTTATAACGATGTCGCCAGGGACGAAGTACGGTACTCCGGACGAAGTTCTGCGTCCAGACTCGCAGATCTCGCGCTGGAGAGCGATGGTTGCTGGAGACATTTGTCTGCTGGAACAGCGGCTGAGATGGTTTGGCATGTAAGCAGATCGTATTGTCCAGGAGCAGCGAGCAGGGCGCCAGCCAGGGCGCGGGCGTGCATATGGCTTAAACCGACAGTCCAGAAGGAGCAGAAGAGCAGCACTCGAGACTCAAGCAGCACGACGAAGGCTCATCCTGTAGCCTATGGATCGCTGGTTAAGACGATCAAGGTACCTCCTCGCACAAACGTGGCCTACCAAGTACTTATCCGTACATGTATCAATCCCTCCAGACGCAGAACCTTGTAGCCATGTTGCTGCGGCTTCACCCTGTGCAAGGGCTGGGCTTCGTAGCGCTTACGAGAAGAGGGTTTCCAGAAGTGATTGGCTCTGTTCAGCTTCAATGGCCTCCACAAGGCTGGCCTGGTACTGCACGAGTGCTGGTACTGGTACTGGTACTACTCGAGTGCTCCCGAAATAAATAAGGTCCCACCTGTGCAAGGGTCTTGGTTACAAGCTCCTGGCCTTATTTGCAGCCGATCCCTACTGCATCGCACCGCACCGCACAGCTCCGCCCAACTCAAGCCAAGTCAGTGCGGCTCTACTCTTCAGCAACTTCACCGCGACCTTCTCGGGCTGTCTATTCTATACCACAAAATTGGCCAGCCCTGCTCCCTCGCTAGAACTAAGCTAACTGGATGAACAGCGTAGAACATTTAAGAACAGTAGCCAGAGCGAAGAGCGACAAGAAACCGCCAGGACAGGGCATCTGTCAGGAACATCATGCTGACACCAGTTTGCGCATGGTGAAACTGTGATATTGCGGCACGGGTTGCCCTTGCAGGTACAGTACAGTACTCTGTACAAAGCAACTGGTGCCCAGTCTGGGAGATTCATCTCATGCCCCATCCCATGGCCCCATCCACGTTTACTACTTCGCACTGTCATCCCTACGCTGTGCCTTTGCTTTTCTCTTCCTTGGAAAGTTTGGGCGCTCTCTCACTACTTGATGCGGTTTTCTCTTGTTAACACCTGCTACTCTCTGCGATCCGCAGAAAATGCGTTCGTGGTTCTTAGTCTCTCTTTGGGCGCTCTTTACTACCGTGTTGGGGATCGAATTCATTAATCCTGGGCCTGAAGGACCAAGTGGCGACTACTCTTTAAATGCTGTTTACGTTAAAGGGTCGCCAGTCAACATACAATGGACCCCAGCACCGGATGGAGCCCGCACGTCGTTGACCATGTTCCAGTTGAAGGGGAAACAGTTTCTGCAGCCTTTTGAATACCTCACCCGTACGTTCATGGAACTATATTTTATAGCTTTTTGACGGGTCGGTGCTTGATTCTGACGTATCCTCGCAGAAAGTGTACTCAATGTTACATCCCTGAGCTGGATGGTACAAACAACCAAGGACCTCTCGGTGTCGAACACGTTCTTCTTCTGTCTCTTCATCGAAGGAGAGGTGCGCTCAACGGCAAACAGCCATGCCTTCAATATCACCGAAAACGCGGCTAAGCCGAGCTCCACCAGCAGCAGTAGCCGTAGCAGCAGCAGCAGCTCGGCAACCTCCTCCACCACCTCGTCAACAAGCACCCAAGCTCCAGCATCCGAGTCAACAACCACACCCCCCGTTGTCATCCAGTCATCGGCCCCAGGTGGGCTGAGCACTGGGGCAAAGGCTGGGATCGGTATTGGAATCTCCGCTGCGGTTGTTTTAGGACTCGGCGCAGGTTGGTTCATTTTCGGCCGGCGGAAAAAGCAGGACGGAATTGCACCAGGCGCATCAGGTATGCCAAGTAATATCCAGGCGGAAAAATGGCAGGAGCAAAGGCAGGATCAAATATATCAGCTCAGCGGTGAGAGCACGGTGGCGCCTCTGATCCATGAGCTTCCGTCTGAACGGCAATAATATGTAGCATGGCATGGTCTGGGGAGTTCGATGTGGAGGATTTTAGTCGATGGAATCATAAAGGAGCGGCTTTGGTGTATTTATGGCGTGTATATATAAGGAGCGTCATGATTGTTTTTCTTTCTCGATTGTAGCGATAGATAATTGTTGATACCTCATTTTTATAGACTTAATAAAAGACAATATAGCAGTTGATCATATAGTGAACTGTGCAAACCGGAATACTTGTAGTTTTATGATGTTTTATGATGGCGCCTTGTCGCCTTGATACACCCCCCCGTCCTATACTTCCAAGTACAATAAAAGCTCGTTATATAGGTGGATTAGGTGGATAGGAAACAGTCTATTCGTACACCTCTAGACAAACTAGGCAGTACCCGATAAGTTATATTAGGGAAAGTAGTGCGTGATTAATAGCTTTTTATACCGAAATAGAGACGAAATAGATTTTAAAGGATAGTATTTTTGTCACCTGTTACTTCTTTCTGTCGGAATATCTGGTTTAAATGGATATATTTCGCAGTTCCGAGGACGTCCGTATAGGGAGGTTTTATTGTAAAGTCAATTCGGTGTGTTTGAAGAAGGCTCTCTTGTTTGTTTATTTGTTTATTCCTTTTAACGTCCTGTGTAAGTCGGAGACTATAGTAGGACGGCCCTCTTCCTCAGGAGAGAGTAGGTCAATAGTAATCTATATATAAGGCCTGGCAGGCAAAAAAGAAGAAACCGGAGTACAAAGCTCTACTAGTGACTTTACTAGCTAATATTAATAGACTAGTAGCTTATCTCAAGTTCCCTTAAAAAATCCCGCTATATATTCTAGGGGATAGTAGGGATTAAGTCCCGAAAATCAACAGAGTTTCCTTCCCTCCCCTCCTCCTACCCCTATCTACAGCTCTAAGTTCTCCTAATATTTAACTGTAACTTAAAGAACAAGTTATAATAAGCTACCGTTAGGCTGGGGTTTCCCTCCCCTAGTAATTCCCTGTCTTCCTCGTATTATATCGTCTAGAGTCGTAGAGAGAGGAAAGAATTGTAGTCGGAGTAAAAGCGGGGGTGGAAATTCTGCTCTACTAGAGAAGCCTTCGTATCGCAGCAAGGGGAGGACCGTAGATAGTACTCGAGTATTGTAACTATATATCCTGTTTCTTTGACTTGATGGTGATTGTATTGTCTTCGTGGCTAGTGGGCTTCGTAGCTGAGGCTTCGTAGCCAACGGGCCTCGCGGCGATTCTCTGTTCTATATTCGTATCGTCGTACAGCTTCGTCTTTGACTGAATCATGGCTCTAGGAGAGTAATACTCCTAGGTTTGTAGAGGGCACCATATATAGGTGTTCAGTCTTCGCCCTCTAGAAGGCTCTCTTAAATTGGCCTGACAAAACTACTAATTAAGACTCTATATATAGTTGGTGGTAACGCTAATTACTTTACTTATCGAAATAGGCCGGGCAGTTTTACTTAGAACACCTGCTCATTTATGAGGCTGTAAAACAAATGTGAGAGTATCAAAATGGCCACTTATACAATAACAATCTTCTAAGGTCTTTACCTTAAAAGCAATAGGGCTTATACTGTTGTAGCAAGTTCGTCTTTTGGACTACAAACAGTCAATTTAACGAGCGACTCTTGGCCGTCTACCTAGGCTTACTTTAGATGTGCCACTGAGCTTTGAACTTGCATGAAGTCGAGCATGTGATTAGTTTGTGTTTAATGGGTCTAATCGCACTATGCAATGCAGCGGAGCTATTGCTGATGTCCTAGTCATACACCGGCCAAAGAGTCATCGTGTTAAGAAGGTCACCGCTATAGTTAGGGAATTGTTGATGAGGGCAGCTATATCACGGTGCATTGATAAAGATAAAATATAAGACACTGAAGCTTTACGGTGCCGAGGTTGGTGCTTGGGTGCTTAGGTGCTGAATGATGGCATGAAAGAGTCTGTGACTTGATAGATGATATGTCAAATCACGGAGAGCATATGCGCTCGGGGGCTAGAAGATAGTAGGGGTGAGTTTGTGTGTTGATAGATGGTATGTCAAAATAGAGAGAGCATAGGTATCTTGGGTTAGGGTACTAGAGATAGGTTTAACCTTGTGTATTGATAGAAGATGCCAGAGGAATAATAATGGATAAATAGATGCTGGAAGTGCGTACAGGCTACTTCAGTCAAAGGAACCAGGAAGCCAGACCCAGGTCCACGTGCTAGGTCCTATACATTGAGGGCGATCACATATCATGACAGTAGAAGAAGTAATATTAGGGTAATAAAACCAATAGAAATTAAATCGAATATTGTGAAACATGATTGGAAAAGGGGCCTGACAGGAGCCCGAGGGCAACTACTAGTATCAAGAAAGGGAGAGTCAACATGGCATGAGAAAAACGGCATTTTAGAAATGCGGTGTGGCTAGGGGAAAACAATGATACTTTATACCCTACATTCCCCCCCAGAACTAAGTTAAACCGAACATCGATTCTTCGTGCTACCTCTATCCTTACCTTGAGTTACTGATCCAGAAATTCAGAGAGTATTGATGATAATAATAACTTGGCAGAAATCCCAAGTTGCAGACTGCCACGAGCTACGTTGTCACATTACACAGGAAAGAGGCAGAGTGCTGCTGCCAATGCGCTTTTATAGCCCATTTGCGGGATTTGCAGTTGCTCAAATAACTAGAACAAAATGTAAACAAACTCTCGTATTAAGGGTATATTGTTTTTTTGCAAGCACCAACTATAATGCTTTTCCTAGCGCGAATTCGATATATCGCAAAGGCTAATAATCGTTCTCACTGGAAGACGTATACAAGTGGCAGGACTGCCTTCGAATTGGCAACTCCGAACGTATGTTCGTCATCCAACTCTCGTCCCAGACTGCCGGGTCGATACTTAGAATTCCAGGCACCTCTCGAGGTGATGGGAATCAATTTATTATAGATCTATCCAACGCCCGGTTGCATTTGGTTGGAAAAGCACCACGTGTATCACTACATAATCCGCCGGCGCCACTTCAGGGGTTCATACTCCGCCGGGCTCACTTAAAGACCGACAGATAGGAATATAAGCGCTTGGCCGCAAACCGTATTCGTGTCTTGGTGACGACGTCTTATGGTGTTTGTCATTCCCTACGCCGCAAGTCGCGCCGCGGCGTAGAATTGGAGACTTCCCCATTACGAAGTATTGCGAATGGAGGCCGTGCATTCGTTCATGGCGGGGTGTTGTTTGACCGCCGCGGGACGAATGTCACCCCGCGGAATTACTCGAGGAATCAATCAAATCAGATCAACCCAAATGCTTGGAGGGACTTGGAGAGGAGGGGAATAACGCGGTCACACTCACGCGTCAACACTCGTGCTGAGACTTGCTCATAATAAGCCTAGGTGATGGGGCAATGGCCTGCTTTTGACAAGAACTCCAGTGGTCGCAAGCTGTATCGTATACAGATTGCACTCAGCCAGGCTGTACGAGTAGGAGACGAGTTGTAAAAGCAGGGATACAACCACAGCTGCGACTACATGTATGCCTATATTAGCTCAAGCTTTAAATGTTTTGATTTGGACTTCGTACTGTGCCATGAAGGGCCCAAAGAAGCGAAGCAGGAAGGGGTCTCTCCGTGTCTTACAGGTGCCTCGGGTGAAGGCACAGTAACAGTAACATACCTAGGTACAGTGCCTAAGGTAAGGTAATAAGGTATGTATGTACAGTACGAAGTACAGTACATAACATAACATAACCCTCTAAATTTAAAGTTAATTCCACTCTACTCTACTCTACTCTACTCTAATCCCAGAGCCGCTTCACGGCATCTGCCAACCGAGCGAGGCGATCATTCCTGCCCCTGAACCATCGTCAATCCGTCATCTGATGAAACTGAGGCATTTTCCTGCCACTGCGACTCGAGGACCAGCCAGCCAGCCCGCGGAAGTTGTTCACAATCCGAATCCCGAGCTTCTTGCGAATGGATTTTGCCAGCGATTTGGTACTCGAGCACTGTAGGAATGAATATGTTTCCCTTGGCTTTTGGAGTTTGGCTCTGTATTAGTTGGGGTCTCTGAGCCGAAGGTGTGAGTATCTCCGTATTGCCATTGTTTACTCGTGCACTACGAAGTACTCAGTGGACACTTATTATTAGACGGCTAATAAGGTAGGTAGGTGCGCGACTGCACGAGGCTGACACGAGGCTAACAGGTCCAGGTCCATGTCCATGTCTGTGGCCATCATAGCATGACCATACGTGGCAGCATATGTAGTAGCACGTAGTACGAAGGGCTAATAATAATAATTCCATCCTTGGTCATGGTACAATAATCAAGTCGGCGGATCGGAGGTGAAAAGTTCCAAGTTTCGCTGTTCGCTGCTCGCTGCTTCGCTCCTCGGACGGTGATTAAACTCCGCCGCCGTGTGCCGGGAAACCGTGAAGGCCGCGAGAGCCGTGAGAGCCGTAACATACATGTATAGTACGGTTAGTACCTCCGTAGGTAGGACAAGTAGTACCTATACCCAGGGTGAGTAGTATGTATGTACTGTGCATACATCGACAGTAGGTATGTATCAGGGCACTGATGGGAATGTACGAAGTAGTATGGGACTTTGCTCGGGAATTGCTGGGGCAATGTACTGTGGTGAATCCCGATCTTATCAGCTTATCGCGCTGCAGAAGAACAGGGACAGGAATTACAAGTATACGAAGTACGAGTCCCTTCGTAGGGTACATGCACATGCACATGTACATACATACATCCTACGTACTGTAGTACTTCGCATAGAGCGATTTATGCGCTGGAGCGCGGAGAACGCATAACTGCGAGTGCGAGCGCCCTCCGTGTGCCAAGAGGTTCTGGTGGGTTTTGTTGGAGCAGTTAGTACACTACGAAGTGTAGTACATGTATAGCACCATGCGCTTGAGGTAATATCATAGCACAATTAAGGATTTAGGGACCTCGGCGACAACTTGGCGCGGTAGGCACCATTTTATAGCAAGAGGAAACGGAAGGTTTACCCGGCTATAGAAGTCCAGTCATCGCTTTTGATATTAAGGGAAATAACCAACACTGTATTTAATGCCTCAAGAAGAGGATATGGCCAAGAGAGAACTCGGATCCAACTAGGGTGTTTTGTCCTATCACGTAACCTGCCAAAAAAATAATAGAAAGACCCCCCTACTCTAGGTACATGTACATGTACATATCAAGGCACCTCAAAGGATTACTACTGTGCTCCGTGCCGGAGCCTTATTTACATTCCCGTTAACGGAAGCTAACGTGTAGCCGTGGCACCAGACCTGTATCGTATCAGACCCGTTCCATACCTGTACCATGGCATATGTACTGTATAGCACATACTGTATATGTACAAACCTGCATACGTCAGGCAAGAAAAAAGCCCCCTCCC